TCTTATCATTGATAGGTTACTTCATACAAAATACAATTTAGGCGTTTCAATAACACTTTGACTGATAACTATTGTTTACAATGGCGACAAACTGTTACAGATTTAGCTACCAGCCGATTTTGACGGATTTCCGAAAGATTACGAAATGGTTTACAAGCGTTAATAGCTTCTGAATATTTCTTGCGTTGCTTTTTTTATTAAACGTAAGAAAAAATGAAATTGTTTAGTGATGAAAGTGACGCTGAAATATTTGAGGTCAAGTTTATTGTTGTATATTTAAGACTATTTAAAAAGATTTTGAACTGTTTAGGAATAGTGGAGTTTCCGTTCTTTTTAATCGGTGTTAGATTTTATTAGAATATCGAAATCATCTGCAAGCCGTATTGCAGCTGCGAGTATATCCAAAATTTATAAAAATTTCAAAAAATTCATGAGGTAGCAGGTTTTCCCAAAGTTTTGGGTGATTGATTACGTGTGTGTCTATCGCCAAGTTCATTATTATTCTAATCTATAATAATGTTAAAAAGCTGAAGAATTTGTTTGTTTGTTTTAAATGATAAGTATTATGACGGTAATGTAAAGCTCTTGGATCAAACAAAAATAACAACCGCAGACGAAGAGCTAATATTTCTACGACACATGTAAATAAAGAGTACACTTGTTTGAAGTGATACTTGAATTGAATTAAAATGAATAAGAGATGCATGAAACACGTGCACCCCTGCGCTCGGTGACAGGTTAACAAATTACAGTAGGGCGAAATGTTTACCTCTACAGTCTCTACTCTAACTGAGTTATATGAGATCGTAGAATAGTATTGTAATAATAAATACTAATTAAGAATTAGTAGAGCTGGAATGTTCTGAGGAAGGGGTGGCCCGTCGTCCGACCTTTGCTGGTAAACCAATAGGGATACAATTAAAAAATAAATATTATTATTTTTATTAGCTTCATTATTTATAACCTATAGAAAAGAAAACATACAAAAAGAGAAAACATCTTAAGTGCAATAAAAGGCGGCCTTATCGCTAAGTAGCGATCTCTTCTAGGCGACCTGAAGAAAAGGAGAAAAGTAATAGAAAAAGACTTATTAAGTGAGTAGGTGTAGATTGGTATAAAAATCATACAACCCTTTTCGTACAGTTAAAATTTTACTTTTATTTTAGCAGACAAAATTAGTTAACTTTTCCTTCCCTTAAATAGACATTTTTCATAGAAGAGGACTAGTAACTTGACTCTTAGATTTGGTCTGACAAGATCTAGTTATAATAAATGTCGTGTTTGTTCGCTTTAGAACTCTGCCCTAGCGAGGGCTTAAATAATCGAGTGTGCAAACGGACATCAGACAACTGGCACGAGCATATTTATCAAGACGCTGCACGGAACATTCGACCTTATTACCTTCAGTACCTGACTAATTTTCCACGTCAGCTTCTGAGTTTGATGTATACAACATTGTTTAATGGTGTAGAATGTTATAAAAATAAACACAAGACACTCTTATAGACTAAACTAATAATAATTGAATATTTGTTTTTTTTTATTAAATTGGGATATTAAATAAGACATGCCCGTTGCTTTAATCCACCGGTCGCGGGTTCGATTCCACCAAATCCTGTTACTAAACATGTTGCTGAAATAAACTTATTAGTTTCCCAAAAAAACATATTTGACTCTCCGGATAGTTTTGGATATTGAAGTGGTACATAATATATTTATGTTTATTCTCTATCTCTTTAATATTAAAATTACAACTTTCGGAATTTAAATAAAACATTTTAACGGTTTAAAACGCGATATATTAGTTAAACTTATTTGAAAACGATTTTTAACTTCGGCCCGACGTTTCGGATGCTTTGCAGCAGCCGTGGTCACGGGGAGGCTAAAGATGGAGGATGTCTCTGACGTCAAAGTAAAAAATTGCTACGCAAGCGCCATCTGTTCCGTCGAAGTTGGTATTTGGCGAAACTGGCCGGGTCCTTACAGAATTGACTAACGGTGTCTTCGCGTTTGCCGGTATGCTGTTTATTGGGATCCAGAGTTTTTAATATGGGATCCCAGGTGTTTGATAATTTGAGGCCGTCCTCCCTATTGAAATTTCGGTGATTTTCGATTTCAATTGCTTCGCGTACCAATCTTGGAAAAAATCGACTCTCCTATGCGAGGATTTTTGGCTGGTCAAAGCGAATGTAATGATTGGGCCCTTCCGATGAGTGTTGGCATAAAAATCCATTTTCAAATAATTTTAACTAATATATCGCGTTTTAAACCGTTAAAGTCTTTTATTTAAATGTATACTACTCGCGTAAACTATAGACAGTATTTAACTTTCGGAATACCACCTATCACCGTGCACAGATGGAAAGCCGTGAAGCGTAATCGCATTTCGGCTTCAGTCTCTACAATTCGCTTAAATGTTATATGGCTGGGGTACCTTTCATTAACCCCCATGTTTGTTCGTCCTCCCTCATAAACAAAAACTTATAAGGACTTCTTAGCATAACTCATGACAATGCCCAATAATCTTTTTACTAAGTTCTAACTACAATATGACTAGCCTTAAAAATCGATCAGTTATTCCTTTAAAATTAAAAAAAAAAAAAATTTAACGGTTTGAAACGCGACATATTGAAAAATTAAGAAACAATTATTTTTTAGAATTGCCAATGCGATTTCGGATGCTCTCAACAGCCGAGATCGAAACGAAGCGTTCGAAAATAACATACTATACGAAAACTTATATACATAGAGTTATGAGCCGTTAAACGTGTTTTATTCAAATGTATACTATTCGCGTAAACTACAGGCTAGTAATCCCTTTGTAAATAAATAGTTTCAGGACGAAACTAACACTCAACGTTCATGATAGCATCTCACCCTAAATATTTCCGTCCAATCATTGCGAGGTCCCCCACGGGACAATAATTGCAATATTTAATGCTTTCCTACGCAATAAAAACCCAATGCAGCTGTGTTGCATTACACATGCTTGTTACAATGCGTACTATTGTTATTTATTCATTTAATTTTACAAACGGCAATAAAACTTTATCTGACCGCCACTGTCATGGCGTATCATTTGTTTTTTTATACTTTTTTTTCACGTTGGTCCAATAGTGGTCACCGACTAAACAAAGTGGATTTAATACCCACTTCAAATGTTTTCGCCTCTGTAGCTAAATGGTTAAGCGAACCTAGCTAACGTTAAGCGCGATTTGGGTTCGAATTCCGGGAAAACAAATTGTTTCGGTGCGGCAGAGTACAGAAGTCTGATCAACTACTTGCCTGCTAAGAAATCAGATCAGTGAAGCGGACACAGAAATGTGTTCGCCTCACGCTCCACAGGGGGAAATGGAGTTCAGTCACTTCAAACATTTTCTCAGTTTTTTTATTTTTTTTAACATGCTATTTTTATATATACTATATAATATGGTAAGTAAAAGTTTATTATCATTGTTTTAAAATATTTGTTGTTCTCAAACGAGAAAAAAGTACTTACGTATGTTAATTTGAAAGAACTGTTCAAATAAAACACTTTAACGGTTTAAAACGCACGGCTGCTGCAAAGCGTCCGGAACGCCGGGCCGGAGTTAAAATAATTTTCAAAAAAAGTTTGACTAATATATGTCGCGTTTTAAACCGTTAGAGTGTTTTATTTAAACAGCTACTACTCGCGTAAACTACAGACAGTACTGAAAGAACTGTCTTATTATTTTTTTTTTTAATTCTAACCCCCTAAAGTAAAGATACATTTCCCAAAGCTATAAATTCACACCGATCCATAATACGGAACACCTGATCAAAGTGAATTCAAACTAATGGCAGTCCATAAGGGTCCAACTAAGAGATTTTCTTTGGATTGAATAGGGATGAAAAATATTACCCTAAGCGTAGCTATGACGTCATTTGGGGGCATATTTTTTTAGTCACGGGAGTACGATACATAGAGGCGGGTTAAGTCAACACGGACACAGCATTTTTATGGGCCCGTGTTTAATAATCAACGGGTCGGTGTTTCGATATCCACCGGGTCCAATATGGAACGCTGTAGATACCACTGTTCAATCTAAGTAAATAGATTTTTAATTTATATAATTTCATCGTATTTAAAAACATGTGAAAAATATCAAAACAACGGGTATACAAATATATGTTTAATAAATACAAAACAATATAGGGCAAATACACATACACTGCGGTATTGTTTAGGTTTATTTTTTTTTTCACCACCCTTATTTATGAATACATACTTTTTAACTTACATTTTAATTTTATATGTATTCTTGGCTTTGTTTAAGGTTTGATAAAGGAAAAACTTATTGTTTTAATCTGGGTAAGAATATCTCCCTGTACCCCCTGAAGTCCCAAGAGGTGCTGGCGATCTGTTGATGTTCTTGTTCGTCTACACAATATCTGGTAGAGTCTGAGCGTATGGAAAGGATAATATAGTAGAACCCGTTTCAGATCACGCTTATTACGATTTCTCGCATATTACGCCAATTTAAAGCAGTCACTGTAACTTGAGACATATTTTTATACATTTCTTAACGCTAAGTGCTAACACGATACATCATCCCGTTTACGTTGGAATTGAGACGAGAAATATTGTGATATTAAAATGTTTCTATATAAAATCTATTTTAGTTCGCTACTGAGATTCACGTAACGATTTCTATGTTACATACGCCGTTAAATATAGGAAAGAAGAAGAAAGATACAGATTGGAAGGTGTGAAGAAGGAAGCAAAGGGTAGGAGAGTACGATAAATTGGAGTAAGTTTTATTAGAATGGTTTTAATATGCAACAAATCGCGTAGAAAAGAATCTAACCAACTGAAATAAGTGATTTGTTTTAAACAACGTTATAATTAAAATCACACTACATATTTAATTTATAATTTACATATACCGAAATTTATAGCAAAATAAAATATAATCATATGTACCTAATTCGTCTTATTTTCCCCAATCCCGCATCGCTTAAGTTCACTACCAAGAAAGTCAATTTTTTACTTGTGCCGGTGGTGGCTTCATCGTACTTGCTTTCCGTTTCTTGAAGTTGCCAAACAGCTTATTGAAAAAATTGCTAATCGACCTGCCAACCTTCTGGAACACTTTTTTGATCTCTCGATACACTTGCTTGAAGAAATTCTTCACTTTTACCCATGCTTCGTACAGTTTGTGCTTATACTTGTCGTAGAGGAGTCCAATTAACTTTACAAGGCTACCTCTTCCCCTCTTCTTCATACTTGAAGTCTTAACACTTATAATACACAGGGCGAGTAAAAGAAATCGTATTTTGAGCTTCATGTCTTCTTAAAAGTAAACTGATACTAATTGTACTGTGATTTGCTTAATGTAATATAAGCAGAGAGTATTCATATCTAATCATATCTAACAATGGGTTAATCATATTTGTTTGAATACGGACATACAGACTTAAATGTTTTTAATAACATGTAAGTATTTTTTCTTTATACTACATTAATGGCATTATATACATTTCAAATCGACTTTACATTGAAAAAAAAACGACGGGCTGGACTTGATCTTGTACCTCAATTGCCATAACATCTGAACAAGGTGCTCTGTCGAACTATTTTGACTTAGGATATTCGGAAAGCCACAGTAACCGAAACGCGATTACACTTGAGGCTTTTTTATCTGTGGGCGGTGGTTCGTGACCTCGATGGAATTCAGTTCTTACCACTCAAAAATGAAGTCCAATATGTTTCAGGAAAAATATAAATTAGAATTATGTTTGACATTGTCGGGATCGAAGCCAAGACCCATTGCTACCATTAAAACAACAGGCTCGAAATTACGTAAACTACTCAATATCTTTCGTACCGTACAAATAACGTTTATTGTAATAACAAACACACACACTACTTGTTTGATCCACTTCAAACTCACTGTTGTTTCTTTTTAAAATGCTTGATTATCTTATCAATAAACTTCTTAATCGCCTTATAAGCATTTACGGATTTGGTTTTTATATTTTTGTAAATTTTGGTGAAAAAAGCTGTCATCCTCTTCCAAGTCCCCTGAATTTTCGGTTTAATATTGTTATACTGTTTCGAGATCCATCTGAACACCCCCCTTATTACAGCACTGTTGTTCCCCCTTTTCTTGGTTTCGGCCTCCCAAATACATAGTAAAAGAGAAAGAAATATATATGTTTGTATCTTCATTACGTTCTTTGCCAGTGTCTCAATACCAAGTAATGGTACATACAAATGACAATAGAAGGACTCAAAGTAAATATTATTCAATGTTAACATTAACAAACTATGTTATTATTAGTTACAAATATTTAAAAAACTATAATACTGTCTATTATTTACGCGAGTAGTACACATTTAAATAAAACACTTTAATATATCGCGTTTTAAAACGTTAAAGTGTTTTATTTTAAAAAAATATATAATAATTACCAAGACGTGTAGATAAAAATAAAATAAATAAATGTAATAACAATCAAAGAAAATTCTTTACTTTGTAGTTTTGTGCTATAAATGATATTTCAAGACTTTTTTTTATAAATTAAATCTTAATTAAAATTTCATTGATCTTGTAAATTTAAGATATTAATATCATGAGTTTTTTTAATTAAACAAAGAATAATTGTAATCACAAATAGTTGTAACAATTTATTTTTTCCATACGCTTTCAAATCGACGACACTATACAGTTCTAATTTTGAAACCTAGTATTCTATGTAATTTAGAATGAAAAATCATTTTTATTATTTTCAAGAAGGAAAATTCTGATATCTCATTATGCTTAAGCACAGTTATTAAAAAATACGAAAGAAAAGACCTTGTTCTATTAGGCGTAATAAATATTTTACTATAATCGAGAATGTATATCTATCATAGTGATTCGTTTGCACTATACGAAGTGGGTGTAATAAAATTAAAAACGTAATAACGTAAGTAACTACTTTATACTTGCGAACTGTGAATGTTCTTTTTCTATATTAGACACAATATTTATACATTTAAATAAAACGAAGTCTCCCCGTGACCACGGCTGCTGCAAAGCATCCGAAACGTCGGGCCGAAGCTACAAATCAGTTTCTAATAAGTTTTACTAATATATCTCGCTTAATCCGTCAAAGTGTTTTATTGAAATGTGTACTACTCGCGTAAGCTGTAGACAGTATGTAAAACATGTATACAGTTTCGTGTTAAAACACGCTGTTTTTAATCTAATCATTTACAGGTGAAAATTGTTCGTTACAAATTTTAAAATTCGAACGCGTTTCATAATAGTTGTGAGCGGTTGTGGTGCCGTGACATGCCGCCTCAACGACCGTGCCATGAAAGGGCCACACGGGAAATCATCATGTATGTCCAACACAAAGGGGACATACGTACCTCTCCCCAGTACTGTACGGGGACAGGTATATATGCTGTTACACTAAACGTTTAAACTTTTCGCACCTTTTGAGGTACGCATTTGAAACACAAAACAACTATTGTAAAGTACTCTTGAAAACCTAATTAATTTTCACATGTTATTGCACATACATAGTTTATAAAATGAAAATCCACAATATATTTGAAAAAAAAATTACAACTCGGTTTGTTGTTCTAACCAATTGAGTTGAATTTGTTCAACCTATTGATAAGAGTCTTGCCCGTGTAGTTTTTTTTTATAATTTATAAGTACGTTCCTACGTACAAGATGTGTTGTGCAATGTCTTCGTACTTTCGTAATAATAATTGTATAATTTTTCCCAAACATGCTAAACTCCCTTTGGAATTCCGGAAATGAAAGGGGGGGTAGGAAAATCAGAATTCCGTCCACCAATGAAAAAGCCGTGAAGTTTAATCGCGTTTCGTTTCACGTTGTGGATTTACGAATATCCAAAACCAAAGAAGTCGCGCATCGTGTTACATTTTACATGACTGACGTAATACCGCCTTTTATTTATAGGTCATAGGTTTTTTTAATATAAATTATTGATGTTGTGTTAATAATTCATTGAGTTTATTAAAAAAAACCTCGGCAGATATCCAGCTACCACTACCAAAGAAATGGAGAAATTTTAGTTCGTTTATTACAAATTTGTAAATTCTACGACTTGGCTATGATCGTGTGTATGTGAGATTAGAACCCAAGACTTCGCGCACTAAATGCAATGGTAGGCGACAAAGCAAGTAATTCTGTTACTTTTTAAAATTTGTACCACATATAATTAAATACACTAATTGGGTAATAAGTACCAAACATTTTTTTAATAAGTTATATTTGAAAACAAATTATAAAATATTATATTTACGAGACACTCTGGAAACAAGGAGAAATGAGTTTCTGGCATTAATGGCAGTCCTTTGTCAATTAACCTTTTCCTGGGCATGGCTCTTCATTGATGGTTCCCGAGATTGCCAATTATTATCTATTCCGATAAAGATAATAAACATTAAACTCCTTGAAGTATATGAATTATGGACGTGTATAAAAGCTTCTGAGCGTAAATCCAAAATGAAATAGGTGGCTGAATTCTTTGTCTAGTATTATTCGGTGTTTGACGTTAGGAATTTTATTTATTAACTTGTTAATATCGCTCGGTACAGACACTTTATCGCCAGATGAAGTAAAAATATATATAGGTACAGATATGTCATTTAATTTGTAACCAGGTGGTTTTTGTGAGCCGTATATCCGAACATTCTCTTCTCCATAGTCAAATTTCCTAAAGAGCCCGCTTCTCATCATTTGATAATAGTGAATTAGATTTTTTTCTGATCCTCGAGAATCTCCGTCAAATAGTTCATCAGACGGATAATTAAAGTCAAAAGAATCATATACTCCATATTTAAGACACAAAATTGGGTTTGAAGCTAAAATGTCGTTCGCACCACAATATTTCTCAATAACTTCTTTATAATGACTAGCGTTTATTAATAATTCATCATTTGTAAAATTGTTAGTTAAAGGTAATTTATAATACAAATCGGCGAAATCTTTTAAAATTCCTGTCGTATAAGACATAAAGATAAGTGGTGCGAAGATAATTGCACAACTTATCATTTTATTGTACTGAGGCAATGAAGAAAGCAGAACAAACAATGCAGTACCACTCATAGAGTAACCGATATAAACAATTTTAGATTCTTCTCCTGCTCTATCATATACATAGTCCAAAGTCGCTGATAGATCGTACAAACCAATTTCGTGCCATGTAAAATCCCAAAATTCGGACGAATTTAATCCTACACTTACATGTCTCTTAGAAAACACATTGCCTCTCGAATTCGCTAACCAAACATCAAATCCATTTTCTAATAGTAAAAATGGTAACGAATTTTCAGGTCCCAACAGCATCCAGTCCAAAGAACTGCCAAAAAGACCGTGATTCAACAACACCGTTGACTTTGTAACACCAAATGCGTTGGGCATTTCTGTTGTCAATTTATGTATTGTGAGCCGATATCCATCAAGGGTTAAGACCGTGTGGGATTCTATGTAATAGCCATAAGGTGTTATTGATAATTTAAGAGCTTTTGTTTTATCATCATCTGTAAGTTTGCTTGTGCTAGTGTATCTATTGGCTGGTTGAACTACTTCATCAATAAATTCAAAAAATGCTTTTTTGATTTGTCGCCTCTTTGCTTCAATTGGGGGAATAGTCTTATTGAAAAATTCCTTAATTTTTTTCACAGTCCAACTATTATCCAATGTAGTCTTCACATTTTTGCACAGATTACCAGCAAAGTTCTTAACTGCCCGTTGGACTGAGGTACTCGTGTCAGATACTTGTAACCAAATAGATATAACGATAAAAGATAATAGTATCTTCATGACTCTATATCGCTAACTGACGAACATATCTTGAAGCCTTTAGATTTATACCACGAGTAAGAATAACTTTTATTAACATTATATTATATATATAGGTATTGAGCTCGTGTTATAGATTCATAGGAATAATTGAATAACATTTCTCTGATTTTATAACTATATAATCCAAGCGCGGATGTGTATAAAATTTTTAGACTTATAATAATACTAGCTGTGCCCGCGACTTCGTCCGCGTGACTTGGGGTAGAATTTCTTAAAGAAGAAAGTTTCATTTAGCTACAAAAACCATATAATTAAACTTTCATCCTCTTTTTCAACCCTTTTTTGGCATTAAAGTAGCCTATGTCCTTTCTCAGGCTCTAAAATATCTGTTTACCAAATTTTATTTACATCAATTCAGTAGTTTCGGAGTTAAAGCCGGACAGACATACAGAGTTACTTTCGCATTTATAATATTAGTATAGATTTTACTTGATCGATACAAAAACATTAAACTCCCATGAATTTACGTGAAACACACAAAGTTCGATTTATTTAAAATAAATTTAATTAAATCTTTGATTTTAATTTTATTTTGATTGACGTTATAAGTTTTATTCAACTACCCTAATATAAAAGTGAAAACCTCAAGGATTTGTGTTATTTGCATTAAAATACGGCGGGTACGTGATTCTATGAGCGGGGAAATTAAAAACTTTTTGGATAAACAATGTGGCTTGGTTAATGTGCCCAGACGGGAATAAAGACCGATTTGTTTTGCAAATTAGCTCGGATTTTTATTGTTGATTTTTTCCTAACCGTCTACGGTTTTCTATCAGCGTCTCCTTATTTTTATTTAAATCAAAGTACTTTAGGTGTAAGCATTTGCTATGTGTTTTTATCTATACTAATATATATAGCTATAGTTTGTTTATTTGAACGCGCTAATCTCAGGAACTACTTAATTGGAATGGATGTTTTTTGTGTTGTTTAGAACATCTATCAATGAAGGTTGTATGCTATAAATCATCGCGCTGCGACTACTAGGAGCGGAGAAGCAGCAGGAAATTGGGTTAAAACGAGGAGAATTATTAATTTTCGTGGGTTTCTGGTGCAAACGTCAAAAGGTTCAAGATATCAAAAAAAAATATAGAAAAGAATGAATTATTCATTTTCAAATAAGCTTAACTAATATATCGCGTTTTAAACCGTTAAAGTGTTTTATTTAAACCTTTGCGACTAATTCAACATATCGCTTTGTATTTAATAATTAGATTGTTATGAAAAAACTACCAGTGAAACAGATACAAAAATGTATTTTCCCCACATTTTAGACATAAGTACTTAATTTTCAATGTTGCTTCCTCATTATGAATTAGAATAATGAGTCTTTGTTTGCCCTTCGTTCACGCCCTAACGAAGCGACCATTCCACTTGATTTTTGGCAAACGTTAGATGAGAGGATAAAATAATATAAGCACACCACTTCTGAAAACATTTAGGGGAACATCCCTTTATTTACGGCCATTTCCTGTGTCTTCTATGCTTTCAAAATTACTTATTATATTATACTACGTTACTGATAACGTCAGTTTACATTTTTTGATAGCCAGCTAACAAGTTTATAGTCTTCACTACGTGTCAAGTTGAAGACGGGACTTCCCACATCCTCCAAGAGTTTTACTAGAAAATTATCTTCGCTACTTGAGTGAACATACGCATCGAAAGTTTTCTCATCTGTCGAAATTACTAATAAAAACAAGGACGTTTCCTACAATTACTAACTGATCTTCAATTAAAGTTTGTTGCTTATATAAACAAGGATTAGATAGTGTTGCTTTTATAAGCTACATCGCAAATGTGAAATTTAATGAAATGGAAATTGCTTTAGAAAAATCTAAAAGCCGATTTTACGTACGGAAAATACTTCGAAAAATTTTTGATATTCATTCACACGGCAGTGATGTGCTGTCGTATATTTGTATATTCTATTTTTATACGCTTTAACAAATAAAGGTTATGTTAGTCGTGTTAGTCAATAAAATGTGTGAATTTGATTGCTCGAAATATAAATATTTACTTTACTATTGAAAGGAATGTTTCACGCAATATCCCCTACTATTTTTAACTAAGTATGCGAGTTAAAGGAGTTTTTTAATGATGTAAAGGTTATTAAGTATCTAATAAAGATTAAATCAAAAACAAATTTAAAATCAAACGTACAGGTCTGTGAATAAAACGTTTTTATTTAATTTATCCAACTATAGACGCAGAATTAAAATATTACACCTCATTTACTTTCGTTGCATTATACTGTAGGCCAGTTGTTAAAAAATCGACAACTTTCCCAAAAACCAATTCAGTCGCACGCTGTCCCCATACGAAATCTGTATGATTTAGCTCTTTGTCGTGTATCACATAATGGTCGATTGGTTTCTGGATACTGAAGTATAATCTCAATACATCATTAACAGTTGATAGAGTATCGTCACTAGACGATATTAAAGCAATGGGCACTGTTACATTTGTCAATGAATATTCTTCAGCATCACCATCATACACATGGAATTTACCGCTCTTTATCAACTGCGCATAGTGAAGTATAGTCTGCGTCGAGCCACCAGCAGGCAGATGAAACAAAAGCCTCGCGAGAAAACTTCTATCAAACGTCTCGCTATGAGCGGGAATCGATCCAGCGAAGAAAAATAAGGGATTGCAACAGAATATTTCGGGGCCTTGACAATATTTATTGGCTATCCAAAAAGGTACTCTCCTCTTCGGCATAAATTCTCCATTGCCCAATAGTTTAAGGAGGTGAACAGGAGGGTTATAAGCCATCGATTTGAGTATGCGTAGAGGGCCGTCCGTGTTTGACAGATACGCCAGAGGGGCTAGAAATACAGCCAATTTAAAACTGCTGTTGTAGTGGGGAAATAACGATAATAAAACTAGGAAAGCCGTCGCTCCCATAGAATGACCAATATAGTTAATCGGTGCACTATTGTTCCTTACAATTTTCATATATTCAACAACAGCCGGTAAGTCATAAGATCCGATTTCATGAAAGGAAAACTTCCAAAACTCGGTGCTGTCTACCTTCCTCGACTTATGACTTCGAGAGTAATAATTACCTCGTGCGTTAGCCATCCAGACATCGTATCCAAGATTGGATAAAATATATGGTAGAGAATCATCTGGACCCAGTAGGATCCAGTCAGCCGAGCTGCCCAACAGACCGTGATGCAGCAGTACCGTTTCGTTGGTGCAAAACTGTCTGCCACTGTTCTTCCAACACGATGAAACGAGTCGATGGAGAGTGAGAAAATATCCGTCTTTGGTGAGGACTACGTGGGACTCCATACGTTTCCCGTGTAGAGTGGCCAGTTGCGGCGTAGACATTAAAGCCGTCGGGTCAGATTTCAAAGTTAAATATTCAGGGGACTCCGTTTCACTCTCAGCCGCCATTTCCTCGACGAAATCGCTGAACGCTTTTCTGGTCCGCGATTTTATATAATTAGTCACTGGAGAGGCGAGTTCTTTATCCTGAATCGGATCTGGTGAAAAGAAATTCTTCATTTTGATTCGAAAAGATTTGAACGCAGATTTTATTGAATACGTGAATTGATTCATTTTATCTGTGAGCACATCGAAGACTGCATAAGAATTAACGCAACGGCTGTGATATAGAAGTGATAGGGCAAACACCAATAGAACCTTCATGTTGCTTCGTTCGTTACGACGCCGTGACTGACACTGAAGATCGTTACAGTATGTGACATAATATTAATATGGTGACGTAAGCTTTGTAAACATCAATTGTTTCTAATATAATTACACATTGAAGACTACGGGTGCAAGAGTTGTTTAATAAACTGACAAAGTATTACTTAGCGTTAGATTTAATGATAATATTTTTTTTATTATAACGAGGCTCAGTTGTTTTATTTAGGACGAGGTATATTTTGAAATATAGCCTGTTTGTTATCTTCTGGCACTTATAAAGGTATAAATATGTAATCAGTATGATTTGTTTTTTTTTTTTCAGATTTTTATTTACGTATGCAGCCGATTTTTTAATTTGAGCAATATCATAGTATACTGATGTAGTTATAGATTCGATTCTGGCCTTGTATTGTAAAATATTAATTTTCATGAATAACTAACTTTACTCTGCAACGCTTCGCTTTGGCACATTGTTATCGATTGGTTAAAGGATAAGGTATAATCAAAAAAAAGAATCATATAAGTTTAATTTTGCGTACGTTAACATGAAAACTGTTTGTACGGTTGGCCGACTTGGGAACACGCAACACAGATGTCCATGTGAAAAGCAACCAGTGACCGCGCCATCTGCCGGAAGCGAGGAAAACACACGAAAACAAACCGCAATAGTAATGGCGCTGGAACACAGCTGTTCGAAAAAAACTGTTTTTCGCGATCGCGGATATAATATTACTAACGTAAAATAGGTAAAAACGATCGTAATGCCGATTGTAATCATGCAAAAATTTCAGATCGATTGATTAAGTTTTTGAACCGTACATAAACCAACGTAACGTTAATATTTTATGGCACATAAATTAATAATCGATTATAAATTGAAAAAAAATATATCGATTATTAATTTAAAAAAAGAATAACACAGAACGCTGTGGATCCCGGCTCTAGTCCTGCCCATCATGAGTCATAAATTTCAGTTCAATCTTTTTTTTTAATAAACATAATTATATAAACTCACGATAATTAGCTCTCGTTTGCATCGATATACATAAGCGACTGCTAATAAGTTCTCAATGTTTGAAAACACTAAATGTCAAAAATTATTACGATCATGCGTATAGGAAATGTCGTTATTTACATCAAGTCTTCCACACCTTTGCAGTTCGGGAAAGTTTCTTAACGTAAACAATTTAAATCTAATGCAAAATGCAGACGGAGGTGAGTATACCTTGTACACACTCTCACTTTGCGATACCATTAAAAATTCACAACGAAAACGAACGAAGGAGATACCGTTTCGCAGTCCTAATTATATACACAACGATTATTGCTGTCTGTTGTTCTTACAATAGATACACTGTTCCTACATTAGCTTCAGTGTCTAAATTTTCTATGGAAAATCTAAAATTTTGTGAAATAATCTTTTATTACTTTTTTCATTATAATCAATATAAACAACGCTACATCATTTGTGCTTTTTGAATTAATATTTTTTGTTTTGAGTATGAATTAAAGAATATATTTATGTGAAGTTAAATGAGCTATAACATAAGACACAGTTCGTACACTCTCAGGATTCTGGCTTTGGCGAAAATTTTAAGGAACTTTCCGTCAAATTCTATTTCAGAAAAACAAATGATGCTCTCGACATACATCATAACTAAGACAAGACACGTAATGGTCAATACATTTTGATGAATTCCTAGAAACTACTTAAAAATTTGACCGCCTCTGTAGCCAAATGGTTAAACGTATTGTATTACGCGCGAGAGGTCCTGGCTTCGAATCCCAGGGAAACAAACAATTGTTTCGGTCGGGCAGTGCACAGAAGTCTGATCAACTACTTGCTTGTTAAAAGGGGCACAGAAATGTGTTCGCCCTATGCCCCACGAGAAAACTTACAAATCTGAAATTGAGCAAAATCTTGAAAGATTTCGTTTGCACAAGCACCAAATCCGTACACAGTTCGATGACTTTAACGCCCGTTTCTATCATAGAAGTAGTATTCGATGTTCTCTATTCATAGTACAATGGTTTCATCAAACCTGATGTACTCCAAAGCGCCTTAGTCTAAAAGCATACGTTAATCCGTTGCTAGCATAAAGTTCGTAGCAGAATAATACACCAATAACACTCCACGTATTGAGTTTGGTAGCAAGAGAAATTGGGCGGATTTACCTACGAACGCTGCTCATGCAAAATGCAGCACCGCACCTTTCCCCTCCTATTTCACTCCCTATTTTACCCCCCATTTATAAATGATTCTGGCTCAATTCCGACGCCCACCCACCGCTATATTGTTTGACTTGTTGACCGCGGCACTGGTCTGTTTATTTGTTCTTTGTTCTTTTTTTAAATCCGTACTTACTTATTTTGTAAAGATAAACTATTTGTTTGGGAGCGCTAATTTCAGGAACTACTAGCCTAGTCAATGTTGTTAATATTTACGTAAATCATGTGAGATTACTATAAAAAAAGACATTCTTTCCAGTGACTCGAAATAGGATTACAGCGTACCATTGCCCTATATCATGGTATTTTTTTTTATTGAAATGAAAAATTCATTTAGTTGCTTTATATATGTATATATATTTTATGTTATTATAGTTTAAAACTGATAAGCGTGGGGCTCACTCGATGGAGGATGAAATACGCCAGCCATATAATTCTTTTTTAACTTTCCAGACGAAGTCCAAAATTATTAGAAAGATTCCAAATAGATTATAAAAATGTGGGACCCGATTGGGGATCGAATCCAGTTCCCCAACCCCATTCATTATTAGCTATACACTGCTACCATTTGACCCATGAGTCAAAAATGTTTTATTAGACGGTCTCTCTGTTAAAAACTGTAGGATGTAAGTTATTTTTTGAGTAATTGTCGTGAACCCGAGGACTCTCGCAATTTTTCGCATCGCTTTTAACGATAGTGACATAGATCATGTCCATGTAGTTTTTGTATATAATTAACACGACTGTTTTAAGCATTTGCAATTTGTGGAAGTAAAGGCATCTCTTGAGTCTGCCTAGCCCTGCTGCAGCGCGTCAGGAAAACATCGCCTTACATAGATGGTTCATACTTCAGGGTTGAACCACAAAAACTTAAGATGCCATAGACGTAGTTTGTGACGCGCGCAGATTCTTAACTCTCGTACTCAAACTATTTCATGGACACCTTTTTACCACAGCTATATATAGTCTATCAGATGGCCATGCAAATGATATCACGTGACCTTAAGATCCAATTGATTTGCATATTCTGTATCACTGCATGCTCATGACAACCGTCATTGTCAACCGCATGTTGGCGGCAGTGTCATATAAGAAACAGAGTCTATTAGTGCATACTCTTTAATGTTTGAGTCCCAATACAACTTCTTTAAACAGATATAAAACCAACAAAAGGAACTAATACCCCATGAATAGTTTGAAATACGACATATGTATTACTTAACTTATTTACAATATTTCAATTACGACCGAATGTTTCAGATGCTGTGCAGCAGCCATGGTCATGGGGAGACTAAAGAAGCATCTGATCTAACCCAGTCCTCAATCTCAACCGACGCCATCTGTTTCGACATACGTCGGAAAAATAAATTGTAAATCGTTTATGTACATTTCGCGTTTTAAACCGTCATAAGTGTTTCGACGTGTGAGCACTACACCCGTGAACTACAGACAGTTCTCAAACAAAAGTATGTATGAATGTTCATTTTTAATTTACACAATTATTACTGAACTAATTTTGATGAAACTTGACAATGATAAAGAAAAAATAATAAAGATATAGATTATAAGTCTATTATATAAAGCTGTTGAAATCGCAGGGCAAGTATAGTCGCCTACACAATGTCATTATTTTCCATCTAAGCCTTGCTCATAGATATTCTAAGAATTTATTGCTTTATTATTAGCTTGCTGTACAGTCTGGGGTATAAGTGGCTTTTGCATATTTTCAAGAAATACGTAATGAAAATTCCAAGCTATTACCTACAATTGCCCTTTGTTATTATATAAATATGGCGTATTGCGGGAAGTTGTTTTAATTTTAAATTTATTAGTCTTTATATATACTTATTTTTATACCAATAAATAAAAAAAATACTCATTGCGGATACAAAATCTTTAATTCATTGCAATTTTTTCACTGGCATCCGAATGTGAAGAAACAAACCCGATCCGAGATTTCGTGAATTTGAACAATGTCAACATGATCAACGGGTACATACAAACAGAGAGAAAAGACTAATTTCTAAATGATTGGCATGATGTAACGTTTGAAAGCTTTAATATTTTTAACATACTATTTCACACGATGGCACTATATGAATTAAAATCGATAATAAATTGAAAAAAATTACGACTCGGACTTGAACCGGTATTCTCAGCGTTCCGTGCTGTTGCTCTAACCAATTGAGCCACAGAGTCACATATAATCTTATAAATATAGTCAATTGGTTAGAGAATAGATCTACAGAACTACTACAACATCACAAGAGGTTTTACGAAACCAATAACGCCATTTAGTTTTCCTTCCTTACCTCTTCTAACGGGTGTAATAAATAAAAATATAAACTCTCATAAAATCTTTGAACATGTGGATATCTCTTCTTCCCTTTGTATAATACCGTGTTATTAGATAAAGTGTCAAAGGATTTGAAAACAATGAAAAATTCAATGAACAACGGGGAAAATATTGTGCGATGTAACATTTTCGCAGTAATGTAATAAAAGACTCAGCTACGGTCTTTTATATGCCATATTATTTATAATATTAGCTTTGTAAACAGGTTATTTTTATAGTCAAAATCAAAGTCAAAGTTAAAGTCAAAGTGACAAATCATTAATGGGTACACTTATGAACGTCCTAAAACCATTTCTTACCAGTTCTCAAATCAAGGGTGTATAACGAATGAGAAGAATTGGCAATAAACTAGCCGTCACTCCTTTTTTGTAAATATAGTCATAGTTTAAGTATGACAATTCTCGACATAAATATAATTATTTTACATGACTGCCGGGGATTCAAACTCCTAGCCTAATATTGTAGGATGGAAAAACAGTGGTTTTTGTGTTTGTTTATACAAGTTTAGTGTCTAAAATACTATTTACATCGAGATGTCAGTTGAGTGTTAAATATTATCTTTACTACTATTATAAAGTTAAAGACATTGTTTGTCTGTTGCCCATTTGTCACACTTTCCACTGTGAAAATGTAAAAAATCACCCTTGAGGGCTTCCGTTGCGTGCGATGCGTAAACGGCTCAGGAAACCAATTTTTAAGCTTAACTCTCAATAACCGTTTTTATGGTAAATTAATATTGACGAAATGCAATAGCCAATTGTTTGCAAGTTTTGTATCAACATAGTGTTATAAACAGTATCAAACAGCAAACAACAAAACAACGTTTGCCGGATCAGCTAGTATTTAATATAAATAAATATATTCTAGATCTAGATTCCTTTATATATTGTTTCATTCTTACCTACTTAATTTAAACTAGCGGTTAAAATATTTCAATTACTCAAGAAACCTTTCGCTACCGAACACAACTCCACTTCAAAACAAAGGAGACATTTTTAACATTTCAATGTTAATCTTTAAAAGCTCTCAAAGAAGTGATGAATAATGAAACTCATGATTCCAAAATAAAATATCACGGATATAAAGGGAGGTGGTCCGTAAAATTTGCCTTACGCTAATTAAATTAAATTCTCAAAGGTGTCGTTTTAATTAAATCCGGCGCTGTAGGGAAGCAATTAATTGATATCTTTAAGGGAAAGAATGGCGATGTGGAGAAAAATAATAACATGTAGAATTAAAATGAAACACTAAAACACGATATATTTCAAATACCGTCTATAGTTTACGCGAGTAGTACACATTTAAATAAAACACTTTAACGGTTTAAAACGCGATATATTAGTTAAACTGACCAGTCTCCGTGACCACGGCTGCTGCAATGCATCCGAAACGTCGGGCCGAAGTTAAAAATCATTTTCAAATCAGTTTAACTAATATATCGCGTTTTAAACCGTTAAAGTGTATTATTTAAATGTGTACTACTCGCGTAAACTATAGACGGTATTTGAAATATATCGCGTTTTAGTGTTTCATTTTAATTCTACATGTTATTATTTTTCTCCCATAACACACGTAAACTATAGACAGTATTTCATGTTTGACGTTCCAGATTAGTTGCAGCATTTTTTAGTTTTATATCGTTATGTAGATTTTTATCTGTGCGGGTTCCCTCAAATAACCTTAAATATAGATTAAAAACTGAAAACAAACATCGACTCGGACAGCACTTGATTACCCTCGAGGGAGTCGGTAGCTCAAATACTTAGAGCAACAGCACGGAACGCTGACGATGCCGGTTCAAGTCCTGCCCTCCTCGAAAATGTTTTTCAATTTATTTTGGATTCATCTATACTAATATATAAAGCTGAAAAGTATTTTTGTTTGAACGCGCTAATCTCAGGAACTACGGAGTCGAATTGAAAAATTATTTTTGTGTTGGTTAGAGCATTTATCGAGGACGGCTATAGGTTACTAGAAGCGAAGATACAGCGGGAAATGTGGATTTTAGGTGCGTATGATATGAAAACGATTCAAGACACCCAAAAAATACGTATAGAGTAATCTTCTTTAAATAATCTGAAATGAAAATGTTCGCGACGGGACCCGAACGACGGGACGCGACCGATGTCGCGGGCAGCTTAAATTTATATAGATCTAGAGATTTGCAAAAACAAATTCGGATGCCCAAAATAACTATTCTACGCGACGAAGTCGCCGACACAGCTAGCATCTATATCATGCAATGCAATTACATGCAAAAATATAAAAGTTTTCAAACCTCAAATATGATACGAAATATCCGTATTTAAATTGCTTAAACAAGTGAAAAACAATACAAGTTGTTTAAATTTATAATCAGCAGTCTCATTCCGTTTTCAATCAAACTTCCAAGCGCGGACCAACTACGAAAGTAGCTGCATTTAAATAGCGGAACAAAATGTGATACATAAACTATCCAAATTTTTGACAGTATTGTATACCGTTGTTATTATATGCAAAGGCAACATCATATAGACATAATTACGTATTATTGAATTTAATTATTCAAGTCAATTTCCCAAAATTAAAAAAAATGCAACGTAAGGTGGCTAAGCTTTTGCGTTTAGCGATAAGTATACGGCAATTTTATGTGGATAAGGCACAGATTTATGTAAAATAACGACTTGCCTTCAAAAAGGAAGATAAATGTATTGGAAGCAATGCGTTATATTGAAAAAACTTTAATTGACATTATTAAGTAGCTTTAATACATTTAAATACACTTTAACGGTTTAAAACGCGATATATTAGTGTATTTTCCAGCCCGTACAGGTTAATTAAATATTGTCTATAGTTTACGCGAGTACTACACATTTAATTTAAAGTGTTTTATTTAAATGTGTTCTACTCGCGTAAACTATAGATAGGTTTAATACAGTCTAAAAATATAAAAATAAAGTTTATGACCAAATTCTCCATGCTACAGATAACCGTAAAAGTGCAAAAGCGATATGAAATAAAAAATATATACCATTGCAGCTCGTTATTTCCTTTACATCATTTAAATAATGCCATCCCTTCAAGACTAAATTAATTATTCGTAGAAAAGGCAACTTTTATATGACAATCAACCCTTTTAAAAATTACTGTCACTCTGTTTTCTATTGTCAGGTTACGGAATGAAAAATTACATTTGAATCTATCAAATACCTATTCATTTTTGTTCTTTTGTATTCTTATAAAATAATGGCCAACAGTCATTATAGTTATATTATATGACTGGAATATAAATAATGAATACAAAACACTGTAAATAAAACAAATCCCCGAGCAACAAAATATCTAAAGATTGAAGAAGTTTTGGAAACGGGAACACAAAATTATCCATAGGTTTTCTGCCTGTCGACGGGGATTCGTAATTGGGACGTAATTTCGATATTAATACTACTATCTTTATGTCCAGATGTCGGGCCTTAAAAATAATAAATCTAAATAAGCAGAGAAATAACACCAGGTCATTTGACAATTGACAGTACATGATACTGTCATTTGACAATTGACAGTATATGATACTGTCAATTGTCAAACTTTTAACCCAATTAGAAAAAAAATAGAGTAAAAATATGTTCGATTAATATTGGTGTATTTTGTAAATTCAGTCTATGGTAATGCGTATATCAAAACATTAGATAACGCATAAAAACACCGAGTCATCTCCGTACGTGAATTTTATTACATTTTTCTGTACCGGGATTAATAGAAAACCAAACAAATTACATCGTCCGTGCAGCGCTGGGGTGAATATTAAAAATGATACTAAGTACAGACCCGTTCGCTGCAGGGCAGTATCCGTATAATTGGATCGACACGACAGACGAAATTAGTTAGTGAAATATGCATAACGTTATAAAGCTTTCTTCGACTTATTATTAGCGACGCTTAATTATTCAAAGGGCTTAAGATTAAAGGAAGGGTCTTAACTCACACTAATATTATAAATGCAATGATTCCCTTTGTTGCTTGTTTCTTTAGGTAAATTGTTGCTTTTAAACGCTTTAAGAATTTCCTTTCTTATTTGATAAACAAGTTTCAAATATAAGCATCGATTGTTTTTTGCTATATTACACAAATAAACATGTATTTTTTAAATTGAAAGTGAAATAATAATAGTTTAGACGATATTTAGCTAAAATCTAGCTAGATTTTAGCTAAATATCGTCTATAGATTAAGCGATTAGTATAAAACATGTTTAACGGTTCAAATATAAAAAGCCGAAAATGAATTTGTACCATTATTTGCGTAAGAATTATTTTAACAATTTTCGGTCACTCGCTCTTGTAGATTAACATTTTTTGGGCAAATGCGGTTAGCCGCCTCAATATTAGATATATTGAAAAGTATTTGATTATTCTAAGTAATATCATTTTACTGTTAGTTAAAACTTTTCGCATTTTAAACGAGTGCATTTAATTATTGAAATTAAATAAGACAGAATTTATTATACGATCCAAAACGAAGTTGTATGGTTCATATATCTGTATCTTATAGACTCACCCCCCCAACCCCCGACTACGCACCACGAAATGGCGTACTCATAAAAAATTAAAGGTAAGAACAAACTATTGACCCGTTTTGCTCGCTACAGCGCTCCTATTGGTCAACAGACAGATACAATTACAGTCTATTGTAAATACGAGTTTCCGCTGAGTTCTAAGCTTCTCTTTTATACATTTGAACTATATTATTTGTGTTCATTTATCGGTTTATTAGGTACTTTTAAATCGAGTATTAGAAGTAAGTATTTTATTTTACGTATATACTGCAATACAATAATATACTACAATGAGTTCTGAAGTCCATAGAATCTTCTTTAATCCACGCGTTCGACTCTTTAGTAAATTTTTAAATTCAACCTATAAGAAAAAAGAGAAACAATATAAAACTTTTTGGTTCCAAAAATAAAAAATGACAATCACAATGACACTATATTTTAACAATTGTATATCAGCTACGAAACGTAGAAATTAAAAAGCTATCAGCATGGCCTCTTTTCAATCGTTTATCGGTTACATTTCCGTCTCAAATCGATGTGAAATACTGAACAAGATTGCTAAAAGGTTTAAGTCGAAAGGGATATTAAAAGAAAAGCCGGATACCGACAACTCCAGATTTAAAAGTGTTGAAAGGTCTGTTAAATATGTTGGTGCAAACATCAAAGACAATAAAAATAGTTCAAAAAAGTTTCCCAAAGCTGGTGCATGTGTTCATCTTAATATACCTATATCTACATATTGCACGGATACTAAAAAGAAAGAGACCGCACCGAGCGGTAAACCGCCAAAATCATCGGCAGGTGGGGCTAAGGGCAAAATTATTGCTGTCATCGGTGCCGTGGTAGATGTGCAGTTTGATAAAGATTTACCACCGATTTTGAACGCACTTGAAGTTCCAGGCCGAACACCGCGTTTGATTCTTGAAGTAGCGCAACATCTGGGTGAAAGCACATGCCGTACTATAGCCATGGACGGAACTGAGGGTCTCGTGCGAGGCCAACCTATAGTTGACACTGGGGCGCCAATTACAATTCCTGTCGGTGAGCCAACACTTGGTAGAATCATTAATGTCATTGGAGAACCAATTGATGAACGTGGACCAATCGCAACAGATAAGTTTGCTCCCATTCACGCAGATGCACCGCCATTCGTTGAAATGTCAGTTGATCAAGAAATTCTTGTAACAGGCATCAAAGTCGTGGATTTATTAGCTCCATACGTCAAGGGCGGTAAGATTGGTCTTTTTGGTGGCGCCGGAGTCGGGAAGACTGTACTAATTATGGAGCTTATTAATAATGTGGCTAAGGCCCATGGTGGGTTCTCCGTATTTGCAGGGGTTGGAGAACGTACAAGGGAGGGTAATGACTTATACAATGAAATGAAAGTGGGTGGTGTTATTAAAGAAGACTATAAGTCATCTAAAGTGGCTTTAGTGTATGGGCAAATGAATGAACCACCAGGTGCAAGAGCTCGCGTAGCTTTAACAGGACTGACTTTAGCTGAACACTTTAGAGACAAGGAAGGCCAGGACGTGCTACTATTTATAGACAACATTTTTCGATTCACTCAAGCTGGCTCCGAAGTATCAGCTTTGCTTGGTCGTATCCCCTCTGCTGTAGGTTACCAGCCAACTTTAGCTACCGATATGGGTACCATGCAAGAACGGATTACGACAACTACCACAGGTTCTATTACAAGTGTACAGGCAGTGTACGTCCCGGCTGATGATTTGACAGATCCAGCTCCGGCCACTACATTTGCTCATTTAGACGCCACTACGGTGCTTTCTCGAGCTATCGCTGAATTGGGTGTGTATCCTGCAGTAGATCCCTTAGATTCTACATCAAGAGTGATGGATCCGAATATAATCGGTGCAGAGCACTATGGAGTAGCGAGAGGTGTTCAGAAAATGCTGCAAGATTATAAGTCATTACAAGATATTATAGCTATCCTGGGAATGGACGAGTTGTCGGAGGATGATAAATTGACAGTTGCTCGTGCTAGAAAGATCCAACGTTTCTTGTCACAGCCGTTCCAAGTCGCCGAGGTGTTTACGGGTCACGTCGGGAAGCTGGTTAAATTGGAGGAAACGATAAAAGGCTTCAAACGAATCCTGGGCGGAGAATTGGATCACATCCCGGAGGCTGCGTTTTATATGGTGGGAACGATTGAAGACGTTGTCGCGAAGTCTCAATCTTTGGCGAAATCCTAAGATATAAAAGAAAAAGTTATAACTAATTCTGATTGTTTTTTTGGTTGGTTAACAAAATATGAATAATATTCAATATATCGAAATGAAACCCCTGTTTTACTGTATTTAACACATTAATAAATGTAGTTTTATTTAATAATAGAGGACAGACAGACACGCATGAGCTTTACTAGATGGTGGGTGTTGTATATAACATCTAAACAAGATACGCCGTCGACTTATTTTGGCATTGGATATTCGTAAATCCACAGACTGGTAACGAAGACGCTTTATTTTATTTATTTCAAAAGTATTTTGTTTTAGAAAAATAGAAATTGGTATAAGTTAGGAACGTGACCCCATCGGGTAGATCTATGGCTACAATTAGACCAATGACCCATTACAAGTATATATATATATTTTAGGGAAAAAGGAAAGGGGGTTGTTTTAAATTTTCACTAATGACCATAATAATTTTGTTGAGTGGTTTTGGAGAAAACCTAAGAGGACAATCGATTTTTTTAGCATCCCCTATGAAATTCAATATGTACAGCATATAAAATAATCCCATATCCTTCCTCGTATACTGTATGTTTTATTTCAATATCTGCTTCTGGTTTTATTAATCTACGTCAAAGGGGTCCGACCCCTGACTTTGCCCTTGTGTACTAAATATAGGAAACGAGACATTTTCTCTTATTAGCCAAAATAATATGACACTTGCTCAACAATTTAAGTAACAAAAAGCAGCTAATAAGTTTTATTTACAAATTATGAGTATATATTTGTAACGATTTGAAGAAGAGAGTACTTTTCGCTTTTATAATAAAAAAATAATGGGAATTGTAATTGATATGTTTACAACAATGTCTCGTAAGTATTTAACGAATAACGATTATTAAGACATTCGTTTCAAATACTATTTGTAGTTTACGACGTGAGAGCGTATTAACAGTCTAGAAGGTCAACATCGGGCCCCCAATTAAAATATGTTGAGCTAATATATATCGGGTTTTAAACCGTTAAAGTGTTTTATTAAAATTTATTTTATTCGTGACCTTGTAGTAATATTTTATTATAGTTTATATTAAATCGATAAGTAAAACCTTTTGATATTCTACGAAAAAAGCTCTACGATACGAAATCAAATAACCATTCGAAGAATTAAAGGGGAGAATGAACAAGCTGGCATATCCGCAGAATATAATGCATTGGATTAGAACTACAAATAGTGTTTGTAGGGGTCGACTTGAAGAATGGAGCTAAGCTATATTTTATTTGTCACAGCTACCGAACAAATGATGTGTGTATTTAATTAAATATTGTGGGCAAGTGCACGTGCGCTTCGATTTCGTGCTTGAGAAGGGATTCCAAATATATTTAGTATTAAATAAAATACGATTGTATTATTTACACTAAAGGATAAAAATCTATAGTTTACGCGAGTAGTAGACATTTAAATGAAGCACTTCAACGGTTTAAATCGCGAATAGCATAAGCGATAAGCATCCAAAACGTATGGGTAGTAGTTAAAATAATGTTTAACTAATAAATATCGAGTTTTTAACCGTTAAAGGGTTTTATTTATATGCTAAAAATTTATTTGGATAAGAAAAATTAACGTCCCATGCTGCAGTTCTAAGCAATTGAGCTACCGCGTCCTAATTGTGTGTTAGTTGGTTAGAGAATGGAATGCGATGAATGCCGGTTCAAGTCCCGACCGTGTCGTTGGTTGTTTTTCAATATATACATATTTTTAAGTTATATAATGTTGAGAAATTAATTGAAAAAATTAACTTTGCCCAATATAAGTTGGTTTGATTATGAATGAAATAAAATAATTAAGATAATTTTAATTATAAAATACGTATGTATTAAATTAATAAGTAGTGTTGGTTTATACAGTAGGTATAATGGAAATATATATTAAAATACGAAGGAGAAGAGGAAGAGGAAATATTTGACCATATAAAATATATATTGAAATATCATGTAAAAATAATTATTTTGTCTCCGCGCATACCAATTATTAATAATAAAATAATTTAGTAGCAATTTTTTTGTAAATATAAGTAAAAAATATAAGACCTCAAAAGTTTACCTATTGTGACGTAATATAAAAAAATCATTTGCGACGAAATCAAAGCCAACGTAACGTCAAACAAGCTTCGAAATGACCGAAATGTGTTTTGAATTGTAAAAAAAACTTTTGATATTTTAATTTGTCTAAATGTCTCTACGTAAGGTAATGAAGGGCGTACCGTTGGATATTTTGCCAGCTGAAGGGTTGCTATACCGTGACGAAGCGTTGACTCCATGCCAACGAGAATGTACAGCCAGACTTGGTATAACACACCAGATTGAACAAGAATCATACTTGTCTCGTCACCCAGAGGTAAATTTTTATATCTTACTAGCTGTGTCAGCGACTTTGTCCGCGTGGAATAGTTATTGTGGACATTTGAGCTGTTACCCACGACATCGGCCGTCGTTTTTACTAGTTAATCTTAAAAGATAGACATATATTGTCAGAGACATTTTTTTAATTGAGAAATTATTCTTCAATACATATTTTTTGTGTAACTTAACTAATCGGAAACCCAGAAATATTTTTAATTTTTCACGTTCATTCCACATTCCGCGCTGTTTTTTCGCTCTTATTAGACACAGTGCAATGTTTTATAGCCTATACACTTCCTCGATAAATGCTCTAAACAACACAAGAATAAATAATTTTTCAATTCGAACCGATAGTTCCTGAGATTACCGCGTTTGAACAAACAAACTCTTCAGCTTTTTATATAAGCTATATAAGCACTCAATTTATAAGGTGCTTATTGACCATATATACCAAGTAGTATTAATTAAAAATCTATTATAAATAAAAAGAAATATGACTTGAGGAGGACTTCAACCGGCATTCAGAGCGTTCCCGTGCTGTTGCACTAACCAATTGAGCTACCGAGTCCTACGCGCCATCGTCGATTTTTTTCAACATATAAATGCACGTCTCGCACAATGTAATTTCAAAAATGAATATCATTATTAGAAGCTTTGTACATGCAAAAGATTTTTTTAAATAATTATTATGTATTTTGGCCCGGGTCATTACTAAACGGACGTTTTGGCGAGCGTCCGCCATGTTTGTGGCTGGACTAAGGGTGCCCCGAGGGGGGCATCTGCCTCGGCTTGGACCACAGGGGAGGGGAGGTTGAGGAACTGAACGGCAGCTCAACAGAGTACAGATTATTCCAGTTCTTGGAAATCATTAACAATCTCTCTTTGAGTGGAGTCTATATTAACAACTACTTGTTAAGATTAAACAGTCAACACTCTATTCCTCGAAACGCCTAATGAATCCGGCTATTATATCATACTTAATTATGTTGGGCACGTTTATAAATCCCTATTATAAAACAAACGAACTTTGTTACACAAATACAGTGTTTGTTACAGCATTTTACATACAATACAGTATTTTACATATACACACACATGTGTGTGTATGTGTAAAATACTGTAGATTTATGGTTAAACATTGCGCGATAGGTGCATGTGTCAATAGATTAAAAAAATTACTATGACGTAGGACACGGTAGCTTAATTGGTTAGAGCGACAGCACTGAACGCTGTGGATGCCGGTTCTAGTAATGTCCGTGTCGTGATTCCGATTTATAATTGATTTAATCATTTATACCGTTAAAATTGTTTAATTTAAAATACCACTTATGTAAACTACAGACTGCCCTCCCACTTTCGTTTTTTGTTATACAGGTCCGCGCTATGCTTGAAATGTTTGTCAGTAAAGTGACAAAAGATAATAAGCGGAAAGGTGTTTTGAAGGAAGCCGCGGAATATTTCAGCAGACCCATCGCGGATCTTGAAGCAGATATAAGAGAACGCCTCGGGATTACTGAGGGAAATTCCTATATACGGGTATCTTGGTTTTTTGTTTTCCCTTGTAACTCAGAAATTATATGTAAGGTAAGTGTGCAATTTGAAAATCGAAAATAAATTGAAAAAATTTTCGACTCGGACAGGAAAGTTTTTCCAATTTATTTTCGATTTTCAAATTATATAGTGCCTTCATGCACAGTAACATGTAAAAATAATAAAGTTTTCAAACTATGCAATTTATCCATTTGGGGTTATAGATTTAAACACTTACTGTTACTGTATTACTAGTATATAGTATTATAAATTAGTATATAGCAGTAGTTAAACATGTATCGAAATCATCAAGGAATAAAAGTCGGTAAAAAAAAAAGTTATTTTTTTAAATTAAGTTAAATTTTGACATAATCATCGTGTTGTACTAGTGTAGCCCTTCCATTTGATACCCATATTGAGGGGTTAAGGAAAATTATGTACATCCGCCATTTTGTATCGGCGACCATCTTGGATTTATAATTTTTTTGATTTTATTATATTCTATTATCATCTAAATTAAATGTGTATACCAAATTTGAGATTAATCTGACAACGGGAAGGTGCTTAAATTTCAATTTCAAATTTTGACCCAAATAAATAAATTCCGTACGTGTCGAGCTAAATAAAACCGTTTAAAAACACATTGTGTCTGTAAAACAGACGCATGTGTTTTAAACGGTTTTATTGTGAAAAATCGTTACTAATTATTCTTAGTTTTTTTTTATTAAAAATCCCGTTTCCATTCGTGGGGCATGGGGCTAACACATTCTTGTGTCCGTTTCACGGATCGTTTTTATTTACAGGCAAGTAGTTGACCGACCTATTGTTTCCCGGGGAATCGAACCCGGAATTCAATGCCAAGCAACACGGCTAACCAATTAGCTACAAAGCAATGAGGGATTAAAAATAGTGTCGCTATTAAAAATCGAACTTATTAAAAAATGATTGAAACGGACTTGATAGCGTGTCTGCCTCGATTCATGAGTGGGACTGCAGTATTTAATGTTTTACTAAGAAAGCAAGTTATTGAAAGATTTACTTTATCGCCCACACAACCTGGAGACCCTAGACGGCTTACAGGGTCTTTGCTTTGCACTTTGTAGATGTAAGGAGAAAATATAAGTCCTTCATTTTCCATGAAAGTTTATTGATTCCAACATCAATGTTACTTGGGACCGCTTTATGTGACTAGAAATTTAAAGTGCTTCAAATCATTTGAAACTTAATATAGTTTTTTTTTCATCATAGAGGACGACAGACGAACATAGAATTCACAAGATCTCCAAAATAGGTCGACATCGCATCTTGTGTAGATGTATTTTGGATTTGGATATCCAGGAATACACAGACTGAAGCCTAAACCTGACTTCACGGTTTTTTCATCTGTGGACGGTGGTCATTTAATTAAATCCATCATTTAATATTAAGATTTCCAGACGAAATCCAACATGTTTCTAAAGAATTTTAATTTGAAAAACATGTTAAAATAATTTTTCAATTAGGTTTAGGATTGCCTACCTATATATTAATATATCGTGTTTAGTTAGTGTTTCATTTAAATATATAAGTATTTTTTAAGACACGACGCTATGGATGCTTTGCTGCAGCCATGGTCTAAGGAACCTAGAATATTTCTGATAAGCTGACATCAAAGTATTACAGATGAATTCAAAAGATGTTGTAATAAAACGGGAAGGTTTACAATGACATAGTGAGAGTTGCATACACCCTGCTTCGTAGGGGAGAATGGGGAATTGCAGAAATCGTCCTACTGCTGATCCCTAATTCCCCAACCTCCACTCTCATGTTAACCGATACGATGTTAAATCAGGGTCTCTAGCATAAACAATGGCTATAAATAACCTTATATATTTCGCATTAAAACCGTTAAAAATGTTTTGTTTAACATGCGAAAAAATAATTAGGTTAGTTCAGTAAGGTCAATCAACTCCATTGTAGTCTTGTTAAAGGTCTTTGTAGAGTTCTGGTCTCCCCAGTCTCTTGTTAAGTACATAAGGAGCTTTATAACTGGCATAGACATCAAACGCTTACTGATTCCTATTATACTCGTGAAGTAGGAATTGCAACAGCCCCAATTAATTTTAACTGCAAAGGTAACTTTACGCTGAACAGTGATAAGTGAAGTCAAGTGGTTTTTCCGCTCCGATGATTTCCAGGTATTTTCGAAATAAGGTTATTGATTTCTACTAATTCGACCGTCTTTCAACTGTGATGTAGCGTTACTGCCAGTTTTACAATTTGAAACTGTGGCATCGTTTTCAATGACAACGTTAACATCGAAAATTACTATTTACTTCGACACGTTCTAAAATTGTTGGTGACGTTAGAGTCAATCCCATTCCGACAGTCCAACACGCAACTTCACAGCAATCACATGCCATCTAATACAACAAAAGGTTTAAGAACGTACCATTGGTTAAAAGTGGGATGGCGAGAAATAACGACTACTACACATCTCCGAACATATATCTTATAATTTTTTTATGATAGAGAAGGACAGACGAACACGTTACACTTGATGCAAGGTGAAATACTCCAGCCATATACCATCTTAACAACACTGTCGACCTATCTTGACTTGGATATTCGAAAATCCACAGACTGAAGCCAAAACGCGAAACATCACGGCCTTTAAACTGTGGACGGTAGTTTGTGACTCATCCGGTATTTTCGATGTTCCTGTCACACATGTAACATCCAGATTCCTAAACTAAGACAAATAAGTTTCAATTTTATTTAATTTATTAACAACGTATTGGACTAGGTTAGATTATTACTAGCGATTTATTGCTACCATTGGACCAGCGAGACTGTCATAGTATGCTCCAAGTCACAGGGGTGGACTCTACACCAGACACAATCCAAATACCGACCAAAATCCGTACATCGCCACGTGCAGTAGAACTAAACCAACGGGATAGTAATTGTTTATGTAGTATTGTTTCATTCCTTTTAGGATGACACTCAGCAATTTAAATTCGAGGATGAGGACCTAGCAGGTGATTTAAAGAAAATAATTAACAGGAATTACCCCGAACCGCTTCATAAGATGCCATCGCCAGTAGCGTCTACTATCAATACAGAGTCGTCGTCTTTTATATCGATTATTACTTCGGACACTACATTGCCCACACCAGGTATGTGTATACGGCTAATAATTATTGTTATATTAATTAGAATAAGTAATAAATCATTTAATCCACACACACACACATAAAATAATGCACAAATCATTGTAATACAGTAAATTATAACAATCCACACCACTCAGCTTTTGTTGTACCTGAAAATAGGCACAACGCCGATTTTCAGTGATGCCCCACGCTTGACATATGATAGATACGCATGATAATAGCGTAAAGTTAAACTTTATCTAATATTCATCGCGTTTTAAACCGTTAGTGTTTTATTTAACGTATGCTATTTAGGCTTTGTACATTCTAATCTAGAAATGGAGAGACTTAACCCAAAATTAGATTGAACTTCACTGCTTTCTATCTGCGGTAGCCTAATGACCCGGACGGAGTTTCGACATTCTTTCAAAATTGGTTTAAAACTTAAAACAACCGTTGATTATTAGTAATATATTGTACCAGACCAACTACCAAAAATAATCTCTGTCTGTTGAACCTCCTTAACTAGAGTGAAGTAGGACTAAAGCCGTACTTGAACTCAGAAATTATGTTTCAAGATTAAATTGTAATGGCTGGAACAAAAAATTCTACTGACTTTTAATAATTAGAATAATCTCGTAATACCTCTCTCTATATTCTTTGTTTCTTTTTTAAAACATCCGAGCGAAGCCTCTTGCAGACTTATCGAACCCTTTTAATCCGATTAAAAAAATCTGTTGCTACGTTTCCTATATTAGGTTATTAAAAATAATACCTTAGTTAGTAAATTAATTTTTAATCCCTAAAGATTATTAACATTCGAAATGAAATTGTTGAGTAGCTAATTGAAATATGGACTTTTTTGTTATAGAAGAGGATAAGCATGAGATTCACATGCTGGAACTTGACTCATGAAAGCCGTTCTGTCTACTATTTTGGCTTTAAAACGAATGAAGCTTCAAAGTTTTATCATTTGTGATGGTTTGCGTGACGGAATTGCATTCCTACATATAGACAATTTTTTTAGAAACTTATTAGAACCGTGGTGGGAACATTGCTACCATTAGACCAACGACCATATTAAAAACTTATAAATAGCTGGTGTATAATTGTGTTTGTGTATGTTTGTAAGTAAAAAAATCTGCTTTTAGAACCAATACCTACACCTGACCCCACGCTATCAGAAACTTTATTCGCCCTCGTCTCCAATACTGTGGATAAGGCAATATTCTTGCACGTCGACGAGCCAGCGCTACGATTTGACACTGCTTACGTTGAACTCAAGAAAGCCGTCGAAGAAGCAATGGAAATACCGGTTATAGAAATAAAAGAAGATATCGCGGAATTGTATTATAATGCGTACAAAATGTTCGAGGTTAACATTTTGGAGAAGGAGCGTATTGGTAAGATTTTTTCTGATAAGAAGGAATCAATGGATCACGTATTTCTGGGTTAGAACCCGGTCCAGAGGGAGCTGCTGGTGTCTTTAGTGGCCTCTGGTTGGATTGGTACGACCAGCTCCAACACAGAAGATAGAAGGCGACATACCATACCATCAGTAAAAAGGCACAGGGCTTCTTGTAACCTGGAGCTCCCATGAAAGCACCATAGCGAGCTGGTGGTGTGTTTTGTGGTCCTGGCCGAATCTCGTCTTAATAGAGTTGGTACTACTAGCTCGACCGCAGAGTGTGTACACTTTACCACGCTCATCATGTCACAACTGCCCGACGTGGGCGTCCATAATGCATACACAGCATCAGGAAAATAGGACCCGGAAGTCCAGCACTTAAACATGATACAGGCTGAAAATTATATAGGCTGAAAATTCTAATATATAAACTTCTCGCTTTTTTTTAAATAATTATCGCTTATATTAACTGTCGTTTACTTTCATTTTCTCTTTCAGCCGCTGAAATCGCCTGGGAGAAAAGGATGCGTAAAAAATTGAAGAGAACACTTAGGCGCCAGGCGAATTTTAAAGGTAGCTATTAATTTTCATGTCAGTGTTATCTGTCATGTTTTATACAGGGGAGACAGGGGACTTAGCGGCGCTCACGGTCATATTTTCATGACAAAGTCGTGATTAAAGAAATTATCTTATACAGAATTGTCCTGTTACTTAGCAAATGCATTTCTGTAAATTTTACCTAAAATACATTATTTGGTAGATACAATTTTTTTTTGGCGAGACCGAGCAATAGACAAATCAAGGAACATCACAATTTACGTTAAGCTTTAAGTGTAAAATCTGGTCGAAAATAATTAATATAAATAAGAAATACTATTGGAACTAAATCCTTTCACCTTTAACTGACCATATAAAAAAAGGATTTAATAAAGATCTGTTTCAGGCTACGAAACGCCCCCAACTCCAAAAAGCGTGCTCTCTTCACACGAAAGTTATAAAAAACCACCACCACGGCCGTGTGTTTGTCATCCAAAGTTTGAATATAATCGCTACCCAAAGGTAACCGGTTTTTATTTATATTTTTAATGATAGAGAAGAATAGAGAATGGGGCTTGACGGAAATACTTCTACCATATAACATCTTACAAAGGTGCGTCTACCTATATCGGTTTTGGACTACTACTCGAAACTTTACCTCTTTATCTGTGGGCTTAGGTTCATGACCCGGAATGTCCAGATTTCCAAATAAAATCCAACATGTTTCAGAAAATTGATTGGAAACATGTTGGGCCCGTTGGGTATCGAATCCACGAACTATTGATTATCAGCCATATTAATAATAAATAAAAAAATATTGCACAAACATAGATATAAGAACATAGAATTATATATACAAAATAAAACATGTTTGTGCAAAGGCGGCCTTATCGCCTATGGCGATTTCTTCCAGGCAACCTTTGCATGTAGAAATTAACGAGTCGAAACTCGTTAAGTGTTGATTCATATTCAAGCATATTTTTAACTAATGCTGTCTTTGTAGGACCAGATATATGTATATACCAATTAATTGCTAGCAGTTGATTTATTTATAATTCTGATTGTAGGATCGCTTTGGTATATACCTACCGCGAGCAACGGGTTTCAGTGACGCAAACGTCACAGTGACACCGGCGATTTCCTTAGAAAGTATTCTAGATGAAAACGTGGACACGACGTCGATTATGAGTAAAAAGTCAGCGGTGTCCGGCAAAAGTACCGTCGGAAGAAAAACTACATTTAAAGAGTGACTTTCGAAGAACACATTAATTATAAATCATCTTAAGATTGGTTTATATAGAACGTTTCGGTAAATAAATGTGAATTTTTAAAAATAAATATAGATTTTTTCTCTGTTTGTTGCAACATATTGGTTTATGGTCACATGAAAGGATTTTATAAATAAAACACTTAACGATTTAAGACGCGTATATTAGTTAAGTCGGATGCTTTGTACCAGCCGTGGCCATGGGGGTAGAGGGGGGGACTCTTTTTTAATTTATTTTAACTACATTCCGACGGTACAGGCATCCACAATAAGTTAACTAATATATTTCGTATAACTCGTACCTACGATACTATAGTTTGTCGAATGTTAAAAAAAAACACTACGTAATACATTAAGCCCGCCATATTCGTCGCCACAAGGACGAATGACGATAATTTATTAAAAAATATAACAATGCAAGCGAAGAAATGAAAATAATAATCTGCTTAGCAAATCGTTTAGGATTTTTCTCTGTCTCGCCTAAGTCCCGTTGTCTGCTATGTAATTATTTTATTTACTCAGATGACAAAGGTTACACTTTAAAGGGTCCAATAAATTACGCCGCCATATTTGATTTCACTGTAGTCTTTTTTATGCATGTTTTGCCCAGGAAAATTGACACTACGCCGTCAAGCGAGGCAAGATATTTTTTTACTTAATACGCAAGTTTAAAGACATTTTGCGCGAGAGGTGCATATGTTAATAAGTAGAAAAAATTCGGCGATGCCGTATGAGACTAGTCTCGGTAGCGCAAGTGGTTAGAGCAAAAAACGCTCACGATGTCGGTTCAAAAGTGACAAAAAAGTGATTAGTACATAAGTAAAGTTAAGTTGAGGGTAGTACATAAATAAAAAACGGTTTGAAACACGAAGCAATTAGCTTTGAAAGCATTGAAAACGTTAAGTCGTAGTTAAAATGAAATTTCGCGTTTTAAGCCGTTAAAACTGGTTATATTTAAAAACTCGACTATGTATCCCACAGCTGGGAAATCTTGAGTCAGCCCTACTTACCTATCTATAGTACAGTTAAGTACCTGTTTGCACACATTCATAGTGAATAAAACGCTTTGATATATTTTCAAGTTTATTAAAATTTAAACTAAATAAGTACTTAGTGCAAACACTAATTAAGATACTAATTATACAGAACAGTGTTTATAAATATTTAGCGTTGTATATTAAAATATGAATTAAATATTAGTATACATTTAGTGCAATCAACTAGACCGTGCAGACAAACCGGAACGGATTTTTGAATCACGCTATAAAATTAATCATTTAATTTTATAATAACAAGTCCCGTAGCATCGACTAGGTACACACATATCGTATTGTAACCTTTAAACATTTTGAGTGAGCAAGTCCACAACGAAAGCGGGACAAATGTTTTTCTAGTATTTGTTAAGCGGGAACCCAACAGAATATCGACACGGAACCCTAAAAAATGTATAACAGAATCGTAGAGTATCTATAATTTAGTGCATAACATATTGAAAGAGACTAGATTTAACATAAAAAAATAATATAGACTAACATTTGCGATTAGGTTTCGGCTTATCGTTTTCCTATTAAAACAAATCTATTGAACAACTCAAGACATTCACAACCAGAAATTGAATAGACCCTACAGTCTAGTGTACACATTTAAATAAAACACTAACGGTTTAAATCGCGATGTATATTAGTTAAACTTCTTTGAAAATAATTTCAACTACGGCCCCGCGACTGCTGCAAAGCATCCGAAACGTCGGGCCGTGGTTGAAATATTTTTTTTAAAAAAGCTTACATAAACATAATGTCTAATATCGTGGTGTGATGTCACACGTCAACCGCCCTAGGGTCCACCTGAAAATTTGTGAAGGCGGCGCGTTTGCCATCGGACCCCACCTTCACCATACGAGTAATCCATGTTCGTAAGTTAAATTCAATTTTAATTTTACTGCTATTTAAAAGATAATATGACTGCAAATAAACAATGTTTTCTTTCTTATAACAAAAAACCAAACGCTATCCCTCAATAAATTATACGTAAGTTACACTCTTAATAGTCACTTTTTATTTTCTTCTTACAAATACCCTCAGGTTTATCGTCCTTCGTATCGCCGTATAATATAGACCGGAAATTAAACGGTTTGAAAGGGTACCCACCTCCCGAGTAAAACTTACTCATGAATTCCACCCTGAAACGTATTGTTTAAATGAATATGATCTCGTATACAGCAATACAAACATACTAAAAAACTAACTGATACCTAACATAATGTGGTTCTTTGCCTTCCTAAAATGATTAGCAGTAACTAAACTTGGATATTTATCGTCGGTCGTTTTTTTGTTTAGTATAATATCTAAGGGCCCATTCATCTAAGCGGTTTACAGTCCAGCTAACCGCAATGGAAGTGCGGTGGTCACATACCACTTTTCATACACATTTTTTTACTAATTCTGCCCGTGACTTCGTCCGCGTGGAATCGTTATTTTTGCCGTCATAATTTATTTTTCATATGAGCTACATACATAGATACATACTGTCGCGGACATTTTATTAGATCGTCAAAGTAATTCTTTTCCACGTTTTTTTTGGGTATATTGACCCTTGTTCGGAGCAACGACAACCCAAAAATGAATAATTTTCCTCGTTTTTTTTTAATTTTGAATGAGGTTATAGCATTTATTTAAAACCCCTTTTGTTTGTAATAGTTAGCACGAGCCTTAATCGCTCTTAGAATGCTATTGTTAAAAATTGTTAATCGCCGAGTTTTTAATTAAAACAGGCGTGTTGCATAAGTATTTACTTCTAAGTGATTCACAAGTAGGTTTAATATTTTCGAGTCAATTATAGCTATAATTAAATTAATATTGTATATTAAATAAAAACGATTATAAATTGACCTACCGAGTTGGCCAGAACAACAGAACAGTACGCTGTGGATGCCGGTTCGAGTCTTGCCCGTGTCGTAAATTTTGTTCAACCTAATTTATTTATTTTTTTAATCGATTTTTATTTTATACAGAGCCATTATGTGCAATTCATGTGAAAAATGTTTAAGTTTCCAAATATTGTATATTTTTTTCTGACTACCTCCGAATATACACAAAAACGACTACACGGGATAGGGTTATGTAAATATTTGTTACTTTAACCACACAATACAAAAAGCTAGAGGTAAAAATGTAACCAAATATATTCCGCGTTTTCAACCGTTAAAGATATTTTATTTAAGGTATTAATAGTTATAAGGCGATTTAAAAAAAAAATGTACACTTGTGTTTTTATACCTACGAAACAAAAAGCAAAACAAGCAGTGGAACTTTAATATGTTACACTGCTTTATGATACACACTTTGATCAACTATTGTTTTAAACGGTTTTAATTAGCTCGACCCGCACAGAAGCTATTTATTTGGGTCAAAATTAGAACTTGAAATTAAGGCACCTTCCCGTTGTCAATTTGATCTAAAATTTGGTACACACATTTAATTTAGATGAAATTACAACATGATAAAATCAATAACATTATAAATTCAAGATGGCCGCCGATTACATATTTTTCCTTAACCCCCTCAATATGGATATCAAACCTACACTAGTAATGACTATGTCACACAATGATTATGTCAAAATTAAATTTTAATAAAACCGTTTAACTTAAAAGTTTTTTACCGATTTTTATTCTTTAGAACACCTACTAACATCTTTATTCCATACAAAAATAAATTATTTCAAATTATAGTTTGACTTCTGAATAACAGGGTTGTTAACTATTTTTGAGAATGTATTTTAAATTATACACCTTACTTAACCCCCAATATTACAAATATATTTTTAAACCTTTAAAAAGTACTATAGTTATGTTTTTAACATGTTCGGAAACATTGTACACCGTGACCTAATTACGTCACGGCTTCTTGAGATCGAGTAAACTGTTTTTAGTATAAGTGTAGTGTAGTGGTAATTTTTTAAAAATATCATTACAACTAGATAAAATTAATGCTAATTACTGCAGTATTCTATATTCCTATAGCAGAAACTATCAATTTGCATTAAAATTATATTTTCGGTTACATTCCTATATAAATACACGATTGATATCGCAAGCGCAAGCTTATTTGACTAACGCCACAACTAGATGGCGCTAGACTCGCCACCCTCTGTACTGAATCGCGCAAGAGGTAATAGCCTCACTTCATTGAATATGCGTTCGTGATTTAAAATTTATCTTTAACAGGGGACTTTAAAGGAATGTGGGTAATGAGGTTTGAATTTTTGGACTGTGTTACAGTACTGTAAAGTACTGAACGCATTATTATAATTAAAGATAGACTAATACTGTACGAAGTGAAGATATGTTTAATTTATCAGAACGACATACAGTATACATTCTAAAATTTTTGTACCGCTTTCTTTTCTTTGATCGCTTTTTGGTTTTAACCCTATGATATAAAATAACTTGATTTTGTATATAATAATAATGTAACTATTTTATAGTTTTTACTTTAACTATTTATTTATTTCATAATATCTCTGACTTGTATGAAAATGTTCATCTTAAGTTCATTAAATTGCTTACTTTTTCACGCTAAGTACTTCTTAATTTTTATTGTACGCATTATTTTTCCGGTAAAATGCTAGTAAAAAAATTAATCAAGAAGTATAATCTTTCAAAACAAAACATACTCAATTCTTAATTGACGTCCTAAGTCCTAAGTGAAGTCTTTAGTTTGACTTGTAGTGCCTTGTGAGAAATTATTTTAGTTAGTTTTTTAGTTTAAGGAGTTGTTGATCAGACTTCTGAGCCGTGCCTCACCGAAACAATTTACTGTTTCTCCGGGACTCGAACCCAGGACCTCTCGCGCAATGCTATGCGCACGTTTAACCATTTAGCTACAGAGGCGGTCAAAATAAACTCTTCAGCTTTATAATTTTTATATAGATTGTAGCTGACTACTGCGGTAAACAGCTTTATGCGTACGAGCCCTAATTTTAAAATTATCACTAACCAGTGCAACCTAAGTGTATGCAAGAACGCCGACAATCCCTCCATGAGTACCAAAATGGATAACGTGAAGACAGCCCAAATTGCGAAAATGAAAAATATCTTTATAGCTCCAATTGGACTTGTATCGCGAAGTGCCAATTTAGCCAAGATCATTTGCCACAGCATTTCGGACAACTCTATAAGTGAAAGTTTTAAATGTAGTAATAGAAATAACCTAAACAAGAGGTTGGGCTAAGTCAATGTGACGTCACGTCGCTTGAGGTGGCCCGTGGGTGCTTAAGTGTCACGGACATGTGTGTTGGGAAAACAGACGGTACCTGTTGGCACGCCATTGGAGGTCACACACTTCCTTAGCGGTTGTCGTGCTAGAAGCATCTATTTTAGCGAGACTACCTCATTAGCATATAATTATTTTGATTTTCTCTTCTACATTTTACAGTACATAACATTGTGGATCCTAACTAAATGGTCACAGGTTAGAATCTCATATGGTCCATTATGGATTTGAATTATCTGAATGATGTACTGATCTGTGATCTTGAACTACATCTGGGATATTAATTTTATATTAATAAAACTACTGGACAGTATAATCTTACGTTCGTGAGCAAGTGATAAAGCCCACAGACGAAGGTAAGACGCCGTATGTGAAATTGTGCTAAGCACAAACTCAATGGTATGGACTGCTTGTTGTATCATTAGTTCCCCAAACGTGGTCGAATACTTCTCTATTTCAGCTAAAATCATCTCCTCAAGCCGCTTGTCTGAATCTCTGCGCTGGTATCTACGGAATTGGCTAATCTTGTTCTAAAAAAAAATATTGAATTTCGTTAAATAATTATTAAATTCAAAAATTTTAATTTCTAATGTACATTAATTCTCCTTAATGACATCAAAAGGTGCGAATTTAAAGCCTGATGAACAAAAGATGAATATTACTAAGACAGTTTACACATATGTTGCAAACCGCTACTAGATGGCGCTACGCGTTATCTATATCTTTGTTAGATCGCGCTAAATATTTATTTTTGAAAAGTACTGATCACAATTTTTTATTTACAGTTGAAAAATATTATTTATTTTAAGCTGAAAATCATAACTACATATTTAAAATAGGTCCACCCCTATTGAACTTATATATATTGGCACTAAATCGACTTCTCAAAAATAAAATAATCGTACTTGTGCTATCTGCTTCATCTTTTTATTATATCGATTGAGATAAACGGGCGTTCCGAACAGCAGTATTGGTACACACAGCAGCGAGAATACGACAAGTAAACGCTGAACCAGCTCTTGACCCTCAAACATATATGCATCACAATCATCTTCCACCGGCTTCGATGTGGCTCCGAGTGCCATGTCAATAAATAATATCAAGATTAGCGGGGCACAGCCGGCGCTTCTCTTTAGATTAGCTGAAACATTGATATGAATTAGGCTCTTTACTAAAATCTATCACGCAAACACTATGTCAATGTCAAACGAAAACTGACATCCAATCCAGAAACAATCCAGTTTTCCATGAGGTAGACACAAATGTCCGTGTCTGTAGCACTATTTGATTTTATTACAGACAAGTTACTCTGACCAAGTAAGTGTCCAAAGTAATTTATTGTTCCCTGGATTTGGACTTAGTTACGTTTAACGCTGTTTACGATGTGATCGTCGATGTTATGTTATGGTAATGAATGGAAAAAACTCGGGTCAACATTTTTAATTAATCGCGTTTCAGTTTCAGTCCAGGAATTTCAGAATATTCAAAACCAAAATGGGTCCACAGTGCACCTAGTTGATATGTTACATGGCTGGGGTATTACGCCTTCCATCAATAGAGGGCGACAGTTAAGCATAGGGTATGCTTATCTGTCGCCCTCTATAATAATAAAACCCATTTCTATTGCAAGTTCTGAGATAATTGAGAGCAGAAAAATAGACTCTAATTGCGCAGAATGTTATAACGAAATTCCGACCAGGCCTCGTCTTATAAAAATAATTGAATACTTGGAATAGTGTTGCCATAATTGAGCTAAAAGGATTCTTTTATCTTTATGGGGAGGAGATATTATATAGTTCCATTGCTAAGCAAAAGGTGATTATGTGTTTGAACGCGCTAATCTCAGTAACTACTAGTTCGAATTGAATAATTATTCTTGTATTGGTTAGAGCATTTATTGAGGAAAACAAAAGAAACACTGTAAAATGTGAAAAAAGTAGCGAAAATTAATTATCCATGTGGGTTTCCGTTGAGTACGCTGCGAAAACAGCTCATAATACCCAAAATGGATGTATGAAAGAACGATCCATCTTTAAATGACTTTAAAAAATATCCCGGACAGTATATGTCTATCTTTACAGATTAACTATACTTACTAAGAACGCCGGGACGCGACCGATGTCGTGGGTAACCTAATTATTATGATGCGGAGGTGATTTTAAAAACAAATGTTTATGCTAAAAAAAAACTATTCTCCGCGGACACAGCTGCTAGTGTATGATATATTCAGATAGGCAAGCCACATATCGTTCCCGTATTAAACATCTACGCTTTTCTAATTGGCGCTTAACTTCAAAGAGTCGAGTTCTTATTCACGCATTTTTAACAATTATATTCTTCTTTACAAGTACCAGTAAAATCGAGTCGACCTTGTGCCTGCACCGGCGTCGCCAGGAAATGACCCCGGCGTCTTTGTCTAACACTAATATCTGATGAAAAGGTGGCAGAGAGCCTCATTCAAAGTTACAAATATGCTTCAAAGAAACCATTCAATTTTTTAACGTTGAATGCAAGAGAATGCTACTTAGTTGTAGCTAGTAACAAAAAAATCGGACCGGTAGTGCAATTGGTTTTAGTAACAGCACGTAAAGGCTGTGGATGCCGTTCAAGCCCTGCCGGTGTCGTATTATTTTCTGTTTAACGTGGCAATTCAATTCACAGTAGCACGCAATTATCGGGCACTTGACTTTAAATGCAGTCTTGTAAGTAAATCCCGTTTCCCTACCGTTACCAACTACTTACAAGTTCACTTACGGGCAATTGACAAGCTCCTATGCCTTTCGGGAACAGAAAACGTATTACGTTTTCCCGGGAAAACGTACGTAATCTACTTCCCGGGGCTCTTAAAATGAAAACTTTTTTACCTGATTGCTCGCCACGTCAAGATGCGCTGTAATTACCTATACAAATAAAACAATTTAACGGTTTAAAACGCGATATATACCTATTAGTTGAACTCATCTGAAAGTTATTTTAATTTCAACTTCGGCACGAGGTTTCGGATGCTTTGCATTTAAATATATAATATATCACGTTGTAAACCGTTAAATTGTTTTAGTTGAATATTAAAAAAATAACTCACTATATTTCCCGCTATACAGAAACCACTTCATGTACATCAAAATCACCAGCCATAAAAAAAGGCCGCACAAAAATAACATCTGCGGTATAAACTGCAAAACAATAGCGTAGTGCCGTTTGAAATATCTGAAAATCATATTTGAACCAATTTCACATGCTACGCAGCCATGCAAAGGTGTGGCTTATGAAATTGAAACACTATAGAGTCAAAGAGACACCTCTAAACAGATTTGAAATACTTTTGAGTGTTAAGTAAAATACCCCTAGTGGAGCATGAGGGGCATTAGAACACACATTGTGTTCGCTCCAATGATCCGTTCTTTAACAGGCAAGTAGTTGATCAGACTTCTATGCCCTGCCCGACCGGAACAATATTTTCTTTCCCTGAGATTCGAAGCCAGGACCTCACGCGGTTAACGCAATGCTAGGCTATATATTTAACCATTTGGCAACAGAGGCGATACTTTTTCATGCATATATTTTTTTAATTATTGTATTAAATGCAATAATAGGCGAGATCCACTTACATATGGTTAACGAGGCTTAGAGATAAACCAAATATCATATGCACAATTCCGATTATAATCGATAGTTTCATTTTTATAGAATTGAGAGCCATTATTTTGTTTTTCGCCAACTGAAATAAATTTTAAGTAAACAACATGTATTATTTATAAGCTTGCTAAGATCTAACACGTTAAAGGTGCATTTAATACTGATAAATTAATTATATTAAATAATTATTAAGTTTCGCACTTCTTGCACACTGTATAGTTTTTAATAGTGAAGTCTCTTTCTACTCGGGTTGCCTGGAAGAGATCGCTTATGGCGATAAGGCCACCCGGTACACTCTATACTTTTAAATTGCATAGTATCTGTATGTTCTGTTTGGTGTACCTAAGTGTGAAATAAAACACTAAAGGCGCATCAAAAACACACCTTGAATCTGATAGAGATCGGACTCACGACCCGTTGATTATTCCATACATTGCTAATATACAAAGCTGAAGAGTTTTGTTTGAATGCGCTAATCTCAGCAACAACGGGTGCGAATTGAAAAAATATTTTTGTCTTGGTTCGATCATTTATCGAGGAAGGCTATAGGCTATAAAACATTGCCCTGTGATTATTACCCGCGAAGATACAGCGAGAAATGTAAACAAAACGGGGGAAGTTATACACAATATGGGTTACCGAGGCGTACGGTGCAATAACGGTTCAAGATAACAAAAAAATATGTATGAAAGAATGATTCCTCTTTCAATGATCTAAAAAAAAGTCTACGACGCTAAATGTCTATCTTTACTGGCAAGGACGACGGGAAGGAACGCGCGACGTCGAGGCTAACAGCTTAGGTTTATATAGATGAAGGGGTTTGCAAAAACTAATTTAGATGCACAAATTAACTATTCTACGCAGACGAAGTCGCTGGCACAGCTTGTAAGTATATAACTTTATATATATTAGTATATAGCTTGTAAGTATATAGCATAATAACAGTGCATATCGTCATTTTAGAATAGACAAATTAGCGACATTATTTTTACAATATTCGTTGCTGACCGTATCGGTAACATCATAAAGACCCGACGTTTCGGATGCTTTGCAGCAGCCGTGGTCATGGGGAGACTGACTGACTGTTGCTGCAAAGCATCCGAAACGTCGGGCCGAGGTTAAAAATCATTTCCAAATAAGTTTAACTAATATATCGCGTTTTAAACCGTTGAAGTGTTTTATTTAACATCAAATCATTAAGTAATAATCCTGACCGGTATTTGGGTTTCTTTAACCTGGGCTCTTAGTTATAGATATAGATTGATAAGAAACATGGACCCTGTGGGATACGAGAACACGACCCGTTGCTTATTAGTCCATATAGTCTATAGCGTACATTGTTTGTTTTTTTATGTTTTAGCAATAAGTGTAATATATGTTTTTGTGTGCCTTAGTAGTCAATAAATTTATTTCTTTCTTTTATTTCTTCTTTCATACATCGCTACCGTTATATCAATGAGCACGTCCAATTATACAAATGTAATTATAATAGCAATTAACAACATATCACCTTCCAAATGGGATCAACTCCAAAAACATAAGGACTATTAGTATCCATCACCGGATTAAATGTAATGTATACGTTTTGTTCAATTTCTTCTCGGGTAAAAGTATTCTTCCAGTACGGACTCATCAAAGTGATAGGTTTCGAGAAATACTCGTTGTAAAGAAAGCCAGTGAAAAGCGTGAAACATCCCATTAGTAGAATTACGTACCGACCTGAAACGAAATTTATGCATAGTCATAACTATTTACTCACATCTCGGTGTACGGGGCTAGCATGCGCGATTCGTTACATATCTAACTCTAATTTCGAGTCGTTAGACAAAAATGTTATAGACAATAGACACGAATCACATCCGAGGCCGCTAGAGGCAGAGTAGCCTAACTGCAATTTTATGACTGGAGTTATTTATACTTTCATAATGTAAAGTGGTAATTTACAGAGAGCACAGTGACGGAAAATTGTCAACATAATTCTTTGGACTAAGTTAATTGTGCATTTTAATTTCCTCCTTATTGAAAATCAAATTTTTTGTTATTAGGCCACTCTGCGTCTAGCAGCCTTAGAACAGAGGAGATCATACAAGTGTGTTCACTTGGTGGTGGGTGAAATATCCTAGTCTTATTACATCTAAACAAGATGCGCTGTCCGCCTATTTTGGCTTTGTATATTCCGATACCGAAACGTGATTAAGCTTCACATCTTTCATATGTGGATAGTGGTTCGTGACTCGGGCGGCATTTCGACTATAATATCCAGATTTCCAGACGAAGTCCAACATGCTTCAGTAAAATTATAAATTGATTAGAAAAATATCGGACCCAGTGGGAATTTAACTCACGTCCCGTTGATTATTAGCAATACATTCCTGACATTACTCGACGAACCCGTCAATTCAACCAAATTGTGAGCCTGGATTTTACAAAGACACACACAACAACAAGATTATTTTTTTCGAATTTGGTCGCGTTTTAATTCTTTCTTTCTAGAAATTTCTCTCGATTTGAGAGAACACAAAACCGATAAACAAAATTTTCTCGAAGCGTGCATGTTAGGCCAGGTAAAGAGTTTACGATTCGGTTTTATAGTACTACTATTCTATAAAGGTTTTTAGTTCTCACTCTTATCTATATGATAAACACTACGTACTCAGCATAAATTGTTAATTCAAGATATACTCTGAGCAGTAGTTTATATACGTGATATATACATAAATAAACCACGTGCATGAACTAACAATTCAAAGCGTATTAAAATATAAATTGTGCAGGACTGGTTCTTAAGAAAAATATTACAAAATAATTATGTCTCTCTTAAACTGTATTATTTCATTAGTAATTATTTCAGCATATCATAGTTTTTCGGGCTGTTCGGCCGACGACAGCAAGAGGTTCTCAGACAATGATATGCTAAACGATGGCCGTGAAAGCCTTACTACTTACTTACTTTATTAATATTAATTTTGTTTATCAAATATTATAGCTTGTTGGACAATTTATGTAAGTAATGTCAAAACGCACATATGGACAACATTTAGTTGATTTTATTATTTAATACCGTTTTTGGCAACATCATAACGGATATTAAAATAATCATCAGTGTAAAACACACCTTTTACATTACTGGAAGTTTTCAGTACCAGTGAACAACATCATGGCATGACGTCATGGGTCGTTATGGCGTTTCCAATTTAATTCCACAGTGAAAAATAAAGGCTAATCAAAAATACACCGTACCAGATAATGACAACACCGACAGTAAAAACGACACAAGAAGTAAATAAAAATGATATTAGGTCTGCAGTTTACGCGAGTAGTACACATTTAAATAAAACATGTTAACGGTTTAAAAGGCGATATATTAGTTAAACTTATATATTAATAATTTTAACTACGGCCCGATGTTTCCGATGCTTTGCAGCAGCCGTGGTCACGGGGAGGCAAATAAGTTAACTAATATTTATTTAAATGGTATTTACGTCATTACGTCATCAACTGTTTCGAAATATCAGCGAAGCATTACCTCCAAAGAATATGTTCCAAATCTCATTGTTCGATGGTTTTCCCATATACTGCTTCTCCACTTTCACCATCCACGCTCCGAAAGCCACTAAGATCAAGCCATGGCAGACATCACCAAACATGACAGAGAAGAGGAACGGAAACGTTATTATTGTGTAAAGACCTGCAATGACGTTGTAAACTAAATTATTTTTGGACAAAAATGGGCCGATACGTTGCGGGCGGGCATCTTTTATGTTCTACAGTCCATAATTAAATATTGCTTAAATTTAATTTGTTGTAACGAGTTCGTTAGATCTGCTAGCAACGTGTGGCTAATACCCACGTGCCATGAGTGCGATCCCCACCAACATGCTATTAAACAATTTATAAACCCGTTGCGTGCAAAAACGGTTCCCGGAGACCTTAATATGTTTGAGAGAATAATTCCTACCAAAAAAAATTTTTCTTTTTTCAAATTATTTTCGATTTTTAAATTATATAGTGCCTTCATGTGCAGTAACATGTAAAAAATATTAAAGTTTTCAATCGTTATAACTTTGCTATTTCGTCTCCAATGATTTCTTAAGCTGCAAAGCATAAGACGTTGAACCTTAATACGCAAGTGTTAAGGTTGAAATTACATTGCGCAAGAGGTCTGGACAAGTTGAAAAAATTCGACGATGAGGTGTAGGACTCGGTAGCTCAATTCGTAGAGCAACAGCACGGAACGCTGACGATGCCGGTTCAAGTCCTGCCCGAGTTGTTTTTTTTTTTAAATTTATTTTCGATTTTTAAATTAAGTAGACATACCGTTTTGGACATTTATTTAGATATCATTTAAAGAAATATAATCCTTTCATATATATATTTTTTAGTTGCTTGAACCGTTTTCGCAGCGCCCGCTACGGAAGCACTGAAACTGGCTTTTTTCATATTACCTGTTCCTTCGCTCCTATTGGTCGCATCCCACTACATTATAGCCTAAAGCTCTCTTTGATAAATAGTCCAACCAACACAAAAACAATTTTCCTAAATACTGTCTATAGTTTACGCGAGTAGTACACATTTAAATAAAACACTTTAACGGTTTAAAACGCGATATATTAGTTAAACTTATTTGAAAATGATTTTTAACTTCGGCCCGACGTTTCGGATGCTTTGCAGCAGCCGTGGTCACGGGGAGACTCCCCGTTCAAATAAGTTTAACTAATATATCGCGTTTTAAACCGTTAAAGTGTTTTATTTAAACAATTTTCCTATTCAAACCGGTTCAAACTCGACTTTCTAACAAGCTTTATTATATTAGTATAGATCAACATAATGTTAACCTTGCAAACAACAAACAACATTTGCCAGATCAGATAGTATCTTATAACTCGCCTGGATTAAGTTCTCCATAGGAAGAATCGCCATATGCATTTATTAGCGCTTGGAAGCCTCGTGTAAACTTGTTAGTGCGATGATAGGTAGGCGGCTCTTTAGAAGTTTCCGCCTTTGTTATAAATGATGGCACATTGGATTCCATTTCTTCCTGTCACATAGAAGCACAGATTATATATTGCGCGGAAGTTACGACAATCAATGGGTTAAATAAACTCAACTTGTAGGACACGGTAGTTCAATTGCTTAGAGCAGCACGAACGCTGTGGATACCGGTTTGATTCCCGCCCGTGTCGATAATTTTTGCAATATATTTTTATATGGCACTGATTATATTTAGTCTGACTCTATTTTAAAATATACTTATTAGTACACATCGCTTATTTTTATCGTATGTGTATTTTTTGTTTTATTTAAATAAAACAGTTTAGACAGTTTTAAACGAGAAATATATTAGTCGTGAAACTTTAATATTTTTTTACATTGGTTAGAGCAACGATGCCGGTTCAAGACGTGCCCGAGTCGATATTTTTTTCAATTTTTAATCTATATGTTAGTTAAGGTATTTTACTTTAATTTAACTAAGCCTTCACGTTTCAGATACTTTGCTGTAGCCGTGGTCACGGGTGGGTAAATGATATTAGAAGTGTAGTATAGATATTTATGTATATCAATCAGTGTTAGTTACTATGAATATGAACGCGTAGATAGGTTTAACATCTCAGCCAGGCAGTTAAATTAAGTAAGGTTGATATATTGAATTATCTAAAGCCTTCCGTTTGTTTTCCGACACAGTGTTCCGTTATTGACTCAAAGTGGGTAGTTTCCAAGTATTCTATTATAGAATCAATTATCGCTTTCTTTCGTTTACAGAAATAGCGATAAGCGATAGTTCATTATTATTAACTACTAACTCTTAAACCATGGTCTAAATGAATCTAAGTTAGTACCATAGTTAGTCCAGTACACACGTTAAACTTCGTTTTGTAATAGGAATTTCTAATAAACGAGGATTTAAACCGGGTTTGAGAGTTAGTCCTTGTTTTGTAATAAGAACGATACTATCGCAGACATTTCTTTGAATCATTTAAAGAGATCAGCATACATATTTTTTAGATATCAATAGTTTTCCCCATTTTTTACAAATTCAATGTGAACAAGTAGTTTCTAAGTTAACCCTCTTAAAACAAGCTCTTCAGTTTTATAATATTAGTAAAAATAATATTTAACAATCAACTGATATCGCGAAGTAGATAGTATAAAACAAAGTCGCCTTTTCTGTCCCTATGTACGCTTAAACCTTTAAAACTACGCAACATTTTGATGCGGTTTTAAATAGAGTGATTCAAGAAATGTTCTATCAGTTCTCCTGTAGTGTATTTAGTATCAGCAATGCCGACCGACGCCGGGGCGGGTCGCTAGTTAAAGATAAAAAATAAGATAACCACTACTGTGCCTCCATCCATCACAATATTAGGCTAGGAGTTTGAATCCCTGGCAATCGTGAAAATTAATAAAGATAACAGTACCGAACAATGCTCCAATATTTCCTGAATACCGGGCAAGTCGTTTTCTGGGACCCAACATTGACCGATGAGGCATCCTCTTGTTATATCCAAAGTGAACATGTTCATAGTGTGATAGATCGCTTTCGCCTTCTTTATTTGCGCCATCCAAACGCTCCACTGCCTCGCTACTGTGCGTAATGCTTTACAGCGGTGGTACTTCGTCTTCTTTAAAACCTAAAAGTTACGTAAGCCACTAAGTTGGACGCTGAAGATTCAAAATGTAAGCTAACTCGATCGTGATTAGCTATAATAAATAAATTAGTCTTGGAATTGTAACGGTAGCAATTGTTTCTATATTTATATAAAACCCTTAACGGTATAAAACGCGAAATATATTAGTTAACTTTTAACAATTGACTTGAAATAGAATCCTGACAGCACAAAAATAATGTAAATAACTTAATATATTTCGCGTTTTAAATGGTTAAAAGTGTTTTATTTAAACGTTTACTACTTAGGAAGTTAGGCCTTAGCCGTATTATTAAAGCAAAAATATACAAAATGTACTGTCGAATTCCAGAATATCAATAACTTATTTCAGTTATTGATATTCTGCAAGCCGAATCAATGCGGTTATACAATTTTGGCATTTCTTTCGATAGACCGAGGTTCGTGATCCAGTCGGTATTCCCGTCGAATTGATTTGGTTACAAGGGTCAACAAGTTACAGAAAAAAATTAAATTGATTTCAGAAACATTTTCGACCGGGTGGTTCATTAAATTATTAGTTTATTACTGTTACAAGAGAGGCACAGACACTCAAGTCTATGATGTGTTGCGGACTCTGCACTTCAGCATTTTCATTGAAGTTGAACTACTAATAACAATATTTTTTTTAAATGCCAAAGTCTTTCTCCGCTAAACAGCTACGTGCGAACAAGTTCGAAATTTAAATTAAACCTTCATTAAGTTTTTAGTCGCCATGTTACGGAGTAGAACGTTCCATTTTTGAATTACACGACAAATATGATTCTACATAACTTATTTGGCCGCTAAACACGACAGATATATCTATATCTACTCATACTATTGCCGGCCGCTGTTCCACCACTACGGCAAGTCCGATTTATCTCGTAAAGGCTTTCAAAATATTGCTCAAATCTTCAAGTATGTTTGTGATCAAAATATTTCATATCAATAACCTTTTCCAAGTCCCCAATCCTAACGTCCAGCTTATGCAGCATATCCATTCTCTCATCCAACGTCTCGGGGCACGAATAAATGTTAGCTCGGAATCCGCTGCACACCTTTTCCATTCGATTACTCAGCGCCTCCCCTTGAAACACCGCCAGGAAAGCAACTTTACGTATCTCTTGACCCTAATGAAGATTTATTGATGTATTGACGCGCTCGCTGCTGCAACGGCAACTTATTTAATACCCAACGGGATGTAGGTTCGATTTTCGAAATACTCGTATGGCATTGGTTATTAAATAAAATTGAATTTAAAGGAAACATTTAAAGTTTAAAAATCGATTTATTTCTAAGTTTCCTATTAAAAATACTAAACATACACATTCATTTATTTGTGTTATAATATCTAGGATTTACATTAAAGAATACACATATTTGGAAGAATTAGATATTATAGAGATTTCGATCTGTACATAAAATTTCAATTAGGATGAAAAACATCTATTGATTTAAAGAATGTTTGACTCAGTCGAGATTCAAACCCACGAATAAAGCGTTACATTGTGTTGGAGTCACAGCTGCACCTTTTATTACATTTTATTTTATTTCTAACTTAATCTAACCTCTCATCTCCATTATCTTGTGATAATTATAATAATTAAATTAATAATCCAAGGAAAGCTACTTGCGACATTTAGTGGAAATGAAAATAATTCTCTACAAAGGCGCTTAGCGGCCCTTAAACACACTAAATCAAATCTTATTGAAGGAATTGCACTAAGGGAAACTTTCAACAGCTTCGTGTCTACTTTTCATGCATATCTTGAATCAAGGTAATGCTCGATTTATCTTATATATATAAAACTGTAGAGTTTGTTTGAACGCGCTAATCTCAGGAACTATTGGCTCGAATTGAATATTTTTGTGTTTGTTAGAAAATTTATCGATTAAGGCATAAAATCAACTGCATAATAAGAAAAACCATGGATATGTGGGAAAAACGGGAAAATTTCATCTATAAGGTTTTCCGTTCCGTACGCTGTGAAAACGAAATACCCAAAAATGTAAATAGAATGATTCCTCTTTAGATGATCTATCTATCTTAAAGATTAACTTACAAGAACGACGGGACGCGAGCGAGGAACAGCGTCACAGCTTAAATTCATAAATATAAGAAGGAGGTTTGCAAAAACAAATTTCATGTCCAAAATAAATTCTACGAAAGCCTAACACTAGTTTAAGTAAATTGCAAGAATACGACGATACGTTATCGGTAAATATATTTTAAAGAGATTTGCAAAAAAAAATTATTATTTATTTAATTCTCTAATATAACATAAAAAATTTCGTTTAATTCGAATAGAGTTGCAGATAGTTCAAAAAAAAACTTTAGTTTATAATATTGGTATATACTAATATATTATATATATATATACTTGGTATTATAAATACCTAAATTAAATGAAACGTATTGCAAAACCTGTCGTTGTTACTTACACTTTGTGGATCTTGCAGGACAGCATCGTCAGATGCTTGACGGTAATAAATATTGCCCCTAGAGACTCTCCACAGCATCTTCTCAAATGGGAAAGATCTACTCCGTTTGACGGCACCACACATAACCGTAAGAAGGCCGGATCCGGTATCACCACCAGCTGGAGTTCTGCCAGGAAGACAGTACCACTTAATACCAGCTGCCCCACGTTTTAGTTCATCAAACTTTGTATGTCTTGTTGCTGGGACATTCAAAATTGGAACAGCGAAGGTAGCCCATTCAAAATACCGCAGGCGTCATGCACCACCGAGCGAATGGAAAATTGCTGAATTGGATAATTGGTGAAGATATTCGACTGTCCAAAGACAGCATAGGTCAATTGCGCATCTAAACTATATATTATAGGGCGTCCTATAAATAAACGCCCGTCAAAACACGCTGTAGAAGGCCGTGTAACGCCCCCAACCACCACGACGACGACTTAACCAACGGCGAGGCCGGTTACCTCTCACCGCGTACTGAGCTTCCGTCCAGTTCTTCAAGCTTGTCCCTGCATTGCGACAGTCCACGCCGAGGCGCGGCCCAAAAGGTTTTAAAGGTTAGTATTAATGGCTCCGGGCCTATCACGTAATAATCATTAAAAAATCATTAAAAAAATTAATTAGAGTTTATGAATGTCCTTGTAAAACTTACTTGCCAAATAATGATTCGGACGTGAGTTCTGTGTCCCCTAGTAAAAGTCCAATGTGGCTTAAAACATAGGCCATTTCACTCAACTCCAAATAGTTCTTTAGTAAGCTAACTTGATTGTCGGACATATCCTGCACTTCGCTTTCCCACTTCTCAAGTAAATTCTGATAAAATTTATCAATATAATGTTTGTAGTTTAGGCAATTAGTACATATTTAAAAAAATCATGTTTAAAAAAAACCGTTTAAGGTTTAAAACGCGTATTGTGCAACTTCTTTGAAAATGATGTTTAACTTCGGCCTGGCGTTTCAGATACTTTGCAGCAGCCGTGGTCACGGGGAGACTTCATTTCCAAATAAGTTTAACTAATATATCGAGTTTTAAATCGTTAAAGTGTTTTATTTAAATATGTACTACTCGCGTAAACTATAGACACGTTTAACTGTTTAAAACGAAAACTAATTTATAATCTATATGAACTCCGGCCCAACGTTTTGGATTCTTTATAGCAGCCAAAGATGCTGGTGGGTTGTGAAAAGATGGGCCGTAGGTAAAATAAATTCACGAAAATTATTTACACAATTAAAAAAAATCATTTTACATAATTTAAACGGTCTTAAAAACGAATAATTCCATATTTTCCACTGTTTCTTTACCCCTATTGATCTCAGTGTGTAACCTAAAGCCTTCCTAAATAAACGATCTATCCAACACAAAAATAATTCAATTCGAACCAGTAGTTCTCGAGATTATAGCGTAACAAACTTAGCTCTACATTAGATGACGACAGCATATTTTTTTCGAGTGGAAAATTTCCCTTTGAAAGGTGTACGCGACTGAAGCGACGCTACATCAAAACCTAATAAACAGCTCATCTATTTAAAGCTTCGTACTTCGAGCGATTTCATTTCGCTGAGAGGCAGCGCCTTTGGCTCAGCTTCTAGTTCAGGTATATGAATATTGTCCTTGAGCATCTCCCCCTCCATGTAGAGGAGCTTCCTCTCCATTTCAACGCAGCGACAAAGCTCCATTATGTAGCTCCGGTTAAAAGCCTTGACGTCCGGCGTCATCTGCGGATCAGAACATTTTTCACATCCTACATATACTTCACAACTCGATATATTAAAAACAACACTTTAACGGTTTATATTAGCTAAACTTATTTGATAATATATCAATTATTTTTAACTACGACCCGACGTTCGCCAAATACCAACTTCAACCAGATGGCGCTAGCGTAGCAGTAGCAATCAAGGAAACCCTATCCTCCTCAATTATAAAAAAATGTACCTTTTCGAACATGTTATAAAAATAAAGTTTTTATTACATAGTGACATCCAGAAATCTATGAAAATACTCTTAACGGCTTAAAACTAAAAATATATTTGTTAATGTTATTACAATTAATTTCAACAACGACATTGCGGATGCCCTGTTGGAGGCGCTGTCACGGGGGGACTGAAGATAAAGCCCCTAATGTAAAATCTGTTAACGCCGTAGTTAAAATAGTTACCTATATAATTAGCGTTTGAAACAGTTATAATTAAATGTTTACTACTCGCATAAACTAAAACATAAAAATCCGAAACATCAATAAACCGACATTTTCAATTATAACAATACAAGGATTACAAACTTCTGCACAACGCTCGGTCAGACGTTGATATCCTTTTCAAACATTTAAAATTTCACCCCCCAACCTGTCCGCTTTTGTTTGTTTTCTATTTAACGCATGGAACGTCGCCCCATTGAACAATCAAAGCCCGACGCGTGTAATGTCCGAATAGTTGACTTTACGTACAAAATCGACATGACAACGTAGCTATGCTCGTTGCTTCGAGTATTCAAATATGTACCCCTTCCACGTCAAAGAATAAAACCCACTGAATACTATTTTAAATCCTGCGAAGCTATGGAATATAACTTTTATGACCTTTAAATAAAACAATAATGATTTCAAGACGCGATATATATTATTTAAACTTGTTTAAAAATTATTATTTTTTAAGTTTTGGTCGCTACGCGGTCACGGAGATTCTCCCCGTTTAACTAATGCACATGGCGTTTTAAACTTTCATTAAATATGTACTACTCGCGTAAACTACAGACAGTATTTCTTATAACATTTTTTTATGAGAAGTACAGACAAGTTTGACGACCTCGTTGGTATAGGTAGCAACCCACGACCCGTTATTAGCAATAACGGGTCGTGGGTTCAATCCCCATCGGGTCCAACATTTATAATTCTAAGACATGTTAAATTTTGTATGAAATCTGTGTATTAAATTGATGGTACGAATATAGAAATTCCGTCCGGGTAAAGTAAGAACTACCGTCTATAGATGAAGCCGTATTTTTGAATATCCAAAACTCAACAAAATAGATCGACAGCGCATAATATATTATTATTATTACTTAAATGTTATATGGGCTATTTCACCTAGCATCAAGTGAACCATGCTTGTCTGTTCTGCTCACGGCATCGATGGTATCACCTGCCCAAGCCTGCTCCAGACATCTGCTATATAATCTAAGATTTGTTGAGAAGTTGTGGAACTATATTTTGGCTGGTATTGAAGTTCCTTAAAGTTACATACATCTACTACAATAGAGTTGAATAACATGTTTAACAGTTTAAAACGCGAAATGTAATTATTACTTCATTACAACTAAGGCTCAATGTTTAAGGTGTCTTGCAGCCGCCCTGGTCACGGGGGGACTGTAAAAGGACGTCTGGGCATGGTAAAAATATGATAATTAATATATTTTACGTTTTAAACCATTAACGGGTTCATTTAAATTATATACAACTCGCGTAAGCTACAGATTAGTCAGGTATTTTTTTATAACTTTAATTAATTGATATATGAATAAGTAATTAATTAAAGGTATCTCCGCAGCCGTTTCTATGCGCGTTTTCCATCGCTATGGCAGAATAATCTTTAATCGATATTGCCAAGCTTCTTGTTGGTGGCTTATTAAATTGTTATACATATTTAAATTTTGCTAGAAACATAATGACGAAATGGCTTAATAAAACCCCTTTTTTATAGAACATACATTTTACTTATAACACATTATTATTTAAAGTCGTGTTTAACTAGTCATTAATATTCAAATAAGTGACTTAGATTAACTTGTATTGTTTTTTAAAAAAAAAATTTAAAAAAACTCGTTACCATTATTGTTATACGATGATTGGTGATTGTTTAATTAGTATTATTAATCTTGGCGAGCTATTATTACGAATCGTTTGACATTTATACATACGTCATGTTGTTAAGATGACAAAAATCATTATTTCTTTTAGAATAGAGGTCGGTGAAGCATGGGCATCACTTGGTGGTAGTTCAATACTCCAGCCTATAGCATCTAAACAAGATGACCTATCTGTCTGCCTATGGATATACGGAAACCCAGGCTAAAATCGAAACGCGTATTGACTACACTTTTTATCTTTGCTCGGTGGTTCGTGACCCGTATTTACTTGATATCCAGACGAAGTCCACTATGTTTCAGAAATATAAATTGATTAGAAACACACTGTCTATAGTTTGCGCGAGTAGTACACATTTAAATAAAACACTAACGGTTTAAAACGCGATATATTAGTTACTTATTGGAAAATGATTTTTAACTTCCCGACGTTTCGGATGCTTTGCAGCAGCCGTGGTCACGGGGAGACTGGATGGGCTAGTATCGCGTTTTAAACAGTTAAACTGTTTTATTTAAATGATTAGAAACATGACCCGGTGAGGGTCGTCACGACCCGTTGATTGTTAGCCATATATTACTTCTATTAGATCAACGTGCCCGTTGGATTTTTTGAAGCACTGTTATCGTCTTTAAAGATGTGATTAGAATTAGTGTCAAGAGATACTTACATCCATAAACTGCGCATTCCCAGTTTCCCCTAATCTTGACAGAATCTCAAAAGCGCATTCCGGTTGAAGGAAAATTTCGCAAAAGGACATCGGATCGCTTCTAAGCATAGAACCCATTTTCGGCTCGTGCTCCACAAGAATAAAAATGTCGACGTTTGACGGCGTCTGTCTTTATTTTTTATTTATATCTCCACTAAGGTTTTATGTAGCTAATAGGATGGAGTAGTTGTTTTCATTTTTCTAAATGCCAGCGACGCCGTTCTTAATCCCCAATCTATCCGATTTAATTTCTTCTCGGAAAGTTCAAAATCAGTAAACAAGGGGATTATCCACAATTTGTTATAACGCTGAAAATATAAATACGGTAAAAAGAAAATAACAATAGACTAGTTTTATAATTTGTTTTGTAATTTTTATTATTTTAATGGAAACTTATAATAAGTATTGTGTGTAGTTAACAGTACTCATTTAAATAAAACACCTGTAATTGTTTAAAACGCCATATTTATTAGTTAACTTATTTACAATTTATTTTAACAACGACCGGCGTTTCGTTCGATAGTTTTTTATTTAAATGAGCCATAATATATGGCTGCTATCAAAAAAAAACGTATTTTACGATCGCTTCAAACAAAGTTATGTTTTAATACGTATATAAACTGCTTAACGGTTTAAAACGCTATGTATTTTAGTTAAGCTTGTTAGAAAATTATTTTTAACTACGACCCAATGTTTTGGATGCTTTGCAGCAGCGGCGTTTTGAACCGTTAAAGTGTTTTATTTAAATGTGTACTACTTACGTAACACAGACAGTATTGTATATAGACTCCCTTAAGATATTTGGTACTAATAAATTTGACCATCAATAGTAGTTCTCATAACTTTCATTAAAAAGACATAAAATGTTGTATCGTTAACGGTAAATAAACAAAGCCCTCGTTGAAACGAGTTCGATTTCCCGGCCGTACCTTCTTGTGTTATTCTTCATACCCCTTGGGAGTACCAGCTGGAATAATTTACTGATACCCAACTAACTTCAAGTAACCCCTACATCCCCAGAGCTATCTATACACGCGATACACGAATTAATTACTTTATTTAAACTTTTATGATTTCAGGTAATTATGTAATTAGATAAACATTTAGCTCGTTGGTCTAAAGGTAATAATCACCTAGGGTTCGATTCCCATCAACAAACCAACATGTTTCTAATAGGCGAATAATTTTTCTTAGACTTACGAAAATCTAGATATTAAATGTACCTACTAATACCTAAAGATGAAAAATCGTAATTACCAAAGCTAAAAATAGGCCGACAGCGCATCACCTTTAGATGTTATTAACTGAAGTATAAGCAGTTATCAACTCCATGTTTGTCTGTCTTATTCAATGATAAAGTAGCACAACGGTGTCCAGGGTTCTCGTCCTAGTAACAAATATATTGCGTTCGCGTTGAGTACATGTCAAGGATAAAGTAATTTCTGCATCACACCCCACTTTAATTTTGAATTGCTTGTTTATAATTTTTTTCCATCCCTTTTCTATTCAAATTATAATTTTTCGGAAGCATTTGGGACTATGTCTGGGAGTCTATAAAATGAGTGGCCGGTATATGAAAATTCCATCCGAGGTACGAACCACCGTCCACAGATAAAAAAAAAACGAAAAGTTTAATCGCCTTTCGGTTTGTCTGTCCTCCTTTATCATATAAACATCGATAAATTTAATTATTAAACAGGTTTGTAAATATTTCCTCCTCATTAAGAGAACTCTCGTGAAAGGTAGTTTCTCGTTTTGCGTATAGCAGTGGGTAACGCCGCGGGATAACGTATGAGTTACTACAAAGCGCCGATACAAGCAAACATTTCAACTCCACGTAAAACCCGTTGCCACCTTGTTTGAACATCAGCCCTTTTTTAACTGTATTTGATACAAACTTTCTGTGTATGCCGGAGGGTAGTTGAACAAAAATACGTTTTTATCGCGTATATTAATTTAAAAACTTTAATATTTTTCAATTGCACATGATGGCACTATTTAAAATAAAAATCGATTTAAAATTAAAAATTTAATTCGATTAGAGCTACAGCACGGTACGCTGTGGATGCCGGTTCCTGCCCCTTTGTTAATTTTGTTTTTTTCAACTTATAATCGATTTTTATATATAAATTCATCTAGCACTGCGATTAAGTTTATTAACTGTTCCCACGACTGGGACGCGGGCGTCGTACTAAGCTTTAGAAGTTAATCTGCCACACCATCCTGTTGACAGATGTCGACTTCACTAAAAGACATGCAATTTACTGAAAATGTTTTCGAAACTTATATGGCTGAAAAAAAATACATTTTGTGAAAGTAAACGGTCGACAGGAATATCGAAATTTCTATTTAAGGTAATAATTTAATAAAAATCCTTTAAGTGATATGATATAACATACATACAAGATTCGAATCCCGTAAAAACATAACTGGCTTCGGTAGAACAAGACACAGATGTCTCATCGATACTTGCCTTTGAGCAATATTGATTATAACCGAACTCATGCCTCATGCCTTCTGTGTCCGTTTCGCTGATCCGTTCTTTAACAGGCTAATCAGACTGCTGTGCCCTGCCCTGCCGAAACATTTTTGTTTCCCAGGGATTCAAACCCGGAACCTCTCGCATGAAACTCAATGCTAGACAATACGTTTAACCGCTTGACTACAGGGGTCTTACACAACTCTAAGTCAAATGATTTATATTGACAGTGGACATACGACAGTGGTAGATACTGTAACGCGTTACGTAAAGGTCAAAGGTGCCCTTGCATATTTCTTTTTGCAAAACTCTGTCTTGTGTATGATATCAAATATTTCTACTTATAAGTGAAGTATTAATAAAAAAAATACTATCAAAATATTCAAAGAAGCGCATTATCAAATTGCAATATGAATTAGTAATTAGCTATTAGAATTTCAGTTACAAACTGTTTCTGTCAAGCTCTTTAGAGCAAAGTTATACCAGACTGAAGTCTAAGTTTATAATTAATGTAACCCTGCTTGCTCTGACTCATCTTAAGAAGATTTTCAATTCAGTTAACGATGGCTAACTATACTCAACAGGTTATAAGCAGTTAAAACATAAGAGATACTAATTTATTGAAATTTGCTATAAAATCGAAAAAGTAATTGGTCTTTATTTAAAAGTTATAAATTAAAAGAATAATAATAATAAAAAAAAATTTAAACACGAAATTCGAACGACGTTTCGAAACAGACGCCATGGTCACTGAAGATAGAATGTATACTAATGTCAAAGTTAAAACTGCTACGCCATCTGTTTCTTCGTAGTTGTTATTAAACTGGCTGGGTCCTTACGGATCTGACTTACGGTGTCCTCTCGTTTCCAGGTTCCTAAAACCCAGCATTGTTTTAGGATCTAGCGTTTTTCTAATTTTAACTAATATAATTTTCTTTTTAAACCGTTGAAAGTGGTTTATTTAAATGTGTAGCGCTCACGTAAAGTACAAATAGTAAATAGGTATAGGTTTGAATGCCAATTGGGCAATCTTTAAAAAAATTGTCATCATTGATATTTTTTGTGGGTTTCACATTTCGTAACGTAACTTTATGCTTACGAAAAACTAAACTGAAACGTGAAAAATTATGAAGTTGTTTCTTCACTGCTCCCTATGTAGAGAAGAATAAACGAGAAAGAGCAACGCCGCGTTAAACACGCAGCTATCAAATGGACAAAAAGTTCGAAGTTTGATGAAGGTTTTCCGACGTTCGTGACGCACGCGCGCGCGCACATTGCTTTTTCGTGTAGTAAAAGCATTCGGAACAAAAGTCAGTATATTTCGGTGTTGCTCACGTTTAAACATAGTATCGCCCACGCGCCGCCTGAAATCCCGTCGCCCGAACTTTCAGTCCCATCTCAAATCCCGACGCACAAACACGCAACAGGTAAGTCGATTTTTAATACCTTACGCCACTGCGAAAGCATTTTGTATTTAGAACGCTGTGCAACTTCCTGTTTACATATTTCATTCTTTTTTCAATTGTCTAACCAGTGTTAATGAATTGATCAATCTGTATTTTCGTTTAATTCAATTACTACACAACAATAATACAGTTCGGACAAAAACCGGGTTTCGCTACTAAAAATACCCCCATATCGAATGGTTGCGATATCTATTTTGAAATTGTACAACAGTATGCGCGTGCGTCGGTCGTGAGTTATTACAGAAAGATGATCCATTGTAACATTGTTACATCGTTATTTATAAAGCTGTCCTTGTGCTTAATTACTTGCCTAATTGTATGTTTGAAGATGTTTTGCTTTTTCTTTACAAAAGCTTTTTTTATTTCTTTGTTTGTTTCATATTGTTTTTTTTTTATTCTAAATTCAAATTTATTGCGATATTGATACTCTGTACTGTTGTGATTAAGAAGGAACTAAACGATACTTTTGTTGTCATCATATTTACCAGATTCCTGTTTCTTAAATAGATATCAGTATTGATATAGTATTTTTCAAAATATATTATATTCATACAATCTTTTCAAAACATAAACAATTTCTTAGGAGCAAGCTATCTTTGAATGAACACGTGACTTTCCACGAGTAGCCGACGAATAAAATATTACAAACGATTATTTACTATAATTTAGTACTCTTCGTGTTAATGTGACAAGAGACGTCACTTACATTCATTCCAGCTTATTTTCAATGAAAAACCGAGCTTCCAGTGTATGTAGGCGTAGACGTTTATAAAAAGGTATTTTGACACGCAATAACGGCGTTTATGACAGCAACTGTTTTTCTTTACTGTTACCGGTACAATTTACGAGTCACGTAAAACGTTATTTTACAATGCTTTAATCTAATTAGGATGCGCTGTCGGCCTATTTGGCTTTGGACATTCGGAATTCAAGATTGAAATCGGAACGCGGATTTACACTTCGTGGAATCTAACTGCGGACAGTTGTTCGTGACCCGGACATAGTTTCGACATTTCTATCATCTTTCATTGTCCAATTTAGAAAAATAATTAAATTGTTTATTTAATAAATTGACTATTGAAATGGTTATACATCGCTAGCATAGAACAACAAACACAAAGGTATACCGAACGAAAAAAGTAAATATTTAAAAATGTTGCGAGCTTCTGAAATATTTTGGATATACACAAATACCAAACTCGATACTGTATCCAATTAAGAGTTATTAAGAGGGCCTTCAATTAAAAGCTAAATTCTAGCGAGTATAGTTCGGAGGGATATTGAAATATGGATTCCATCCATTCTATGGGTGTATGGAAGCTGGATCCTTTGCACGCACGAATAGTTTTTACATCCGAACTATGTACGGATTGTAAAACATTTTGTAACGATTTAATATGTTAACATAGACCTAGATTTTTTAATGAGAGAAAGACAGATAAGCATGAGACTCACAGAAGGTGAAGTACCACGGCCATAAAAAATTTCACAATACGCGTTTAGACCCTTTTTGGTTTTGGATATTCGGAATTCCATAAATTAAAACCGAAACGCGATTAAACGGCTTTTTCATTGGGACTGCGAGTATTACTAATGTCCTTTTAATATCCAGATTTCCAGATCAAGTCTATGCTTAGAAAACTTATCAATTTATTAGAATATTATGCTAATTATCTAACCTGTTGATAATTACCATATATGAGGTTTCTAGAGCCAGAGTGGCCTAATAACAAAAAGATAAATAAAAATTCGTAATAATTTGATGCGACAATGAATTTGTACTATTCATTGTGTAAGAATTATAATATGTTTACAAGCTATGTGCTCTTGTAGATTACCATTTATAGACTAAAAAATATAAAGCAGTCAAGTCATGGAATTATAGTATAATCTGGATCTAGCGGTCTCATAATGCCAATATAGGTTTGTTATAAAATTAGTTTACAATACAATAGGTGAGAGAACTTAAATTAATTTACACAGAAAACATACTGGCATATAATTTGAAAGCGTTTAGTAGAGGACAGCGACATGTGTCTTACTCTCTATAAAAAAACACGACAGCTCTAAAAACGTGCGGTTTTAATCTTAACTAGAGGGGACTCGACAAATTTTCAATTTTAACCTATCAACGAAATTGAAACGCCAAGCTATCAAAATCGGTTACATCCTTGAATGGGGAAATGCAGTGGCGGGTGACTGAGTGGAAATATTTGCATTTGACACATTTATAAACCTCTCCAATAATTGATTTGGTCGCGGATTAATTACGCGTTGGTATCGGCTCGATTAAATACAAACAGAGGTGACACGGCGCATGACTAACTACTGTCAAGTCGTGTGATCATCGATAACCTTTTTTTAATCTTGACACAATTCCATTTTCAAATACACCCAGGAAAACTTTTAAATTGTTTGTTAGCGATACAAAGATACAATTATTTTTTAAGTATAGCCGTAAAACACTAGACCGGCTTCTGTTAACAAAATAGGAGCAGTATTAATAGAATTAATATAAATTAATAATTTTTTTGTTTAATATATTTTTATAGAAAAAAATTACCCCAAATTACCCCAGACATATAACATTTAAATAAGATGTGTTGTCGACTGTTGGCTTCGAATTTTCAGTAATCCACAGACTGAAATCGAAACGTACCATTTAATATCCAGATTTCCAGAAACCACCCAATAATTGCCAAACAGTGCTACCATAACAATAACGATCCGTCGTTTATTTTGTTGAACACATTTTACTAATACTGTCGTCTTAAAAAAAGTATTTCTTTCGATAGTTACAATATGAATGAACAATGGGATTTGAATTTAATTAATTATTATTAATTAGCGGTGAAAATTATGTTAACAAAGGTAAATATCGTTTTGTTGAATCTATGCGATTTACCAATAAAACCCAAAGCTTATTTCGACGATTAAAATTTAATATTACATGTGATGCTTGTAAAATGCGTTATACAACATTTTACTTTATAATAAGCAGATCGTAAAATATTTTATCATATTTCAAGCGGCTTCCGTGATCATAACATATTTATTGTACTCCAATAATAACTCAATTTTAAAATAATATTAAATTTGCAAATGCGCGTGCATGTTTAATTTTTTAATTTTCGTTTACCTTCGTTCATTTGATTTTGAAGGTATCGAGCGAGTAAACATTTTTAAATTATCTTTTCGGCTATTAGAGAATATTTCGATGGGATAATACAAATAGTGCTCTATGGCTAGTCTCAGTCTGTTTATAAAATCGACATGCAAACTGTTTATAATGCAAAATAAAAATATATTTTTATTTACGATGTGTATGTGTACATATAGAGAATAAAAACATTCCAAATACTGTCTGTAGCTTGCGCGAGTAGTACACATTGAAATAAAACACTTTAACGGTTTAAAAGCGATATATATAAGTTAAACTTGCCGCTAACTACACTCTAGTTAAACTGAAATATATCGCGTTTTTAACCGTTAAAGTGTTTTATTAAAAAAACCACTCCAAACTATATTGAGGTCCTAAGTATGATTCTTCATTCAATCACTGCCCGTCTGACACGCGTTCTCAGGTAAAAGAAAAACATCTTGAAATACCAGACAGCTCTAAAACCAGAACCCTTACTTCTATACAGTTACTAAACATGTACAGCATGGTACATGCATAGTATTATTATAGCATGTATGGCTAATAAACAACTAGTCATACATTCGATCTCTAAAGAGCCCAACATTTTTCTACTCATTTAATAATCTTCTGAAACATGTTGGACTTCGATTGGACATAAGGATATTAAATCAGTGGTAGAAATAACAGAATTCCAGGTCATGAAACACCGTCCAAAGATGACATTCCGTCATGTCTAATTGCGTCTTCAGTCTGTGGATTTCTCAATATCCAAAGCCAAAATAGACGGACATCACGCCTTTTTTTATATTATATGGCTGTGGTATTTCACCAGCCATTAAGTGAAGCTTGTCGGTCTTCTTCTATCACAAAAACCCTGATAATGATGATTATGACGTTTTTACAGGTATAATGAGTCGTGTAGGAAGAACTAGGCGTACCCGAGTCTATGACTGCAATTACAACAAAGGTGAGAGCTACTATCGGCCAGTACTCGACCGTCTGGATGGGAAGGCGCCAGTAGCTCGTGAGCCTGAGAAGGAGCGTATCAGGTCTGATGTCGAGAACCGTATTAGGAGCGCCCTGGACGACATTGAAGCACCGGCTGAGGATCTCTTCGATTCAAGAGGTGGGCGCGTACAGCGAGGCAGACCACTGTCATCTGCTTTGGAAGACGAGGAATTTAGTGATGATGTAAGTTGTTTTCTGAATGTAGATAAACATTGCTCAATGAAAGAAGTAATCGCCAAACGTATTAATAATTCCTTTGGCAGAGGCCGAAGCGATTTCTAAAATGGCTCAAAAAAGGCTCAGTTTAGCTTCAATGCAAAATAAACATATATTTTTTAAACGACAATAAACCGATTATACTTCTAGAAAGTCATTGTCTATATATCTCTACTGAAACGTAATTCAGTAGTTAAAGATATTTAATTAAAACGCTTTTAACGGTTTAAACTCGAAATATATTAGTTAACTTGTAAACAATGTATATTAACTACGATCCGACGTTTTGGATACTTTACTCGCTATCACGGCTGCAAAGTGCAAGCATATGTAATATCGGACTGTATTTAAAAATAGATTATTATGTTTCTCGTTTTAAACCGTTAAAAGTGTTTGATTTAATTGTGTAGACTACAGACAATGCTTACATACTTATTTATTATGTTTAAAGTACAGGATATCAAAGGTCCGTTCAATTAATGAATTTGTAAAGGGAATGGCGGTTAAAACTTTTCTTCTAATTTCCCGCCTTTATGCAGTAGTTTATAGAGTTTTCCTAGAGCCATCCAATTTAATTAAACACAACTGGAACAGATATCCTGCTGTCATCTTTTGTTTGTTCGAGCTAGAAAGACGTTCGAATTCGTTGTAAATCGCTTGGTATATTTTACAAAGCGTCTCACCTTCTGCAATAAACATTATTGAGTAGAAATATCACAACAGGAAGCTAAAGAAATATGCTATAGCTGTGTCAGCGACTTCGTCCGTTCGTTCGTTCGTTTATTTTTGCAAACCTCTACATCTTTACAAATTTAAGCTGCCCACGACATCCGTCGCGTCCCGTCGCTCGCGACCCGTCGTTCGGGTCCCGGCGTTCTTGCAAGTTAATCTTAAAAGATAGACATATAGTATTGCCGACATTTTTTTCAAAATATTTAAAGAAAAATCATTCTTACATACATATTTTTTGGGTGTCTTGAGCAGTTTTCGCAGCGATGCCGAAACCCACAGAGATGCAAAATTTTCCCCATTTTGTTCACATTACTCGCTGTATCTTCGCAGCGCGATGTTTTGTAGCCTTCCTCGATAAATATTCTAACCAACACAAAAAAAAAATCAATTGGAACCCGTAGTTCCTGAGATTGGCGCGTTCAAACAAACAAACAAACTCTTCAGCTTTATTTTAGTATAGATAAGAAGTCATTTTACAAAGATGAGAGTATTAGGATCAGTGACATGTAATTTCTTTTTAATTACCTACTATCATAACATAGATATGATAGAGAAGGACAGACCAGCATCGCGTTCATTTGATGGAAGGTAAAACATCTCAGTTGTATAATCATCAGATGCATTGTCGACTTATTTCGACTTTCGATATATAAATATCACAGACTAAAAACGTAATGCGAAACTTCACGGATTTTTCGTCTGTGGACGGTGTTTCATAATACGGACGGTCGATAGTCCTACCATCCATTTAATATCTAGTATTCCAAGTCGAATAAGTTTCAAAAAAAAAAAAATTAGAAAAATGTTGCTCCCGAGATCGAATCTACGACCCGTTGGTATTAGCTAGCTAGATTACCACCATTAGACCAACGTGCCCGTCAAAATGTTTATTAAGTAATTTTTGTAAGGAAACATATTCAATCATTTAGCTATCTACTTACGTAAATTACATATAATTTGATGTCAACACTTAAAACAATACAGGGGTTGCAAATATACCGCGACCGCGGACTAATAGTATTTTACACAGCTGTCCGTCAATTTTCAAATAAATTATTAATATAACGTACCGATTATGCGTATTAATAATTAATTTTAGTTTTAAAATGTCAAATAAATATAAGATCAAAATAAATAAAAATGTTTTGGTTGCATAGTCGACGAGACACGCGCGACGTTACCCGCGGCACATCCGTTTCAAAACTTTCTCGAAGGTCTCTCCTACGGGATTTAAAAACTTAGACCCACTACGCTTCTCATATGCAGATTGGTGGGCTTTTTTTACTGTAGCTACTAAATTCGGTACGATTACCGGCTAACACATCCTTATATGGTCTACCAATAAAGACGACGTTTTATTTTCAAACACCGAGCTGATTAGAAATTATTCTCTGAAATGTCTTACAGTGTTTAAAAGCTTAGACCCACCAAACTGCTCAGATGCGGTATGGTGGGCTTTAACGACTACCACTATTAAATTTGATTATCGGCTAACATATTTTTATTTGGTTTACCAATAAAGAAAAGTTCTATTTTTAAACGGCCACCTACAGAGAAGGTCGTCTTAGAATAGGACTCGTCTCGTCTCGTTTTAGCTACTGAGCTAAATGGTAAAATGTCCTGGGTTCGAATCCCGGGGGAAAAGTAAATTGTTTCGGTCGGGCAGGGCATAGAAGTCTGATCAACTACTTGTCTGTAAATAAAACCGATCGATGAGACGTACACAGAAATTTTTTCGCCCCATGGCAACGGGATTCCACCTTCTATTTTAAACACCAACTGCGGGATTTGAACCTTGAACTTCGTGAAACTACGAGGCAGATAAAATAAAATATACTTTATTCTATTCATAATATCAAAAATTATTTAGATTCATTAAAAGATGTTTATACGTTTATATGTTTATAAGTTTATACGTGTTCATCTCGGTCAACGTGACCGAGATGAACACGTATAAACTAATACATTTTTGTGAGTTGATTAACCCAAGGAGAATCTTGTCATAAAGAAATCGTTCAAACAACAATACGCCTTTAAGATAATTTCAATTTTATGACTTTTATCACCCTCTTAGCTATTAAAACAAATAACATATTTGCAGCGATAGCAACTGCCGCACTTCACAAGTTGACACAAATCAATTAAGCATTTAACCAATGCATTTGCAAAGCTTACAAGTGTATTCGGTATTTGGTTATCGATGCCCGCTACTAGCCACAGAGTGATTCAATAACATTATTTAAATTAAAACGAGACGAGTATATTGCAAAGCCCCCAGGTATTTTGCGCATTCAAAATGAGGTGAATAGCTTTTCAAACCGAAAGCTTTGTTGATTCATTGACTATTGAACTATAAGTAATGGTCTGATAAAGTAATATACAATAGTTTGTAGTACAAATTTACCAAAACGTGAACTTCTACGTATAACATACCGTTTATTAAAGTTTTTTCATTTCGACGCAAAACTGTAATAACGTACAGTTTTGATGACGTTTCTGCCTGACTAGTGTTGACAAGTAACTAAAAACTGTTGCTAAAAACATGTTATATCTAAAATGGATTGAAGCGCTATATTCGCTTCCAAAATAGATTCGGGAGATTGAATAAAAATTACGGCTATTACCATAGATCTAGGAATAAATACAGAGCAGTTGTCCGTTATCTATATCTTTACTAATATCTATACTAATATAATATAAAGCTGAAGAGTTTGTTAGTTTGTTTGAACGCGCTAATCTCAGGAACTACGGGTTCGCATTAAAAAAATCTTGTGTTGGTTAGAACATTTATCGAGGAAGGCTATAGGCTATAAAACATTGCCCTGTGACTAATACAAGCGAAGATACAGCGAGAAATGTTAAAAAAAATGGGATAATTATTCATTATTCTGGGTTTTCGAGGCGCACGCTGCAAAAACGGTTCAAGATACCAAAAATATATGTACCTAAGTATGAGTTCTCTTTAAATTATCTAAAATAAAAATAGGTAAAAAGCTTTTTAAGTTAAACGGTTTTATGTTAAACATACATTGCAATGTTTAAGATAAATGTATCAAAACCCAAAAAATAATAAAATAGATACAGACAGACAGAGTTACTTTCGCATTTATAATATTAGTATAGATTATGCAACACAATATCAAAATAGCAGTAATGCAAAATTAACGTGTAATGCCTTTATTGTGAAAGCTTTGAATATAGACAAGTGTATAAATGTGTTCTGTATTCAAATAATTTATCTTAACGCTGCAAGAGTATGTATTCGGTGACGTAAGAAGATTATAAATAACAGAGCTGCATGTGTTTCAGGTCAAAATAAAATTAAGACGCTTTTCAAGAATTCTATATAAATAAATTGTGAAAGGCTTCTGCGGCCATCGTTCAGAATATCATTGTTTTGTAAACGAGAAGAGTTTCTCGACGTTTCGCCATCAAGAGTTAGTTTCGAACAATCGAGGAGCTAACATCTCCTGATGATGCCGTTCGCACGTTAATTCGTAACGAATTCTATATTATCTTCAGCATCGACGCAGGTCCTCTCTCTCACGGTTGAGGGGTGGTAAAACCTTAGGCAATGGTGAAGTAGTGGTCCGATGAAATACCAATTTGTTTTCTTTAAATTATGTTTAAGGAGTGACATGAATACTAGTAAGATAAGCATGACCAATCAAATAATTTATAAGAATTAGACGCTAAAACAACAAATTTAAATATAGACTATTATGCACCGTCCCATTATAGCATACAGATTCACGCCTACCCACACAAAAATATAATTGGAGAAACACACGACGAAACTACTGCGTATTTAGTTATAATACCAAAAATAGAAAGGCCATAATTAGCCGATTTGAAGTAGAGAATTGCACACTTAGAAGGTCGGGATCGAGAACGCATTATAAATACAGGGCTTCATGAATAGATTTAGTAGAAAATGCATTCAAATAAAATATTAAACGATTTAAAACGCGAAATATATTAGTTAACCGTACTTAAAAATCTTTTTTAACTACGGCCTATAATTTATTATTATTGAATAAGTTGAACTAGTATATTTCGCGTTTTAAACCGTTCAAGTGTTTTTTTTTTCTACTCGCGTAAACTACAGACAGTAGCAAAATACGCACAGTCATTATAGTGGAGGACAGACATCATTGGGTTATAAGGTTATATATGTATGGTTACAATAATACCCAATCCATATAAAATCTAAATAAATTTGCTGTCGACCTATATTGACTATGGATATTCGTAAATCCACAGAGTGAAACCGAAACGCGATCAAGCTTCACGGCTTCTCCCTCTGTGGACGGTGGTTCGTGACCCGGACGGAATCTCGATCTTCCTATCACCCGTTTAACATCTAGATTGATGAAGATGAAGCCCAAAAATTATAAATTGATTAGAAATAGGTTGGACCCGGTTGGGATGTAACCACGACCCGTTGATTATTAGCCAAATATCGCTACTAATAGACCAACTAGCCCATCAAAGTAGCTCGACCAGTACGGAATTTATTTATTTGGATCAAAATTAGAAATTTAGACACCTCCTCGTTGTCACATTGATGTGAAATTCGGTACACACATTTAATTTAGATGACAAGTAATAAAGTCAAAAACCATATAAATCCAAAATGGCCGCCGATACAAAATAGCGGAATACATATATTTCCTTTTCCAAAATAAGATATATTTTGAAAAAATAATGTAGCGAGAAAGGCTTTATCGCTAAAATGCAATTTCTTCCAGGCAACCTTGAAGATGGAGAGCTCTATTAAAAGTTCATGCTTATTTAGAGTTGTCTTCACAATAAATGTGTGTAATAGAATAATTAAGCCGGATGTCCACTAATCAATGAAAATAACTCGTGTGTTATTGCCCTAATGTCGGTTCTGACTTTCGATTAAGCCCTTTGAATTGGTTCGTTTAATGAGTAGTGGGTGTGTTTTGGTAAATACACATATAACGGTAATTAATGTTGGCTAGTTTTGTTTCGACACTAATTTGTGGAGTTCGCGTACTGCAATTGATTGTAGTAATAAGGATATATGTTCCATTTTCAAATAAATAATTAGGAAGTAGTTTGTTGTTACTAAGTGGATTGACATTTTACTATTTTTACTTTGAACGATGGTATGAGATTGATATTCCGAATAACAAAGCCAAAATAGGTCGACCGCACATACTATTTAGATGTTATATGGCTGGGGTATTACAAGTGAACATGCTCGTCTGTTCTCCTCTATCATAAACAAATTGAGACATACATGTGTGTCAGTTTTTGATCCACGGTGGGGCGTGGGGCACATACAGCTTAGTATGTTCACCATGTTAATTTACAAACTAATAGTCCGACGTGCTTAGGACTTGAACCCAGAACTAATCAATGATAGGCGACACGTTTGAGTGGGACCAAGATTCGTAATATGTTATTTCTACCATCGCTATATATTTTTTTTAATTTAAAACGTAATTAATGAAATATACACACAAACTGCTTTATAAAATAAGCCACCTTACCATATAATCGTTTTTATTAAACGGAAAGCACTTACCACTGAACCATACAAGTAAATAATTCCATATATATAATAGTAAATTTATAATAAATTATCAAAAATTTAAAAATAAATAAAATGGTGAAAAAACATAAATACTAATTGATTTTAATATAAAATCTTAACATAATACTATGTTATAATGCATGCCTGTGCATATTTCGCAGTGAAACATTATCAATAGCTGTGCGCCACGTATACCGTTTAAATACGTGGAAATTCATAAACAGAGATATTTGAAATCAGTGGTATTATTTCCGTAACACTGAAATTCCAGAACAAATATGATATTCAGCTAAAATACTAGCAGTATATAATTATATTAGTGTTTCAGCTGAATTTCATGTTTGTTATCGACGGGTTAGTTCTAAATTCAATACAATTCATTGGTGGAATACAATTTTCACAGATAGAAGAATTGTAAAACATATATAACACTGCCCCAGTAACGCCAGTAAAGCCTCACAAACAATTTAATCTGGATTCTTTACCGTGATTGATGGTCAGTTTTATGTGACACGCGGCTTCGCTAGTTGATCTTTAACAATTGGACGATAAAATTAACTATCAAACGCAAGACACAGTTACCTACATGTCGCTCGAAGCAAGCCAAACGACAGACAGGAATAGAATGGACGCAAAATATTATATGACGCGGCGAAACATCAAACACGTGTGGAAAGTTCGTTTTTAAGTTTGAATTTAGAACAATTGTTGCATTTCTACCGCCATCGTGGTTTAGTGGTTGCGTTTCGTAGGAGCACCTAGTTGATCCTAGATATGTGCAGTATGTAGTGTCCGTATTAGAAAAACACATACACGTTTTTAAAATTAATATTAAGGCTAAATATAATAAGAAATAGAGCAAGGGAACGATGTTTAATGCTCTTGAGAGTCCTCTAATACAAGTTACTAAATACTGCAATTTATTTGTTTTTGAAGTGAAACTTCTTTATCGACGTTGGAAAAAGATTTACCGTCACATTTTTCAGTTACGAGTCACATTTTTCCGTTACGCGCCCGGCTGAGCACGAGAGCAGGAGGTGTAAGAATATATCATAATTCTAATGATGTTGTTAACGTTGTGACTTCATCGATAGATTTTTCTGTTTTTTCTCCTGACTTTCATGGGTCACTAGCATCAGCAGCTGGTGATTTATGTATGGCTCAATGCCAAATGGAAAATGGGATACAAATTTTAATTGTTGCACTGTATATATCTCCTAATCAGAAGTTGGACGATATTATTAATTTTCTTCACTATTCATTGTTGTCGTACACAAGTGGAGGTGCCTCTTTACTCGGTAACAATAATGATAAAATACCGACGATTTTAAGTGGAGATTTTAATGTCAATTTTGCATCGGAAAAATCTTTGAAGCTAGTTGAATTTCTGAAAGATAAATTGAATTTATCCATGAAAAACAGTCCTCAAACGTCAACAACAAGATCTGGCACTACAATTGATGGAGTTTTTACTCGGTCACTAAATTTCGTGGAATGTAAACCATATATTTCATATTTCAGTTACCATAAGCCATTAATTATAAAATATATAATAACGATGACAATGATAGTGATAATTCTATTACAATTAATGAAATTCTGTAATAATCTTAGTAGCAAAAAGTTAAAGTGAAATAATTGTATTATTTGTATTCATGTCTATGATAATAAAATCATTTTGTTAAACTTTATCTAATTTAACTTTATTTAACCAATTTCTGGAACGTTGCATGTAGATCATTTTGCGAAAAGAAGTTTCACTTCTTACGTGTGTACACTAGTACACGTACAGATTTTTTATTAGTTAAAACATTATGTCGTGATGTGAAACGTTTAAATTTACAATTTATATAATGGGGGATATTTATTTATATTTTATAATCTAAATTAATTTCAAACGAATTGCGAACTCCAACTGGATTAAAGATGTGGTCTTATAACAAACTGAAGTAGATCGCTAGTGCCTAAATCCTTAACCGGCTCAAAACCAGGCACTTTTATTATTTTTTTATAGAAATACGACAAATTAACCAATTCAATTATGTAAATCATATAGCTTAATTAAATATTAATTAACTTAATTTAAAGTTATTTTTTTTTAAATATTTCAATTGTAACATTCAACCGAATGGATTATAGTATATATAGATAATTCAAATTCTCTTTTTAATGTTCTAAGATTCGCCAATGTTACTTGCTTTTTAGTTGCCACTCTAAGAAAGGCTTTGTATTTCCAGATCACTGAATCACTGAAACGTTTACGCGCCAACAAGAAGATTTCTCGTTTCTCCGACGACATTGACTTCGAGAACAGCGTGTCGAACCTGGAAAACCGAATGAAGATATCCGACAAGATTCTCGAGAGTGCTGGTATAGGACAGACTGAAATGTCAAGCGCGCGGCGGGCTCTCAAAGAGAACGAGGACCGCACTGAAAAGCGCATAGCGCGTAGACTGAACGAAGACAGCTCTTTGACTAAATGGACAGCAATCAAGGACATCGATGACGAATCAGCTGCGGTGCAAAGAGCTAAAGCTACAAGAGCTCGTCTTTCTGATCTAGAAGACGAAATGTCAGAACTTACAGAACGAAGCGCTGCTAGGGAGAAACGCGCAGCACGCCTCAGAGCACTCGTAGCAGATACCGATGCCTGCGACACAACAGTTGCAGCAACAAAAATCACAGTCCGCGCTGAGAGAGAGAAGAAGCAAGTCACCTTTTAAGAGTAGACCCTCTTTGGAAACTCATAGAGTTTTTAGAGTGTGCGTTTAAGATGTAAGCGAATATTTTTTTTTGCATTTGTCAATGTTAAACGTTGAAGTTGGTGTCTATTTTATACTTGTTATATAGAGTAAATTATACTTATATTGGTGGTTTTATTATACCTGTAAGTGTTGCAAATCTGTGTATGATAAACTGAAATTAAAATTGATGATATATCAATTTTAAATATAGTCTTAGAGCCAAAAACCAACAATAATAAAAATTGTCGTCCTAGGTCAAAATTGCTGTGTTTGTGTTATTCATTTGTTTGATACAGTCATAAGTTCCGGTGACTACGACTACCTACTACTGATTCTTAAATTAATTTAAAAATACATTTTCTTTATTTAAATTTTGTAAATAAAGAAATACATTTTCACATTTACGAAGTATAGTTTTGTCTGTACGAAATGTAGAAAATGTGGAAAAAATATCATATCCAACAGTTAATCAGCAAACGAAATTCTAAAACGAATTGTGAACCAGCAGATAGAGAAAATTGAATACGACTCAAATCTAAACGTTAAACAAAAAAGAATCAAAATGATGAACAGGAAAAATGCAACGTAATTAAAATATAACTCCAGCTCCCTCGGGTCTATTCTCCAGCAGTTTCAGTAAAGACGTCAATTCCAGCTCGCCTTTGTAATTAGTTAAGTTCCTTGTATTCTTTTTAAGGTTCAGTATCAGAGAGAGAGATAAACCATTCAGTGAAGCCGTAATCACTAAGTAAAGGCTAGGTGTTTCTATAATTTTCTTAAAAGGAAAGTTATTTAAAAACATTATCAAGGAATGATTGAACACCGTCTGTAGTTTACGCGATTATAACATTTAAATAAAATAAAACGCGATATGTTTTAGTTAAAATTATTTTCACGGGGAGGCAAAGCATCCGATACGTCGGGCCGTAGTTAAGAATCATTTCAAACAAGTTTAACTAAAATATATCGCGTTTTAAACCGTTAAAGTGTTTTATTTAAAAGGGCGGTTAATGTTGGTTATAGTAAACGCGCTCTGGTGTCCGCATATTTAGGACTAGCTGAGCCAGCGAATTCGTTCGCGTAGAATAGTTAGTTATTCGGGCATCCAAATTTCTTTTTTACCCACGACGTGGGTCGCATCCCTTCCCGTTGTTCTTGCAAGATAATCTTAAGAGATTATAGCGCCGTGGACTTTTTTTAGATCATTTATATTTTTTGGCTATCGTGAACCGTCTTTGCAGCGTACGCCTCGGAAACCCATATTGATGAATAATTTTCCCAATTTTCTTCACATATCTCGCTGAATTAGTCACAGGGCGATGGTTTATAGCCTATAACCTGCCTCGATAAATGCTTTAACCAACACAAAACATAATTTTTCAATTCGAACCAGTAGCGCCTAGCTACCGGAAAAATTGAGACTAGCGCGTTCAAACAATCTTTTCAGCTTTATACAAGTATAGATTATAGATAGTAAACGCAGAAAGAACATTTAATTATTTTAAAAAACATATATCAGACATAAGTAAATTTAACATAGGGTTTATTCCAGTAGTAACTGTCATATCTAGTATACTTGTTTTTATGCTAAACCAAACAGCTCCATCTATCGGTCAGTGGGCTGAACCATATCGTACTCTTATTATATTTTGTTGACCTAATAATAAATTTAGTAAAATCGTTATTTTGTTTTATAATGTACTTATAGGTAAAAGAGATGGCGCTAGTGTGGGCTATTTTTCCCATCTTTACGTTACCGTAGGAAATATAACTTAAGACTATACAGAAAATAAATAAATAAACAAGCCATAATGACTCAAAACAATATTGTTTTTACGTGGTAAAAAAATGTTATACTTGAGATCGAAACGCACGTCCAACAGAATACGCTGTTTGAATCCTGTAGGTAAAAAGGCAAAAATACTTTTGGAATTTATTTATTAACAAAATTTCTTAGAAAAACCGAGTCATTGATATAATACGAAATATGTAAGCTTTATATAGATACGAGTACAACTGGAATCTGTGTTAAATAAACTCTCTGTGCCATTTTTCCCCGTTTTTCCACATTTCCCTTTATTTCGTCGCATTTATTGGTCGTTAACTAACTAACACAAAAAAAGTCAATTTGAACCAGTAGCTCCTGAGATCAGCGCGTTCAAACAAACAAAAGTAATTCAGCCTGGAAGGACGCAAAAATACTGACAAGTTGTTCAGTATTTTTGCGTCCTTCCTTTGTAAATAAAATAAGGTAATACTCCATGTTACATGTCTAATAGTGCCATTAAAACCAATTCAAAAACTAGCAAAAATTGTCTTATAAATAAATGGCCTCCAGCTCTCTAACTATAAACCTTTTGAACGAGTAACGATATATTTATCGTTAAATGAAATTAAAAGCAGAAACTTAATCGTACATCTCAGACACTATAAAATAACTCACGAAGCGATAACATTAAGAAAGTATTGATACCTTCAATAACAAAAATACACCTTGTGAATTGGCGCGAAAAGCGAGGCGATCAGATTGAAGCCAAATTCATCAATATTTTTGTTTCGGTGGCAATGATCAGCTGACGAAGTACACAAATGATCAGGTCATGACAATTGAGGCAGCTAGAGCCAGAGTGGCCTAATAACAATACATCATTTTCAATAAGGAGGATAATAAAATTGCGCAATTCACTTAGGCGAAAATGAATTGGTACAATTATTTGTGTAAGGGTTGTGTTGACAATTTTCGGTCACTGTAATCTTGTAGATTATCTTTTTTAGACTATAGAAATATAAATAGTCAAGTCATAAAATTGCAGTTAGGCCACTCTGGCTCTAGCGACCTCAATTGTTATTGTTCGGACCAATAGCTACGTGCGTTTGCCGTTACCAATTTCCATATGCTCTGTTCTTTAAATGATGTAATCGACACGACTGTCGCAACCTGGGTTTTTTAATGATACGGGAGGACAATCAAGTATAGAGTTCAGTTGATGGGAGGCGAAATATTCCAGCCGTATAACATTTACACAAGATGCTGCCAAATTTAGCTCCTGGTTAGACCAACAGGATAGAACGCTGAGGATGCCGGTTTAAATACTGCCCGAGTCTTTTTTTTCAATTTATAATCGATCTATACTTTATTCAAATATTTCATTTAATTCAATGTGTTTTCCAAGAGTTTCTATAAAAGGAAAGCTTACAACTTTCCACAGCAAACGTCAAAGGAAAACCGATTTTCTATGCACCGCAGGTATGATTAAAAATATATTCCCTATCACTTAAAAGTTTCTCATGAACACATTGTTATCCACGGTATGAATAGTTTCCCGCGACGCAAGTTTGCACGCTGAGCATTGAAAATACCTGTTTTGCTTCAGTTACAGCGAGCGAACTTTCAAGAATGTTTGCTTTGGATTAGAGCTTCATCAATTTTGTACATGGGAGCACGAACAACCACTGTTTATGTTACAGAGGTTAACATTCATAAACAGGATTTACAAATTAAGATTTCTGGCAGATGCGGTCGTTTTAACAACGAGACAATCGTTCACTTTTAACGGTTCAAAACGGTGATCCAGCCAAACTTCTCCAAAATACTAACTGCGAAGAAACAGATGGCGCTGGCGTCAATTTGACTTTAACATTAGGGACACTCTCCAGAGAGTTGCGAGTTGGTGATTTTAACTATTACATTAGTGATAAGTACTATACATTTTGTTATAACAATTTCAAAAACCGAACGAACAATATGCCGGGAATCGAACATTACATAGCCGGTACTCAAGTGTGCTAGCCACTAGACACGCGAAAATATGCATAATATTTTCCCATGATTGAATGTAAGCGGTGATTAAGATAATTGGCAGTAATAATTTTTTTAAGCAAGTATGCTCTTAATTTATTATCTGTAGTTTAAAAACTTAATTACTGACAGCGTAATACCAAAATTAAAAATGTATTTCGAACCGGCATCCAACCAACCGCTCTAAAATTGTATCTATAGCTACGTATTGTTTCGATTTTTAAAAGAAAGAAAAATAAAAGAGCACAGATAATAATTAACCGCCAAGACAAACGTCGTACACAGATTATAACCATATTACATACTAGCTGTATCAGCGACTTCGTCCGCGCATAATAGTTCTTTTGGACATCCAAATTTGTTTTAGCAAGCCCCTTCATGTTTATAGAGTTAAGCTGTTAGCCACGACGTCGGTCCCGTAGTTTTTGCGAGTTAATCTTAAATGATAGACATGTAGCGTCAATCATTCTCTCATACATATTTTTTAGTATCTCGAACCGTTTTTGCAGCGTACGCCTCGGAAACCCATACTGATGGAAAATTTTCCCATTATTTTACAATTCTCGCTGTATCTTCGCTTGTATTGACTTACTGACTTGACTTAATATCCTTAATAGCTGGGGCAGAGGGCGTTTACAGTGGTCCTCCATAACGATCGGACGGTCCGGTTTTCCACTGTATTCGTTTCATTAATCAAGCTGTTTTGGGCAAGCAGGTGATTAGCTTTCTGTACCCTAGTTTGCTGGTGGGGCTGCCACCTCTGAGTTCGCAGACTAACTCGGTTTTATGTCGGGTTGCCCTGTTATTGTCTGTTCTCTGGGGTTCGGTTGTGTAATTTTGTGGCGCAGAACATTCACTCGGTGCCCTGTATCCTTAGCAACCACAGCTTGGAGTAGCGGTCACGCGGTTGCGCGGCTGTAGCAGTTCCCGAAGTGGACGACGGGGACGTGGACAGCTCGGACTAGCTGGGTTCAGGCTCTAGCCGGTGTTCCACTACTAACACAGCAGGAAACCCGACTTCCCAACCCCTACATTGCTTGTATTACAGGGCAATATTTTATGGCCTTCCTCGATAAATGTTCTAACCAACACAAGATTTTTTTAATTCGAACCCGTACTTCCTGAGATTAGCGCGTTCAAACAAACAAACAAATTCTTCAGCTGTATATATTAGAATAGTATAACAAACTTAAAATATAAGTTGTCTCTTATCGTTTTATGTATTAAGTAGGATCAATTATATTGTATAATTTTAACCACATACATACCGTTTCTCAGACGAGTTTATTTCCCGAACTACTTCTCATCAGACTTATACATCAAAGTGAATTTATGCTGTGCTCATTTTGAACTGAGCTGAACAATGGCCGGTACCAAGTATGCGCCTCAATTATTCACTGTACATAGAAAATACGTAAGTACGAATTGTACTTTGTCAAATATATGAATCTACAATGAGCAATTATTGATAGCAGATATAGGCACAAGGAAACTTGAAGCTTTAATATTGCACATGATGACACTATAAAAATGAAAAATCGATTTCAGATCAAAACAAATTAAGACACGAACAGGATTTTTTTCAATCTAAAGTCGATTTTTAACGAAGAAGGTTAGTTTTATCCTTAACTTGTTTTTAGTGATATTAATTTAATTAAATATTAGGGTTGTAGGCTATATTAAAATAGAAATTTAAAAAACCAACGTGAAATTTACAATTTCTGATGCTGATATAGTTTTATTCCAAAAATTAAATGTTGCGAAATCAATTAACAAAAATTACATGTACGGAGCATATTCTATTGAATAACATTCGAATTTTAACAACGCAGTGGTTCATTAATATTCGTGTAAAATATTGGCGTGGGCGAAGTTACAGCTATCGACGGCGATCCGATTCCGACATGTGTCGTAAGTTGTAAATAGGCTTACGATTTCTTTTATTTTGTTTACATTTTAACATTTTGCGTAGTTATCCTTTAGTATTATATACATACGTACAGGGAACGTATGCCAGGTTAGGTAGCTAACCTGGCATACGTTCTTTTGCGATATGAAGAATTTTGACCAAATGAAAACCTTTTTTTTGAGAATTGGGGCTGTCTTCAAATTCTTGGGAGGTTATCTTAAATATATATACTGTTACGGACATTCTTCAGTTTATTTAAAGAAGAATATTGTCTATCCCTATTGGGTAGCTTAAACCGTATTCGAAGCGCACGCAATGCAAACCCTAAAAGGTGAATAATTTTGCACCATTTCTTCAGGCCTATTATAATATTTTTTTTTGATTCAAACCAGTAGTTTCTAAGATTAGCGAGTGCAAATAAATATACAAACAAGCTCTCCAGCTTTATAATATTAGTATAGATTAAGACCACAGGTAGAGGATACTTGGTGGGAACAGGCCGAGCCTGATATTTTTCAACACGTTAATACATTTTAAATAACCTTTGTGAGTTTTAATGGGTATACTATATAAAACAAATAGATAGCCTCTTTAACTAATTTGTTTCAAGTTTATAATTGTTAAAAATGATGAGTTAAAAAAATTATTGAAAAAAAAAACACTTTGAATCGATTTTTGTGAATGTAACTATATAATAATATCAAAATTCTAAATCGACGATAACGTGTAGGACTCGATAGCTCAATTGGTTAGAGCAACAGCACGGAACGCTGACGCTGCCGGTTCAAGTCGTGCCCGAGTCGTAATTTTTTTTATTTATTTTCGATTTTTAATTTATATAGTGCCATACACGTGTAATAAAATGTGAAAAAATATTAAAACACGTTCAAGAAGTTAAACATTTACACTAATTTAAATTTAGAATCTTTTTTCTATTTTCGTTTATCACTGGAATGCGTGAAATTGTTCGGGATAAATAAAATTAAATAATGACATAATACTATAATAACATTTTAGACGTTTAAAATAGTGAGCAGCTGTAATCCATGACTGACAGCAAACGTTTCTGACTTACCGCCAGTGCCAAAAAGCGAAAAGAAATACGCAAAAACATTATTTTCGCGAGATATTTCTATAATTTACATTTTTTTTAATGTTTCAGCAGGACAGACATGGCGAAGGATTCTCGTGATGCTAGGTGATATACCCCAGCCTATAGCATCTAAGCAAATTGCGCTGTCGACCTATTTTGGCTTTGGAAATCCACAGACTGAAACCGTAACGCGATTAAGCTTCACGGCTTTTTCATCTGTAGACGGTGGTTGACAAACGGAATTTCTATATTCCAAATTTAATATCCAGGCTTCCAGACGAAGTCCAGCGTGATTCAGAAAAATTATAAATTGAAAAATTAAAAACACTTTGGACCTGGTGGGGAGCGAACCCAAGACCCATTGATCATTAGCCACACATTCCTACCATTAGACCAACGTGCCCGTCAGACTTAGCTTAATCATTTCCTTAATCCTGTTTTAAACTTCCAGCCGGTGAGACGAGTGGGCAGAGACGGGAGATTACATTAACTACATCGTAGTATGTTTCAAATATTATATTTAATATTAATATTCGAATGAGCATCTCTGTGGGACGCAATACCAGATTATGAATGCAATAAGATTTAGTGAAAATAACCTATGATTACTTTTCACAGGTTTTACACGATTTTAAACAAATTGTAGAACTAACAGCGAACTCTTGAATATATTTTACCTGTTATTTCACATAATGGAAATTAATAATTGATTATAAATTCAATTCCTACCCGTGTCATATGTTTTCTACAATTTAAAATCGATTTTTAATATATATAGAGAAAATATATATGACAATCTATAAGAGTATATCTTAGATTTGAATCCATTCGAGACTCCATTCGATCGAATTGGTTCAATGTTAAACAATTGGGCATATCATTCGTCGAAAAGGTACGCTACGCATAAACACACTGAGTAAGTAAAACATCGTTATTGTGACGATAGATTATTATAAATATTCGAAATTTAAATCTACTGTACTCTATGTGTTGGTGTTAAATTTATCGTATCTTAACGATAAAATTATAATTACGAATAGCTATGATATGTAGATTAAAATAGTTTTAATAATGCTGCTTATGTTTAAAAAAAGCATGTCAGCTTTGTCTCTTTTTGAAATAGTATATTTTGCTTCGCTAATCACCTTCTTGTTATCTATATATTTTTATAAATTCTAGGTTGCCTGGAAGAAATCGCTTGTTAGCGACTAGACCGCTAATTAACTCCACATTAGTATATAAATCTTGTTGGTATTTTTTTCTTAAATAGGTAATTTCATTTTGTTTGTAAAAATGCAAGATCGTGTAAGTGCTTTTGTTATTGACTGTACTCTCACGAAATAACATCCTTTGAAATGTCAATTTTGACCACCTGAAGTAGTCCTATTTCCCCCGGTTAGGTATGGGGTGAAAACATTTCTGCGCCAGTTTCACCGATCGAATTTTCTTTACGGGCAGTTGATTAATCTACCTACCCGACCGAAACCCTTTAATGTTTTCCCGGGATTCTAACCCAGGACCTCTAAAGCTTAACGCTAGGCAACATGTGTAACCATTTAGCTACAGAAGCGGTCCCTTGTTGTTTGATAGTTATTATTGTATAAATCAAAACCATCTATATTCTATTGTCTATTTTGTGTAAAGAAATGAGTAATCCTGTAGAGACAAGATGCGATTCTGCACCAGGTGTTTCGTGACACATCGTACCTTTCAATATAATATTCTGGTACGTTCTTGACATTAGGGTCCGCAATAGAGATATTAATCCTTACTAATCCACCACTGTCGCTTAATTAACGAACACCTGCCGCCTGTGACGCCAGTCTATTGTGTGACATAAAAATAGATAGAGCGCAAATTACGATATTGACCTGTTATTTAAGATCTCATGACAAAACCTGGCTCTTATCCACACATTACTCGGCCGAAACAGAATTTGTTACAATACATTCATTGTGGCTTCCACTACAACAAAACGGGTGTCAATTGACATGTAATTTTCTAATTTCTCACGTCCGAATACACGAAAGTGAGATATGAAAATTGGCACGGCGTTTAGCGCGAAAATTTTTGATGAACGGCACCGTATTGACAGAACATCATTGGCAAACGATAGGACCGTGCCAATGTCTCGAGCTGCGCTTGCGACAGTCAGGTGGGGTCGAAGGGAGATAAATCGAGAGCCTGCCGAACCGTCTAGGACAGCAGTCTCTAACGAGCCATACACCAGTTCACACGCACTTCTCGAATAAGGTTAGCGGCAGTGCTGTGGTCGATAGTGATAAGAAGTGACCGAAAATAACACAGTGGCTTTTAGTTTTAAGATATCCAGTCAAGATGTGGGATGACGTTGTAGAAGAGGAACCTCAGGCAGCGCCCGCCGCGGCTGCAGCCGAAGCGCCTGCCGAAGGTGCTCCGGCCGCTGAGGGTGCCCCCGCTGAAGGTGCTCCAGAGGCCGACACACCGGCACCACAAAACTTCGAAGACGCTAACAAGCCTAAGAGACTCGTCTGCAAACATTGGGTCAGGTAAACAAATAATTTTAAACTTATTTCCAACTTATTATCCTAACATTACAATTTCACAGCAATAATTAAACTTCTATACACAGGCCGACCTTCTCCACATACAACTACCTCTACGAATTCCAGAAGAATTACTACGACGACCTTATCAACTATATAGATAGGCGTAACAGGGGTCTGCCAGTCGAAAGGCCCAAACCCCAGACTTGGGGCGAACGCGCTCTCCGTTCCTACTACTCCAAGAGCTACAACTACGACATCGCCAGATCAACGAAACAGGATAGATACCTCCTCCACCACATCTCTGTGGGAGCGAAGTTCCACCGCGCTCATACTAAGTCCTTGATCTCTAGGAAGTATTCTAATCTCGGATTTAACACAGTGTACATCTAGCTTCGCTAATCAAACACCGCTTGACATTGCTTCGCGGACTCTAGTACGATCTCTTCGTGACCTTAATATTAATTTTGCAGGATTACGTTATCGTGAATCACCACGCCGTTAAAGCGGTTCTACGTTATAATTCAATGAAATGTCCGCATTCCTCTGTCAGTGTCCATTGATTTCGGAGAAGACAATAAATGCTAATTGTTCAAGTGTTTCTTTTCTTTGCTCGCGTCGCAACTGACGTGGCTCTACCTCGGATTCTTTTTTTTTAATTATTTATGCGCTGAGCGATTTTACTAGAATGGGCATAGCGATGTCGGTTGTAACGATCATTTCACTGATAACTATGGTTGTTAAACATTGTCTATTTTAGCACTCACACAGACGACAGCCATAGTTAAAATTCACATATTAGTCACACTAATGCAACTAACACATAATTGACAGTAAGCCCGTTAATGAATAATTGAGACAAGTCGTCTTTGAGCCAAGTCTGTTCTCAATTAAATAATTACCTTTAATTAATTATTTACTTGATGGTATCTGTCTGGTACGAACTCTTCTCTTTATATCATATTGTTAATGCATACAATGAACTGTACAGACTATAATGTTGACATTCGCTGAATAAATTGTTAATTTCTATGGTATTGTTTTCTCATTGGCTACACCTAATACAATTTATGATAGACTATACACATTTAAATTAAACACTTTAACGGTTTAAAACGCGATATATTAGTTAAGTTTATTTGAAAAGGAGACTCCAGAGACCACGGCTGCTGCAAAGCATCCGAAACGTCGGGCCGAAGTTAAAAATCGTTTTCAAATAAGTTTAACTAATATAGCGTTTCAAACCGTTAGAGTGTTTTATACACATATATTTGACCTGAAATTTTAACTTTATCCTTGAATATTTTAGATATAAACTAGTAAACACAATAAACAATACGAGTATGTTTCTACTATAAAAAGTATTATAAATCATTCTATAGGATGTACATACCTAAAGTAGTAAGTTTTAGAAAGAATACAATTCCAATAAACATTCGGTCTAGTAACCGCCAATATTTCAACTTTATACGATCGTTAATGGCTGCATTGATGAAACATACTTGACTATAAATCAAAAAAGTTTATTTTCCATTTTATATTTACACACATGTTTAGTGACGGGCTCTTTGGTGTTACAATAATCAACGGGTCGTGGATTCGATCCTCGCCGGAACCAACATTTTTCTAATCAATTTATAATTTTCCTAGAACTTTAAAATTCCGCCAGGGTCACGAACCACCGTCCATACATGAAAAGGCCGTGAAGTTAATCGCGCTTCGGTTTTATGTGCTACCTAATATCCAAATCCATAATAGATCGACAGCGCATCGTTTCGATGTTATATAGCCTACTTGTCTGTCCTCCTCTATCTAAAAAAAAACAGTCTGTGCCTCGTTAATGCAAACAATTAAAAAGCACTTAGACCGTATCTCAAATATTACGAACGGCCAACGCGTGAAAAGTTTCAATGTCGAGTAACTAAAATAACTTATCTTTGACAGTTCAGTGAATGTAATCGTTTGGACGATAGCCAAAACGCTAGGGTACCTAGCAGGTAGAATAGGCAATCAGCCAAATTGTGCATAATTAAATGTTGCTATGACTAAGGGACTCTTGACATTCATTACGAATCTGTGGGAAAATGTCTGAGGCCCAGAATCGTGTCATCAAAATATTATCTGTAGCTTACGCAAGTAGTACACATTTAAATAAAGCACTTAGCGTTCTAGAACGCGAAATATTGAACCGTTGGTGTTTTGTTCATGAAGAATATAAATCTATTTTTATTTGTATAAAGCTGTGTTTTTTTAAATAAATAATATTCCGGCCGAAATAACTATGGCACGCGGACGAAGTCGCGGCCACAGCTAGTCTTTAATAAAACACAATAAACAATTTAAATACGAATTATAATTTGTTGTATAACCCAACGTCGGGCTTATGTCCGAAACGTTAGAATGTAGGTTATAATAGTTTTAACTTTTTTTTCTTCAATCAAAAATATAAATAAATTTGTTTGACCTATGTCTCGTCACGTAGGGAAACATAAGGGCTACTCTTGAAATCGACAACAATTTGAAAGCCGCCCAATACCGATTTCAATTCACTTCTAATATTGTATTCTAAGAATAAAGTTCTTAATATTGGTTACTAATAAGACTTGCGTTTCAAGAGTAGCCCTGTGTTTCCAGGAATGCCGAACGTACGTATCTGTTAGTTCCCTCGTAGAAACTCTAAGACCTGGGTTATATTTTTAGCTCTTAAATTACGTGATAGTTCGATAAGGTTTTAGTAATGAAAGCACATTTAAGCTAATTGACTAGCCATAACTTGCATTTAAGAGGTTTTAAAATCTGTCGCTGGTTCAGAAATTCAACTGAGTAGAAGACTATTAACTGCTTTGATCATATTTCTTTATAAGTTAGCGTGGGTCGGAAGTGCAATTAATTGTAAGACACGACGAGATTTAAACCCCAGTCGCTTTTATTACTTTACATTATTCGAAGTAACGCAGTCTAAAGAACTCGCTACTTATTACTTTTGTAAAGCTTTAATATTTTTTACATATTCTTGTACATGATGGCACTATATAGATAAAAAATTGAAAAAAAAAATTCTACCCGCGCCGAACTTGAAGCAGCATCGTGGGCGTTCTGTGGTGTAGGACTAGCTACCGAGTCTTACACCACATTTGGTTAGACCACGGAACGCTGACGATGCCGGTACAAGTCCTGCCCGAGTCGAAAATTATTCCAATTTATTTTCGATTTTGAATCTACATATTACTTATTTATAAATATAGTATTAAATATTGTCTGTAGTTTAAGCGTTTAGTACACATTTAAATAAAATACCTTAACGTTGAAAATGCTAGTGCAAAGCGCCTGAAACGTCGGGCCGTAGCTAAAATAATTTCCCAACTTCAAAACATATATATATATATTGCGTTTTAAACCGTTAAAGTGTTTTATTTAAAAGAAGGTATTAAAAAAATACACACACAACTTTAATATTTCTCACATGTTACAGCACATGATGGCATCAAATAAATAAAATGTCTTTTAAAATTGAAAAAAAATGATGACACGGGCGGGCCTTGAACCGGCCTCCACAGGATCCTGTGCTGTTATAACCAATTGAGGTACGATGTCCTACACGTCATCGTTGATTTTTTCTTTATGTATCTTAATTGGTTAAATTCGATATATATCAAATAAAGTATAATAATGTGATTTATAATAATAAAAACTGTACATGAGTACAACTTTCATCAGGAATGGCTGAAATATTTTGACAGGCCCATTGATCCAACAGTACTGCTAATAATAATAAAATACATCAATTTATATTTTTTCAGCTGGAACATGTTGGACTTCGTCTGGAAAATTTGGAAAGGTGGCGGTAGGAATGTCGAAATTCAGTCTTTAGTCGGTCATTTAGGCTTGAGTCAGTAGATTTCTAAATTTCCAAAAGCAAAATAGGTCGACAGTGCATCTTATTCAAATGTTTTGCGGCTCATTATTTCATTAAGTGAACGTCATATTTGTCTTTTGTCAGCCAAAACTACTTTTATAAGATAACATTAACATATAATAAAAGAGACCTAAGTATTATGTTGTAAGGGGTTGTCCATTAATCACGTGAGGCTTAAAAAGGGGGGGGGGGGGGTTTGATAAAAATCACGAAAATAACACAAGGGGGCAGGGGGGGGTATAGTAAGATATCTCGTGTATTTATTTTTTCGTCAAGGTGTAGACATTTTTAATATGGTCCTTAATTTCAGAATAAAATAAGATTATACTTTATACCTGTATTTATATTAAGATAATATTCAGAAAATTTTAAGATTCTTTGTAGGTACTAAAAATACACGTGATGATGAGAAGGGGGGGGGGGGGGTGATCTTAAACCTCACTACGTATCACCAATGGGGGAGGGGGGGTTTAAAAATTCTAAAAAAAGTTTACGTGACTAATGGACAACCCCTAAGTTAAAATATAAATTTAAGTAAACCCTTTTAACGGTATAAAAGAGACGTTTATTAGATAAGCTTAGTTAAAATCTTGTTTTGTTTGTCTGTTGTAAGCTGTCATTAAAAAAAAACTTCATTAGTTACAATCATACAATAGAAGAGATTTAACTACAATTTTGTAAGTAAAAATAAAAAATTAAAAAAAAAAAATAACAGGTCAAAACGCGAAATTAGTTTAGTATTAACAGCGCGACGTTTCAATACGATTTTCCGTTTAAGCCGTTAAGTGTTTTATATAGAAAAATAAATAACATTTTGTAAGGACGAATACTGTTGGCGATTAGCTCTTCCGCGAAATAATTCTCCACAGAAACCTAAACAGGAGTTATATGAAAGGCTACATTTGAAAGGGCAACTTATAAAGTATTACAATTACCAGAATTGATTTTTCTCAATCTTACTGGGTCTGGTATATAAATAGGTTACTATAACGCTTTACACTTCGTAATAAACATTTAACATTATTTCGAAAGCCTTTTTCTCATTGATTTTGTTTACAGGTGAGTAGTTTCTCGTTGGTGTAATCGCAAAGTATGGCTTACAATCAACGGTTCGTGGGTCCGATACCCACTATGTTCAACATTAATTTTTATGAAACACAATACAAGTACAATTTATTTTTAACAACGGCCCAAAGCATCTTATACGCCGTCTTTTATTTTACTACGGACAATACTTGAGATTGATGTCTTTTTCATTTAATTTTAGGTGTTTTCTGCTACCGCGTTTTTTGTGTCCGACAACAGCACGACACACTTTCCGACGCGGGTTCGAGATCCGTACGTGTCATTACTACTATCAGTATTTTCAACTAGCTGTGTCAGCGACCATGCGTTTGGCACCAATTATGTTTTTGAAACCTCTTCTTTATCTATATAAAATTAAGCTGTTACCCACGAGGTCGGTCACGTCCCGTCGCTCTGGTAAGTTATCTTTAAAGACGTATAGAGATGCCGAATTTTTTTTTTAGAAATCCTTCTTTATACATATTTGTGGGTATCTTGACATAGTGCACGTATCAGAATTACCAAGATGAATATTTTTTGCCGTTTTTTCCACATTTCCCGCTGTGCTACGCTGCTTCTTTAAATCGACGTTTATAGCCTATAGCCGTCCTTGATAAATGCTCTACCCAACACAGAATTCTTCAAATCAGTAGGTTATAAGGTTAGCGCGTTCAAACAAACAAACTCTTTAGCTTTATACATTAGTATAGATAAATATGAGCGTGCCATTTACATGTTAAAAAATGTTATTTTAATTTATATAATCAAGACACATTTGCTATAATGATAAGCAATTACAAAGAAGAACATATCTTGGCAGTGAGTATTACAATGCAATAAATTATAATGAGTTATTACGACGTAACTATTTAGCCGAAAATGAGTGTCAACTGTCAATAAGTGACATGGCGTATCCAAAACGATTCGTTTGTGACTTTGATCTCTTAGTGACGTAATCGAATTACCATACTTCGCTAAATGTTGGCGTTGAAGTTGTTTATAACGCATATGAAAAGATTATTACATAATATAGTGTTTCTGTACTTGAAATATGTTAATTGAGGGAATTTGTATTTCGGTATGTCTGTGAAACTTCGAATGTCAACTGGCTGATGCTTTATCTGGTAAACCTCATGCCTACCTCAGTTTTCAAGTATTAAAAAAAAATATTTATTAATCTTGAAAATGTTTTTTTTATATAGTGATATTATGTTGTTTGAACGTATTTTTACGTGTTTTACACACGATTGCATTAATATAAACAAAATAAATTGAAATTTATTTAGATTAAAAAAAAGATATTTAAATTGAAAATTCTGTATTGAAGATTTCAATACAGAAATATATAGTCTCACCGTGACCACGGCTGCTGCAAGGCATCCGAAACGTCGGGCCGAAGTTAAAAATTATTTTCAATAAGTTTAATTAATATATCGCGCCGTAAACCGTTAAAGTGTATTATTTAGATTAGTGAGAATCTCGAGATTTGGAGGACCGTTAGATAATACGTGACAAACATTTTATTTTAGTATGTTTCCTCATTCTAATTATTCCCGTGCCCAAAGAAACAATTGCGAACTCTTTCGCCAATTGGAAACAGTCGGGATTGTGTGACAGTTATAAATTGATCTACATAAATATTCTATGCGGAGTACTGGGAAGCGCCAAAATGATTGACTGGTACACTTCGAGATACCGTGAGCTCTGTCTACCTTCGTATCCACGCGATGGATATCAGCTATTTATCGTTGACAGAAAAATCTTATTAAATTCTACTATACATAGCGAACATAATATATAATTTAAATTAACACTTGAAATGGCTTACAACGCGAAATTAGTTAACTTATAATATATTTAAAACGGCTCGACGTCAATAATTATCAAACATTACATCGTATGGCTAATCTCCAACTAGTTGTGGATTCGATGCCCGTTGGGTCAACATGAGTTTAATTAATCGTTGGTGCAACAGACATGCTGAAATTTGTTTACAAAATCTGGATAAAATGGGTGGTAGAGATTTCGATGTCCGTCCGGGACACGAATCATCGTCCACAGATAAAAGGCCGTGAGATTCATCGCGTTTCGGAGCTCGACAGCGCATTTTATTCATATGGCTATCGAATGGATGCCGGTTCGAGTCCTGCCCATGTCGTAGAATATTTTCAATCGAAAATCGGTTTTTACTTTATATAATTCCTTCATGTCCTTCATATGTAAAAAAGATTAAAGTTTTCAAAAATTATTTAGAAGTACGAATTAATCGCAACACCATAAAGAAGTCAAACGCCGTTTGAGTCCGTTTCATTGATCGTTTTCTAAAGGTAAGTGGTCCATCAGACTTTTATGCCCTCTCGGACCGAAACAATTTATTGCTTCAGCACCTCTCGCGCTTTACACAATTTTAAGCAACACGTTTAACAATTTTGCTGAGGCGGCAATACGATGGTTTCGTGTTATTATTATCGTTCGATCGGGAAATATCATTCCAAATACAAACAACATTGTTACGCGAAAACCATAACATTGCAATAAAACAATATGAAATTGAATCATGCAGGATTACCAACGCTACGCAAACATTTTAACCATTGTAGGTTTCAGTTATTTTGTTTCGGCATTACGAAACCATCCTCTGATTTCAGGAAATGAAACAACCATCGATGGACAGAGGTTTATTAAAAATATCGTTAATGGCAAAAGTAAGTACTTGGTATATTTTGCAAAGTTTGTGGCAATACCACTTCGGTCGTTTTAACCAATAAGTCCGTACTTATTGGTTAAAACGTTGTAATAATAGAAGTCGTGACTTCGATCTCCATCGGAATATATTTTTCTGAAACATGAAAAACGAAGCCCAACTCGTCTGAAAATCTATTAAATGAGTGGTGAGGAGAGGAATGTCGAAATTCGGTCCGGGTCATAAACCATCTCGCACAGATGACAGACAGTCGTTTTAGTCCGTTTCAGTCGTTCATCGGATTCAGTCTGTGGATTTCCGAATATCCAAAGCAGACAATAATTCGATAGAGCATCTTATTGAGATGTTTTGGCTGAGTATTTAACCTTCAATCGCGTGAATCTCAAGCTCGTCTGTCCTACTCTATCATAAAAAAACACGTGGGTTTCGGCATTCTTCCTCGTAGCTTCAGTAGTTAGGAAACTTGACTAACACTTTGATAAAATTCAAAATAACTATTTTGAATTGTATTAAGGAATTTGTAGATTTCTTTCGGTTTTTGAAAAAAGAATTAATTACCTTTAAGTCTCAAACGTTACGCTACTGTAGTATATTCAGTATCTGGTCCCGGTTATCACCGATTTACTAGAGTTAATCAAACCAAGCAATGGTCAGCAGCGCGGTGGGTCTTACAGGATTGTCTACTGTGACCAGCAGTGCAACGAAATATTATGTCAAACTATAAAATAGGACAATGTTAATTGTTTATGTACAATGTCGTTGGTGAAATCTCATAGTCTGAAGAAAAGATTATGAAATAATGCTTAATGAAAATAATTCTAGATCAAAGTCTGTCAAAAGGAATATTATATTTCACCGCGCCTTACAAAATCTGCGCTGGTGGATGCGGAAGTGAGGAGCAAAATTTCCACATGGTATTCCCTCTGTATGTAGGCCGCGTTGCGAAAAGGAAATATACGGATAAATACTCGAGAGACTATAAGAATATACACTCGAAGAAGCCCGACGCTCCGTTCAAAAGATCTACGACACCGAAAGTATGGACTCTAGCACCCGAATGTACTACTGTGGCGGAGAAACCGACCACAGATAAAAATATAAGCAATGAGGTGCATGATGTAGAGCCGCCATCAATAAAGCCTGGTTGTCAAGTGAGAGTCAGCAAAGTCAATTTTGGAAAAGTCACAACAAAAGGGACAAAGTTATTAAGACATGGGCGCCAATAATAATAAAATACACCTTAAATACTGTCTATAGTTTACGCGAGTAGTACACAATGAAATAAACACTTTAACGGTTTAAAACGCGATATATTAGTTAAACTTATTTGAAAATGATTTTAACTAACTGTCTCCCCGTAACCACAGCTGCTAAGAAGCATCCGAAACGTCGGGCTGAAGTTAAAAATCATTTTGAAATTGAAATTAACTAATATTTCGCGTTTTAAACCGTTAAAGTGTTTTATTAAAAAAAAATACACCTTATCTAAATACTGTCTGTGGTTAACGAGTAGTACACATTTAAATAAAACGGTTTAGTTCGAAATATATTTTTTTTTCCCAATATTTGAACTATTTCCAAGATCCCAAAACAATCGAAATTAAGAAACACAAAAAAATGTAATAGGATGGACAGCCTCAAGAGATCTTTAAGAGAGTTTTATATATAATAACAATATATATACGTACAACAAAATAAATAAAACAGTTAACTATCAGAGAGTTTTTTTTTTCAGTATATCATAGTGACAGTAATCTTAATTCTTCTATCCTACAACACAGCAAGTGTTTCGCTTTGGAGAGGCTGGTCAGTACCGACAGTACACGAGGGTAGTCCTAGAAATTATTTCTTCCGAAGACGTAACTTAAATAATGATTTAAATGACGAGGAATGTCAATGTCCGCCTAATAAAGGTAATAAGGTACATAGTAATTAAACGGGCTCATTGGTGTAATGGAAGCAATGTATGGCTTATAATCAACGGGTCGTGATTTCGAACCCCAGCGGGTTCAAATTTTTCTAATCAATTTATACTTTTGTCTCTAGTTTACGCAATAAAATTAAACTTTTAACGGATAAAACGCGAGATTTTAATTACGCCCGACGTCGTAGTTGAAATAGTCGTCAATAATAACTTTCGTTTTAAACCGTTAAAAACTTACTTAAATATACTATAGTATGCTTGCTATAGTACTAATTGAAATAGGCGAAATAAAAAGAGAGGAGTTATAAAAAATAAATTGCTTATATTATATTATATTGAGTGAGTTTTTTTTACAATTACAAAAATAATTCACTACTTTCAGATTGCAGTTTAGAGTATAAGCTAGATCATAACATGGTCCATTTTCAACAACTGCGCGGTATATTGAATGAAACTGACGTACGGTATGCAGACAGAACGAGATCAAAACGGAGTGTTGGTGGACTGATAGACTGTTGTTGCCCGACGGTTATAGCCAAAGTACCCGCATTTATAACACAAAAAAGATATGACGAAGTAGTTCAGCGTTTTAGTAAACAGAAGAGTTTCAATTGAAGATACTATGAGTGTTCGCTTGTCGTCATGAATGAACAGTCACGTGTTCCGATTAACAAGGTTTTGAAATTGGAAAATGTCGAGAAAGTAGATATGAAGGCTCTAGAGGCAGAGTAGCCTAACTGCACTTTTATGACGTGACTTGATATTTTTACAGCCTAAAAATGTTAATCTACAATAGCACAGTGATCGAAAATTGTTAACATTTTTTACGCAAATAATAGTACAAATTAATTTTCGCCTAAGTTAATAGCACATTTTTATTTTTCTCCCTATTGAAAATTATGTTTTTTTGTTTATATGCCACTCTGCCTCTAGCTACCTCATATGTAGATTATAAAGCAGTTCAAAAGCACTTATCTCAGGAACTACTAGTTCGAATTGTAAGAGATTGCGTTAGTAGGAAAAAAATAGCTTAAGGAAAACATCTGGCAGTGGCCAATAGGAGCGAACAAACAGTGTAAAATGTTGAAATAACAGGGAAAATTAGTAATCTTCCAGGAACTCCGTTAAGTGCGCTGCGAAAACGGTTCAACAACAATAAATGCGTGTAAAATAATTATTTTTCATTAAATAAACTAAAAAAGACCGCGTCAATATACGTCTATCTCTTAAGATTAATTAACAAATCTGTTTTTATGGTCAAATACTGTCTATAGTTTACGCGAGTAGTACACATTTAAATAAAACACTTTAACGGTTTAAAACGCGATACATTAGTTAAACTTAAATATAACAGTGGTCTTCAAAAGATCATCAAAGTGTACATAGTCATTATGAAACACGTCATGATCTAGAGCCAGTTCCCATTCCATTTCATAAATGCCATAACACAATACATTTACTAGAATAAATAGAATGCAACTCCTGAAACTTCAGTTTAAAATTTCGCGCTACATCAAAAGGAATGTAAATTCTAATACATTTTTATGAAAAAGTAACGCGTATTTACATACATTCCATGAAACAGTCAGTTGAACGTAAAAGAGAAACGAAATACTAGTCTTTGTCTGTGACTTTGCTTGATATAAGAGCTTTTTAGTCATATTTTTATTGTCATTATTAACTTTTTACTCATAATAATATTGCAAAGACCTACAGTAAATGTAATAGGCCGGCTTCGTTACCGAGCAATCTCTTCCACACAACAAGTATACTCTCTCGTTACTATAAGTACTAAATATAAATCGTATAGTCAAAATAGTATATCTGAAGCAAAATTTACTAATAAGGCTTGATAAAAAATAAAAGCTTTAAATGAAATTATTTTAACGGGGTAAATCGTGAAATATATATAGCTAAGAGCTAAGCATTTAAAACTTCTGGCCGTAGTTAAAAAAAAGGAAATAACCATAATAATATGTTTCGTGTTTTAAACCGTTAAAAGTGTTTTGTTGAAATATGTACTACTCGGGGACAATGCAAGCTTTTGTAACTAAGGATATATGGATGGAAGGATATATCAATATGGAGAGCTATGTTGGTAAACGGCTTTCTTTCATAAAGTCGGATGTTTGGTCTCCGATCGGCCACAAACACTAACATAATAATCTTTAATCGGACAAACAAATCCCTACATGTATCGATTAAAGAGAAACATAGCTCAGAAAACAAATGACAACAATCGCTGGATATCAAAGGACCTGTATAAAGTTGTTAATTTGAGTTTCCTACGAGTTTTTTCATAGCTCACAGTGCATAGAATCGTTTTTATCGTCTTTTACAAACGTGTGATGTACAATTTTATAATAGAAATTGTTACGTAGATATTTCAATAGCTTTTGATATGAACTGTATTTTGTTATGTTTAGTGTTTTTCATTTATTATTTGCTCGCAGAAAGTTTCAACGTATCGAGAACTATAAAAGGTAATCTTTATAATAAGTTTTAGAATTGCCATACTATACTAATATAGTGAGTTATCTACTACTAGTTTGTCTGTATGTTTAAACGCGCTAATCTCAGCAAGTACTGGTTCGAATTAAAAAATCCTTTTGGTGTTGGTTAGAGCATTTGTCGAGGATGGCTATAGATATATAGAAATCTAAACACTTAATGGTTTAAAACCCGAAATGTATTAGTTATTTTTAATCATGGACGTCTGGCCCTTGCTAAATAAAAGTAACAATAAGTTAACTAATATAATTTGCCTTTTAAGTTAATAACTATGAAATTTCACTAATACGATTATTTTTTACAGAAGAATGTACGAATAAGCCACCAATGGTACTCGTTCCTGTTTTCATAAAACTGTACAGATACCCTCAACTATTGGAAAATAAAAAACAGAAGAACTCCCATTAACGAAATCGTTTTTAGATACTAAACATTTCAACAACATAAAATATATGTATTGAAGACGTGTTCATGTTTATATACTGCTAGAGAAAACTACATTTTTATTGCTCGCAAATCAATAGATCGCTTATAATATTTGTTAGATAACAGACGGGAAATTCTAATGCCCAAATACGTTATAAGTACTTATAGATATATGAAAAAAACGATTTTAGATAGACTTGAACCAGCATCCAAAGCGATTAGATTTTTAAATTAAGTTTATCTAAATATTTATATCTATCAAGATTTTGAAAATATTTTTTTTTTGTGTTCGAACCCGCGACCGATGCTTTCAAATTAATCGAAGTAATACAGTTTAATTTCAGAGCTCTTAGCCGTTCGACGGGCTTGTTGGTCTATTGGTAGCAAAATGCGGGTAGTAAACACCGGGTTCGATCCCCATCGGGTTCAACATCAAATTTTTTAAATACTGTCTATAGTTTACGCGAGTAGTACACATTTAAATAAAACTTTGCAAAATGCTTAAAATTTTGCAGCAGCCGTGATGGGGAGTCTCCCCGTGACCAGGGCTGTTGCAAAGCATCCGAAACGTCGGGTCGAAGTGAAAAATCATTTTCAAATAAGTTTAACTAATATATCGCGTTTTAAACCGTTAAGATGTTCTAATTTTTATTAGAAATTCTCCTGAAACATGTTGGACTTCGTCTGGAAATCTGGATACTAAGGAGGCTGGATATAATTCCGTCCGAAAAACAGATGAAAAAAGTTTAATCGCGTTTCGGTTTCAAAAAGCCAAAATAGATCGACAGCGCATTTGGTCTAGATGCTATAGAATGATCTCCTACCATCAAATGAACCGCAGGCTTATCTTTCCTCCATTATCATTAAAAAAAGTCGCAAACCATTCTACAATACAATTGAACTCTATAACACTCATTCATTCAATAGAAATTGCGAAGCCTAGAGACTGTATCTGCGTAGTAACTGTCTACGAGGAATAATAAGGTAACCCTTTGAATTGTTAATTTATTGATTTTATTCAAAATCCAAGTACCGAATAAAAAGATAAGATTATAGATCATAAAAAAAATTTAACGGTTTTAAACCTGAAAAACCAGTCGTAGACTACAGCAGTCGTGGTATCCGTTTAAACGGTTATTTTTTTATTTAAATTATCGTTTAGCAAGTGCGTCGTTATGATTTTGTCCGTAATTCGATTAATTCAAATAACGTTCGATCTTTGCAATTTGATAAGAATAAATCTATACTTTTTTAACAGTTCAAAAAGTGGAATGTATTTTTTAACTTATTTTAACTGCGGTCCAACGTATCGAATGTTTCGCAGTAGTAAAAACGTCTGGCCCGTGGTAAATGAAAGTAACAATAAGTTAACTCCTATATTTCAAGTTTTAAACCATTATACGTGTTTTATTTAAATGGGTACTCGCGTTAAGTACAGACGACACTTACGAAGAAATTTGATCTTAAAATACATTATTTTTGCGTTCCTTGTTATTACAACGTATTATTACTTAGATAGAAGAGACGTCGCAGGAGTTCTTAGAAAAAGTAAGGTTTGCAGTAATATTCTAGTCTAGTAATAAAAGCTAAGAAACCTTGCAATATGAAATTGCAAAGGGCAGGTCATCAAAGGAAAGTTAGTAAATAAATTGAATAGGACCTTGGAAATTGCTGTACATAATGGGTTATTTTCTTTAATAAGTTTCAGCAGTTAATGTATATATCTATACTAATATATAAAGCTGAACTAGTAGTTACGTCACTATAACTACTTTTTTTACAAATTGATAGAAATGTCAAACAGAATCAAACTGTGCTATCCATACCATTTATAATTTTTTTATTGAAATATGTCTGTCTGTCTGTCTGTCCGGCTTTAACTCCGAAACTACTGAATTGATTTCAATTAAATTTGGTAGGTACATAGATATTTTAGAGCCTAAGAAAGGACATTGGCATATTTTTAATTCCAAATAGGGGTTTATAGGGGTTGAAAAGGGGGATGAAAGTATGTATGGAAATTCGTGGTTTTTGAAACTAGAACAATGAAACATTCTTTTTTAATTTTTTGGGAGTGGGAGTGCGAGTGGGAGTGGGAGGCGGAGTGTGAGAGTGAGAGTGAGTGTAGGAATGAGAGTGGGAGTTACAGTAGGAGTGATGTGAGGTGAGAGTGTTGCGGTTATTTTTTTACATTTAAATGTCGTTAATTTACATCTATACTTTAGGTCGGATTGGGGAAGTTAGTAGAGCTATTTTTTAAGAATAAATTCGATCATCGTTTCACATAAATGTGTTTGTGTAAAGAAAACAGTTTCTCGCCAAATTTTCCGGTCATTTTGAAATTATTCCTATAAATTACGTGACTAGTGCAAAATTAAGTAAAACACTTTTACCGGTTTAAAACGCGAAGTGTATTTATTATATAACTTAATTTTAAAATATTTAAAATTTTCCGAAACGTCGGTTCGTATAAAAATACATTTTAAACTTAAGTAATTCATTTCGAGTTTTAAACAGTTAAAAAAGTAAATTAACAAATTTTTATTGACTTTTCGATGGTTGTAGTTTACGGGAGTAGTAAAAATTTAAATAAAAGACTTTCAAGATAATTGTAAATATAGCAGTTTTTACCTTAACATTGGTGAGACCCTCCATCCTAGTTTCCCCGTGACCACGGCTGCTGCAAAGCATCCGAAACTTCGGTACGGTACGTTTATTTAAATGTGTATTACGTATTTTTTTAGCTCATTTTGCCTACGACGTAAAAACTGATTTATGTCATAAGTAAAATGACGTAAGCTTTAGAAATTATTGATTATTGTACTTTCAGTATGCTAGTCAACTTTCTGACGCTGTTTGCTGTTTTGAAAGTGAATTTGGCTTCGATAGCTGGCGTCACGTACATGGACGATTTCGATTTTGACCAGAGATATAGGAATTTGCACGAATGCGATCCTTTCTATTGGCATCCACTGCATCTGCCAGAAGAATGTGCGGAAATGTTCGAAAAGTTGATACGAGCCAAAGTCGCGCCATATCGCGTCGCAACGGAACGCGTTAGCAGTTCTTTTGACAGTCCACAATACTCACAGTTTCCTGTAGGGGAATCTTTTGAGAATGATCCGTACATCCAAGTGCCAATAGACATTTATCCATACGCACAAAGGCCTCAGAACGCTATGGATAAATTATTCGATCTGTTAAAGCGAGATGTTAAAGATATACCGAGTTATGCGAAAATTACGACGTTACCGTATTTGGGAACGGTCGCGTTGTATAGACAACCCGTATCGCTGAAGACAGAAGCGACGATAAAGAGGCTGTCGAGAGATTATGGGAATGCGGCTCGCTACAGATAGAATTAATTACACACACTACTACAACTATCTCGTTTTTTCATGACGAATACCAAAATAGCTATCAATAGTAATATATAAAACTGTAGAATTTGTTTGTTTGGAAATATTTTTTCGAGAAAGGTAATAAAATCACGATTATCGAGATTACGAGACCAATAGGAGCTAAGGAACAGTTGAAATGTGGAAGTAACGGGAAATATGATTCATCTTCAGATACCCGAAAGATATGTATTTACTTATTAACAAAAAATCTTAACAAGTTAATCCTAATAGGAATATGTATGAAAGAATGGTTCCTCTTACGATAAGCTTGCAAAAACGACGGGACGTGGATGACGTCGTTGGACGCCCATACTGATGCCCATAATAACTACTATACGTGGATAAAGTTAAGTAATTATAATTTAAATACCTAAGATATATAGTTTACGTTACAGTGGAACAAGGGTATATATATAGTTGCACAATTATTTCCTATTTTTTAAATTAACTTTAATGATAAGCCAAGTTCTCGAGAATTTCATTCATCATGCAACGCCGGGCGATTTGCTAGTTTAAAACAATTTCCAGCTGCTTCATTTCTATGGTGATCCGTCAAAACACAAATAAAGCGAAAAATATGGCGTATTTTCTCTTCCCATTGTTCCGTGAAAACAATGGACAACCTTATTGTACATACAAAAACGTCCTTTCATTGTTAAGAATGGACATAGTGAGAGATTTCAGTTAAAAATTACAGCCTCAATCAAGCTTCATCCAGAATTCATTTCGATGAATAAGAAAAAATGTTAATCGAAGTTTCAAAGGTGATTTTCAATTTGTATTTATGTCGATTGATTTTTTTTGTCTTCGAGATAAGTTTTTATTAATTCTCTTGAAATGTATCAGCGTTAAACCGATTACTAAACGATTATAAGTTAAACATATATTTTCAAACACAAATGTAGAAATATTTAAAATTTTAACATCAACACACGGTATTATATAAGTTAAAAACTATTTAAACAGAAAAATATTAATGACACCGACGGGATTTAAACCCGCATTCACAGCGTTCAAACACGATTCACGATTCAAACACGTATCTCAAGTGGTTAGAACAGCAGCCCGGCTGTTCTAACCAATTGAGATACTGCATTTGAACGGCAGCACGCTGTAGATGGCGGTTCAAGTCCCGCCTGTGTCGTAGTTTTTTTTATCTAAATAGATTTTTAAATATTTTATTATGTTGACAGCGGTAACTGCCAAGTAATTGTATATTCAAACATTATATCGAAACATTACATGTTATGTAAATTGTTATCATTAAAATTGTGTATAATTTGATTTATTGAAAGATGTACTTTATGTATTTGTCATTTCTCAACGTTAAAAAATCTTACAGCTGATAGCTATACTGTCAACATGGAGCTCCACCCTAGCAACTATAGATGGCAGATCTTACATGAACTCTTTAGACATGAGGAATTTGAAGGAGAATATGTTTGATCCCTGCAATCCCCCCTATTGGTACCCCAGAAACATTCCTGAATATTGCTACTACCGCGTCCCGAACAAACCTGTTCCGGGAAAGACACCCATAAAAGTTCCTTTACCAGTCCCACTTCCCATATTTCCCTCTGTTCCACATATGCCCCCTATTCCACCACCTCCAATGGCTCCCCCCTTTTTCGTACCTCCCTTGCCATATGGCGTACCTCTGGCACCCACAGCTCCTATGATCCCAATGATCCCGAATCAATTCATGCCCCCCATTATGGGACAATATCCATTCCCAGAGCTATCCCGACCCCAAGCAGCAATGGTCCCAGGAGTACCAGGCATGGTATCGCCAGATGGCGGTATTAATATCCTACCATTTTCAGATGTATATTCTGACATGCTTGAGAATCATAGAAATAAAATGATAAGAAAGAAGTTGGAAAGATTGCTAGACGAATTCGATGAATACCCCAATCGTAATACTTATAAGAGATTGAAGAAGTATAGAGAAGCTATTTAAGTAAAAAAAGAAAAGGAAGAATTAAATGTTAACATGTATGTATTATATTTAAGTTATACACATTTTTTTCTTAATACCTGGTATTCGGAAGTGTCTTCGGAACTTCAGAATGTACATGAAATTTGTAATAGAAAACTGGAGCACATTTAAATATTATTGACATTACATATTATTTTATGTTAAGTTACCTAAATTATGTAATTGATTAAAGTTGTATATTATATGTCGAATTTTTTTTTTGTTTAAATCCTGTTAAATATACTCGTCGCATGAAAACCCAAAATCATAAAGTTTTTTTTCATACGAAGTATACAGCATGAAAATAGTATTTTTATACCACTTTTTGACAATAGTAGATGGCAAAGAACGTAGCAGTTCTTAATAAAATTTTATTACCATAAAAACGGTTCTTGTGAGTTATCCTTAAAAGATGGACACCGTCACAAACATTTGTTTAAATTGTTTGTAGAAGAATTACTTTTTAACCGATTTAGCGCGCAATCCTAAAACACGTGTAAATATTCCTCGTTTTTTATCCACATTTCCTTAATGACATATAATTGTTTATATACTAAAGCCTTTCTCAGTAATGGTTATATTTCAATTCGAATCATAAGTTCCTGAAGTGAGTACGTTCAAACAAATAAGCAAACTAACAAACTCTTCAGCTTTATAATATTACTCTAGACTATCATTCAATTCCTATTTGAAGGTAGTCAGCTATTTTTTGTTGATTCTAAAAAGAATTCCTGCGCTTAAACTACTAAGTAGATTGAAAAGTTCTGAATATCTTTCAAACTGCAATATTAAAACATTATATTCAAAGTTGGCTACACCCTGTAACGTGTAAACGAAATGAAACCAATAACTAGATACGTGAGAGTTTTATTTTTCAAAAAAACGTTTACAAATGGGTGTTTAGAATATTAGAAGTACTAGAGCTAAACAGTGCTTACCATAATATAACTTGTCAACTATGGACTTGATTCTTATAATTACACGTAAAGTATTGGACGGAATACCTGAGGGCTCCAAGATTATGTACATTCTTATACTTATATAATTTAACCTAAAACTAAATTGATATACTTCAAGATCTTTTACAGAGAGGTGAACGTTGCATCTTATTTATATTAGACAGATGAAAATTCATGAAATTTTTCTACGGACACTAATTCAAAATATAATACTTTTAACTGTTTTAAACGCGAACTATATTAGTTCACGTCTCTTTAATTACGAAAACTTAAAAGTATTTTATTTAGGACGTGTTAAACGACAGCCAATAATGAATAAATGTGTGAATTGGTATACATTTATTAATTATTGGCTTTGATTGTTCCACATCCGTGCGACTGAGCTTGGCACTTAAAAATGAAATTATTTTAAACTTATATTGAGATAAACGCTGGACGTATGACGTATGTTCATTAATTTGTGGAAAATATTAACAATATTGTCTTGATTATGCTCTAGTTATTAATTATTATTTAACGGAATTAACTTGACCTACAATAGTCTCGAAAACTCTAGAAGCTAACGATGATCTTTCTAGAACACTCTGTGACACCTATGACACGCAAATGAAGAGATTTTAGTACACTCCTAGAAGATTATCTTTATCTAATCTGATATTAAACATTCAATTAACAATAACGTAACGTAACCGTAAACATTCCAAATTCGAAATTTTAAGTACCTACAAAATTGATTAAATTGTTTTAAACAACAATAATTACTAAGGATTACTAAACAACCTACTATTAAAACTTATAGTTTAATAATTACGAATTATTTATCATTTAATGATAATTATAATTTGTCACTATATCTAATTAAGTATCTAGTTCTGCCGAGGAGTTTATAATCAATAACTAAAATTATAATAGATTTTAACCTTAGTTACACTACAATATCTTAACAAAAAATACATCTAAACTATATATAGATTATATATACTTAAGGCTATAAGTGTGTAACATATAATATTGCAGTGGTGCATTCATACATGAGCTAAATATTAATAGATGATCAGGCAAACGCTGTTTTGTTTGCAAGTTAATATTATTAGTTTTTATTACCATTAAACCGGCTATTGTAAGTTAATCTTAAAAGTTAGACATAAATGACTCGGGTTTTTTTAATCATACAAAGTAAAATCGTTTATTTTTACGTATCTATTGGTGTATGGGACCCTTATCGCAACGGAAGCCTGTGTTTCTGCGTTCCTATTGGTCGCAGCGTGATATAGACTAAAGCCTTCCTCGAGAAATGGTTTAATCATTTCAATTCAAGGCAAACAATTTAAAACGAAAAATTTCCACTACCGTATACGTCTATCTTTTCAGGTTCAGTCGCAAAAACAACGGGACATGAACGACGTCATTTATACAGTTACATCTATCTCTTCAGAAGATTGTTTTGAATAAGACGGACGTCCTTTGATCTTTGAAGTCGTGGTTTGCTATTGACAAAATATTGGTCTGCAAGTAATGCTCCCCAGTACTATTGCGGTATAGCTGAGGAAACTTTGAAATGCGAAGTAAACTCAGTAATATACTTGAAGGGGATTGAAATAGCCTGATCATCAGAGACATAGACGCAAAATATATTGATTCAGCTATCCTATTGAGGAGTGTAAGTAGGGAAATTATTTGTATGTGCTTCGTGTTAATCTAGTACAACATTAGATGACCATGTTGCTTCGGTGCGGGCAACGACTATTTATTTATGATAGATGAGGACAGACAACCATGGGGGTCTTGATGGTGGAATAACCGACATCTAAACACTGCACTGTCGACCTATTTTGGCTCTATCCGGAAAACCACAGACTGAGACCGTATCGCGATTAAACTATTATAAGCATATCTTAGTCGTTTCAATAAGATTGCACGTTAATGTTCCGCCTTTGTAAGTTTTTAAACCACGCTGGTTGCATAAAAACATAAGCATTATATATTTATACGTATTTGTTTTATAATTATATCAATTGCTGAAACATAACCTGTTATTATAATATTGCTTGTTTGAAAATTTTCTGGTATTATGTAAGTGAAAAATCGATTTTATATTGAAAAAAAGAGATTGAGCTAACATGTCAATTGAAGGACGTTGACGCGGTAGCTCAATTTTTTCAATCTAAAATCCATAATATTGTTTGCCTCATATTAAAAAAACTCCTAAAGAATCGCAAAAAAATGGCCGCGGTTCATACCTCACAATTTTAACTGAATAACTTTGCAAGGCCGCGTAATGTATATTTTTGTACATAAAAGTAATTTACCCCACAGCGTTCACCGCGACGATGCCATCCAATCGACGACTGAACCAAATTTAATTTAAAACCGCAACATTAAAATCAAATTTATCTGTGAGCCATCGATACGTATAATGACATTAACATTGTTGAATTAACCCACAGATCGCGTAATAGGCCACTGAACGAAACGCGCCGAATTAAATGTCCAAGGCATAAAAATCCAAGTTATAAATAAATTGCGTAAGTATTTTCTTTTCAGCAGTCCTAAGTCAATTCACAATCAGTGTTATAATAGTTATAAAGAATTAGGTAAACGAGAATCATTGACTTAATTGTAATGTAAAACATCGATTTACGATAAGTGTAAAAAGATTGAGAAGCGATCACTACTAATATTATAGTTGAAGAATTTATATAATTTAAAAATCGAAAATAAATTGAAAAAAATTTTTCGACTCGGGCAGGACTTGAACCGGCATCGTCAGCTTTCCGTGCTGTTGCTCTACCAAATGAGCTACCGAGTCTCGAGAGACTTGGTAGCTCAATTGGTATTTTTTCAATTTATTTTCGATTTTTTTATTATATAGTGCCTTCGTGTGCAATAACAAGCGATTATCTCGAGGAAGCCTGTAAGCATAACGCGGTGGCCAATAGGGGCGTAGAAACAGTAGGAAGTGTGGAAAAAATGCGAAAAAATATTGAACTTTGTCGAATTTCTTATTATACTCTCCAAAATCGGTTCTAGATACCCAAACATAAGTATACAATAATGGTTTCTCTTTATCTTAAAAAATATCGGCCATAGTCTATGTCTTTCTTGTAAGATTAACTCGCAAATAAGATGAAACGCAAACGTCGTCGTGGTGTTACCCATATATAGCTATAATTCACTTTTAAAGATTATTTCTCAATCACTACGATATTTTTAAAAATCTAAAAGTGAACGCTGTAGATAATATTAAAATATTTGTTATCTCTCTAAGACGGATTTGCAACAGATTATATGGTATAAGCTTTATGCCTCGATCATAGTCATAAAAGGATCTAGATTTTAAGATTCCTCGTAGATGAAAAATATAGCCTAAGCTGCGACTTAATGGATGATAGATACTATTAAGTAATATTTACAACTTATCTTACTTATCTTATTGTATTTAATACTAATGGAATGTCTTGTATGGACGGTTATATAATATATCTTATAATTCTAAGGGTTACTTTATACTTTAGTTTACTTAGTAAGAGGAAAAACAATTGAAATTCGATACGACTAAAATTAATGTAATTTTTAAATGTTATTGACAATTATCTATTTAATTCTTAATAAGTGCAAATATACTTTATTTTATTTAAATTAGCGAGAACGCTAGTTTGAAAGAAGCGACACGGTATTTTTTTCAAGAAATAAATTGAGTATGAGTGACAGGATAACACTACAGACAAAAATTTTAAAAGGGCTGTTGTCAACGCTTGAATTTTATCCATTTGAATGAATTTTCAGCGCTGAAATATTTTGTTATATTTGTCATATAAAAGCCGTCCAGTACGCACAATGGATCAATGGTCGCCCGAGTATATTAGCTTAGTAAAACAAAATGCAATGGGCTGCAAATAACTGTAATAAAATTTTCCATAAATACGATTTAAACCGGATTACTTCTGGTTTGAATTAAGAATAGAATATTAATAAACTAAATAGGTATGTATATATTTTGTCGTCGTTTTTTTTTTAATTTTTTTACTGTATGTATGTATTTTATCTTCTGTCTTCGATTTCAGAACCTTTAACTAATATATAGTCGTTTGACGTCTATAATTTTTCTTAGAGGAACATATCTATTTCGTATTCGCGATGTGATGCGGGAGTGGAATTTGGTAACTTACATTTTATTTCTAACTATTTTATAATTTTAAGAACTATTCTAATTTGTTCTCTACGTTTCATAGAATACGGTGTCATTCTGTAAAAAATCTCTGTCTTCGTCTGTCGTTTACGCGAGTAGTACAGATTTCGGATTACTTTAGCGGTTTAAAACACGAAATATATTAGTTAAACGGATGCTTCGCAGCAATCGTGGTCACAAATCAAAACATCGGTCGTTGTTAAAATATTTTTTTCTTATAAGTTTAACTAATGCATATTGCGTTAAAACCCGTTCAAGTATTTTATTTAAAAATAACTCTTTCTACTCACATATTAACAGTGGAACGAGAAAAATGTTTATGACTTGGAGTTTCATAATAAATGCATTCTACTTTGACTTATTAAAAAGAATTTGAATTTAGAACATAGCAGTGACTTGGGCGGTATTTGAGAATAAAACTGTCTTTGAGTAAGACCAAGGAATTCATAAGTAACATCTACCCTGTATTCAATGAAACGAATGTAAAAATTAATTTCCTATAAATAAATTTCATTTTTATTCTAAGTCAAGATGTGATGCAAGAGTGGAAACTTGGTATTCGTGCTTTCAACGTTAGACTTAAAACAACTTACAACTAATTAGTGCCCTAAGATATTGTTCTGACGTTCTTAAGATAATCGCAAACTAAGCTTCATAAAATACGCTAGCGGTTATTCAAGAAATCATCTAAAATTGCTTGTTAACTCTGCCAAGGTATAGTCGAATGCAGAAAACACACCCTATATTTATTATTGGAATGATAAAAATATGCTTACTGAAATATACCATTGTTCACTTAAATGAAAACGTAGTGTCATATCAAACAGACAAGTTTCTATGTCAAGAATACATTAGGTCTAATTATAAATTCGTTTTAACTTTTAATTATTATACATAATTTTAAAATTAAGTTCGTAAAGAAGTTATGGTGAAATTTTTTTTTAACCCGACTATACTTATCTGCTTGCAAGAAATGTCTAAAATTATACTCAACTTCTTAGACGAACAAGGAAAGCTCTTTTGCAAAAATTATAATATTTCATTTGGAATATGCAAAAGAAATCAATTGAATCGTGAATTACTTTCGACAATCCGATTTGAAACGTTTTAAAAATCTACATAAATAATATAAGCTACTTAAATCGAATGCAAAAATGTTCGTACCTACCTGAAATTATGACCTTGTTTGTTTACCTCATACAGTTCGTTTATCTATCTAAAACGTAATTTTAAAAATGGAATTAAAATTCTAATCTTGGATATACAAAATTGCAGCTATCTTCATTAGATTTGTCGTTTACGTCATTAATCTAAGGGAAACACGTAACAGATAACATAAGCTGATCGTTTCGAGACAAAGACACGTAAACCCAAAATTGAAGCAATATGGGTGATGGCTATGAAGACATTATTGTATTCCAGTACGAAATGAAGCTTTTTGGAATAAATAATTAAAAATAAGAGTTAAATGAAAGTAATTAATGAAATCCCCACGATAAACATGTACAAATGAATGCTAACTAACAAACAAAGAAACACAAAAATAAAAATAAAAAACTACCTGACCCAAGTTAACTTTTATTAACTGTGGCTTGAATAATGGTTTCTCCATGACATAAAAAATTAAATATTAATAAATATTGAGACTGATAAAAATTTAAATATTTCAAGAGCAAAAAGTTTGTCCGACTGAAAAATTAAGTTTTAATATTATAGATGTCAAAAATAACATTTAATAATTCTCTATAATGATATATTTACTACTTTTATATCTTTTCGTGATCTGTACGCGTGTTAACGAATTAAAATAACTGTTCAATCATCTGTAATAAATGACTGTTGACTATGTCAATATTTGAGACGAACTTCAGCCAATATATCATTGAGATGACATGTCTGTATGTCGAAATAGATATCATAACGTAATTAGTCAAATAAATCTTTTCATTATTTTAATTAATTCGCTGGCAATTTTCCGAAAACTAACACATTCGTCTAAATGTTACGCGTAAGTGACGCAATTATTGCTATTGGAATACACGTATTACAAAATACATTAAGAACTATCTATTTATAAGTAATTATACAATTATTAAAGTATGGTATTATAGTACCAAGTTAACATAAAGTGCGTTTGATAAGTTTAATATTAAAAACCTATTTTAGAATTAATGACGACAGGGGCAAGACTTGAACCGACATCCACGGCGTTCCGTGCTATTTATTGCTCTTACTAATTCTTGATTTAGATGACACGGTAGCTCCATTGGTTAAAGCAGCAGCACGGAACTCTGTGGATGCCGGAACAAGCCCCGCCCGTGTCGTTTTTGAATCTTATTATATTTTGAATATCGGACTACCGAACTTCAACATAGTTATACCATAATTGGCATACGTCAAATTCGAAAGCGTTCCTCGCTATGTAAAATACTAAAATCTAAATACTGTCTATAGTTTACGCGAGTAGTACACATTTAAAAAAAAACACTTTAACGCTTTAAAACGCGATATATTAGTTAAACTTATTTGAAAATGATGTTTAACTTCGGCCCGACGTTTCGGATGGAGACATCCTCCATCTTTAGTCTCCCCGTGACCACGGCTGCTGCAAAGCATCCGAAACGTCGGGCGGAAGTTAAAAATCATTTTCAAATAAGTTTAACTAATATATCGCGTTTTAAAGCGTTAAAGTGTTTTATTTAAACACTAATCTATTATAGACTCGTGAATTGCATTATACTTATATTATTGTGATGTTATTCCACGCAAACCGCAGCGCTATTAACTTATAATTTACTTCCGTACTGCTATCGATATTTATACCAATTGATTATTAGGTTGCAATATGCACTAATGTTTTTATTAAAACAATCCAACGCTTCGCAACATGAAATACTCGAGTTTTGTTTTATAATATCGGTAAATATTCGTAGAATTCGTTAGGAATTGTTATCCAGATATAATCCGTTAGCATTTTCCTCTGAGAATTTTATTCAGAGCATTTGCTGTATCTGAGAATCTGAGAATTTACAACAATATATGGAGCGTTCGCGTTATTAAATAAGTGGTTTAATTCTAAAACATGATCTCGCTCTAAGCTATGTCAAACACTCCCTTCAGCCACTGTTTCGCCGAAGGTAACAGCCGGTTTTCAGAATTTGTGACTAGCTGCTGGCTGTTCTGGTGGCGTGACGTTCATACCCATGTTGTCGTAGGAGAAGTCGAGGGTAGTGTCTTCCGCTGGGTGTCTATTACTAATAGCTGTGCTGATGGTTTTGGGAGTGGTAGCACCAACACTCCTCTCAGTCTGCGTTCTGGCGTCAAGGTCTCGAACGTTTAACGGCTGGTGTCGTTTCGGCGGTTCTGGGTTTCGGATTTCCAGTTTCAAATCCGGCTTCGGTTTCGGCATTTCGGCATGCGGATTGTGGTGGGTTAAGTCTGTGGGGTATTGCTTTACGCGATTCTGGAATTAATTTTCAGTTAGTGTTATTTCTTAATACTTTAAACATTGTTATATATGTTATTAGTAATTTAATCGAAAGTTATTAAATTTATAGTTACAAGAATCTTGCATATACAAAATGTATTTTCAAATATTTGATTTATCTTGAAATAAATTATTTTTTATAACCCTTTTTTAAGATTAGCCTTTGTAGCTATATAGTTAAACGTCTTGTCTAGCTTTGCTTTAAGCTAGAGAAGTCCTGCGTTTGAATCCCGGGAAAACAATAGACTGTTTCAATCGGACAAGATACAGAAGTCTGATCAACTATATGCCTATAATAATATTATATATAAGTCGGATCTGTGAAACGGGCACAGAATATGTTTGCCCCATGCCCTATTAGACGAATTAGGACCTTACTAAGATTAGGTATAATTAAACATTGAAGGGCATTGATGGACTCGGTGGTCTTCGTCTGGAAATATAGATATTGGTCTGATAATATCGAACATCCGTCTGGCTTTGACATGAAAAAGCCGAGAAGTTTAATCACGCTGTGGTTCCACAACATCCAAAGCTAAAGCCAAAGATTCTTTAAACTTACCTTGGACGGCTGAAGCTTCTGTTTAAGGTATCTCCAAGATAAGCGACCGCGGCAAATGATAATTAGAACCAAGAGCAATACGGCCAACGCCACACCACTCACAATCAAGGCAGTCTGAGCTTGACGCTGAACACCTAAAATCACAATCAAATTTTATAAAAGAATTCTTGGGTAAATTTAGTTAATAGTGAATTGGTGTTGAAATAGAATTGTTGTAGGATCAAGGTTTTAAAACGTTAAAAATAGAAGAAACCCTAAAGAACGAATCGGTGAAACGGACACAGAAATGTGTTCGCCCCATGCTGCACGAGGGGGAAACGGGATTTCACACACATCGCAAATAATATAGACTACTTGTATAGTAGATATGTGTGCGCAAGCGTGCAACAATAAAAAAAAATATATATAAAGTACAGCAGAGTAACAATCGCAGTTTAAAGTAAGAATACACGAGAAGGTTGTACGTAACAAGCTTAAAATAAAATTTAGAAAAGCACATAAAAGTAACGGTAAAAACAAATGAAAAATGTTTTGTAATAAAATTAGAGTGAATAATCGACAAGCCGGAACCCACAGTGGAATGAAAATAATTCGCTGATGCACATCAATTTGCAAAATTGTAAAATGTTCAAAGTCAACATTATCTATATCTATAGTAATATATAAAGCTAAGTTTGTTTGTTGGTTTGAACGCGCTAATCTCAGGAACTACGGGTTCGAATTGAAAAATTATTGTTGGTCAGAGTATTCGGTTAGAGATACCCGATAAGTATGTATGAACGAATGATTCCTCTTTAAATTATATAATACACTTTCATGACACTATATATTTAAGAGTTAGGGCTAGCGTGCACTGGTGACTTTTGTCACGGTGACTTCAAAGTTTTTGTCATTGTCACGTCACGTTTCCAAAGTGGACTGCGCGCACGAGTAGCGACAGTGACAAAACATTTTCGAAATCGGAAGTGTCATTTGCCACTATGGATTTCGAAGAGACGGTCGTTCTCTGTGAACTCTTGAGAATCAGGAGGAAAGAAAACGAAGAGAATACTGGGTACACCCTCTTTGGAGTGGCAGGCTTCTACGTGGAAAGTTCTACACTATGTATTATTAACTTCGAGAACATCGTAAGGGTTTTTTTAGACATTTCCGAATGAACACTTAGACGCACTTTATGACCTGAATATATTAAAATACGAACATATAAATAAATACTTCTTATTTATAATAATATTTAAACTATTATATTATTATAAATAATAACGATTTTCAATAATTATTATCAATAATAATAATTAAATGAGAATGCTATAGATTACAGTGTCTTAAGTTAAAAAACGGTTTTCGTAGAGCGACAAGTTACCCGAAGCATTGGAAAGTAGTCTACTAATTTCTTCCCATGCTTTAATTTTCATGTGAATATCTGAATACTCTTTCAATTTTTTATCATAAAGAGCTGGTGTCTTTTTCACTTCTTCAATTAGACCGCCATTATCAATATCGTCTTCACGAACGACGACGAGAGTGACAAATTTGTCGCGCGCATTGCTATGAAAACCCGTAGCGGCGCTGACAGTTTCGTCACGGGCTTGTTCGCCGGTCGGCGTACACAAATGTCACCGAATTGTCACGTCGTAACATGCCCGCACCTCCATACATCTTCACGGACTTGACCAGAGCGACGAAACGGTCACCGTGACAAAAGTCACCAGTGCGCGCTAGGTCTAACGTGCAAGAACGACGGTATGCGACCGACGTCGTGAATAACAGCTTAATCATAAAAATGAAGAGGAGAAAAGTTTTTTAGTTTTACAAATATTCACAACAATATTGACGTTCACCTATATTTGTTTGCTTAAATAACAGAATAATTACGATAAAAGCCCGAAATAATTTGCATTGAGGTAATTATTTTTCGACGCAGCGCCTAACCAAAACACTGTCGGCTGGAAACCTTCAACGTCGATTACTATGGGTACATAGTAATTATTTGATAGTAATTTACCTCGCAATATCCTCTATTAATTTATAATTACCGGGGAAAATTGGTCCACCTATAATAACAATGAGTTTTGATCGGTATTTCCCCTAACGTAATTACAAATGCGGGATTTGACTAAATTCTTAATATATTATGTATTTATTATAATAGAGCAATACGCATAGTTCGTACTATAACATTATCAAAAACAATACTTAGATGATAATATGGGACTATTCATCTTTTACTAGCTGTGCCTGCGACTTCGTCCGCGTGGAATAGTGACTTGGGGTATAATTTTTAATTAATGAGGCTGTTTATTAATCTGTGGTAAGTGATACTTTGCCACAACACTCTCACTTGGGACGGACTGATGTAAAATGATATATTTCGCGTTTTAAATCGTTAAAAATGTTTTATTTAAATAAAACATAAATTTAAAACAAATATTTTTTGAATGAGTGAATTTTTAACAAGTTATTTCGCTAAGCTTTTATGAAATAGAGTAAAATGAATGTCCAGTGTGTATCACTTATACTAATAAGGTACACCCGTATTCTGTTGGTAAAGTGGAGACTTAATGCGCTTTGTACATTTTGATATATGCTCTATTAACTCACTAACACTCATTTTCCCAGCGCGGAAGGTCAAATAGGTGACAAAGACCTAGGAGGCCCACCGCTGAGATATGATAATTGAGTTGAGATTCAAGTAATAGAAGGTATTCAAAATATGGGCAGGAAAATTAATTAAACAATAAATCGCATTTCATAAAATTGATGAAAAACAAATATTACTATATAATATGTATGTATACTTTAAGCCTCTTAAACGTCAGGGAATATTGCAAATGTATTTAAACCTTGTATGTACACGATAAACAATTGATAAAATACACGTAATTTTAAACAGTTTATGCACGAACTTAAAATAATGAATTAATATTAAAATTCGCATTTTTATCGCAAGGCAAGTCTTATATTAATTTCATGTAATTGTTAGGTCTGTCAAATATAATTACCATTGATGTCTGATGGTGGTGACATGGATTCTGTGCGTCGCATGTACCGTAGATCCAAGAGGTAACCTGAAAATTAAACAATTTTCATGAAAATTTAACTAATCATACTAATATGTCACTTGTTACTAAACAAAATAATCAAACGCTTATATATATTATTTAAAAATTAATTCGTCATTATTATTATAAGTCGCTTGCATTTATCTGCAATTCAAGGGAGTAAAATTTTGACGGGCCCATTAGTCTAACGTATGTTTAATAATCAACGAGTCGTGGATTCGATCCCCACGGGGTCCAACATATCCTTATCCTTACTAATATTATGAATGCGAAAGTAACTCTGTCTGTCTGTCTATCTGTCTGTCTGTCTGTTACTCTTTTACGCCAAAACTACTGAACGGATTTGAATTAAATTTGGTACACAGATATTTTAGACCCTGAGAAAGAACAAAGGCTTCTTATTGCGAAAAGGAGGTTGTAAGGGGTTAAAAGGGGAGGTCAAAGTTTGTATAGAAATTCGTGGTTTTTGAAACTAGAACAATGAAACTTTCTTCTTTGGCTTTTTGGGAGTAGGAGTGGGAGTGGGAGTTGGGGTAGGAGTGATGTGAGGTGAGAGTGTTGCGGCAAAGTAGCACTTACAACATAGATTGGCTGCGATAAATGCGCAATTACATAAATTAATAAGCAGCCTAAATAATTAAAAATTCTACCCCAAGTCACTATTCCACGCGAACGAAGTCGCGGGCACAGCTAGTTTGTAATAAATTTATCTTTTGTCTAAATCCTGTTGGTATTCTGGATTTAATGGGTCGAAATTCTGTCCAGGTCACAAACCACCGTCCACAGATGAAAACGCCGAGAAGTTTAATTATGTTTCGTCTGTCTATAGATATCCGAATATCCAAAAATAAATTAAGTCGACAGCGCATTTTGATTTGATATTATATGGCTAACAAGAAAACACGATGACGTCAAAGACTTGAAATGCAGTTTCATATTGCAAATGTAGAATTGTTATTTTTTTAAACTCAAATCAAGCAAATCGCTTCAACATTATCAATATATAAAAATATCCTTTGAGCTAAGCCGTCACAATATTTATTTTAATATCAGACTCGAGATCACTGTTATTATATTGAAGAACATCGTTAAGTTTTCCTGGAAAATCATAGAAATGCTCTATAATCGGCTGAAGCTTATTCAGGTAGCTAATAATATTTTTCAAATAATTTTCAATAGCTCCTTTCACGTTTGCCATTCTTTCTAAAGAAATTTCATCAAAGCTGTTACATCGGACGTGTTTTGTAATTAAAAGCGCAAATACAGGGTTTCATACATTTCAAAGGTGAAAAAATGTGTCCGCAACGTGCATGCAACCGAAACGTCGGGTATAAACTAATTTACAATGAATTAACTGATCAATCTTTCGTGTTTTAAACCTTTAAAATGGTTTTGTTGCTAATAACAAAAAAGTTGTTGCGAAAACGGTTCTAGATATCCAAAAAAAATAAGAATGATTCCATTTAACGTGATCTAAAAAATAATTAGCTTGCAAGAACGACGGGATGTAACCAACGTTGTGGATTACAGCTATAATTTATAAATTTGAGATTTGCAAACCAGATAGTGATATTTAAATAAAACACTTTAACGGTTTAAAACGCGATATATTAGTTAAACTTATTCGGAAATGATTTTTAACTTCGGCCCGACGTTTCGGATGCTTTGCAGCAGCCGTGGTCACGGGGAGACTGATATATTGCGTTTTAAACCGTTAAATTGTTTTATTTAAATGTGTACTACTCGCTTAAACTATAGACACATTGTGATATCCAAAATAACTGTTCTGCGCGACGTCGCGGGCACAGCTAGTCATAGGTAAATATACCTATTATGAAAATGTCGAAATCAAAACACACCCACACAGCATGCCTATATCGAAATATTTTTACACCCCTCTCGTTGCAGGAATGTTTGTGAGCGCGTGTTTACTTTCATTGTGATGTTTTGTGTGTGTGTGTGTGCAACCCGCAGTAGACCATGACGCGAACAGGTACCGTCGAACCCTTGCCAATGAGCCGGTTATGTTTCGTTCACCTTGTATTGTTCGCTTTATCATTCGGTTGTACCACGTAAAGAGATTATGCACTTGACTGTACCCATGCACGGTTCAGGGAGAATGAAAAATATATTGTTAACCAAACGTCTGTCTGTAGTTTAACGCTTTACTCATTTAAATATACATGTAACGGTTTAAAATGCGATAAATTATTCAGTTGTCTTATTTTTTATTTTATCTTACGACCTGAAGTTTCAGACTATGGCATAAGCATCCAAAATGTCGGGCCATACTTAAATATAAATTATTATTATATATTTCGTTTTAAACCGTTAAAATTGTTTTATTTAAATTAAAAATTGATTTTAGATCCAAATACTGCATTAGCAGGACTTGAACAAGCACCAATGTAAAAAAAGGTCACAGAACTACAACGTGTCGACCTCGGTAATTGTCTTTGAGAACTAGACGTCCTAGGTTCGAATCATGCAATAAGTGACAATTGCATACGTTTACGAAAGGTATAGATAGTAGTCGATTAAAAAAACCGATTGGTAAAACGGACACTGAAATATGTCTGCGGCCTGCCAAACTCGGGCCGCGGAAATATACATAATTTCTTTTCACATTACGAATTAAATAAACATTTTAAGCTGAAACCTCTTAAAATACAGCGTACTTAAATACTAGTTACCCAAAAATAATTACATTTATAATGTAGGACTTCTCTGAAAGTCCAAAATCCCGCAGACGACGTTTACAAGTATATAAATTTCCACTATCCCCGCAAAATGGAAAACTAATCCCGTAAAAACAACTTGCCGTAAGTTTTAACAGTGAAAATTCAAAATTAGAATATGCTTTACAAAATGTAACACTAAGCACATAGATCCGATATTGTATAACGTTGAATAGCGTAAATTTGATATTAGAGTGTCGAATTTAACATGAAAACAACTTGAAATATTTGACCTGAAATGCATTCTTCGGCCGATAGAGCGAGACGCGTGTAGTGGATTAGAGCGAGACGGAACGTATGTAGGCGGCTTGCGAGGTTTGTGGTCTCGAAACCTGTTACTTAAAGTAAGCGCAAACTAAAAACGACTCTATCTAGAGAGGCATTAAGTAGATTGTTGCGTGATATCTTGTCGAAGGCTTAGCTATAACATTTTAATATTAATGTAGATGAATGTTAGTCATCCTTTGGCGGTTTCTTTTTCATGGAAATTCGTTAAGAATTCTTGTTAGAAATTATTATTTCTATCACATTTACTACAACTATTGCAGATAGCTAAATATAAGTATGAGGTATTACCGTGTCTGAAAAAATAAAGAAAGACACGGTAACTCGATGGTCGGTTCAAATCCGGGGAATCTCTACGTAAATCAGTTGAGCAGCGCACAGAAGTTTGTTTTTCTACTTGCAATAAAAAATACATGGTCTAAAACTATTTGCAAAACTGTAATTTTACTAAAATAACTCTATATTGACTAAGAATCTGTTCTTTGTTCATTTGAATGTCACCTCAGAAACTATTATCTTTTCACTGTTCAAATTTAAGCTATAGATATAAAGTTTAAGCTATATATAGTGGACTAGTGGTATGTTTTGTGGAACAGAAGACTCTCGTTTCTGGTAGTGTACAACCAGCCCCAATAATAGGTAGTACGATTTAGGACAATCTGGTCATCACATAAGTCGGACATGGGTGTACCTTAATGCCTTCACAACATGAGGTTTAAAAATTATATTTCTCCTTGCGACTAAAAGTAACTTCACAAAAGAAGAGAAAAAATGATCCGTAGTTTACCTTGGCATTCTTTAATACAAAGACCGGAATCGAAGTTATGGTGGGTCTTGTTGCAGACGACGCCACATGGCGCGCATCGATTGGTCTCCGGAGAGCAGTATTCGTCCAGTTGGCAAGTCAATTGGCCACAACGAATACCGTCCAATGTGAGTTGAGCTGATGCAACGCTCGCCAAAGCAAGCATGCAAGCCAATCTTAACATCTTTGTTCTGAAAAAAAATACTTTATTAAAGAGTGCCTCCGGTACTGCAAATCATATTAACCTTGTGTATGTAACCCGGATTGTGTGTTAGATCCCCCCCCCCCCCAAGTTCTAATCAATTTATAGTTTTTCTGAACCATATTAGGTTTGGAAACCTGGGTACTCAATGAGTGATGTGAGTGTCGACAGATGAGATAAATATATGAAGTTTAGTGCGTTTTTACTTTCGAATATTCTTTATCATAAAAAATATAGAAAAGCCGCGAAACTACGCGCTTATCTACCTAACGGAACCAAGTTTTATCGAAATACTTCGTATGAGAAAAGGACGCTTTCAGATCGGCTAGTGGTAGACAAATCTGATAACAACTCATCCAGATATTCTATTTACATTAAGTAAAAGTATACATACGATCAGCGTAACTAGTTTAACAACTTTCCCGAGATCTGATCTCTACTAACTTTCTTCCACTCCCTAAACTGCATCAAATTTCTCTTATTATTAGGACTATTGGAAACATATTATCTCCTTGCACCAGAGCGGCTTATACGTTTTTATTTTCAAATAACTTAAGTATTGTCTGTAGTTTACGCGAGTTAACTGAAACAATTAATGACCGTGGTCACGGCTGCAAAGCATCAGAGAGGTAAAGCCTTAGTTCAATTAAATTAAAAATAAGTTAAATAATGTATTTCGCGTTTTAAACTGTTTTATTTAAACGTTATTATTACACATGTTTATTTATATTATGAAATTTAATTTACAAGCATATTTTTTATTTAATATTATTTTTGTTTAATTACAAGAATGTTTTTTAGATCTTAGACAAACGTGGTAGCTTAGAAAAACAATTAAATGTTTCGTCTTTAAATTATTAACTTTAGAAATAACAAGTAGTACTTTACTTTGTTCGTTTTTCAAATCAGCATTCTATTTATGAAAATCTCACAGCATATTCTATAATCTACGTTTAAATATCTTACGAAACACGTCTTGTTTGATTAAGCGCCGTATGTCGTGGTTAAACAAGTATGAGTCATGCAGATGTACAGGTAGGTACGACAGGTCCATATTTGTCTTACAACAAAAGGGGTCCCGGAACCCGAAAGTCCCACAACCGTTACACATTTTTTTCTGAAAGATTAGGCACTCACTGTTGCATTGTTAATTTTACTAGGAAAGGTTTCTGCTAGACGAAGCTATTACCTATTGTATTATTAATTATATGATGTAATTAGTGATGAAATTGTTAATGCAATTTATTTAATTAATATGTAAGTAGTACAACCGGTTTTGAGAGCGATGTTTTTTGTTTTCGATGACTCATCGTCATAGCTATTATGAAATGACTATCATTCGGTTTCAACAGAATTTTTGGGTATTTAATAATAAATTGTGTGAAGCGAAGTAAATATTTAATTATTTAGTAAGTAATGGAAGAATTTTGACAATCAGGAGACGTAAATATTGTTTACTTCTATGTGGATAATATGTAAGTTTTGAATGCTTTTTTTTTGTAAACTAATTTATTAATAAGTTACTAATATGAATAGCTAATTTAATGTAACGTAGGAATATGAGATATGCAAAGAAGAACCAGCCAGAAAACTCACCAAGCTCCTTATTATTAATATTGCGTTTATTTTGACACTTAAACAATACACAATTTTTTTTCACGGTGGAAACATAGATTCGAACGATAGAATGTTTTTATTCATAATTCTTAGCTTTAACATAGCGTTAGGATCTTTGTGTTTAATCCGGTTGCCTAGCGACGGCTCAAACATGGTCTTGGTCAATCCGTTTAAAACTATGATCATTATGATGAGTTAATTAATTCTGGAAAACAAACTCTCTACATTCAAAACATGGAGTTTGGCAAATACTCTAGTTTTGACTGGAGAATAATTACTAAATAACTCTATTAATACTAGAAGTCAGTATAGGTAAGTCACGGCTTTCAATGTGTATTTTAATGTTCTTAATAAACGGATACAAATTTGTGTCCGTCAACTGATTTATTAAGGTCATCAGTCTTCTATACTCTGGAATTAATGTCAAACTCTATTGCTGGTGTTAGGTCGGCTTGTGATGGCGCCACAAAATATAATCGTTCCCTTTTCAGAGGCAACTGTATTATTGTGTTTTATCTGTATTTCGTCGTTTAATATTTAGGTATTGTTTCTAAAATTCGTTTATGTAAATGTAATGTTGTTTTCTGCATAAAGATGTTTCTATTTAATTTTATTCTCTGCTTTATCTATTCGAAAAGACATGGTTGTGTTCGTGGCAATGTTCACTACAAAACTTCTTAGCTACACTTAATTTCTTGTAAACGTCGGTCTTTATAAACATATTTTTTGCCAGTAAATGTATGTACATATACCGGACATTATACAAACAAGTTACACCACCGCGACTCGGATTACAGAAACACCGTTTTATTATTGTTTTCTCATCAATTACGTAACTCACAGTAAATTTAAGTTATTTTAAAGACGTGATCGAGAACATCCGTCACCTTGATATCAAGGTGTCGACTCACGTACGTCTAGATACCGCTTATACCTAACTTTTAATTATCTTGCACTAAGAACAGTGAATTAAAACTCATAGCAATATATATATTATAATATAACATCAACATATAGCTTAAGCTGTTTTCAGAAGACGCTATAATGTATGAAGCTGAAGGGTTTGTTTGTCAGTTTGTACGCGCTTACCAAAATAACTATTCTATCGAAGTCGCTGGCATAGCCTAGTATATAAAGTAACAACGATAAATATATCCATCTCTTTCTTTACCCGTAGTACTGAAAGAGATAGATAGTGCCTCTGAATGACACACGAAGGAAAGTACAAACATGTATTGTGAATGATAGTCACATATTTATTGTTTTCGTTACATTAGCATGCAAGTGATGCTTTGTCGGTCTGAGGCTTTCATAACCTCCTTACATCGATGATGATAGCAAGGCTACGTCCCTACATAGTTTGGTTGCATTTAGTATTATTTACGGTGAGTTGTTTCTGCTGTGTTGCCTCCTTAATCGCTTTAATTGGCCAGTAGTTCATTAGGCTTCTGTGCCCTGCACGACAAAGCAATCATTTATTTCCTCGGGGCTCAAACCCGGGACCTGGAGATGAACAATATAGTTTCGGTAAGGCAGAACACAGAAGTCTGATTAACTACTAAAAGAACAGATTAGTAAAACGGACACAGAAATGTGTTCTATGCCCGTTGAAACGGGATTAAATTTTTCACTAACTAATAAACGCGTTATTATTCCAAAAAAGCCTACCACCATTGGATTTGTTATTGATTATAAACGGATTTGTCCCTTAAGATGCTATAGAAGGCGAATCCTGGTCCTCATGATCCGCAGCCAAGTGTACTTAGACAGTTATTATTTGAAATTATTCGAGCTAGATTGAAATATCACGCAACCTAAAGATTTCGTCTAACCCGGATGTAATTGAAACCCGTCATTCTGCCCCGGATATTGCACCTGTGCTGAACCACATATATCTTGTTAGCTTTGCTTTGGCATCAGCGGATGAGCAGAGATACAAACTTTCATGTTATAATTCAAATGTTTGTCACAACTGCATAAGTATTTTTAGGGTTACCTAGAAAATAAACTACACTTATTGTTAAGCTTCACTGTCACCAGTTATGTCTATCTATGAGCAGGTTTGTCTGTCGATCAGTAGGTATGAATGTCTAACAGCAGGTATGAATATCTATCAGCAGGTATGTTTTTCTATCAGTAGGTGTATCTGTCTATCTGCAGGTGTCTGTCTATCAGTAGGTATGTCTATCTATCAGCAAGTATGGACGACTATCAGCAGGCGCTGATAGTCTGTCTATCCGTATTAACTAGAGCGTCGAAAATTATGCATCTGCGAAAGCTATGAAACGACAACAAGTATTTACCAAAAAAGATATGGGTGACAGGTATACACGATTTAAATTAATGGTAGGCTTGAACTATAAAAGGTCACAATATAAAATTTGTACACTCAACGGAATCCGAACATGATGCGGCCTCGCACTTGGCTTTAGTTAGCGCTGTATCCGATTGTACACCGACGTAGTATAATATATTACACGATCAACAATTACCGTGTTTTGAAATTCCATGCATTCAAGATTTTCGCCTATATTTACTTGTTAATTAGTGGTCAATAAACCATGTAAGTTTTATTAAGTACAAGAAATAATTACTATTATCTGCCATAGTAAGGAAGGATATTTTTTGTCAATAACTCTAGGTCTATGTCAGAAAGTAGAAAGAGCTCCTAGTCTATAAATTCCGGGTAGCCATACATACAAGTGGCCAAGCGATTTGTTACTTGATACAATGTCACTCGACACCACTAACACTGAATTTCAGCTAAATAACTGAAATGGATATTTTCATGAATTGCATTTCCTGCAAGTAATTATCGCTTTGTCGAGTGATATAACTATTAATGCAGACATTAATTTTATATTTATTAAGGTGGAATTATTCTATAAAATTAAAAACAAAAATAAAAAGGAACACATTTTTACAGGGCAAAAAACCATATGAAATTGTTTTTTTAATCGTAATAAATTGTTACTACTTCTCTGTTACTAAAACCATTTCCGGTAAATTTCAAATTTGAAAAAGGAACAAAACAAAGTACCTACTGTGCATGCTTTTTAATGTCCTGTTTCGTTGACGTAATTTTCTTATTTTGCAGATAACGTAATATTGATAATATAAAATGGCGCAGTAATCAGGCCATTTTTTGGCTTTAAGTGGAAATAGGACCAAAGTTGTATAAGGTGAAATAAATTATCCGACTCGGTTCTCGGTATATATATACATCTGTATTAAACATATATAACTATCCGAGTATATGTTTGCCTTTACGATGTTAGAGGACACCGCTAAGTGCTCATTATGTCCATTCTAGACTTGTGTCCACTAAGTCACATGATTGGTTTACTATTATTGTATATAAGCTTCATAGTCTACATATAGCTAACATATACATATATGTATTTTCGCGTTTTGACGGACATATAAATATGTTTGATAACCTTAATATTGTTAACATTGTGGCATTATATAAATTAACAATCGATTTAAAATGATAAAAAAACTACACGAGTGGAACATGAACCGGCATTTACGGCGTTCAGTGCTACTCTAACCAATTGAGCTACCGTGTTACGTGTGTGGCATGGGTGGCTCAGACTTTTCAAAGGGTAGGTTGTAGTCAATTTATTTATACCTGTGTCCGAATTTATACGTATTAGTTAATTTTTAAGAAGTTGTAACTAACTTTGTAGGTTATTAACAAATTAATTCTCGTTAAGAATAATTAAGGAATAACCGCGATACCTTTCATAATTGTAATAAAACGCCGGGATCTAATTACAATCGGTTGATAAGTTACAGTTCGCGCAATATAACTTCTGAGTATATAGACAATAGGTATTTTCAGTTTTCATTACTTGTTTTTCACTCAACAAATGGTTCAATGAATCATGACACACGAACACTAATATGCGACGTCCAAGGGGACAATTCTTAACTATGTGACATAATTTAAAAATCGAAAAATAATTGAAAAAAATGTCGACTCGGGCAGGACTTGAACCGGCATCGTCAGCGTTCCGCGCTGTTGCTCTACCAATTGAGCTACCGAGTCCTACACCTCATCGTCGATTTTCCAACTTATTGATACATACACCTCTCGCGCAATGTACTTGCGTATCAAGGAAAACTTTTTTTCATTTTATTTTCGATTTTTAAATTGTTATCTAAAAAATAATAAAATTTCATATGTGACATAACTTGACGCCGATATAAGTCGAACATATCGTCAATTTTGTATGAAACCAGAAAATCTGATTACTGTTTGCAGTCGTAAATAATAACCTTTTTTAACTGATGGGAATGCATATTGCACGGTCAGGGTATCTGTGACCGTGCAAAATGTATGGTAAATCTTTCTTCACCACGGTTGGGGGTGGTATAATTTTCCCTGTTTTTTCCACATTTTTCTATGCTTCTTCGCTCGAATCGGTTGCAGCGTGATGTTTTATAGCTTCAGCGTTAAATTTTCTATCCAAAAATAATAATAAATTTTAAATTCGAACTAGTAGTTCCTCTAATTTATTCAAACAAACAAACTTTTTTTTACTTTATAACATTAGTATAGATATAAGATCGTCGACTAATATCACTAGTTCATAATAATCTAAAAGATTTTTCGACTTTTCGTAGCGTAATAATGTATCATTTACTTTGATAATTGCCCCCCAACACTAACATTTAGTAAGCAGACAGGTGACATAAATAGTGTTATCGGAGTCGTTAAGAACCATCTGTCTTTAGCAGCAGGTACTTAGCTCATTAGTAATTACGAGCAACTATGATACGCATGTGTGAAAGGTAAATAAGATTGTAATGTTTGTCTCGAAGACAAAGATCACCAAACTGGGCGTAACTGTCTGTAGTTTACGCGAGTACTACACATTTAAACAAAATTAGTAACGGTTTAGCGGTGAAACTCCCCGTGACCACGGCTGCTGCAAAGCATCCGAAACGTCGGGTCGTACGTTTAAGTATTTTTCACTTAAATTGACTAATATATATCGCGTTTTAAACCGTTGAAGTATTTTATTTAGACTAGGAATAAATTGTTTTTATAAAGACGCAGAATTTTAAATACCAATAATCATGAACAAGTTTATTTTGTATTTTATTTTAACTTAGTTTCTTCTATAATTATATTGATCACACTAAAATAACTAAAGCAATATTTAAAAAATCTTCTAATCCTTTAATTGAAGTTATGCCATTTTAAATAAATTAGTTAACTTTTCCTCTCATTTCATTTAATAGGGCATCCGATGCAAAGCATTCGAAACTTGACTCGTATATTTCTCGTTCTAACCAGTTATATGAGTTTTATTAACTACAGACAATACTTGATTTAACATTATATCAAAACAAGTGATAGTATTTGACATTTATATAAATTGTTTTCTTTACACTGAGATGGGTATTTTATTACAGAATCCACAATTCCTAAAGATTTGATATTCGAACTTTTTTTATAGAGCATTTAAAACAACAAATAGAATATTCTGGAATGTCGTAAATGGAGATAACTGAACCAAAAGAAATTAATTACCTTTCGGTGGTATCTTTATCACTTCTTAGAATGGGAATATAAATTAATAGAATCACTAATATTTCGCTTGAAAATTTTATACAATAAGAAGACAAGAAGAGATGCATCTTGATATGTAAGTTTGTTCCTTTAAAAACAAGCATTGTACCTACTTAAAAATGTAATTTTGAGAAAAAATGGAGGATCATCTATTATCATCGTGTAAAAAAATCATAAACCAATTAACTAGCTATCACGTCACAAAGAGATAAACCCACTAAACATAGTTTGTCATTACCTTTGAGTTTACTTTTTAAATATCTTTTAATTGAAGCAGTCACCAAGGATTTTATCTTGAATTACACTCTCATTCGCATAGAAGTAAAACAGACACCTTAAATCTGATACACAGTTTGGCAGCCTTCGAAAATTAAAATATTCAAAAAACTAAATTAAAAATAAACAGGCCTTCGATATTTAAAAACCGTACTGTACACTGTATCTTATCTTCTTTAGTATTAATCATGATTGTTTTATTTCCCGCTAGAACGTACTATAGGTTTTAGAGATTATAACACGAATATAAGAAGCCGTGAAGGTTCTATAAGCCACGCTTCATTTAGTCATCGGAAAAATATGTTGGGAAAAACTGTTGGATTTATCACACTCAACTAAGCAACCACGTGATTGGGTCTTACGATTACAAATTCTATATCAGAGAATAGTTTTTCAGTACTTCAGGTTTAGTATATGATGCAAAATGATTGTAACGCAAGCATTGAATTACTAAAAACCTTTACTGAGTGAAATAGCTATTTGCAAAGCAACAGGTTTCTAGTATATCTACCTAATTATACGTCTAGCTATATTGTCAGACTCGTTTCCTCCACGTAAATTTTCAAACTGCGCTCTGCTATTTAAAAAACAACTTATAATAATTAAAAAAAGAATATCACTCACGCTAATTGGTCATCTCGTCGAAAACAAACACAAACACTTTTGAAATTGCAACTTCAAAAATCGAAGCCTCAACTGCGTCGGCGGTTTAGCGCGAAGGAGGGAGAATGGAGACGGAATGTGACTCTTGCGCAGGTAACGCAACCATCGTGTTGGCTAACGGTTCTGGTGTGGGTTAATGTTGTTACACTGTATCGTATATTGTGCTTGTGTGCGTGCGGCGTCACGTTTAAGCCTTCATAGTTCATCGAGTTTTACAAGTTTAAGCAAATCGAACATTAAATAAATAGTTTTGATAATTTCACTGAAATACAGAAGGAAATGTGTAGTCAGGTGATTTCGTCACGCTCGTATTAATATCTATATTTTTTGCAATATACAGCAATTAAACACAAGGTAGACATTACTTGCGTCATGTAGTCTACAATAAATTAATATCTAGTCACTTAAGAAACGATTTTAAATTGAAAAAATTGTTTACGATGTAGCAAGGAATTGAACCGGGATCCACAACGTTCCGTGCTCTACCCAATTGACACCGTAGCTCAATTAAAAAAATTATTTAAAATTGATCTGTAAATTATATCGTGCCATCATGTGCAGCATGTGAAAATTTAAAAGTTTTCAAATCTTGTCAGTTTTCACAAACAATATTTGAAAATTTCCCTTCTTTAATTGTTACCACTTATAAAGAACTGCAAGGAAATAAGTTTATCATATGTACGAACCTCGTAAGCACGTCACAGAATTTTGTAATAACAAAAATGTTTCGAAATAACTCAACACGCACTATTTATCTACTTACTCTGTCGTAAGTAATTTATTTGAGTACCGGAACAAAGAGTGTTATGAATTTATTCGACCAGGGGTACAATTACGAGTTCTCACATGATTACCACACTCCCCATGTCTCTATTGCCCGACGTGTGCGGCATTCACACCATCAGTAAAAAAGGGGGTACAATTCAGTCTTACCGTAATCATTGCGCAAAATGTTCTTAGTCCGGTCTAGGTTTTTGGAAAACATTATATACATATATTTAATTTTGTTCATTTATATAATTTTAATACGGGTTACAAGTCTCTCCAAGTTTCAGGCTTTGATTTTTTGTATTTTAATTGTTAATTCTTTATAATTTGAGCAGATTTCACAGAAAGTGAGATAAGTCTATAATTTGATGACAAAATCTTTTATTCCTTATATATAGTACAACAATTAGTTATTATAAATAATAATAATAATTTATATATTAAGTTATATATTATTATGTACGGCTAATAATCAACGGTAATACTGTATCTCTATGACACGTCGGACTTCGATATTTCACTCATTTGGTCATTATGTTAATCTATAAACATAATAATATTAAGCTTGCGAATCAGACAACGCAAGATTAAATTATTGTTTATACAAATCTAACAAATATTTGGTAAAAAATGCATTTACACCACGTGCCGTAAAAACGGTTTATGTAATTTTAAAAGATAGACATATAATGTCGAGGCCATTTTTGAGATCGTTGAAAGAGGAATTCTTTCAAACATATGTTTTGGTCCCTATAACCGTTTACGCAGTTCAACTCTGTCCCTATATCTATATCTTTCCTTCACATTTTCGACGTTTTCTTCAGTCACATCAGTTAAGCCTAAAATATTCCCTGAATAAGACAATTAGACATTTTTAAACCAACTCTTCAGATTTATAATATTAGTATAGATGTCCGGGGTAAGAAATTGACAAAAAAAAATCTCTTTTCGAAATATTTTCTTGATACTTTCCTTTTTGATCCTTATCCCCCCCCCCCCCGCACCTAGGGCCGTAAGCCCCTCTGCACCTCCACGACGCGCTGCGTGTAGGCGTAACATCTAGGAGGCTTCACGAATTGATTGAAGGCACGTCTGAGCTTCTTATGATCTCGAGTAGTTGAAATTAATATTGAAACGGAAATTTCGAATTGAAAGCTATTTATCAGTAGTCACGTAGAACTACATCTCTCGATACAAAAGGTCATCCGTTCGATAATTACTTTTGCTTAGACTACATTTTTTTTTTTGTAGAGAACTTAATAATGACGAAAAGAAATAAAAATCAAAGATGCCATTACCGTCCATATCAGTTGTACGAACTTATCAAAATTCCATTCATTTTTCTTTTATCAATACTAATATATAAAGCTGAAGAGTTTGTTTGTACGCGCCAATCTCGGGAACTACGGGTTCGAATTGAAAAAAAGATTTTTATGTTGGTTAGAGCATTTATCCAGGAAGGCTATATAGGCTATGAAACATCGCGTTGACTAATAGAAGCGAAGATACAGCGGGAAATGTGAATAAAACAGGGGAAATTTTTCATCTCTGTGGGTTTCAGATGCGTACGCTGCGACAACGGTTCAGGTAACTAAAAAAATTGTATGACAGAATGACAAATACTGTCTATAGTTTACGCGAGTAGTACACTTTTAAATAAAACACTAACGGTTTAAACGCGATATATTAGTTAACCTTATTTAAAAAAAAAATAACTTCGGCCCGACGTTTCGGATGCTTTGCGTGCGAAACGTCGGGCCTGCCGTCGGGGCTTTGAATGCGTTTTAAACCTTTAAAGTGTTTTAATCAAATGACAGAATCATTCCTCGTTAAATGATCTAAAAAAAGGTCATGACGCTATATGTCTATCTTTTAAGATTAACTTGCAAGAACGACGGGCAGGGACGAGGTCGACGTCGTGGCTAACAGCTTAAGTTTATAAAGATGATGGAGTTTGCAAATACTAAATTGGATGCCCAAAATAACGATTCTCGCGAACTAATTCGCTAGCACAGCTAGTAATAGATAAGACCAGTAAAAGTCGGGATCCAATCATTAAGAAATATCTTCCTTAAAATTCCTAATACTCGACGAAACAATAATTTAATGTATATGATAGAGTTAAGAAACTTAATCATTTTAGTATAATTTTAAGCGCTCTCGTCTAGGAGGTCGTGTTTCTGTCTCAACATGTTTCTGAAACATGATAGATTATGTCTTTCATATCCGATAGGCGGTAGGAATATCGAAAAGTTTAGGCACGTTTTGGATTTAGTCTGTGGATTTCCGAATATAAAAGCTTTAATAGGTCAACAGAAGATGCACTGTTGACCTATTAAAGCTGAGATGTTACATGGGCGCGGTAAGTCACCTTCCATCTATGTAGCCCATGCGTTTCTGTCCTTTACTGATTCTTCTTTTCATTTTAGAAAAAATATTCAAGTAACATTTGAAAAGAAAAAAATCAAATCGATAACACAAAAAATATAGTTAATTGTTTTTTATTTTAGCAGAATTCCATTGTGATATATGTATCACACGCACAGACATTCGTATCGCACAAAAAATTATAACAAAACTAGGTAGACAACTCGGTTTTACCCATGTTCTCCTATACTTAAAGCAACTGATTTATCTACTCTATACAGTAGCCAGTTAGTTTCCAGATTTGACGAAAAACAACAAAATACATGCGCCGTTAAAATTCTATAAAGTTTAAAGTAACACAATTGATTCAAACCGAGAACCGCTCGCGTTTAACGTCATGCCAGGCAACATATTTAACCATTTAGTCAAAGAGGCGGATCAGAAATTTACAGATTGTATTTCTGTCGCCGTTGAGTCCAAAATAAAAATATTTACAAATTGTATTAGCATACAACAAACGCAATTTGCTTGCAGGCTTTTTATTACTGCCATACTTTGCTTGGTCTTGGTCACGGGGGGAAACAAGTTTAAAACCGTTAAAAGTGATTTAAATGTTGTACTCACGTTAATTGTTATAGACAATATTAAGGCACTTATAATGTTCACAAAGCATAAAGTATTTAACTTTAGTGAAAAAAAATAAAAAAATAAAAAAAACTTTAAAATATAAAGGAATTGTTGCTTACACAGAACGGAAGCCTTCGTGCGCGATATTGATCCACACTTGATCGGTCTAATGACATAATTAATTAAATAAATTGTCTCTCATTATTGTTAATCCTACGCTACAATGAAAACGTCTCATGCGCAACTAAGTAAGCAAGCAAATAATGCCTTCACTCATGGTGATACGAGTATGAAAGACACATCTGAAATTGTCGATAAAACTTAGGCTATCTACAACATAAAAATTGTTTAAACCAGGGCCGAATACAGAAAAAAAAATTGTTCTTTCGTTAATGAGGTCAGTCTGGGAACAAAAGGCTACGCTATTGACTACTAACTAGTATAGTATGTATCTATATTTCAAACTAGCTGTGTCAACTTCGTCCGGCATCAAAATTCGTTTTCTCAAACCCCTTATAAACTTAAGCTGTTAAGGAAACCCATAATGATGAATAATTTTTCCATCTTTTTCACATTTATTGCTGTATCTTCGCTTGTTTAAGTCACAGGTTTTTTAGCCTATAGCCTAAATACTCTAACCAGCACAAAAATAATGTTTCAATTCGAACCCGTAGTTCCCGAGATTAGCGCGTTCAAACAAACAAACTCTTCAGCTTTCTATATTAGTATAGATTTAAAAATATTTTTTTTCGCTTTAATACGTCTCAAGTTTATTAGAAGTATTTGACTGAGGTCTATGTCAAGATATTTATGATTGCGAAGATTATTATTATTGTTGCTTGTTGTTGATATATTAGTTTAACTTATCTGAAAATAAGTTTAACTAATATAATATCGCGTTTTAAACCGTTAAAGTGTTTTATTTAAATGTGTACTACTCGCGTAAACTATAGAGAGTATTTAATTGTTGCTTTTACAATAATTATCGGTAAATATTTAGGATGAAGTATTATTTTATATTATGTTTGTATATATTATGTATATATCTAAGCACTAAAAGTGTTCTGATAGTCACTGGCTAATGTTATAATGGTTCCAGCTTCGTTTAATATAACACTGCAGGCACAGATGTATAATAATAATGAAAAGGATTGTAAAAACTTAAAAGTATATTTAAAATTAACCAATATTTCTCACAAGTGTTAAAATATATTTGTAGAGCCAAAAAAGACTTAAACAATGTAGTTAAATAATTTGCACTTAAACAGCTGTACAATTTGTATAACAAAAATCTTCAATAGTATTATTTTATAGAATAACTAAATAGCCCACAAAGGCTAAAAGACTTTTGAACGGTTTGTAACGCGAAATATATTAGCCATTGATTATTTAATACGATCTTACGTTTTGTAAGCTTTACAGCAGCCATTGTAATCTAGCCAAAACAACTTCACGTAGTGAAAAACCAATTAGACAATATATTTCGCGTTTGGAACCGTTAAGAAGTTTTTTTTTATGTTACCACTCGCCTAGACAACAGACAATACCTATTGTAGTCTACTATATTTATAGACTTTCGACAGAACATAGAGAAAATATGTGATATATGAGATTAAAATATTAAAAAAATATTACAAACACATGAAACAAAAGATAAAAATTTAACATCACAAGCTTAGCTCCTTGTTGAACATTTTTTAAGAAAAACTACATCTATCGATGAATAAATATATTTTTATCAACAATAGTAACATATTGTTTACTTGTAATAAAATAAACTGTAACGCTTGTTAAATAAGAAAATTTCGACATTAGTAACGTTTCATATATTTATTCACATGGACTATATAAAATCTTTGACGCCAATATATAAAAAAAATATATTTTTTTTTGGCGTAAAGGGTCGCAGCATACAATTATAAGTTTTACTTATATCCTTTCGCCATATTTGATACTATACTCATAAATCTATAATTAATAAACACTAAATAATTTTCTAAAATACTTAATTACTAGGTAAATTGTTTTATAGTTATTTATAGTTATTTTTGCGAAAGTCAGACGAGCTTTTGAATAATAGTCTTATACAGGGGCCGTTAGACTTGTTACATTAATTTTAATAAGATGTGGTTTCATGGGTTATAACATTATAAGTATGACAACACCCAGTATAACACACACTCTATCGCATTTAAACGGCGCATACTAACCTTTTAGAAACCTCAAAACGATAATAACAAAACGTATAATTTACTTTGCGCATTACTTTCATAAAACTGAAAATTTAAACAAAATTAAATCTTATTATATATGCAATAAAAACTATGGATTTGTATCACAAACACTCACTCACAAAGTTTTGTATTAACTTCATTCGCACTTGTTTGAACGAACGTTGGGGTCGTTTGAGAAGATTCATCTTTGAGAATGGTGGTTACAATCGACAATGAATCTTCTTTAGATCCAGTAGTCGTATTACGACGTTGATGAACTAGCGTCCTCTGGTGGCGGGAGTGGGGCGTCTTCTTCATAGATCATCACCAGTTTGCTATATTCACGTTTTCTTCGGCGGACCTGAAAGAAAATGATCTTTGATGATTCCATCGCGTCTTAGTCTTTTTTGTTGGTGGATACGTATGAAATATAAAAAGTAAAGAGGTGTTAAAAAAATAACAACTAGTAAAAGTAACAAACGAGACAAGAATTAAAAAGATAGGGCGTTATATAAATTAAAATGTCTTTATTATTTCGTGCTCTGCCAATTGAGTTACCGTCTCAAGCTCCGTTGTGCATAGTTCAATTGGCTAGAAAAACAGCACGGAACGCTTTGAATGTAGGTTCTAGTCCCGCCCGTGTCAAGATACTGTATACTGTCAATTATTTATATCAATTTTAAATAATTAATTATGATGAGTGAGGAAGTTATAAAAAGAAAGCCTATTGGCAAAAAATCTACTTTTACACATACCTGAACTTTGGAGCTTCGCACAAAGTTTTCTTCCCCAGAGCTGCTTGAGCTGGTCATTCCTTCCTCCAGGGTTAGCCTAGTGGCAACTCCCTCCAGTTGAAGGTCGAGGTACAACTGGCCTAATTGGTCGTTGACTAGTGAGGGCTGAAAAAAGTTTTATTAAATTATTAAATTTTAAATGATTCTTAATCTTTCTTTATGTTTTCATTATACATCTTGCAGTTGGTTATCACACTACTCTGTGATTAGTCTTTTATAGAAAAGACTACTCACAGAGTAGTCTTTTTTAAACGCTACTTCACACTTTTTTTTAAATTTTCTCATGCGCGTGGCACCCCTGCCCACACTCTAAGGACTTACAGAAAATCAGTTTAAGGTCAACGAAGGACCTGAAACCGACTAGCAGCACACAACATTTTTTTTATACTGGTAAGAGTAAGTTAAACTGTTACGGTTTAATTATGTTTTATTCTTATATTTATTTAAATAAAACACTTTAACGGTTTAAAACGCGATATATTAGTTCTAGTATTAACTAATACATCGCGTTTTAAACCGTTAAAGTGTTCTTATATTATGGTACTCTAGTATATAAACTTCTTTCTTTCTTCAATTTAAACCGTTCTAAGTGTTTTATTTATAGTGCACTAGACGCATAAAGTACAAATTGACCGCATATATATATGCAGATGAGTGTGTATTGTTTGTTAGTTGTCAAAAAAAAAGAGATTAAAGGCTTCACTCGTACTGTCGCGACGCAACTATTCTAGACGACCCAATGTCAAGTATAAACGAACAAAAAATTTCAAGTGAACTTCTTACGTTGACTATCTTATTAGTCTTAGTTTTAACCAAATTAAGAAAACTATGCAAATATATATTTAAATAAAACACTTCAACTGTTTGAGACGCGATATATTTTAGTTAAACTCGTTTGAAAATTAATTCTAACTATGAAATCGCGTTTTAATCCGATAAGTGTTTTATTTAAATGTGTACTATTCGCGTAAACTACAGACAGTATTAAAAGAAAAATTATAATAACAAACCTGCTCCAAAGTGGACAATCTCTCTTTGTCCCGTAATAGCACTTCTTCCACGTTCTTAGGCATAACCTGATATTTGTATATCAGCTCTGATGTAACACATACCTTTAACAATACAACAAGTACTTTCCTTAAATGTTAGTTAAGATGGTGAAGAAAATACAAATTTCGTTAGTTAAACGTGAAAATATAACTTTATATTAGTTATTACAGATTATAACTTTCTCACAAACGTGCTTGGAAATTGGAGCATTATTTCGACAACCTTCTTCGAGATAAATCGAACTTGCTTTACTGGTCGAGCAGCGGCCGGCAATAGTTGTATGAAAAGAACTTTAAAACTCTACTATATATTGTAAATAGATATTATCTTCTACGACACTTTTTGTTGAGCAATAAAAAAACTTACATGTTCCATCCAAGGTGGGTCCATCTTTCTCCGTGGCACCTTTGCAACATCCTTTCCGTCGAAGGGATTTGTCGAGGAATTATTTGTTCTCTGTAATTATTACTTCACACGTAAAGTTTCTTTATTCTATTTTTAAAAGATAAATTAATCTATAGTAATATATAAAACTGAGCAGTTTGTTTGTTTGAACGCGCTAATCTCAGGCTACCGGTTAGAATTAAAAAAATATTTTTGTGTAAATTAGAGCATTTATCGAGAAAGACGTATAATAGGAGCGAAGAGTCAGCGGGGAATGAGAAAAATTATTCATCTTGTTCTCTGTTTAAGATACCCAAAATCCAAAATGTATGAAAGAATGATTCCTCTTTCTCGCTAACACAGGTAGTGTTTTATAAGGGAGGTTACAAAAAAGAATATTGTCATGCCCTAAATAACTATTCCATGCGGACGAAGTTGCGAGCACAGCTAGTTTCATATAAGTATGGCTATAGACACTTTAACGCAGTAGGCATCGAACTGCGAAACGCGTTGTGATTACACGTTAACAAGTGGCCAAGAATCGATGTAAACAAAACAACATTCGTCCAAAATTACGCATATACGATAAAGGATTTGAAGTAACCGGTGACTCGTGTTCGCGAACTAAAGCGTATATAGGAGACGACTTAATATCGGATCGTAAGAGAAACCTTTTTAGGATCGCCCTCTTCCGCGCTTCCAGATTCGCTCTTAAAGAAGTTAGAGTAGAAGGACGAATAGCTCGATTCCTCATCGGTCTTGTCAATTGTGTCTTCGCTGTTAGTCGGCCCTGGCTTGCATTTGCTATTGCCCGTTGATTTTGTACTCTGTTGATAAGTTAATTATTTAGACACGACATATTAATACAAAAGGGACATTTATTGTGCGCGAACGATTTGTTAGCGAGGCAAGAGATTACTAAAGTGCGAAAACCTAGAGCCAATCAGAGCGTTCAAAATTCCCTTAAATTTCGAATAAAAATCTCTACAACAAACAAGCGCGTTTGCCTTTTTAATCCCACTATGAAAAAAACTACATACATACAATCTCACTCAACATTTAAAAAGCGTTGATGCTAAACATTTAAAAACAAGATAATAAAGTGTATTGTAACACACATATCAAAGGACAATACATATGTTTTTTTATGATATTACTTATACTATGTGTTTGAATCAGGCCGCTTTACATTTGAATTCTAAAACGAATGTTGTCATTACATCTAACATCATTAGATAAATAATTGTTCGGTTCTATAAGTTACTTATATAAATTTGTATCGAAGGTGAAAAAGAGTACTACTTTTGACTTAAATAAAACACTTTAACCGTTCAAAACGCGTTATATTAGTTAAACTTATTTGAAAATGATTTTTAACTTCGGCCCGATGTTTCGGATGCTTTGCAATAGCCGTCTCCTTTTCAAATAAGTTTAACTAATATATCGCGTTTTGAACCGTTAAAGTGTTTTATTTCAATGTGTACTACTCGCGTAAACTATATAAACTATTTTTGATTTAAATCGCTTAGTATATGAAAACCGGCTGAAACATATTCCGGGTGGTTTTATATATTTTTTATGATAGAAGAATACAGACAAGCACTTGATGGAAGGAACACCCCAACCATGTCACAACAAAATGCGCTAAAAAGCTGTCACTAACGAGCAACAGTTTTCTTCGTATGAAAGCATATCTAAAATGCTTGTCTAATTTTTATTGTTAAAACAACGGTTCGTTGTATAACTACCCTCTTTCTCTCTTAAATATTTGTTTTTAGTTTTTCTATTTACCGTTACAATTTGCGATAATTGTAACTGTCTAATTATCACGAACCATCAAATACAGCCTCTGGTGGTACGTTCATCTCTAACTAATAAGGTTTTTATCCTTTACATACGGAACCCTAAAAGTTAGCTTTAACACTCGCTAAAACCTTTTCTTAATGTTAATGTATTCCTAATCCAATGACCTGCTGCGCAAACGAACGAGTAGGTGCGTACAGCATTCGTCGCAACACGCAGAAATCCCTACAAAATGGCCGTTCCTTCCCCAGGCCGAACGCCTCACTGAAAATCTATCTGAAAGCGGTGTTTAGAAACTTAATGACATACCAGCTGTGACACAGCCGCCGAAGAATGACTGCCGTTGCTTCCCTTTTTATTGGACAAAATGTTTTCCGTCCTTTTCTCTTTCCATACAGCTGAAGGCATCGACTTGTTCTTCGTTGGGAAAGTGAGTTTACAAGCCTGCGATTCATTGCAATCGTGAATTTTACGCTTTTCATCCACCAAAATTTACAGTACAATGCAAAGCGAATGACCAGGCTATGCAAAACAAAGTAGCCAATGAAACAAGCATAAAAGTCCAACAAAAGTATCGTAAAATGCAACATTAATTGAGATCGCGAGAGGCAGAGTAGCCTAACTGCAATTTTATGACTTGAGTTATTTATAACTTCAAAGTCTAAAAATGTTAATTTACAAGAGCACAGTGACCGAAATTTGTTAACATAATTATTGCACAAATACTACAAATTGATTTTCGCTAAGTTCCTTATTGAAAATCATGTTTTTTGTAATTAGGCCACTCTGCCTCTAGCTGTCTCAATTTTGCGTGTAAATAAATTTACGAGAGGCCCTTTAAATTTATATTTATATTTATTTTTGTTAATAATTAATTTCATTGGCTATAACATACAAGCGTCAAAGCAGCGTTGAGTTGCATCAAAGGAGGTTGTGATGATGAAAGTGACAAAAAAAACCAAAAGAAAAAATATACTTCCCTTACGATATTCCCGCAAAATGGTGGTAGTAGTAACCAAGTTATTTTTTTCTTATCTTAAGTTTATATAACATTAGACTTACAATAACTTAATCTTAGAATGTTTGACATATTTTCTTTTAAAATATCGTTCTCTTATTTTGTATCTTTTAAAATATTCTTATTTTTTATTACTTAATTAACGTTTATATTTTAACGTTAACGTGTATATATATCATTTGTAAAAGTTATCTAAAGATTTTTATTACTTTTACGAAAAATCTACGTTATAATAACGTGAAAATAATAAATAAAATGGAGTCGGTCTTAAAATTAATTTCAAATAAAAAAAAACAAAGCTGAAAAAAACATCCAGATCAGAACATGTTGTGATTCATAAAAAAACAATTTATGGAAATAATACAACAAAATTCTGCTAAAATAATAATAGATCATTTCGTTACGAATAGAGATGGAAGAAGGGTTATTTGTCTCTGTCGCGCAAACTGTTTTGAAAAATTTAAGTATTTGGAACATTTACTTTCTTACGAAAAATTATTGGTCTGGTAACAAAATTAAATACGTTCAAATGAAGTGGTCCAAAATAATTAATGAATATAATAATTTAAAGAACTTAATCCAAGTTGTTTATAGATCTGTAAGCATAGTCTACAATTAAGTCTTGAATGTAATTTTATGTTTTAGGTTACTTACAAAACACGATCGACTTATGTTTGAACCAAACAGCACCACATCATTTAAACGCGTAATTCCTTAAATCCCTTACCTCCTGGTAGTTAGCGCTTGGCAATCCAAGGGGATGCATGCCTGCACCATAGTTTTGCGCCATGAAACCCTGTTGTATCTGCTGCATTTGTTGTATTTGCTGCATTTGTTGCAACTGTTGTATGTGTTGAATATGTTGGAATTGTTGCATCTGCTGCATTTGATGCATTTGTTGCATTTGGGTGTTAGGCACGGGCGAATACATTATTGGGGATCCATAGACTGGCTGACCATACATCACACAAGGCACTGTAATTTGAAAATAGTAAAATTTAGAGGTCTCTAATTTCACAAGTTGTTCACTTGCTGAAATACCATAGCCATATAAAATGTAAACAAAATGCGCGTTCGTCCCATTTTGGGTTTGGATATTCAGAAAATTCATCATTCTTTGGAAACTTGATAATATTTATTTGTTTTTCGTGTGACTGAGGACCTTGGGTTCGAACTGCGCTTTCAATATGACAAAAGCGCAGTTTTTCAATAGTTTGCTAGAATAATTAAAGGTTAATTAAAATAAGATAATATTAACAAATCTTACTAGGATATTGTTGATTGGATGCGCTCTGACTTTCATTCCGCGATACGTCAACGGGTAATCGTTGTGGTGACGCGGGCACGTAACACAATGGGACCATACCTGGTACAAGCGAATACGTGTTATGCTTATTAATATAACATTATGTAATAGCCAATTAGAAAGCAATTTTAGCCTCAGCAACACTAAAGATCAGCTGCTTGCAGCAGCTTGCATAGAATAAAAGACTAAATATAGCGTTATCCGGCTTCGAGGACCAATTTTTCGGTGTCTAATCTCACAATTGCCTTCGTAGACGTCTAAATATTGTTCATATTACCTGGAACAGTCTGTACGGGACTCATCATTGACATCTGCTGCGGAATACCTAGGAAGAAAGTATTCATGTTGCTGACTGTATTAGACGCCATAGGAGATACTGGAAAAAAATTCTACCATATACCCAAAACATGAGTGCATATATTTAGCACCAGATCTCCATTCGATTACTTCAGCGTTAATTATTGAGCCGCGGATATAATACGATTACCTGAATCACATATGCCTGCAACGTTCATGAGATAAGGAACAATTTTTGTATCATTATTTTAGTACATGCATCTCATTCAACATTTGTAAAATGTAATGACAAAGAACGGATATGAACCCGCGACTAACATCTTTTATCACGTGATCATCATATTTACGTATAAATAATGCCTCTTCTACTTTTAAATTTATAGAAAATATTTTATTAACACTAGCAGTGCCCTAATCTCTATAACATACTTATATTGGTTGAAGTTGACGGCCGCGGCATATCAGTGTTGTCACCTCGCCTTGCCAGTTTTGCTGTTGAGGATCGATGCTTGAAAAACGCTCCAGACTCTTCTGATTGTCTCGACGATCGTTTTAAACCAAGTGGCTGGAATAATAATACGCCTCATTTTAAATTTTAAACATTGAAACAAAACACTAACGGTTTGAAACGTGAAATTTATTAGCCGTGGTCACGGGGAATCCAGGCCGCTGCAAAGCATCCAAAACGTCGGGCCGTAGTTAAAACATTTTTCAAATAAGTTTAACTAATATATTTCGCGTTTTACACCGTTCAAATGTTTTGTTGAAATGCCTCATTTTAAAACTTTCAAAGACGTCATCAATACTTATATACTTAGTATTTTATAGTTGAAAGGTCTGTCATGATGAATTTGTTTATAAATTCTCATTAAAATAACTATACCTAAAAGTTGTCTTTACTGTAAATAGCATCTTGTAGATGGCAGTTGGGAGTTAACTTGATTTCTATAAATACACACCAATATTAAAGTATACTACTAACCCTTAAACAAATTATAAATCAAAAGATATAAATATCTATGTATATTTTAGCTGCTTAGAGTAGCAGCGTGGATAGCTGTCTCACCGGTGTAATAGATTTTGATTTTTTTAAAAGAGTATTAGAAATAATGTAAGTAACATTATTATACAGCGTACAAAGTATTAGTGTGGCGACAAAAAAAAGTACATACATACTAAGTATAAAAAGTAACCGTAATTACATTTACAAACTACATATCCTTATGAATAAACATACAACATTCATATATTTAAGTTCAAAAATATCAAAAATATTACCTCTAAATGAAACATGTTATTTAAATGTATTACTCGCGTAAAATACACAATTCTAGTTTACCTCTGATTCAATAGTAGATAGTCCAGCCGAGGTAGGCAAGAAAGACGCGTTACACCGAGCCAAATGTTCTTTCTTTTTCAGTCTTGATTCTTTGGAAGATTTCTTTCTGTCGTCTTTGTTGCCAGATTTGACTTCACGGTGCATCTTCATTAATTCTTTCTCCATCACTGAATTATGTCTAAAATGCGATTTATATAGTGCTTTATTTGCTTTGGTTTTTGGTTTAAAGAACACACTGTTCACTGGATTAAATTAAATTCAAAAGTTTTAAGCTCGTAAGAATTTTTAATACATTCTGTTAGATATAATCTCTGTAGCTGAATGGCTAAGTGTCGCCTAGCATTGCGTTAAGCTTGAGAGGTTCTAGGTTCGAATCCAGGAGAAACAATAGATTCGATCGAACAGGGCACAGACGTCTGATCAACTACTTGCTTTCGGATTTCTATTAGATTAAAAACGAATTCTTAATACATACTAAAATTTACTGAAGAATATTGTGTTCAAAAAGATAACATTTAAAACAATATCATACGTTATAAAAAAGCCTCTTGAAAATCAATAAGGTATAATTAGGTATGGTAATAAACTTACTTGCTCAAAGCAGACTCCGTTAATCGAATAATTGAATAATTGCCTAAGGTCTGCCCGGAATTTGAGATAGCCAGCGCGCTTGAGTCACACGAACTAGTCAGGTCAACGGAATCGCCCGAGTTTTGGCCCATTGGCGACATGCATTGACTGCAAAATAAAATTAAACTTTGTTTAAAGAAAGGTTATCTAAATATGAAACAGCCAGAGGCAGAGTGGCCTGATAACAAAAAAAAAACATGTTTTACAGTAAGGAGGAAAATAAAAAAGTGCAATAACTTAGGCGAAAATGAATTTGTAATATTATATGTGTAAAAATTACGCTAACAACTTTCGGTCACTGTAATCTAGTAGATTAATATTTTTACACTGTAAAACTATAAATAAGCCAAGTCATAAAATTGCAGTTAGGTTACTCTGGCTCTAGCGGCAATTTGAGTATTGTATGTATCGTGACCGGACCGTACACGAACACGGACGTATAACATCCCTTCAAATATTAATTTGCCTCTGTTAGTTTAGTTTTTGTTGTAATGTAAATACATGTCTGTTGTAAACTGTGTGTTACAGTTGACAACAAACAGACGTATGAAGATATGTTACGGCGTAAAAAATGGGCTTACACACAACGTTAGTCAATAATTTAAAAATCGAAAATAAATTAAATTTTCGACTCGGTACTTGAAACGGCGTCGTCAGCGTTCCTACTCACCCGGTTGAGTTTGCCTTGGATGTGGTCGGCTTAGCAACAGAATCAGAGTTACTACTGTCTTCCGAGTATGGTAAATGACTGTCGAAATATCTGAAACGAAAATAAATCCACTATCTGTTGTGTTTCATCTGTAGTACCTTTTATAGACAAAGAAAACATTTCAATTATAACTAAAAGAATAATTTGCAAATAAGAGAAAGATGTATTCTTGGAAAGTGAAAGAGTTTTATTTAAATACTGTTGTTAAGGTGAGTAGTACACAATTAAATAAAACGCGTTAAACGTTTAAAACACGAAGTTTATTAGATAAATATATTTGGAAATTATTTTAAGTACAGCCCGACGTTCCGGATACTTTGCAGCAGCCGTGGCCACAGGGCAACGTCGGGCCGTAGATAAAATAATTTTAACTAGTATATATCGCGTTTTAAACCGTTAAATTGTTTTATTTAAGAGCATTTTATTTGGCCTAAAGTATACATTAAAAATGAGTATTAAAGTAAGAGATATATTTATTTATATCTTTACTAAGATAAAATAAGAAAAGTTTGACCAGCTTATAAGAAATAATATTCAAAGGTCATGAGTTCGATCTCCACCGACCCCAATAGATAAAGAAAAATAAATAGAAAATAGAAAAATTTCGAAGTAAGAAACAATCAATTTATATGTTTTCTAAGACATGCATACAGAGTGTCACATAGTCGTAGACTTGTGTCTAACATATACGATTTATAGTGTTTTATCAGCTTACCGCTGCAAAGTCTCGCTGTAATTCAGCTGATTATAACTCATCTGCGTTTCGGTGCTAGACTTGCTGTCATTACAATCGTGGTGGGGCGAAATACCACCAAGCATAACCGAATCTCTTTCCTGTACCGAAAAGTCCTGTTAAGAAATGTGTACCAAATTTGAGAATCGCCTCCTACTGGAGGTACCACTGTACCAAAATCGTTTGTGGTACTCACGTAATAAGCACTGTCGGGCTCTTTTATGTCAAGCCACATATCGTCGTCTGTTCTAGGCGCTTCTTCCATAAGACTCTCCATAAACGAAGCCAAGTCTTGGCAGCGCTTCGTCATTTGCTGCTTGGCCGCCTCAGCCGGTTTTGTTAAAATCTGGAATCAAAAATAGTTTGAAATTTTTAATACTTTTCAAGTTAATGCACGCAATCTCAGTGGATTTTTAATTTATATAATGCTGCTGGCATTAAAAATTTATTTAGATTTTTCAAAAATACGACACCGACAAAACTTGTACCGCCGTCCACTGCATTGAGCCAATTGAGCTACCGTGTCCTGCACGTCATTATCCGGAGCATAAAATAAGAATAATGACAATTGAGCTACCGTGTCTACAGATATGGTAGCTCAATTGGTTAGAGCAGCAGTACGCAACGCTGTGGATGCCGTTTTATGCCCCGCCTCTGTCATATTGTATTTTTAATATAAATTGATTATTAATTTAGGTATAGCCCTTACGCGTTGCGTAAAAAAGGAAAGTATTTATTTAAACACACCATTTAATCATGTTTTGGGAAAAATATATCTTACTTCATTCATTACTCGAATAATGCTTTCACGAAGTGCTTGCGCTTTGTTCTTCTCTTCTTCAGTGAATTTCGTTGTCTTCTCTGACGTCTGAAATACATCTGGATTGGCGGGGCCCTGCAAGGAATAATTTTAAAGGATCGTAATGAAAGAAAAAAATATATATCCAAGCCTAATTGAGGTCGCTAGAGGCAGAGTACCCTAACTGTAATTTTATCAATTATTTATAGTAAACCAAACATTGTTAACATAATTTATACTCAAATAATAGTACACGTTAATTGATAATTTTTATTTTCTTCCTTATTGATACTGTTTTTTGTTGTTAGGCCACTCTGCCTCTAGCAGTCTCTATTACACTTTTATTTTAACTGAGTGTTACTATTAAACGAACGCCATAAATACGACGGTATGAGACATCTGCAATCACTTATGTAGCTAGATTAAAACGTCTATTCTCACAGGAGGTCGTGGTCCCACATGTGGGATGTCTTTGTAAGAATCCTATAGAAATATTGAAAGAAACTCACTTCAATTAGCAGATGTTTTCCAATGACAAACTCAAGTTTTCTCGACCATGGATTTATGAATGATGACCATTCTGTTTCTATTTTGACGTAATCGCCATTTTGCGTCATCATTCTGTAATTGGGAATGGTTTAAAATTAAGGAAATGGTTTAAAATTAAGTTAACTAAGTTTTCAACACTTTAATATTTTAATTAAGATGGTATTTTAGATTTAACAAACAAATGTTACACTTCGTTTCGAGAGATTTTTTTGCTGATAGGAGAAAACAAATGAAAGTCGAGTATGATCCCATCTACCCTCAAATCTTCTGCCTGATTTAATTTAGTTTTCTATTATTTCTAGTAATAAATGAAGTTACGGTTTGAATAGATTGAAATGGCTATACATTTCCTTTCTAAGTTTTTATTACAATGTTGATTTATTTATTTTTGACGAGGTCTGATAATAATCAACGGGTCGTAACTTTTTTTTTAAATTCGATAGGCATATCGAAACTCCATTCCATTTGCAGATGGAAAAGCCGTTAAGTTTCTGTTGACTTCAGAGATTCGAATCGAAGATAGATCAACATCTTATTTGAATGTTATAAGGCTGGGGTATTCAACCTTAAAGTCCGTGCTTCTCTGTTAAATCATAAAAGCAATGACAGAACAAGACGATGATTAAAAATCGATAAAAAATATATATTACCTGTAAGGCTTCGAGCGTGGTACACCACCCTCCTTAACGATAGTCTCGTAGACTTGTCTCAAATATGTTAGATCGTTCGGGTGATACAGGTGTAACGCATCTTTATTTATTATATCCTGTGGTGAATACCCCAAGTAGGGTACTGATTCTGGATCGATATATTTTATATCACCATTCGCCGCGTGCCTTATCACAAACGGTACTGCCTTGGACACTATTTCGTTTGGTACTGAAATAAATCGTTACAACATATTTTTATTGATAAATTGTTGGGTTAGTGGTTTTGGTAAATCATTAGATGTATCTACGAGTAGTCATAGATAAATCTGCGAATCACAGCAATTATATAGAAAACTTTTCGGTTAAAATTGTTCCTCAAATCACCTTTAAAAGCAGGAAAAAACGGCGTCGCTTGTACGAGTAAGTAGATGACTTCTCCTTCTTCGTCGCATATATTTCTGAACGACAGCTTGAGCAGAAACGGCATGAAGGACACTAGTCGATTTTTCACGCCGAAACCAGTCGCCAGACCTCTGTAACGACGTATACGACACACCATCGTCGACAATGTGTTACCTGTCGAAATTAAAATAAATAATAATATTATACAATGATAGTCCTCAATGGTATTAGACGACTTTAATGTTCCACGTGAATTTGTAGACAAGATAAAGAAACAGATGTACACCCACCTTTTTTGTATATATATTTTATTTTATGACAGAGGAGCAAGCAGGGTAAGTGAAAAAGGCCCAGCCATACAAGATGCGCTACTTACCCTAAATGTTGACCTTAATATGAGATAAAAGCATGGATTTTATTCGTTTCAACGAATTTAAATAGTAAATACAACACTTAAACGGTTTAAAACGCGAAATGTATTAGATTAACCTATTTGATTTGTGACTATACACAATATATTTCGCGTTTGAAACTGTTAGTGTTTCTTTTTTATTATGTTATGTATTTATATTACATGTTGTGTATTTTTTTTAATTAGATTCTCATTACTTTGACTGTATCTTCTTAATAATATCACCTCTTTATACGAGAATCTTACCAATGTTTGGTCTTGTTGTTTGACTTTCAATTCTTTGTAGATACATATACTATATACATATACTATATATATATATATATATATATATATATATATATATATATATATATATATATATATCCGTGACAGTAATGACGCGTAACGTCGGCTTTTATGACAGAGAAAAAGATGACGTCACGTGACTTAAAGTGAAACACGACAGCCATGTTATAAGTAAACAAGACGCATTGTCGAACTATCTTGATTTTGGACAAAGTCAAAATCATATAACATTGAAATCCACAAATAAAAATGTAAAACCCCATCACTTAACTCTACTACTCTTTTCCTTCGTGACCCGTGTCACGTGGTAAGCCTTACAGATGGAGTCTAAGTTTGCAGATTTTTAAAATCAAGTTGGACACGTTAGATATCGTGCATTGCTAATATTGGCCAAACAAGCCCGTCACTCGAGGTCGTAGTTAAAAATACATCACATTGATTCTTAATCTTTACTAATAATATAAAGCTGAAGCCGTTTTTGCTTATTTGTTAGAACGCACTAATCTCGGAAACAACTTCGGTTCGCGTTGAAAAAATATTTTTAAACGGTTTTATTTAGCTCACCCTGTTTGTTTTATTTATTCTTGGGTCAAATTTAGTAATTCAAATTTCATACTTCCTGTCAACCGATTAATCAAAAATTTTATATACACTTTGGATTTTGGTGACAATACAATTATTTTTATTAATTATCATTATAAATCTAAAATGGCGGCCGCTACAAAATGGCGGATAACGTAGGTTTTATCAATCCCATCAATATGGGTATCAAATGAAAGTGCTCAACAAGCAGAATACTATGTACTATATAAAATTAAAATCCAAGATGGCGGCCGCTACAAAATGGCGGATAACGTAGGTTTTATCAATCCCATCAATATGGGTATCAATTGAAAAATAATTGTTCTGTTGCTTTGAGATTTTATCGCAAAAGGCTATAAAATATCATTTTCCAACTAGTGTGAGCGAAGGAACTGCGAAAAATGTGGAAAAATCGGGGAAACAATATTCATCTTTGAGGATATCCGTTGCGTGCGCTGCGAAAACGGTTCAAGTAAGAACACAACGTATAAAACAATAATTCCGCTTTAAATGTTTTAAAAAATATCGTCTATCTCTTAAGATCGATTTGCAAGCATGACAAGATGTAACCGACGTCTTGGGTGACAGCTATAATTCATAAAGTTGAGGAGAGAATTTGCAAAAAAAAACAAATTTTGATGCCCAAAAACTATTCTACGCGGACGAAGTCGCTGGCACAGCTAGTTTAACTATATAGATAATTACACAGTTATTTACCTGTATGCTTGATTAAAAAATAGGTACACACAAGAGCCATGCAGTGGCTTACACCAAGCGCTGGAAATCGTATAGGTGACTATACCATAATAAAAATTACCTTTTTTTTGCGTACCATTAACATTTTTCGGGATTGCCACACCATTCGTGATCTGCGACGCGAATGTGTTGCGGTCCTGTAAATAATATAGTTTTGTCAAACATAATTCTCCTTTATGCATATTGGTATAAAGCGAACTTTAAAGGTTGCCGACATGAACGAACATGTTAGTATTGTCTGTAGTTACCCGCGTTAACACTACGTACACGTTTTAATAAAACAGTTTTAACGGTTTAAGACGCGGAATATATTCGTCCGTGACCAATGGCTACTGCATTAAAAACGGATCGTAGCTAAAATAAATTGTAAATAAGGTATATCTCGCGTGTAAAATAGTTTAAAATGTTTTATGTGTGTTGAAAAAACTTAGAAATATAAACTCAAAGAAACAGATATATCCACGAGTATAATTTAATTTTAATAACGCTTAATTCAGTCTAATTTTATTTAAAACGTAAATACATTGATTGAGTTTTATCACTTCTTACATTAATCATTAGAAGTTTGCGAGGTTAAGTTAATAAAGACCAAATAAAATATCTTACCCTCGGATGAACAAAATCAATGAAGGATCTTCCAATCCACATGTCCCTCGGGAAACCTAATGTATTGGTCAAAGAGTTCGTTGTATACATAACAACACCATCTTGCATAGATATAACACACGAAAATCCGTCCTGAAACAATAAAATAAAGATTATACTTGGAATCCTTAACTCAAGTGTGGCGTCTGGAATTGCACGAGAAGTTTGGAATCCTGGGTAACAAATTGTTTTGGTGGTATGGGCACAAAATCTGACCAATTGCTTGTCTGTAAGTACAATTGATTAGTACAACGGAGACAGAAGTATGTTCGCCCCATGCCCCATAATGAAAAAAAATATCAGGATAACTGATATAATGCAGGTCCTTGCACACTCGATACACTATATTTGTACATGATATAGGATGACAGAAATAAAAATTTACAGGACTCGGTAGCTCAATTGGTAGAGCAACAGCACGGAACGCTGACGATGCCTGTTCAAGTCCTGCCCGAGTCGAATTTTTTTTCAATATATTTTCGATTTTTAATTATATAGCCATACATTGACAATTACACCAATGATCTGTCAACTTCTGTTCTCTGTTTGACCGAAAAAATATATCCTTCCTGAGATTCGAACACAGGACCTCACGTGTACATTGAGTTATGGAAGCTGTATGGTATTAAAAGATTCACTTACACCCCTGTTAACTATGGTACAAGCTGGTGCCTGTAATGAGTAATTGCAGGAACTGGCCTGAAAAAAAGTAGGTTCAATCTTAACATGAACTTGGCGATAAAAGGAGTAGCGGCGAGTTTCTTGCCAGTTCTTCTCGTTCGTTCTACGTTTTTGATTTTAGAACTGGTACTAAATGTAAATTTACATTCTTAAATTTTGTGACGTTCACAAGTGTATCTACGGTGCATTTTTTTCTAACTTGGCAAAAGATCAAAACAAATATGGCCGATTTCAAAGCATAGAGATGATTAGTGATGTTTTTATAGAGGGTAATTATTGCCACATATGATGTAGGGTTAAAGGAATATCTATTATGTGTGGACCAAATGACCTCAATATTCAAATAACATTTATGACTATATATATAAGTCATATATATATATCTCTCTCTCTAGTCTATAACTTTTCAGTGATCGTATGTAAGTGGGACTTCTACCTTTTATTGTCGTTGACTTACATCCCATCCATATATAGATGTCAAACTAAAGAAATTTTTATCTTTGCATTTGCGTAAATTAATTTTTGGAATTTTATTAATTTTACCATGAAATTGAAGTTTTTACAATGTGAATGAGTGAGTGTAGTTCATTAGTTTCATATATTATCAAATGTGTCAAAGTGTTTTCAGCGTGAGAAAATCACGATTTCATGTAAATTGTGTGTTTGTTTAGAAAAAATGCCAAGTAAGAAAAAATACACTATATTTTTCTACGGGAATCTTGACTTTTGAATACAAGACTCTATAAATTGTCTACAGCCAATAAATCAATTAAATGTGACGTCATTTCGCTTAATTGCAAAAATGAGACTTATTTTTATACCTTATCTTTGACGCTGCTTCTATCTGTAGTTGACAGCTCAATATTCTCAGCTTGTGGTATCTCTGCCTGCACGACTGGTGAGCTAACACAATCTGTACAAAAATAACGATCAAGGTTCCTATTCTGCTACGGTGATAGATATTACGCGCAATTAATCTAAAATTGCTCGCTGAAATGTCTCCCATGACAAACACCAAATAAGTTAAAATTATTGTCATATTACTTTGTTAAATGAATTACAAATAGAGTATTCTAAATTTGTTACTATAGTAAAATACGACAGTAAAATACAACTTACACAGTTTCGTACTTAACTATTGGTCGTCCAATAGTTACGTACAATTGTTTACCATGAATGATAGTATTCGCCACAATTTTGGAATTATTTGAAGTGCCAAACCGATCCACGCCATCTCTTTGCCTTCCACTTAAACATACCTACATTTACATAATGGGAGACACTGAAAGTACCTATAATTCAACATGAAACAAGATTATATAGGTAAAATTACGTATATAATTCGTAAACACGCATAAGTTAAGATCGATGCGCGTGTTTCATTTAAAATAATTGAAACGTGAGCTTAGCTTGGTAACAAATAAAACTTAGAGCCATCACAAATGTCTTTCCAAACGTGTTAGATTAACCATTTGGGAAAGACATTTTCTATACATTCGTTTGAATCAAGTAAGAATTTGAAAAATATTTAACACAATCGTCGAGACATAACGTGGTGTTCCACTGAGCCACTACGTCCGTCACTGTACGCTGTCTATCGCTGGTTCGAACCCCGCCTATGAGAAAAATTTTCCACCTTGCAAACATTTAATTTAAACGAATATCAGCTCGAGTGCTTTAGGAATTCAAAAAATACGTCTTGTTATCGTTAAAGGCGTTTACTCAACGCTGAACTTCGAACAAGATGAGTAAAAGTCCTGGAAGAAATTCATGAAGAATCGCAAGAGTTACTATCTGCTTGGTAGATAAACATACATTCTACAATAAATAAATACACACCGTCTGTAGATTCTTCTTCTATCGTCTGAATTTCCGGTTCAGGGTCAGGAACGCTCTGCTTCTCTTCTTGGATAGACACATCTTCAGTCTCTATTTGCTTCTTCTTTTTCTTTATTTTACATCGTATCTCAGGCGGTTGGCTCACATTATTGCTGCTGTGAACGTATTTATTATCGTGATAAACTTATGTTGAAAATTAAAGAAAATATTTAAAGTAGGCTTTATGTCATTTCGCGTTAATTAATTGGTTTTAACGTTTTAGTTATTTTTCATAATTTCAGAGAAATCCCATTATGGAAGGTGTAGTACCAGATAAGTTCTATTATAGTAATATTATGACACTAAAGAGTTTGTATGTTTGTTTGTTAGAACGCGCCAATCTGAGGAACTACTGGTTTTAATTGAAAAAAAAAAGCATTTTTATTTTGGTCTATCCAATTAAGACCGAGGAAAGCTTTATGCTGTATAACATTGCGCTGCGACGAATAGGGTTTTTTCCGTCGTTTCTTCACTCTTGTTAGTAACAACGCAGTGTTTAATAGCCTTACTCGAGAAATGCTCTAACCAGCACAAAAATGATTTTTCAATTCGAACCAGTGGTTCAATGCCAATTATATTTCTAACTCGAATTATACACAACAGTATGCAGTATAAAAATGCCCCTCAGTTGCAAACGAAGTTTTGAGCTACGTCACGTGTTGTCAAGGTAAGCTATGTGACTCTCGGAAACTTTGCCTTCACGTGTTTGCAGTTCCTAGCTCACGTTCACTTAATATCGATTTAAAAACTCAGTCAACGGAACAGAAAACATACTTGAAAAGTCTCACATTAATTAATCGCATGTTTACTGGCTCATTGGTGTTCATCAACGGGTCGTGGAGTCGATCCCCACCGGGTCCAACATTATTCTAATCATTTAAATAAAACACTTTAACGGTTTAAAACGCGATATATTAGTTAAACTTATTTGAAAATGATTTTTAACTTCAGCCCGATTTTCGGGTGCTTTGCAGTAGCCGTGGTCACGGGGAGACCACGTTTAAACCGTTAAAGTGTTTTATTTAAATGTGTACTACTCGCATAAACTATAGACAGTATCTATTATTCTAATCAATTTAATTGTTTTTGAAACATGTTATCTTCGTTTGGATATTTGTATATTAAATAGGAATATTGAAATTCCGCCCGGGTCATCACCGTCCACAGATAAGAAAGCCGCCTAGTATACTCGCGTTTTGGTTTCAGGCTTTGGATTTCCAAATATCCAAAGCCAAAATAAGTCGTCAGCACATATTTTGCCTACCATCAAGCGAATGTGATAAAAATACTTTGAGATGTAAAGTTTAGAATTCTCGTTCAGTTTCAGTATATATTATGTGTAACTGGGGCTTTTACTCTTTCATCATCATATTTTCTTAACAAATGAATGTACATACCTGTACCCTGAAGTGGAGGGCTTACCACCGTATCCACTACTCCCGCTGGAATGGCTTCCAGAGTGGGTTGAGTGTGAACTACGACTGAAAACAAATATAATCATTAACTTTACTAAGTAATAACACAAGCACAGTTTTAATATATTTTTAGAGACAAATGAGAGGTGACGTCACCAAGAAGGGTATAAGAAGCAGCGGTGGCAAGTCTATATAAGCTTATTTCGACAAATTCGGTTATGTCGACAACTCAGACTCAGCCCGATTGAAAAGTCCATCTGTCCTTCTTTCAAATTCAGTGTTTTGTCATTTATCTAATATATAAAATTCTCGTGTAACGGTGTTCGAACTTGAACTCCTCGAAACGGCTCGACCGATTTTCACCAAATTTGATATGTGTATTCAGTAGGTCTGAGAATAGGACAACATCTATTTTTCATCCCCCTAAGTGATAAGGGTGGTTCACCCTAAAAATTTTTTATGATACAACATACAAAAATACATACAATCCTCAATTTTCACCCTTCTACGATCAACCCTTATTTTTAATAGACATTTTAGTAAAATTATTCAAATGGCAAAACAACATTAGCCGGCTCAGCTAGTTATTTATAATTTTTTTTGTAACTTAATTTAAAAACAGTCCTAGTTTTATAATTGCCTTTTTTATTATATTCCTCTCCGCTTAAGAATATACACATATACACACGTTACGTTAGACCAAACCGTGTTGTGAGTTGTTCTTTCTAAAATTAAATGAATACCTTTAAGAACCGCCACTAGTAGCCAAACGGTTAAACGTATTCCTTAGCGTTAAACGCGAGAGGTACTGGGTACGAATCCCAGGGAAACGATCAATTCTTTCGGACGGGCAGGGCACAGAAGTCTGGCTACATGCTCGTTAAAATAGCGGATCAATGAAACGGACACAGAAATGTAATTGCCTCATACCCCGCGGGATTTTACTATTTTCACGAATTAGTTTACGAACTTACCTTCTCGCCTGACTGTTGCTGCAACTGTTGGAATAAGCAGAGTCTGAAACCTTCGCATTGTTTTCCGAATCATCCATGTTGTCCATGTTGATGTTGTTAGCATTTTCCGTGGCTGAAATACACAATGCAATCTATTCAAACAGTTGTCATATACAGGTCTCTTAAATAAAACACTTTAACGGTGTAAAACGCGATATATTTTTGTTAAACTTGTTTGAAAATTATTTTTAACTACGGCCCGACGTTTCGGATGCTTTGCAGCAGCCGTGGTCACGGGGAGACACGGGGAAATATATATACTTGTATCAAAGGTACGTATGTATATAAAACCAATACATTGCACACTGTTTGTAGTTAACGCGAGTAGTACACATCTAAATAAAACACTTTAACGGCTTAAAACTCGAAATGTATTACTTAATCTTATTTGAATAATTGTATTATGATGATTATAATCAATTTACCGACCGACGTTTCGGATGCTTATAGCGTTTATTTTATTTAAACCATTAAATAAAATAAACATTGTATAGCGGTTCAGTTTTATTGTGCAGTGAATGCCGTTATCAGACTTCGGAGACAGACTAAAGAGAATTTCTTTGACATTTCTCTTCGTGAATAGAAACATCATCGTTTAAGCTGTCAGTTGGTCTTTAGTACTTCGTCAGTATATTATAGGTAATTTTTTAAGGCTTTCGATCAAAATTCATAAATAACACAAGGGTTTCAAGGAAATGTTTTATTATAATTTTTATTTTGGCTTTCGTTATGCGGAAAACACAGACTGAAACGCGATTAACATTCACGGCTTTTTCATCTTTGGACGGTGGTGACCCGGACTGAATTTCAATATTATTACCAGTGGTTGCTTCCCACATGTTTCAGTAAAATTATGAATTGATTACGAGTATTTGCCATATTAGAAGGAAAAAAGACATCTTAGTAGCGCGTAATTATAAAGGTTCTTCAGAAAAAGAATTCCAAATATACTCTTTTATAATTAGACCCTCCGATTATACTTATGAACAAATCTAAACGACGTACGTAATTTAAGTCGAAAAGAGTAAAAACGTGCAAAGTTTGAAAAGCTATTTTCGTCGGTTTTTCCTTCGAGAACAAGCCGAGTCACGCTGACGCGGGACGAAAGTTTAAGGCCTTTTTGATTGTTGTTTACAATGTCACCGTATGAAATAAGTAAAATCCGTAATTCAAATGGAACGAATTACATATTACTACCGATAAAATATAAGTACTTTTTTTTATGGAAAACAGACCATGGGTCCTCGACCTATTTTGGCTTAACACTAAGAACTCCTTGGTTTTTCACTCGCGGTGGACCCTTTACCGTGTTGATTTTTTTTTATCTAAATAGAATTTTAAGTGATATAATGCCATTATGTGCAATAATAAATTATTTTCAGAGATACCCCGTTACCATTACAACAACGAGCCCAAATATTTAAGCATTGTTGCGTATTATTTGTATTTGGTATAATAAGGTACATTTACTGTAAAGGTCATCTTTTACTGTCGAAAACTAATATATTTTGATAAATTTGTCCAATATTACAAAATCGGTTTTATTTACAGGCAAATAGTTGACTTCTGTATCAGACATCTGTGCCCTGACCGAATTCGACCGGGATTCGAACTCAGGATATCTCGCGCTTTAGCTACAGAGGAGGTAAAATAAAAGTGATATCCTGTTAATATTTTATTTTCTGTTTTAAATTAATTATAATTATAATCGCATAGCATTTATATAATCGCATAGTACTAGAGAAGTTAAAAAGTATATGCTAGTTATGGAGTCAGGTACCAACTATTTACCCACAATGAATAATCACCCTCTGTGCACAAGCAACGCAATTGTTTTTGTTTTCCCAGGATTCGAACCCGGGCCTTTTTTTACTTAACGAAACACTTGCTAGAATGTTACGACGCTGTAATGGTCTATTGAGAAATTATATACTAAAAGCTATTTCATTTGTTAATATTACTGTAAATACCTTTTCCCCCCATGGCCACCTTAATCATTACATGTCTAAAAAACACCACACACTTTAGTCTATAACAGTAAAGTCTTCTAGGTTACAGGGCACTTCGAAATTTAAATCAAATTTCCTCGACCGGAACTAGGGCCTACCGCGCGCCGAGCAAAACTGAGCACAATCATTTCAAGCAGAGATATTATTTAGAACTTTCGCAGAGGCGGAATAAATATAAAATATTGCTTGCAGTATCGCGTGCTTAAAATTTAAATCAGTAAATAAAACTTTAAAAGGCATCCAAGCATAATCAATGCTGCAGACATACACACTTATCAAAAAATTAATAGTTTATCGAAGTATGTTCTTTCTCGAAGAACAAACTACCAAATAATAAACTTGGAATGTCTCTCCATGAGCTTTTATTTAAAAAGTATACAAAAATCCTTTTCATAGGTGTAAACAAGATCAGGGGTTTGTTTGTTCTTGAAAAATGTTGATGAAGATAAGAATAAACGTTTTTGTAAAATTTCTTGGCTAATATACCTAATATCAGCATTTTAAAAATTTAAGCAAAGCATAAACATATTTCATCCAATCATCCAAATAGATCTAGTAGTAGCGGTGCCTATTTGGATTATATTATGGAATACTTATTCTAGAAAACACAGCTCCTTTATGTGTAAAACACATTGTTTTATTTTGTATTATTGTACGTCTACAATAAAAAATCAAACAAAAGCAGACAAAGAAGTATCAAGATAGTTTTTACATATTGTAATAAAAGTTTAAAATTAGTTAAATTTTTTTATTAATTATTATGATGTCCACAAACTCTGAAACTCAGATTCTTGGTATTTTCATTAGTGGAAAGTGGTTTGTTACTCAGATAATACTACTCTACTGAACCAGTTGGTCGGTAAAATAGTATACTATTATCTGTAAATCAAACAAGGTTTGTTGTAAAATGATGGCAATGCACTGTTAATAATCAGCAGGTTGTGGGTACAAACCCATTCACACAAATTCAGTCTTAGAATTTCTGAATATCCAAAAGGCAAAATAGGCTGACAGCGCATCTCGTTTAGATTTATAACTTGAGTATTTCACCTTCCATTTAGTGAACCCTAGTTTATCTGTACTTACATTTTCAGAGAAAAACATTCTCTCTACTTATAGAACAATGATGGTTGATAGCAGGACCTTACCAAATAAGGTGATCCAATAAAAGTACTAATACTAAAAAAGCGAGACTCGGTTTATGAAATAGTATTAATTTACTTGGTTCCTAGAACAATGTGTCATAACATACAACATACATGGTGTTTGAAACACCATTGATGTTGAGGATGGAATATAGGTTTATGTAACCTTTGTAGCTCGGTGGTAAAACATGTATTGCATCAAACATGAAATAGCCAGGCTTGTAACCCCAATCCAACATAATAAATGTTGTTTTGTTGAAGGGCACAGAATCGCATTCTTCTCTAAAGATAAAATTGATCAATGAATTGCTCAAAATTGTAGCTGCCTTACAAGCTATATGGGAAATGAGTTATGACACATATCAAGCCTAAAGCCAGCTTTGACGCTACGAGGGGGTCACATAGTGATTAAGTCAAGAACTTATAATTGTATTTTGATAGCAATAGATGCAAGTAAAAAGTAGATATTTTATGAATGTATTTACATCCAGATATCCGCTGATGCACATAATCTGTATTGGGTTGAATTTAAAGCATCTTTTCTTCATTAGAATATTACCTATGTTTAAATGAAAGTTACTGCCCACACATATTGCTTTGTCTTATCATTTTACTGTTTATTGAAAATATTTATAACCAGTTAAATCAAATTTAGGCTAATATATCTACTAAGTAACTTAATTTAAAAGTTCATTAACGTTGGGATTTCTAATTAGTTTATAATTATACACTCACCGTTCATTATGTTAAATGCCATTGTTTTATCAACAAAAATTAGCTCACACACGTTTTTGATCACTTTGATAAAATTTCTTATAATTTAGTTATGCTCAGTAACATTGTACACACTTCAAAATAATAAAAAAGTATATTAAAGTACTTAACGGGATATTTTATACTTAAACACTATATAGATAAGTAATATGAATATTTTAAAATCCGAAAACACGTCTTAACACCGAAAGAAGTTCCTTGATCCTTGAGTGTTTTTTGTGAAGTCACGTTTTTAGTGATTATTTCTCAAAACTTTAGTTCTTGATGGTACAAAGTTTATCAATCACTTATCATATATAAAGAAACTTTTTTGAGAGAGTAAAATTATTAATAATTTCTCAAAATTTACCGTTTATTAGTTTTACAACAAATTCAAACGACGAATCGTCGTCTTGTCATTGTCAAACTAGCTAGTAGTGGCGTATTTAAGAATCGGACTTTACAATCAACATCGTTCTCAACGAGTCAATAATCGAATGTTATCCTTAACAAAACGCAAATATCACTTGCTAATTTTAAGACTTGTAATATTTCTAACAAAAAGGATGGTTTTATATATTTTTTGTAGTGTATGCTAAGTTTTAAATGCAAATATCGATTTTTCGTTCTATTTCATAATCGATTATGATCGAGTACTTATTTCCTTGAAAAGGTAAATAGCGAACACCACTACGGTTCACGCTTAAATACACGTGAACACGTGCGATGAACGAGATAGAAGTATAGCTACATTTCGTGAATAAGCCAATTCACGTGTAATCGCAGACCGTGCAATGTGGTTGAATACTGAGTGACGCCGCACAATTATTCAATATTTTTCCACCATTATAATCTCCCTATTAGTTTGGACTGAGATGTGGCATATTTGTTTATTAAAAAGATGTCATTACGAAATGAATTATTAATATCTGCTAAATAACGTCTGTAGTTACGACTAGTACCCATCTAAACACTTTAACGGTTTGAAACGAGATGGGTATATTATACCTGTTAGTAATCTTAATTGAAAATTATTTTAACTACAGCCCGACGTTTCGGTACGCCCGGTCGTTGTCGTAGTTAAAATACATTTCAAATAAGTTTAACTAATATATAGCGCGTTTTAAACCGTTAAAGTTGTTTAAATCTCCTTATCTAATCAAATAAGTTGTTTCTAGCCTCGGATCGCGTCTTTGTTTTGCTTTTATTGTATAGATTAACCCTTTTATAAGATCGAAGACAATTTTTTTATTATTTGTGTTCACATTTTCTTACCCACGTTTTTGGTCTTGTGTTCTTGGTAGATAAATATTACATAACTCTAGTATAAGGGCTGCCACCGTCGCAAAAACGTGATTACCGGTGTACTTACTTTTCAGTTCTAGGAAAACACGTTTTTCTTTGGACATGTTATAATGAAAAGTAACTTAAGAGGTATCTCGTAATAATTATAATATAATGGCTAATCATCAATCGGCCGTGGGTTCGATTATCGGTTTTAAAATTGACCACGCTAAATATTTTTAGTCTATCTATCTATACTAATATATAGCTAAAGAGTTCGTTTGTTTGAACACGCTAATCTCAGAAACTACGTTCGGTTCGAATATAAAAATATTTTTAAACGGTTTTATTTAGCTCACCTGTTTGTTTTATTTATTCTTGGGTCAAATTTCACCCTCTTCCTGTTAACCGATTAATCTGAAATTTTGTATACACTTTGGCTTTTGGTGACAATACAATTATGTTTATTCATTATCATTATAAATCTAAAATGGCGGCCGCTACAAAATGGCGGATAACGTAGGTTTTATCAATCCCATTAATATGGGTATCAAATGAAAGTGCTCAACAAGCAGAATACAATATACTATAAAAAATTGAAACCCAAGATGGCGGCCTCTACAAAATGGCGGATAACGGTTTTATTTTAGTCTAGTCTATGCATATGTTTATAATTCCCACGACTGTATCTATTTTATTATTTTTTGGTTTTTAGTACATTTATCTTAAACATTGCAATGTATGTTTAACATAACCCGTTCAATTTAAAAAGTTTTTTTACCTATTTTTATTTTCTAGTTTTTATTTCGCATTCTGTTTAATTCATTTAGTGTTTTTTGATACTTGTTGAGACCTTCCATGTTGGTGGGATTGATAATCCCTAAGTTATCCGCCATTTTGTAGAGGCCACCATCTTGGATTTTTGTGTTGGTTAGACCATTTCTCGAGGAAGGCTATAGGCTATAAAACATCGCCCTGTGACTAATGCAAGCGAAGATACAGTGAGAAATGTGAAAAAAATTAGGAAAATTATTTATCATTATGGGTTTCCGAGGCGCACACTGCAAAAACGGTTTAAGATATTCAAATAATATATATATATATGTATTCGTATACATATATGTTTTCGTTTATAAAAATGGAGGGCTTTTGTAAACCGAATTTGGATGCCCAAAGTCTACGCGGCGATTCTACGCGGACGAAGTCGCTGACACAGTTAGTCTGGAATATTTGGAAATTGGTCGATTACCGCTGAGTAGAGTGCCCAAACCAATCCCTAAAAACGTGAAATAAAGAAATGTGAACAGTTCAAAACGTAATCTAATTTTCAAGTCAAAATGTAGGCATTTCAGAGATTGTATAGGGTGTCGGCGGTGATAAATAAAAGAAGTTTACAATTGTATCTTTATTTAAAATGCTCTATTTGCTTACAGAAATTCATAACGTAAACCAATATAAGTAGAGTCCGTTTTGCACGCTTAACTTTTCACATTCACTATTAAATAAGGTAGATAAATTGTTTTTAACATTTACCATTATGGTCATATTAAGTTCTATGTACCTATATATTATATTACGAGATAGTTATGAATATTCTATGACTTAAAGTTAGATTTAAAGCAATTACAAGTTGGAAATATTTTCGAATAAAAAATAATGATTTCTTTGCGGTTGACCTAAAGGCAACGATGTACATATAAATATAATTCATTATTACCTAATTGGAAATATAATTTTGACAATTATGTTTTATATGCCGCGGTAGTGCGAAGGTACATGTGGCAGACAGTCTTCTATGTCTGTTTCATGTAACGGAGCAGCCATTTTATTTACAAGTATTGAATTCGTCTTCTGTACACTGCCCGACCGATACTAGCGTCATTCAAGGAATTCAAATTTAGAACCGTTTTTTTTTTGGATTGGATTGTAAACGGACGTTCGACTTAGGACCGTGAGTTTAATGCAACGCTGGCAAAGCGATATGCTCTAGCCTTATGGAGATAAAAAACACAAGTTTATTAGTTATTAATGAATTATTTCTTGTATTAATATTTTTTAGGTTATTCCTTAAATTAAGACAGAATAAAATGTTGATGAGTGACACTTAATAAACTTGGACTCGGTAGCTACAAAATCTTTATATATATTGCATCTTAAACCAGTAACTGTTTTTCTGCTATTCACAGTACGTAAGCTTACGAACGACATCTGGGAATGAAAATCTTCAGAAGTAGCTAGATTATTTTTTATTCACAATTAAGTATTAGTTATCTCAGGTTTTATTATAGCTGATTCGGGATAGTCATTCCTTCGAATATTTTTTGATTATTTTAAATGGAACGACGATACAGCGGAAACAAGAAGTGAAGTTAAGGAATGGTTAACATTTTAAATTCATTTTAGTGTACTTTTTTTATTTAATTAACAATATTAATGATTTGAAGATTTATACAATATATCTTTACGCGTTTTACGCGAACTAAAAATTCCAAAAACGATTAATTAAAGGTTACATAAGTATAATTTTTCAAATCTGTTATTTCGGGCGTAACAAATTCTGCGTCTCTATGTGTGTGTGTGTGTGTAGTTTTGTTTTGTTTTAATAAAAAAGCATGAGTTAATTATGTCAAGTGTCAAGGTTGAAGGTTCCTTAAAACAACAAGCACGTACCAAAACAGTGTTTGATTTAGATTAGAGATAATATTATTAGTTATTTACAGTGTGAAATAAACCGTTTTTTTTAATAAGCTAATGTATTATTTTTTCGCTAATACAAACATTAGAAGTTCGAACTTGGCCGCGTAATCCGGTCGGTCGCTTCAGATAAGCTTGTCACGATTAAATTCTGCTACTGCAAGCATATTATACTTTTCTCGCTTACAAAATTTCACGACCAGCACATTGTCCCTAGTAAAAATTCTTAAACTGAGTGGTTGGTCGAGATCGCCGTCTTGGAAAAAATCTTACGCCAATCTAAACTTTCTGAAAGTTACAAATTCAATGGATCGTCTCCATTATTCTAAATGTGTAGTCACACGACTGCTCGTTATAAGTACATATATATTATACGTCATATATCTTTTTATTCTTATTTTAAATTTTTAAATGCATAATAGACAGCTAGAAACTTCTACTCACAACATCTTGCTATAGAATTACTAGAATACCCTTATTTGACAGGTCGAATATATAATCCAATTTTAAATATCTTTAAAACTTTGCAAACGAAAAGTATTTATTAAGTTTAATATCAATGGCATATTCAATTTTTTATATACTTTTGAATACATTTAATGAAAAGTAATTAAATTATTGTGTTATTTATTTACATGTTTTTTATAAAGTCATGGCTACGCTATTCTTTTGGTCTGAAGGTGTTGATCATTTTTGGTGTAGCCTAAGAGATTCGTATTTCTACCTATTAAGTCACAAGATGTTAACTTTAGTTCACATGTGAATTTTAAGTTTAGATATTTCGTGACGTCACAATTGCTAACATTTTGTACATACTTACTCTCTTATTTCATTTAGACGTTAAATTTTTGAATTTACATAATTCTAGACTCGCTTAACGACAGTTCTCGATATAACATGTTCCTCTCACTTAATTTTTATTTCGAATTACCGAGAGCTTATCACCAAGGGTTTCTGTAACAATGGCATATAAATTTTCAATTGTTTGACTGCTTAGCAGCAAATTAATATCACAAGTCGCGTTAATGCAACATTAACAATACCTTAATGCCTCATCTTTCACTAAAGATTTCGTCATTTCTATGCGAACTGTTTCGTTGCAATTTCCACTGTTCGTAAACGCAGACAACCAAACAAAAGAAAACAGTAAAACAGAGCCTTATTGATACAACTTAAGTAAAACAATAATCACAGTATCTACACCATTAAAACTAATATAATTTCGACTAGACGTAAACAGCGTAAAGCAAATCTTATACAATGAAGACGAAGGGTCCACCTCAATGTTACATTATAACATTAATAGATAATCTTTATTTCAATCCTTATGCACGCTCCTTATCCTAGTCTAACTGCATAGCATAGCTTAGCATACAACAGACATAAATTTGAAAAGTAATATGCTCTTGAAGATTACAAAAAAGTATTTTCATAAAGTTTTGCCGTAGTTACAGGCTTCAAGACAGTAAATTCATCATTCAGTCTTTTCTTAGCAAGATAATTCAGCTTGGCACTAAGAACAATATGTTTAAATATAAATATAATCATAATTAGGTGAAAAGGATTTTCAAATAGGTTTAAAAGTCTGAGAATTTTTGTTTTTGTTTAGCATTATTTATCATCTGTTTTGGCTTCGGATATTTGGATATAGAAAAACAGAAGAGCGAAAACAACATATTGTTTTTCTTGTCTCTATCTCGTTGTCTTGTTCTCTTCTTATTCTTTCATCTTTTTTGTCCTATCATCAGTTAGGCCCATTACTTACAAATAATAGTGATCACGTCGTTGATCCAAAAGCATCTGCCCCTTTTTACATTAAGTACTTCTGATATTATAGTGGACTTCCAAAAGCATACATCAACATCGTCGTAACTTATTTTAAACGTCAAATTTGAGAACGAAAGCCTGAGAAACTGTTAGTAATTTTACTGAAATTATTAGCATTTTATAGGAAATACCTTAACTTATTATGTATTTATCATATAAATAAATTGTAATGGTGCTACAGTTATCGCGCTCTTCAAGGAACGCGCATAATTCGTCAAGTACTAGATTTTTTTACACACGACGCACTCTTTGAAAGTCCTAGTAAAATTGTTATAACGGTTTGTCGTAATCAAAATATATTTAAATTTCAAAAATTGACGATAATGTCGGGACTGCAACCAGCATCCACCGCGTACCTGCCCAGGGCCCTTACCAATTGAGTTATTGTGTCAGATTACAACAGAACGGAACGCTGTGGGCTGGGTGGCTGGTTTAAGTCCCGCATATGAAATATTTTCCAACATAGTTATATAGGCAGTCCTGCCAAGCTGAATATTATGGGAAGAAGCCGTGTTGTAACGAACTGCTGGACGGACGCTCCCAGTAACTACGACAAACTAAACAACAAGGTAACTATAAGCCCCGATATTGCAAACAAGTATATTTGGAAGCTGTCTCACTATTTACAACAATGTTATATTTACAAAAGAATTAAACCCTTATCTAACTAACAATTGTTAGCATTTAAAACACTACAAATCCTACGGAACCTTTGATTTCATATTTAGAAGGTGGCTGACAAACAGAACAGCGATAAATGGAATGATTATAACAAATAACAAAACAATCGTAAAATTAACGTATCAACTAACAGACAAGACAAATACTGCAATTTATAAATACAATTTTAATAATTCACAAACGGGAGTTCACTCGTTCTAGTAGGAGGATTTCTTGTTTGTAATTGGGCTGTCTACTCATTAAACCGTAATGCAGCCATAATAGTAGTAACAGTTCGACTGGTATCATACAGATTATACGGGCAACTCGATAGGTTCGGGCACATCTTTTACTAGCAAATTTTCGCGACTGCACTTTAAATAAAAATCGATACAAAACTTTTAAGTAAAACGGTTTTATTCTTTGTGCACTGAAAACTATAACAAATAATAATTTTTGTATCGGCGGCCATCTTGGCTTTACAATGTTAAAGATTTTATTATAATATTGTATTGTGATCTAGATGAAATGTGTGTACCAAATTTCAGATCAATCTGACAACGGGGACGTGCTTAAATTTCAATTTCTTATTTTGACCCAAATAAATAAATTTCGTACGGGTCGAGCTAAATAAAACCGACTAATATAATACTTTCGACTGTTTAAACTTCGATCCTTATTAGTCCCTCGACTTTTATCGTCATTATACGTGGAGGTCAGGTCGTAGTTTAAAATATTTTGCCATATAAAGTTTGCGTCTTAAACACTTAGACACCAACAGCAATAGAACGTAAAATAAACAATAATCAGTCTAAATTAGATGGCCGATATTTTTTAACTTCTACTTATAAAAATTTTGAATATATTAACTCACAGTTATAATATTAAATAAAACCACTTCTATTTAAATAGAATAAAACTTATCATAACGCTAGGCATCAATAACATTTGTAAATTAATGGTTTAGCCAATTTTTCTTACAATAGGTCACTATGTGCGTTTGGGCTTACAACATAAACAAAGGATTTAACATTATGTTCATTTTAATACAGGGCAAAGGCCTAGCTCAATCTTGGAAGCTTTGTCTGCAAGAGAACACAAACTTGCAGTTACGAGTATTTGTTATTATTTAATGAAAGAAACTTCTTGAAACAAAATCAAATGGAATTTGAAGTTCAAGATACTTTAACAACAAATAACGTAATTATGTATTACCAAAATTAATTTGTAATCTATTTAGGTATTCAAATTTCAAGCTGTTCATGGATTGCCCAAAATCTCATCAACGGCAAGAATGTTTCAGTCATTTCAATTAATTTGACTTGTTTCTCGAATTTAAAGTCTTACTTACAGGAATTAGAAGAAAAAGATGTCGAGGTGTAACTTGAACCGGCATCCACAGTCGTCGGCAATTTGTTTGTTATTGAAATTGATTTTTAATTTATATAATGCCATCACATGCAAACACATGTGAATAATATTAAAGTTCTCTGTTTCTTGCTTTTTAGGTAAGCATGATGGTACATACTTACTATACTTGAAAACAAGACATGTGTTCTTTTGCAGATGGAACCTATAATTAAATATTAAACAACAATAAATAGGCCGAAGGAACGCTACAGCTAGTACATACCCTAGATGTTTGAATAACCCGTGTGTTCAGGAGCAGACGCATTTGTGTCCGTTAAACGGATCCATTTTATTTACAGACAATCAGACTGTGCCATGCCCGACCAAAACTATATTATCTTTGAAGTTCGCATACTCACGCGCTGAACGTGTGGCCTTTACATTTTTACAACTATAATAATACTGCTAAATATCTTTGGCACGACCTGTTAATACATGGAATTAAAAATATTATAATTAATATAAACATGAATTAGGCCCAATGAAAATTCTACAACATGCCTTATAACACTACTAAGATATCATAGTTAGTAACAAAAATAACTACGGTTATTCTACTTTTAGGTCAACTGTACGAGATCAAAATGTATCTAAAAACAAGACTAAGCTGTGAGTAGAATACATTTTTACTTAAAATTCGTCGAGATTTCAATCGTAAACAAGTATTTTTAATTCCAATTTCAAATAATACTTTAAACCTTTGGTACTAAAATTATCTTTGGTTAGCTATTCTTATGTATTACCTGTGGCAATGTTTATAGATTTTCAAATATGGTTGACTTAATTGGAACAATAATCTGAAACTCTTAACCTTATTAAATATCAAAAAAATATCTATCATAGTCACGTTCCGAAACAAATGCGTTCTCAAATTTTGCACTATATTGTCGTTTAACTTTGTCTTAGGTAAAATGATAAGAACGATACAATAAATTACCATTTCACAAAGAGTGTAGTCAACTTTGTAAATCTTTGGTCTATCTTTGTATAACGGTTTTGTTCAAATTTCGATCGCTCATAGATTAAATATTTTGTTAATAAAAATTACAAATAAATAATTGTTAAAGCAAGAACGTTTTCGGTAATTTCACATTCCTTAAATATTTTATATATTCTGTTGTTTTACTGTCTAAGTAGATGTGTCTTCCACGACGAGACATACTTGGAATATCTCTTGTTTCAGTATCTTCATTTTATGTAATTTATCTGAAAATAGGATACAAAACATGTCATCAACAGCATGTAATTGTTTTAAAAAAAAAATTCAACGAACCCACAAACAACAGTGATTACAAGAAAAATATATTGTTTCGTTCTGACAAGACAAAATAATCAGATGAATCATGGTAACGCGGAAGTTTCCATACGCACCGGCGGATCCAGAGGGGCTCTTGACTCCCCCCTGAGCTGGTTTCACGACTTAGGTGGACCATAATTATTATTACAGTACATTTACGTATCATCAATAAAATTTAATTGAAGGTTCTTGACTTTACTAAGACTATGTGACCCTCTCCTGGCGCCAAAACTGGATTCGCCCTTACGTTACTTTACGATTATCAGAATTCAGTGCATAGTCACCTAGTCATTGTATCACACGTTCATGGCATAATAAATGGGGTTTGGTGGGACCGCCATCGGGGAAGTAGCACTCGGGGCATTTGTCCCGGAGGGGGCCCCTTCGGGAGCACCACGAGCTACCCTAGACGGCGAACCTGGCGCTGGTTGATACATCGGTGGCGCCACCTGAAATTTATTGCAACACTATTAAAATATATACTGCACATAATGACATTATATACGAGAGACGCGAGAGGTTCCTGTATCAACAGATTGAAAAAGCGACGATGAGGTACACGGTAGCTCAATGGTCAGACCAGACCAACGACACGGAACGCTGTTGATGCCGGCCAAGTCTTGCTCGTGTCGTAAATTTTTTCAATCCAAAATCGATTTTGTTGTATATAGTGTCACCATGTGCGAACATGTAAACAATGTTCAACTTTAAAAAATATCGTTGTTTGAAAATAGAACGCCATCTATGATGCAGTTTGCATACAAAATGAAAGCTAGCTGTAGGACCTTCTGAGATGTAGGTAATAAACTGTGTGCTTTTTGAACCTATGTCAATACAGATGACGTTAGTTGTCCTCTGCACAGTGCATTATGTCAGCATTGGCAGGAAATCGAAGGTTCTATATTTAAACCCACGTGAATGGAAGGACAACACGTGCTTTGGGCTACAATGCGCCGCCGCGGGGAAACTTTCGCTTTAAAACTTCCTTGAACTTTGTTGGATTTAAAGTTTAAAGTTACGATGCAAGTATTATACTTTCTAATAGTTGCGGAAGGGACTTTTTTGTCCGATTTAGGTATTTAGGCAACTGAAGACGTAAAAAAATGACAAAGCGGCGTAAAAAAATGACACAAATTCACGTGCCCAAAATAACGTTCGCGTAGAATAGTTACTTTGGGCATAAAATTTTGTGTGTCTTTGCAAACCTTTTCCACATTTTTATAAATTAAATATAGCTGTTACCCATGACGATGTTCGCTTCCCGACGTTCTTGCAATTCAATCTTACAAAGTAGATATATACTGTCGGGGACATTTTCTTAGAACATTTAAAGAGGAATTGTTCTATCTATATATTTTTGGGTATCTCGATCCGTTCTCACTGCAACGGAAACCCACAAAGGTGTATAATTTGCCCTCTTTTTTATATTTCCCACTTATTATTGCTCCTATCTGTTCTAACCAAAACAAAAAGAATTTTTCAATTTGAGATTAGAAAGAGATTATATTTGCTGTTTAATAGATAAAGTATTCGATCCGATATTTAGTAAAAACTACGAAGCACTAGAACAACAACAGATTTTGTGCTGCTAATTTGTTGTTTTGTTGCCCGGCTACACAAGTTCATGCTGAAGTTTACTGAGCTAAGAATTAAATTAATTACCTTCTCTGAATAACAGATCATTTGTTTGCCCCCTCCGGGTTGTGGGGCGGGGACGGTCCTGTAGCGAGCTGGTGCCGGGCATAAAGTCTGTAAATGTAATCATCTCACTTAAAAATTTTACTATAAAATGGAGATGATTAAAATTCTATAGAAGCCCCATTGAGTGTCAATCTTGCGTCAAACAGCTGATGTTGTTATTGCTGAAGCAAAAATTCAATGTTTTATATAAAATTTGATGCGGGATTTTTACGTCAAAACTTGTTTTCACTTTTGAGACACAATAGGAACATTGATAGTTCGATACCCGGTAACCATAAAAAAATGTTCTGTTTCAGTTTGAAATACTGTTAAATAATACCAAGAGACATAAATGAAAAAATCGTTATTACATTTAATCCTCGTCCGAGATTTCCATCTCACTGTAAACATTTATTGTAGACCTACTAAATGATAAAAACCCAAACAATGTTTGGAGGAACCCACTCTAAGAAAAAAAAAACACGGAGTAAAGAAGTGGCGGCAAGTTTTCTGAGAGTGAGATCTGGTAGTAAATGTAAATTCAGTGTCTTTAGTGAAAAACTAAACACACTGAATTTACACTGGTGTGACGTTCATAAGTACACTTATTAATCTACGTAGAAAAATGGTATTTGACATTATCCATACAAAAAATATTTCATCTTTACAGAGAGGAGCTTATATTATATACGGTACTATAAATTGGAAAACAACGATGACATCTTACTTGTAATTGCAACGGATGCGTGTAATGTGCTCGTTGTGGTTGCGCCGCAACGGGTTGTGACTGGGCTGAAACTGGCTGTGGTGTACTGGCACCGCTTCTGCTCTGCTGCTGATAGTAAGTCTGCATGCGTCCATCTGGACCAAAAAAAAATCGGTATACAAACAGTACTTCGTTCATTCATTCGTTAATAAAACTAGAACTAGAATTACAAAATACAATACACTATGATACAATAAAAACGGTTCTTGGACGTTAATCTTAAACATAGACAAATAATTATATTTCCGGACATTTTTATATCTAGACAGTAATCACTCTTTGTCCGCAGCGCACGTAACAGAAGCAACAAAAAATATTTTTCCCCGTTTTTCTATATTTTTCACTTATATGTATATTGACCCTTCGCCGATTTTCAAAAATGTTCAATTGAATTGTTTAGTTCCTGAGATTAGCGTGTTTAAACAAACTAACTCTTCAGCTTTATAATATTAGTATAGATATGATGCATCAAAGCATAATATTCGATTTATCAAAGCGGTTAAATACAAAAGCGTCGCTGTGACAAATATACATATTTTAATTTTTAATCATGCCATGCGTGATAATTAAACAGAGGCGGTATTAAAGCGAAAATTCAATTTTAACATAATTAAATCATAAATAATGAATATGTAAACGGCACATATACTAAATGGTTTTATAGTATAATTGAGAGAGAGATATCAAATAACAAAACTCAACGTGAACATCCGTAGTTCAATGGCCAAACGTTGCCTAGCATTGCGTTAGGCTTGAGTTCCTGGGTTACATTGAGCGTTTGCGTAATTTTTTTGTTATGTCAAAACTAACTGATTAAAACTTTATATAACAATTAGAGCCAAACTTATGTTTTGGTTCGTATCGATTAAATATTTCTTTAAGAAATTTTAAAAAAAAGGTTGGTTTTGAAAAATAAGTTAAACATAAAATATGTATGTCTAAAATCAAGTTAATTTATTGTAACACAATAAAACGGATAGAATTGGGAATTTATTGGGAATTGTAACTCTATGTTCTGCCCTTTTCAAACCAATTCCTAATTACTTTAGTCAGACAAAGACAAAACACTGAATAGCTTTAATTCCCTCGTTACAGTGAATTTACTACTAAGGCCGTAGAAGTGTCTATTTTTAGACTTCCATAACAATAAATGTTTTCAAACATGCTTGGAAATTTGAGCATTATTTTGACAACCTTCGAGATAAATCTGACTTGCTGTACTGGTCGAGCAGCGGCCGGTACAGCAATCGGTAATAGTTGTATGAAATTCCATATCTGTCGTGTTTAGCGGCCACAATAATTACTACATATATAAAATCATGTTTGTAGTGTATTTTAAAAATGGAACGATCTTCTTCTCTCCAACATGGCAGCCAAAGAGGTAACAAAGGTTTAATTTAAAATTCGAACTGGCTCGCACATAGAAATTAGTAAAAAACTATTATTATTAGTTGTTCATAAACTTTGTTATTGGTTTTAAAGTCCTGAATCGTATATATCGTGTTTACATTAAAAAAAGTTTTATGTAAGCTTTAGCCGCAACTAGGCACTGATAGACAAACATATATGTCCGTCGGCTTCGCCTCGGCCACACATTCACCCGTTGGTCCATCAATGCCTCTTGCCGGCCAGCATGTTCTATAAATACAAGATCGCAGTTTGCCAGACGTTGCCAAAGACTTTGAGAACGAAAGAGATTTTATGTTAAACATATGTTGTCTTTTAAATAAAAAAAAACATTGTCTTAAATTACCGATGACGTAATGTGCGTAGTTAACGCGAGTAGAAAAATTAAATAAAACACTTTTAACGGTTTAAAACGTGAAATATATATTTTTACTTATTTACAATTTTCAAAAAAAAAAACGGTTTACCGAAAAACGAGAGGTCATCTTGGTTCTGTAAAGCTCTTCAGCTTTATATATTAGTTTGTTGTATGCCCAAAATTGCTATACTACGCGGACAAAGTTATTATTTAAATTATTTAATGAAAAGTCACTTACAATCATTAGCTGTCCAGTGTTGCGCGTACTCATGTTGGTAATGATAATGGCTGCTGTAAGGTACGTAGAGTAGCTGGTGGTGACTTCTGATGGGCGGTGGGGATTCCGGCCTTCGACACCTCGATGACGACCTCACGGGGGAAGTTTGTTCCGAACTAGTTTGAGAACTATAAAGTTCCTGACTACTGTCTGAACAACTAGAATAGAAACAAGTCATAAATGTTGCGTACTGTCTTTTTATCGCATGCTCTGCGCTATTGTTATTTCTAAGAAAAAGTTTCTCGGAATATTTTATAGAGAATACTATTCTTTTAAATGGCAGAAGTGAATCGTTGAATATCATTTCAATGTATTGAGCACAGGCAGCAAAATGTTCAGTTTTTGTGGGATTTATTATTTTTTACAGATACACAGTTAATCATAATTCGCATAGAGGCAGACGTCTCGTTTACATAAACCATATATTTATAATTAATAAATTAAAAATGTATTAATATTTAGGAAAAAAATACGATACTGTGTTTTGTGCTTCGCTTTAACCAATTTCATTAGCATGACCTATATCTATATATCCATACACTTGCAATGACAGTCTCTATAGCTAAATCATTAAAGGTGTTGCCAAAGCGTTAAGAGCGAGAAGTCCCGGGTTCGATACCTGGGTAAACATTATATTGTTTCAGCCGGGCAGGGTACAGCAGTCTAATCAACTATTTGCATGTAATTAAAATGGATCAGTGAAACGGGAACAAAAATGTGTTTGGCCCACGTCCCAATGGGGGAAACTAGGAAATTCCCTAGTTTTCGTGCTGCTGCACGTTTGACGTATGCAACTCCCTAACACAAAAGGTCATCAATACAATATTTCTCACCCAATATTAGCGTAAAGCGAACAATTATTTCTGTACATATTCTCTTGCTGACGATGCTGTTGATAGTGTGTGTATGAAGCCATATTCTGCGCGTGGGCATAACACGCATCCGTGTGTTGCTGTGGCACTGGAGTGGAGTTGCACTGTCGAGCTGTTACGTAGTCGGAAGACTTGGTGGACCTGGTTAAAAAAAAAAAAAAAAGAACAATATTTTAGTTCGAAATATATAAGGGATCTTTTGTTTATTTTTATTTAACTAAGACTCAAATTTACTGATGGTTTACAGCAGCTATGGGGGGGCTGAGGATGGAGTGCGTCCCTTATGATGGTGGTTGCAGACAATACATATCAAAATAGTAACGTTAATTTAATTTTCACGCTTGATATACAATGCTAGCTGTGTCTGTGATTTCGTCCGCGTGGAATGCTTATTTTAGGCTTATTTTGTTAAAGCACACAAACTCTCTAGCTTTATACATTAAACCCACAACGTAATCTGGGTCCCGTCGTTCAAACGAATTAATCTTAAAAGATAGACATACTTACATGTAAATTTTTTAGATCTTTTAAAAAAGGGACCGCTCTTTCCAATAATATATTTTTATTTCGTGAACCGCCTTCAAATTTTCGCAACTTTTGCATTTTTGCCGCTGTCTCTTTAGCTTATATTGGTTATAGCGCATTATATAAATATATGTATATGTATATAAAAGCCATAGACCTTCTTTGCTAAATGGTCTACACAATATATTTTTTTAATTTGAACTAGTAGTTCCTTAGATTGGCGCGTTTAAACAAACACATTACTCAGCTTTATAATATTAGTGCGGGAAGCACTGAAAATATTCTATAATTGAGAATTTTTTTTTGTGGTGAGCCGATTTTAATCCGCGCGGTTCTGTAACACAGCGATGCGCAATTTGATTAATTATTGACATATTCACTTTCGAATAGCAAAAACTAAGAGGATTATATTTTTCACTCTCAACATTTTATCGTTGATTTTTATTTGAACAATTTTGTTACTATAATAAAGAAGTGTTATATACATATTTTTTAAATAAAACACTTTAACGGTTTAAAACGCGATGTATTAGTTAAACTTATTTGAAAATGAGAGGGAGACTCCCCGTGACCACGGCCGCTGCAAAGCATCCGAAACGTCGGGCCGAAGTTAAAAATCATTTTCAAATAAGTTTAACTAATATATCGCGTTTTAAACCGTTAAAGTGTTTTATTTAAATTTGTACTACTCGCGTAAACTATAGACATTATGTGTACTACTTGCGTAAACTATGGACAGTATTTAATATGTTCGACGTTAAGTAAAATTTTAATTTTTACAACTGTTTCGTTTCAGAAGCTATTTCAACTTAACTATTATATAAAACCGCTTTTAAACCATCCAAAGATTCACATAGACTTAAAACCAAGCTAAATAAAATTAGTCTCGCTACCCCAAGTAAATATTCGATCGGTTCGACCTAAGTAGATTAAACCTCGAAGTTTATAAGCAAACCCGTAGGTTTATCTAAATTTATTTCTATCGAGTCACTTAATTGGTGACAACGACCACTCGTGAACTGTCTAGACACTGCCATTACAGAACAATGGATCTAAAATAAACTTAACTGAGAATAAACTTTATTTATAATACGTTCTAAGTAGCTACGTTGTCATAAATTGCATTAAATATTGGAGTTTTCAGTTCTCAATACCTATTATTTTTCATAGAAATATTTATACGATTGCCAGCAATATATCGCCTCGTACCGCTTCTGTAGCCAAATGGTTAAACGTGTTGCCTAGCATTGCGTTATGCACGAGATGTCCTGAGTTCGAATCCCAGGGAAACAAAAATTGTTCCGGTAGGGTAGGCAGAAGTCTGATCAACTACTTGTCTGTTGAAAAGAGCGGATCAGTAGAAGGGTTACAGAAATGTGTTCATCCCATGCCCCAGGATGGGGAAACGAGATTTTACTTTACTTACAATAATATATCAATATAAAAAGACGTTTATTTCCCTAAATGAGACCTATTTTCGATATTCGGTAACGCGCAGACGGCTTTTCTTAAATGTTTGGTGCAGACTGACGTCTTCCTGTCGGTCCCACTATATTCGCGATAATCTTATCACGTCGCGCTGAAACAGCGTGGTGACAAAGCTTTCAAACCCAAATATAATGTCCATTTGTGGGATAATGAGTCGAAACGATGAAGTCAACTATGTCCAATCATGAGAAGTGATAATAAAACAAGTTCGAAATAATATTATCTAGATGTTTTTTTTCCATTCAAATAAACTTTGATCCATACCTCTTTCTATCTTTATAGGGTCTACAGCCCCTTTGGCCTGGTGAAGCATAATTGAAACCTTCCTATCTTGGATAAATAGTCTCCTGTTTCTAGCGTGAAGTCCTTAGATCCTGTTCGACGTGAAGCCAACGTAATTTTGATGCCCAAAATAACAATTCTACGCGGACGAAGTCGCTGACACAGCTAGTATTAAGCGATGAATATTCCCGAAGCTAATGGATTAAACGCGATAATGTATTAGCCAACTCGAGTCCTCAAGTGCCCTTTGTAGTATACTTTCCTTTCAAACCATACACGTAGGTACTTCATAATGCCGTTGTCTTGGTAACGACCAATTAACAGATTGAAAACTTCACTTATACCGTTTATGTTCTACGCTGTTTAAATAAAACACTTTAACGGTTTAAAACGCGATATATTAGTTAAACAAACAAAGTTTGACAAATATTCAGTATGTATATGTCGGCTCAAATGAGATTACTCTTCTATACTTACTAGCAGCAGATAACATTACATAGTAGTCGTAGTAGATTAATCTATACTAATATATAAAGCCGAAGAGTTTGTTTGTTCGTTTGAACGCGCTAATCTTAGGAACTACTGGTTCGAATTAAAAAACTCTTTTTGTGTTGGTTAGAGCATTTATCGAGGAAGGCTATAAAACTTCGCGACGCAACTTACAGGAGCGAAGACATAGCGGAAAATGAGAAAAAAAAACAGGGAAATTTATTCATCCTTCTGCGTTTCCGTTGCGAATACTGCGATATCGGTTTAAGATACTAGAAAATATATATAAAAGAATGATTCTTCTTTAAATTTTCTACAAAAACGTCCGCGAAGCTACACGTCTACCTTTAAAGATTTACTCGTAAGAACGGCGGAAAGGACCCGACCGACGTCGTGGGTAACGACTTAAGTTTATATTATTAATTTGCAAAAACGAATTTGGATGCCCAAAAATCACGATTGTCACAGACGAAGTCGCTGACACAACTAATATTCTATTTACAATACTATTCTATAATTATTCACTCACCAATTTGTATGAACACTGGCTCTACTCTGTGGACGCGAGTTCAAATTTGCCTCAGAGTAATACGGCCACGCGTAGTTGGAAGTTGTTGTACGTTGGCAAGCGTGTGTCGGCATCTGCATTGGTGTGGAACTGGGGGTTGGCTGCAGCTCATTCTGCATCTGCTGCAAGATGTCGTCTGACGCGCCTAATTGCTGCTTAACCGCTATGCCTCTTACTGCAGGCCGTCGGTGGAAACCTTTGGGATAAATTGTTAGAATTACTTGACAACTAACATAAGCCAATATTTACAACATTAAAATAGATTATTTTTTCTTCTCTTAAGATGAGCTGGAGTTGCTAAAGAATATTGTTAACAATAACATCGAAAGTGCTGTTTTTAAATCTTGAAGGCCACGACTCGCTTTGAGTCGCTGCACCATCGGAGTAAGTAAATTAAGATATAGAAGGGAACTATGTACATCACATCAACAAGCTTCTTACATGACGAGATAGTAAGTATTTTATTGTATCCAATTGTTTTTCTTATCTCTTTGTATACCAGATTTTAAAATTCGAATTCAAAATCCGCTCATAGAACGATAGTTCGTGTAACGATACACTTGCCGCTACTGTCAACAATACTTCAGCTTGGCTGTCTCGATTATGTCTGTAGCGTAAAAAGTTAAACCCAGTTTAAATAAAGCACGTAAACGGTTTAAACTGCGAGATATATAAATGGAACTTATGTACCAATTGTTCAACTACTTCTCCCGTGACCAGGACTGCTGACAAGCATAAGTGGGGGTGTTGGACAAGGTGAAAGTCGTACACTACACCATTAATGATAGCCCTGGTTGAGGGGTGTATTATACATTACTAAAAGTAATAAAAGAGCTGAAGCAAAGCATCCAAAATGTCGGGCTGTACTTAAATAAGTTTGACTAATATATTTCCCGTTTTAAACCGTTAGCGTATTTTATTTAAAATTAGTATTACCGATTAAACTATAGGTATACATAAGATATACATACCATAATCGTCGTGTTCATCATCACTACTAACTGGCTGTGACTCTTGGCCGTATCGCTGGCGTAATCTCTCCGTCCTTGGCGCTGATGCCCGGGCGAATGCGGCTAAGCTATCGTCGTTGTCTGTAGCACCTAAAAATATATGGAATAAGTATTCTCTGTAGTTTGCACCAGCCGTGACAGCTGCTGCAAAGCATTTGAAACTCGGCTCTTATTTAAGTTAACTAATAGATTTCCCGTTTCAAACCGTTAAAAAGATATTTTTTTAGATATGTCAAATTTTAACCTATATAGTCATGTAGTTAAATCCATTTTTGAAAGTGTCACTAATTGGTTTTTCAGTTCCATAAATAAATGTTAAGAATACAAGAATTTCAAATTCAGAATTTTGTCCGTCACCGCAACAAAACCTAAAAAAAGACAAATTTAAAAGTGTTAGCTTAACATGCGTGATTTTTGCCCGTTTATTATTTTTTACTTAAAGTGGCCAATGGACTTGGAGTAAATAAAAAGTTTACAATTAAAATTATATTTGTGCGACGGTTTCTTTCTTTGCTTCCAGTCTAGTTGAATTATAAAAAGGCGCTCAGTAACTTCTAACTTATTTTTAGCTCGACCCGTACGGAGTTTATTTATTTGGGTTAAAATTAGAAATTGAAATTTAAGCACCTTACCGTTCTCAGATTGATCTGAAATTTGGTACACACGTTTAATTTAGATGACAATATAATATACTAAAATCAATAACATTATAAATCCAAGATGGCCGCCAATACAAAATGGCGGATTACATATTTTTCCTTAAACCCCTCGATATGGGTATCAAATGAACAGGCTCCCCGTGACCACGGCTGCTGCAAAGCATCCGAAACGTCGCGCCGAAGTTAAAAACATTTCCAAATAAGTTTAAATAATACACCGCGTTTTAAACCGTTAAAGTGTTTTATTTAAATGTGTACTACTCGCGTAAACTATAGACAGGCTACACTAGTAAAATACGATGATTTTGTCGAAATTTTTGATGTCGTTTGTAGTTTTCAGTGTACAAAAAAATGCCGTTCAACTTAAAAGATTAATTATTAAATTGATACTTGTTCTAAGTAACCTGCAACGCCAAGTAAAAACAACGTCAAAACGTCTTTGTACAAAACACTTTCTATCTCTTTCGTATTATTGCATAGAGCTTGGGATTTCCCCAGAGAAAACAGAGCCTACTTATTAAAGTAGGCTAATGATTCAGTAAGTTCTATTTTAATGTAATAGCTGCGGCTCAGAGTGAAAAATTCTGATGATTTTCAAGTTTATTAGCAGATTTTAAATAGATATTAAAGCGGACTTTTCTCCGAGTAGTTTCAATATAACTGGGATAGACTATATATCTCTACTACTCATAACAATGCAGTTAATTTAAATTGATATATTGCACATAATGGCACAATGTAAATTAAAAATCTATTATAAATTTAAAAAAAATACGACTCGGGGAGGTCTTGAACCGGCATCCACAGAGTCATTGTCCATTTTTTTCAACCTAATGCACCTCTCGCGCAATGTAATTTCAAGTCCTGCCCGAGTCATATTTTTTTTCAATTCACAATCGATTTTTAGTTTAGTTTTACAGTCGAACTTTATAAAATGACTTAAGTGCTGCTAAGTCACTAAGCCAAAGGTATTATTTTTCAACGATATATATCGTTGTAATATTATCTATATTGAAATTATTAGTAAGTAATCAATATCTGAAAATACACAGCAAAATCACAAGATGTCAGGTAAATAAAACACTTAACCGGTTTAAAACGCGTCATATATTAGTAAAACTTAACTGAAAATTATTTTAACTACAGTTCTCCCCGTGACCACGGCTGCTGCAAAGCATTCGAAACGTCGGGACGTAGTTTTATACCATTAAAATGTTTTGTTCAATTGTGTACTACTCGCGTAAACTACAGACTGTATTTAAGATATCAGTTAGATAATAAAAGCTATGATTAATAAAAACTTTGACATACAAGTATTACTTCTCTAAAGCATATGCGCATATGCAAAGAACTGTGCAGCAAACAACCATCGTTATATTAATATGAGCAACCGGAAACCTATGCATTTTCCCTTTACCTGCATCGTCGGTCTCTTTGATACAAATAATGACTTCGGTCCCGTTTGTCGACCTCTAATGGGGTTGAAAGTGTGTCTTTTATCTAACTTCCTACATTTTCTAGGCCAAGCGTATTGTACACGATTACCTTGATAGGAAGAAAGAGAGTATTTGTCGTGTAAATACTAAACGGTAATTAATCTAGATAAAATAAATAACTTTTGGTCCCTTTCAACCAAACATCAGTTCAATTTAGGAGATCAGAGAGCATACAAAGAGATACAATTTATTCAAAATATTTTTTATACAGGGTGTAATTGGAACAGTTCTGAAAACTTATGAGGGTATATAATAAGGGCTAAATGTGTTATATGGTGCTTTATGAGAATAAGGGGTAGGTAAATATCAAAGTGTAAATTTCTAATATTTCACTATTCAAACCGTTAAAAGTGTTTTATTTAAATGTGTTTTGCTTTCAGTGTGTATTGTCTTTGTCTCTCTATAGACATATATAGTCAACGCTGTGGATACTTTTAAATTAGGTACATAAAATGAATTCTTACTATAATTAGCTTAGGTATTTTTAAATGTTTGTGTAGCTAATTGGTAAGCCTTATTGAATAAATAAATAAATGTTCTCTACTCGCGTAAAATACATTCAATACTTAATTATTAGGTTCTCTTTGTTGATCTTGGCACATATTTTATAGATAACATAGGTACGTTAAATCCAACACAACACACATTGCTGGTAGATATAATTTGATTTGAAACGCTTAAGATTAAAGATTTAAACACAGGGGACGAATTAATTAAAACTTTACAACATCTCAATTCATAACCGCACATTCAATGTTTGAAAACTTTAAGAATTAACAATGGAAGATATACATACGAGGAGAAATCTATAGCATAAATAGACTTAAGAAGTTTATAATTGAATCGCTGTAAACTGTGGTAAGAGTTAATGTGAGAATTTACCGAGCTACGCTGGGAATCAGCCGCGCATATAATACGAAAATACAAAAACAAACAACTATGTATCATAACTAATATGGACGAGTTTGTTGCTATAATGGTAGATAGCAATGTATAGCTAATAACCCACTCTGATAAATTTATTATTTTTCAAGAACATGTTGGAATACCGTCTGCTGATGAAACAGCCGTGAAGTTTAATCGCATTTGGATTTCAGTCTGTGGATTTCGGAGTTTTCAAAACAAAAATAGGTTGACAGTGCATCTTGTGTAGATATTATATGACTGAGGTATTTCATGTCCCATCAAGTAAATCCTTTGTCAGTCCTCCTCTATCATTGCAAAAACTCCAATCATTATGCTGTGAGAACAGCAACATATACGTCATACATACCAGGTGTTCCAGCGATCACATCAGGCGCTGGTGCGTCACTGCTTTCGTGAAGGTCCACCTCCGTGTTTGATGAGGCAGTTCCTCTATCTCCTGGGGCCACATAGTAGAAGCCTTCATGATGCGCTGCGTTGCCAACGCAAGCTGTCAGTGGTGCTAGAGTTGAGAGGAACTGTCGGCGAGCTTCGGGTCTTGGCTAATATGGAAACAATTAATATTTTGGCTCATAATTAATAACCAATGGCTCAAAAAAGAAGAAAGAAAGAAAATATTATTTGACATAATACATTGTATAATTAAAATAATTACAATTTAGTCTAAGTCTTACAATTCTAATGCATGCGGAGGGCTAGATAGCAAAAAGGGCCTTGTCATCGTATGCAATAACGTAACAAATATAAAAGGTTCCAAACAAATTATTTTTTCAATTTGAACCTGTAGTTCCTGATATTAGCGCGTTCAAACAAACAAACTCTTCAGTTGAAGAAAAAGAAAAATCTACCTTATGTGGTTCTTGGTGAACGTCACCCAAGTCTGGCGGTCTTTGCCTCGTCGGAACTGGTGCTGATAGTGTGGATGAAGAAGAACTGGATGAGCCGCTGCCAAATGCTTTCTCATTACTCTTGTCGACACCGTTAAACGATTTGTCGCTACTACTGGAAAATTTGTCCACACTGGCTCCAGCGGGTGATGACCGTTGCTCCTCTGCGTCATCCTCCACATCACAGGTCAGCAGACGTATCCGCTCGGCGAGAGATGCGCCTTCTTGCTGTTAACAAAAGTTAGCGAGTTACTGCAACACATCGTCGACACAGATCACACTGCTATGAATCTTCGGAAGAGCTATCAGGGTATGGACCATAATGGCCAAATGGATGTTGACAGGCGACGCATCTCCAAACGTTATTTGTTGCCAGTAGATTTCCTAGTAGATTTATAGTTGACTTATAGTAGTTTTCCGACCATTATTGATATCTACTATATATCATTACTTGGTTATTAAATTTTATTAAACGAAACTTGGTTGTGAAACCCAATAATTGAATTTTTTAGTAAATTTAGTTGAAATTGAAAATAACTAACGACACGCGCGGGAATTGAACCGGGATCCAACCAATTGAACTACTTTTATACATCCATCTCAAGAGCAATGTAATTTCAACCTTAACACTCACTTATTGGTATAAAATATATTTTTGTTAATTTATTATGTAGTTAAATGATGTTGTTGTTTTGAACGCTGTAATTCAAGCATACAAATACATTCTGAAAGAATAGCTATGAAAATGTATCGTAAATTAAATCACGAAAAAGACATTGTAATCGTGTTTGTCCTCGCCATGACAAACGAAAAGCCTGTTGGCTTACCTTTAAAAAATAAATGATATTATTTGCGGTATAATTCCATTTTAATGGAAACTTCTTTAATAAATTTTCATTAAACGTTTCAGCTTAGATACTTCAGCTGAAATATAATTACATAATGGCGTAGACATATTATTTCTATATCTATATCCAGCTTAGAATTATAATTTAATTTTTATAAAAAATAATATGTTCTTATTTACAAAATAAATATTATTTTAACAATGCAGATTCAAACGTGCTTAAAGGCTAGGTGTGGTAGAACATTAAAATTCGAATGAACAAACAAAGTAATAACATTCGAAAATACGACAGCAAGTGGATTTTACGTGAACAAAGTTTATTAGAAAATGTAATGGAATTCTGATAAAAGATTAAATTTCCTTACGCCCGTGCGGGGCAAGGGGCAAACGATTATTATTGCTACAATCCCAACACTAGTTTTTATTTATTATTATACTTATTTATTTATATACTTATTTGTTTATTTTATTCTATAGTTTGTCTTTAAAATCGCAACATTAAAAAGAGTTTTAAACCAGGCATGTAATGCGTAAAATACACGTTTTGATATCACGACAAAACAGGTCGTCAGCGCGTTTTAATCAGATGTGGCTGTGGGATTCCACCTTCTAACTACAAAGTTGTGTTATTTTCCTGCATCAAGAGAATTAATAAATACTTCTAATAATTAATAACTCGTAGAAGCTAGTGCGATGAGAGAACAATGGAGTTTTAGACGTCGTATTGAATGAAAGATGGTCTGATTTTAATTAGCAGATCCATTGAACCACATTCAATTACTAGCTTCTTCATGGAACTACTTTGAAGATACCGCATTCACACACGAATAGATCGGCCTGCTTCTATCAAATATAACTCGGTGAACTCCCCGGAATCCATTTATTCACTTTATTCTGTATGCAGTAATCAATACGGATGGATATTCCGTACCATTTACTTGTGTATTGTAAGCCGAGCTTACTGGAAGCATGCTCAATTTGTGCCCCAGTATTTCTGTGCAAGACGGTAAACAAATGTTGTTTTGTTGCGACGAATAAATGGTTGTTCCTGCCACAGACTAAGAGTTAAAAGGAGTTAATGGTTATCCTTAGTTGTTGAAGGTCGTTTTTCATAAGAGCGGTCTGCATTCGACCAGCTCCATCGTCGGCTAGTCGAAGAGCGGTCGAAATAAAAGGACCTGTGTTACCCTACTTTCGGACCAAACAGTTTGCAGTAAAAGTGAAAACTAAAGTAACTAAACTTCAAAATATGAATAGAAATCATTTTCTTGAATTAACAGCGGAGAGATTCAAAATTGTTTTTAGTGTTTCTCTGATGGAAATAATAATGTTGAACGCGATAGAGGTCATTTTTAAGATATACAATATTGTAGTAAAAAAAAAAAAATTCTCGGGCTCGTTCGTGTAATGTTAGCGATGTATTATTGTAATGATGGGGGGGATTCGGTCGTCATATGATGTAACGTGTTGTAAATTTTTTTTTTTAAATTTGGATATAAGTGCTAGGAATATCTAAATTGCGACCGAGTCACGATTAAAATTAAAAAAAAAAAATAAGTTAAGCTGAAAGTGAAGTTATATCGCGTTTCGGTTTCGCTAAAAAAGATTTCGCTTTGAAAAGCTAGTTCGTATAGAAAATCTGGATAGTTAATGATAATGGTGGTAAATGGGTGGTAGACACATCGAATCACGAACAAACGTCAACAGATGAAAACACCGTTAAGTTTAGTCGCGTTTCGGTATCACTCTGTAAATTTTCTAATGTCTACAGCCAAAATAGGTCGGTCATCAAATAATCCCTATGGTGGTCTGTCATAAAAAATATATAAAACTTATTCTAACGATTTTATAAATACCGCAATTTTTCAGCGCTGTAGCAAGCCTGTCAAAAATATTCCAGCAGCTAGGAAAAACATTCCAGCAATTAGGAAAATATCCCAGTAGTTAGAAAAGCATTCCAGCAGTTAGAATAGGATTCCAGGAGTAAAGAAAAACATCCCAGTAGACTGCGAACTATTAAACTGAACTGTGAACTCTATTTTAGGCATAAGGATTACAGATCGGAATGTGGTTACCAAAGCCTAGTTCTTAATTGAAATGCCTATAATGGAAGGTAGTCTGAAGCTTCAAGCCCGGTATAAATTGATTTTCATCCATCGAAGTGTAGTTTGTGTACAGCCAAACAGTAAATGATGTCTGCGTTTAAGATAGTTTTACGCACATCATTCCTAGGTCGACGGTAGACTATTACTTATTTTAAAAATAAGGCAAATGGGAATTCATGCGAGACAGGGACAGACTATATTTGCCAAACTACCCACAAAGATGGTGACGTCAGGAAATCTGGATGTTAAGATGTTTCAATCTCAGATAATGTATATAAAACACTTTTTTATATACATTAACTGGCCGTGGAGAGACATTTAATCTTGAGAGATGTTTTATTTAAATGTGTACTACTCGCGTAAACTACAGACAGTATTAAATCTCAGATAAATTATATTAAAGTTATTGATTACAATATTCTGCTCAACTTTATTTGCTAACTGTACATTTTCCATTAATACCTGGAATGAGCAACGGTAGCTAAAGGCAGATGCAGTAATATCTTTGTTGTTTTGTGTTGATAAAACCACAGTACCACGCAATTCTAATAAGCTTTTCTGAATACAAACAGCCTTTATCATACAATGGAACCTAAGGACATACATTCCACGTGTAAAATCATCATAAGTGGACTTCATCCGATTATATCGAACACGGGAAAACCATTGATCAAATGCATAACATGTAGAGTGCTCTCGGAATTTAATTCGATAATCGTAGATTACGACCAAAGCCTGTCTTTCGCCAGAAACCGATTGTGAAGTGGACCTATATAATAAAAAAACCTTTTTATGATAGAGGATCTGTCCAAGCATGCGGTTCACTCGATGGTAGGAGATATACCGCAGCCCGTCCCGTCATTCTTGAAAGTCCCGGGCATTTTTATATCATTTAAAGATGAATAATTCGTTCATAAATAACAATTTTGTCTAAAACCGTTTTAGCGGCGTACGCAACGGAAACCCGCAAAGATGAAAATGTGGAAAACAACGGAAACCCGTTGTTTTCCACATTTTCCGCTGTATCTTTGCTTCTATTAGCCGCAGCGTTTTATAGCCTAAACCATTCTCGGTTTATTCCCTAAACAAAAATATTTTTTTTCGAACTAGTAGTTCTCGAGATTAGCGCGGTCAAACAACAAAGTCTCGAGCTTTATATATTAGTATAGATAGCACAGGTATTGTTCTAGAGTAACAGAAAACCAAGTTCAAAACTTCTACGAACTTATGACGAAGTTATTAGCACAATGTTCTGTGAATTTCGCGTTCTAATTGACTTGAAACCAATTACTACCGAAAATAGGTATTTGAATGATATTTGCATCAACAAATCAGCTTATTAGCGGATATGATTGGCATAATAGAGGCCGCTAGAGGCAGAGTCGCCTAACTGCAATTTTATCACTTGACTTATATATATTTTAATAAAAATGTTAATCTAACAAGAGCGCCGTGACCGAAAACTATTAAGATAATTACCCAAATAATAGTCCAAATTAATTTTCGCCTAGGTTATTTGCGCATTTTTGTTTTTTCCTCCTTATTGAAAATCTTAGGTTTTTGTTATTTGGCCACTTTGTCTTTAGCTCGTTTTAATTACTATATACTGCCATAATAAAGCTGACCTGACAAACGTTCTTTTGTCATATGCAATATGTTGTCATGCAATTGAAGGCTGGCAGACCAATAAATAAATAAAAGTAACACAGAATAAGTAAAATATTTTAAACTGTTTTCATTTCACCACATTATGTAAAAGAGCATAAACGTTAAACGCGTCTTTGACACAGCAAGATAAATATGAAAAAAGTGAGTAAATTAGAGATCAAACGTTCTTGTTAACAAAATAAATCCGTATCGCTTTATTGAAACAAGCTTAACATCTACATTTGCAAATAAATAAGAGCAAAACGCCCGTGTAATAGTTGCTGAGAAAATCCGCTTACACCTTGCCGTTCGCACTTTTTGATGTTTATTTTGCATTTTCATACTTTATAAATATCAGACTTTCCATCAGTAAAGTGCCGTGAACCGGTTCTTTGAAGGACCTCTTAAGAATTTCAGAAAAAATACCTAGTTCTTTTCGTGTTGTCTTTTAAAATGACTGCATCTTTTTTATTATTCTTTTCCCTCCATTTCTAAATCGTTTTCGATTATATTCGGATCGCAATAAAACACTTTAACGATTTAAAACGCGATATACGTTAGTTAAATTTATTTGAGAATTATTAACAACGGCCCGACGTTTCAAATGCTTTGTAGGAGCCGTGGTCACGGGAACGTCGGGCCGTAGTTAAAATATTTTTCAAATACGTTTAACTAATTTATATTAAAGTGTTTTATTTAAATGTGCACTACTCCTAATAAATGCATTGGCATTAGTAGCACAATTGGTTAGAGATGCACGGAACGTTGTGGACACCGGTTCAAGTCCCGCTCTTGTCTTATAGATTTTGAAACCATTTCTTACATTTTACCTAGATATCGGTTGCTTAAAAACTTAATTAGGTAAAAAGCTTCAATTCAGTTGTACCCGGCCCATACTCTCTCATCTTATAATTAAAATTGAGTAAAAGCGCTCTTCAATAAGAATATTAACATTATTTCTAAGTAGGTAATTGAAAAAGAAAAAAATTCAGCTGTAATTTTCTTTGTACAGAATTTTAATTTAAAACAGAAAGGTTGACTACATTGTATTCGAGAATTATAATGAACAACTTTCAGCAAAGGGAATATTTTTGAAGGTTCTGATACAGGTAAAATTTCGTGTGTTTTGCAAGAGGCCGCAAGAACCTGGCTCCGGGGTAAACGAACAAGCTATGGCCCGGTTATAACATCTTTGTACAGCGAAATATAAAGGTTTCCAAACATGAAAAAGGTATACGTATAATGATTATTCGGGTATACAAGTCTTTGAGTTAGTTAAGTTACTCGATGTTAAATTTTGCCCCCAAGCATAACAAAACACTGGGTTTCTTTTTAAACATATTTTATCAATATTTATCAAGTAGTTTGACTTTAATACATCTATATTAATATATACAACTGAAGAGTTTGTTTTTTTGTTTGTTAGAACGCGCTAATCTCAGAAACTATGGGTTCAAATTGTGTTGGTTAGAGCATTTATTGAGGAAGGTGACAATTGTTCAAAATACCCAAAATATATTCTTTGAATAATCTAAAAAAAGATTCACATTCTCTTAGATCTGGTATGAATGTATGATTTCGATTACGAAACTGCTTATTTCTTTATTACTAAGAATTGGAGGGGATATCAGTGACGTCACAAAAATGCCCGGACTATATAAGTTGTTAATAGCTATAAGATATTGATGCCAGGCATAAATGTTTTTATCACTTGGTATATTATAGTAAACTAACTTTGTCAGCCACTTCGTCCGCGTCTAAATTTGTTTTTACAAACCTCCACTTTATTTTTATAAACCTAATCTGTTACCCACAAGGTCAGTCGCGTCCCGTCGTCCTCATATTTTTTCACATGCTCAGGTGTTTCTTCGCTTCTATTAGTCACAGCGCGATGTTTTATAGCTAAAAATATTCAAACAAAAAAAACAAACAAATAAACAAACTCAACAGCTTTATATATTAGTATAGATACCATTTAAACTTATCTAATATATCAGCAATCTATTCATAAGCTGTTATTAAAACTTTTTGAACTATTAATTGAATCCGCGCTGAATAGCAGCGGAAGGGAAACTTTTCATTCGCTTTTATCATATCTAGGATAACTATTCCCATCAGATAGCTGATCACAATAAAGTCTGCGAAAGCATTTCAACGAACTCGGCCAAACTAAAGTAAAAATTACACATTTACCCTCCGAAGTGTCAGTCTTTTTTGTGGTAAAATCGAAAGTTTGCCACAAAAAAGTTTCAATACAAATTTTATTTTGCATATAGAGGTGGACAGACAAGGAGAGAGTTCACGTGATGGGAGGTGAAATACCAGCCAAACAAGATGTGCTGTCGACCTATTCTGGCTTTGGATATTTGGAAATCTACTAACATTAACTTAACTTAACAGCTTTTCCATCTGTGGAGCGTGGTGGATTACCCGTACAAAATTTAGGTATTCTATATATTATTAAATAGGTGGTCTATTTAATAACCAGATTCTATCAACATGTTTAACTAAATTGACTAGCTGTGCCAGCGATTTCGTCCACGTAGAATAGTTATTTCATCATATTTAGGAAAACAATTTTTTTTTGCAAACTTCTACATCTTTATAAATTTAAGCTGCCCACGATATCAGTCGCGTCCCCGAGCTCGCGACCCTTCGTTCGGGTCCCGTCATTGCAAGTTAATCTAAAAAGATTAAGACATATAGCGTCAGCGTCATAATGCGATAACTAATAGTAAAGATATAGATTTAATGTCAGAAATAACTACAATAAATTGCTTTTTTAATTTTGCATAAAAGTATTTTTTTTTAATTTCAACTATTGAACGAAAAACGAAAAAACAGTTCAAAGTGTAAAAATAAACTTTGATAAACTAATTAAACGTAATTTCTATGGCGAAATTAAACTTAATTAAGATACATTCATAGTATTTAAAGTGATTGTCTGTCACATAGGGCAAACACCGAAATTTCAACTACCTTCAAACTTTGTATCTCAGAGAATGTTAGACACACTTTAATAAAAGTTAAGCAGGACTTATCAAATAAGTAATTTTAGAAACCAATGTATTACCGTTTAGATATTCATATCTATACTAATATTTAAAGCTGAAGAGTTTGTTTGTACGCGCTAATCTCAAGAACCACTAGTTTCACAGCGAAAAATTTTTTTAGAGTTGGTGGATATCCAAAAAACATGTATCAAAGAATTATTTCTCTTTAAATGATCTAAAAAAAAGTTCACGACGCTATATGTCTATCTTTTAAAATTACCCTGATAGAACGACGGGAAGGGACGCAACCAACGTCGTGGATAACAGCTAAGATTTATAAAGATGAAGGGGTTTGCAAAAACGAATTTGGATGCCCAAAAGAACGATTCTCGCGGACGAGGTCGCTAGAACAGCTAGTTAAAAATAAAATGTTTTTTTCTTCACTGATGTTAAACTTAGCAATTACATATTCAATGATTTCTTAAGCGTAGGATATTGAATCTTAAAGTCTAAGCGTTAAGGTTGAATTATTAGTAGGTTGAAAAATTCGACGATGACGTCGAGGATACAGTAGCTCAATTGCTTAGAGCAGTACAGTATGCAATTATAATATATTATAATTCAATCCCCGCCCTTGCCGTCAATTAAAATTTAAAGCACAAGAATGAATGAAAATTTGAACCTCACCTTTGGTTGTTGTTTTTTCCTCGCCTCGCTCCTAAGTAAGGAACATCTCAAGGCATTTCTTTCAGCGACTCGCCTCACAGCCGTGTCTTCTGCTTTCGGCCTCACTCCAGCATCCCAGGCGCTGTTGATTGAAGAAAACGTGTGAACTTTTTCACTTCTGATTTTTAACTCTACTTTATATTATTTAGAACCCCACCACCACCTAAACGACGCCTTTGCGAAATAACGCTGCAGTACAGGTAGTGACGTCATGATCTTATATTGGTCATTAGTACCAAACCCTTACATTTTAACAGTAATTAAAGTAATATAATATGTTACAAAGTTATTAATTAATGCAGAGAATAGAACAGTTTTAACACTAGGAAGCGCGGTGGGTTAGCACTGTTTATGAGCAAGTGACGTCGCCATAGACCCGACCAATCAGGAGCGTTTTATGTCACGTGACAGCTGTTTAAAAACGTTATTTTTATTTTTTATCAAATCAATTAATATTTCTAACATATGTGGTTGTTTTACTATTCCTAAATACAATAAAAAAGTGTCTCATTGTCACATAGCCGATTTCTAGGTTGTTTTATTAAATTTTATTACACAGATAGCTTGTTTATAAATTCACTAGCAAGCTGTATTCAAACTACTAATTTCGGGAACGCCATTCAAACATTTCACAGTTAGTTTTTAATTAGACAGCTATTAGCTTAGTATTCCTAGAGCTTTAAATTCATAAACTAACTCTGCGTTTAACAATTTTGAATTTTCGCTCTATATGTTTGTAATTTGGATTCCTGAAACTTGTTCCAGTTACATTTTCAGTAGCTTACCTCAAATTATTTAAGGTTTTTTTACAATTTTTGTACTGAAAATTATACGGGAATAGCCTATCTCTATAATATATTTATTACTAGCTCTATCCGCGACTTCGTCCGCGTGCCATTTCCATATTTTGGGCATCAACATTATTCCAACGACCTCCTCTGGTTTACTGATTATTATTACAGCTGTTACTCATAACGTTGTCCGCGTCCTTCTTGATAATAAGTCTTAAAAGATATACATAGACAAATATTGTCGGGCACATTTTTTGAAATAATATAAAGAGTGATACATTTATACATATAAATTGTTTGGTTTCTTGAGTAGAGTTCAGAGTTTCTGATATTAGCTCGTTGAAACAAGGAAAAACTCTTCAGCTTGATTATATTAGAATAGATTCCATAAGTATTTTCACATTTTTACTATTTGTATATGTATATAATACAATGCAGAACTAACTCTTGTAATAAAGCGTGGGAAAGTTTTATTTAAAGTCAAAAGTCAAAGTCAGAGCTGCTAGATGCACAGTTTGTTACTTATCAGAGAAGTTAAGCTTTATGAAAATTAAGTGACTGACAGGTATACAGTTGGAAACTTCTAAGAAATAGTTCCAAGTGAGAACTTTACCTTCATAGAGTTCTCTACTTACAGGCTTACTCGCGTCATTATTCGTGTCAGCGTGGCAAAGAACCTACACTGCTTTATAAATTATTTCTGTTACCCACGACGTCGTCTATGTCCCCCGTCGTTGCAAGGTAATCTTCAAACATGTTTTTAAGATTATTCAAAGAAGAATAACTCTTTCATATATGGTTTTTTGGTGTTCACTCATTAGTAGATACTTATGTCTATAATTGCGGTCGGCAATTTGATCAAATCTTTTGGCGAATATCACATGAGGATATAATGCTTAGAAAAAGTTACTACACGAGGAGAAAAGAATATCCGACTGAGGTATTATCATTAGAGAGCACTAATTGTGAATGAAGTGTAGCGGCGAGACACTCATTCGTTCTAAGGTCTTTAGAGAAACTAAATATTAATTTAGTCTATAAACTTACTTTTTGACGTTCATAAGAACGTGATCTTTTGATTCGGTACCTGTGAGGCAACTTATGAAAGAAACATAAATCTTAATTTGAACCGAAATAAAAAATTCGGCTTCGGTTCACACCATACTTAGCTCATCCCTAATGTAAATGTAACATTTTGAAATAGTAAACAAAGGATACCTTTATCGAAATAAACTCGATGTGTTCGTTGAGCGAGAATTAAATGGGAAAATTTTAAGTTAAAAATATATTGTTGTTTTATACTTGTGGATATTGTTTCCGTTTTTTTTTAGAAAACAACGCGAATCGTGTTTCACGCGTATCGTTTTCCTTTGGGCAAATAACACGTTTGTGAACTTATTTTTGGCTCGCCTTAATTGTTGAACACGTGTTTTTTTAACTGACTTCAAATAAGAAAGTTCTCAATTTGATTCGGAAGCATTATATGTTTTGTTAGAGTGTAATTTTGTTGATTCTTTTTTTATTGGAAAGTTAATTGTTTCTCAAAGGAAATTAGGGTGAAAATAGCTGCATACTTACTATTGCTGCTATACAACTATTAAATGTTTTGTAGCTTACCTGGCATACGAGTTATTAGTGACAAGTTGTTGTCACTAGTAACTTGTATGCTAAGCTAAATATAATATTACTTTTAAAAATTATTTATTTATAAACACAGTTATTTATAAGTTATTTAAAATACATATAACTTTGTGCGGAGTATTTTACTGTTTAAAATTAGGTTTCTGTTCTTTTATTTGATATGGAGATCTTTACTAAAATCATTATATATTAAGGGGCGATATAGCTGTCTTATTTATTAAAAACTGCAACGTAATACAGAATAAAACTCATTATCATATAATACATATGTTTATAGTGTGTTGTATGTATAATTTTATGTTCTTAGTAACACTTTATATGAAGCTACAAAATCTGTAGAATGGTATGTAAGACAAGCACTCGGCATAGTAATAAATTCACGAGAGCCAGAGGTCTATAGGCTTTATATCAACGCACTGTACGTAATAAGTATCATAAGAACGTAATGTAAGGCCAAGGAAACATGCTAAAGTTCGTGGTTGCAAAACATTTTTATTTGAATATCTTCAAATTATTTCTTGTATATATTAAACGAAGATCACGTATAAATTCATGTGCATTCTTGTTCGCACCCCTAACTAACATTTACCCAAATAAACAAACGTCTTTTGTTTTTATTTTTCTCTCGTTTTGTTAGTCACTGTATGAATAAAAATTAGCTGTAAGTTTATCAAAATAAATTAATGTAATGTAATAAAATAAATTATGGAAGGAATTTCCTTACAAACTGCAGAATGACAATTTGATAAAAAGTTAAAACTGTTTTCACATATAGTAATTTTTTCTAACTTGTCATTTTTAGGAAACACACAATTTACATGAAATCGTGATATTCTCAAGCTTTGTATACAAAGTTTACACTGAAAACACTGGTTTATATAAAAAATGAAAATATAATTTCTTGAAAACCGTTTCCTGAAAATTTCGTGTTAAAGTAAAAAATCAAAATTAAGAACTTACGCAAATGGACAGATTAAAATTTCTTTAGTTAACATTTAAAAGGAACGAGTTGTGCAAAGTAACTAGAATACAAGGAAAGAGTCCCACTCATGCACGATCGCTGCACCGCAACGTCGAGTTAAATAATAAAAAATTAAAATAAGAACGTCATAAAAGTGACTTTGAATATTGATGTCGTTTTGTCGATATAGTCTGTGGCATCCACTATACTCTATAAAAGGTCATCACTAGATCTCTACTTCTTGAAATCGGCCATATTGGTTTTGGTCTTTTCTCAAGGTCAGTCATGACATAGATTTATGTTAACGTACGCAACTGCTGTTGTTATAGAAATTTAACACTTCAATTAAAAATAATCAACACTAATATTATAAATGCGAAAGTAACTCTGTCTGTGTGTCTGCCGGCTTTATCGAAACTACTGAACTGATTTAAATGAAATTTGGTACACAGATATTTTATAGCCTGAGAAAGGACATAGGCCTGAATACTTGATATATACTTTTTTATACCAAAAAAGGGTTGATAGTGATTGAAAGTTTGTATGGAAATTCGTGGTTTTTGAAGCTAGAACAATGAAACTTTCTTCTTTAGCTTTTTGGGTATAGGAGTGGGAGTGGAAGTGAGTGTAGGGATCAGAGGGGGAGTTACAGTAGGAGTGAGGTGAGAGTGTTGCGGCAAAGTAGCGCTCACAACATAGATCGGCTGCATTAAATGTGCCCTTACATAAATTAATAAACAGCCTAAATTTTTAAAAATTCTACCCCAAGTCACTATTCCGTGCGGACAAAGTCGCGGGCAAGGCTAGTAATTAATAATCCTAGCTAGCTATATATATAATGCGATTTAAATAGCCAGTCCCTTGGATATTGGAAAGCGATCGGTCCAGAGGTAAACGTAACACATTAATTATAGGATAGTAGGTCAGTTATAAGCCCTAGATTTCATAATAGTTTCATATAAAACCCGACAAAGGACTGCCGTTACACTCGACGCAATTAGTTTAAAATTAATTGGTTTTTATATGCGATTTAAAAATATTGTCGCGTATTAGTTTACGCAAGTAGTACTTTTTTATACTTCTAAATAAAGGATTACGCGAATGGATATGTCCCTCCGTGACCACGGTTTGTGCAAAGCTTCCGAAGCGTCGAACAGCATTTAAAATAAATTGTGAATAAGTTAACAATACATTTCGTATTTTAAACCGTTATAAGTGTTTTATTTAATCGTAGCAAGAATTTTAAATTGCACTATATTTGACTAATTTAATTAAGATTATTTACTTACTACTTAGGTGTCATCTAGGTGTCATCTTAGACCCAACTTTATCATGGAAGTGTCACATTGATGCTTTGTGTTCGAAGGTTAGAAAACTGATGTACGTTTTTAAAAATGTTAGATCAATCGCAGATTTTAAATACCTTAAAATAGTCTATTACGCTCTTGTACAATCAATATGCTCTTATGGTATAACGTCCTGGGGGGGTGCAAATAAAACATTAATGATAAGACTGGAGAGAGCGCAACGTGCCGTCCTTAAAACTCTTATACACAAACCGATACGCTATCCCACAAAGGACCTTTACAAAGAATGTGAAGTTCTCACAGTCCGGCAACTCTTTATCCTAAAAACTATATTAAAAAAACATTCTGGGCTCACGTTTGACCAACATATCGTAAATTCCAAACGCAGCGTTCATCCAGTCTGTCGCTCTTTCCGTCACAAGTCAGCAATTGCTTCCCGACACTTCTCATTTATGTCCTCTTGGTTGTATAATAAAATTAATTCTATATTGAATATCTATCCATTGACACTAACTAAATGTAAGAAAAAAGCTACAAAATGGCTTCTGTCACAATCTTATGAACAAACCGAAAGTCTCTTGAGGGTCTATCAATAAGTATTTCTATGAAATACTCACACACGCACACACACACACACGCACACACACACACACACACACACACACACACACACACACACACACACACACACACACAACACTCGCTCAAAAATAATATCCTTTTAAGCAAACAGATTGTTTTACACTAACTTCCTTTAATTGTACCAAATAGTAATTTAGAAGAATGTCAATAGTAAATAGTAATAGTAATTAGTTTAACTTATCTTATCATACGGAGGCGGGCGCTGGCTCCTGTGCCACAGCTTTACAGCTACTTCAGGCGCCATCGAAATACTCAATTTGTAAATAGGTTTTAAGCTAAGCTAAATAAAGTTATTAAATAAAGTTATTATTCCTTTACACTCCCATTACTGAATATTATTATTATCTCCTATCTATCGATGATACACTGCTAGAGATTTATTTTTAATGATTTCAATAAATAACTTATATTCATACATAACGACCTTGTAATTTCAGAATATTACGAGTTTCAGCTGAAATTGGAAATCGTATTCATAAATTAATAAGTGTAACTGGAATCATGGCTCTTCGTTAAAATATTTATATTTCAATTCAATTGATGCGTAAATTACAAATGAAAAGAAATATTTAACTGCTGTTTGATCCTTTTCAACGTTGGTTTACCACGTAAATTTAAATTTTAAATATTGGATATTAATTTGGTATGACTGGACTATATATAGATTTTTGCTTTTATGTGCGGCCGAAGAATTAAAGAATTTTTATAACCAATTCACGTTATCACGCTGAAACGCCCAGTAATCGAACCCGTAACATACATACACAAGTACTAGGAGCGCAATAGATTATGTTTTAAATTGAGTACAAACCTTGGGACTCCACTACAATCATTTATATAGCTATGGCAGAACAAAAAAAAATAGCAATTATTTTATATATTTAATGTCACTTTTTTTACCGTTAAAAGTGTTTTATTTAAACGTAGCGTACCTGATCAACGACTGTTTAATATCGATCTATAAATATAAAATTTGCTTGTGATATTCTTAGGCTTCTCTTAGCATTTAAATAAAACACTTTAACGGTTTAACACGCGATATATTAGTTAAACGTATTTGAAAATGATTTTTAACTTCGGCCCGACGTTTCGGATGCTTTCCAGCAGGCGTGGTCACGGGGAGACTAAATATCGCGTTTTAAACCGTTAAAGTGTTTTATTTAAATGTGTACTACTCGCGTAAACTATAGACAGTATTTCTCTTAGCATTCTAACACGTGATTTAAAATACGAATTACCGATTCATTGTATTAGAATCAAATTCCAACCGCAGAGTCGGGTTTGGTTAGATAACCGAAGAATAAAGCCGAACTTTCTAGTAAACATGTAACAAAATTCCTTTTTTGCTTTACTTCTACTTTGTCTTAGAGTAAACATTATTGGTTTGTAAGTGCTAAATAAATTGTATTATTTATTAATAAATGAGGGACATCGAAACGGGTGTTAACAAAGTATGGCGCGAAATCTTTGTTGCATACGTCATTGTCCAAACCAGTTCTTTTTACAATATGGAGAAATTTGGTAGATAAAACTAAAGTCTAAAAAAATGCCTTTGAAAACTTTCATAGGAAATTTTTTATCTTCGGCTTTGCGAAGTCAACCACCGACTGTTAAACTCCATGTGCAACTTATGTTATAGTTTCGTAGATATACAAATGTATGTTCGGAACTGGCAACTTTAATCCGATTCCGAAGTAATAGTAACCGAATAAACACAACACACGTACACACTTACCGTAGTGTTTCTGACGTGATTAATTGTGGCTCTATGGCCGGCGGCGGAGGTCGGTGGCTGTTGAATAGTTGCTGAACTGCCGAATTCGACTTCGATGTACTTGTAGTTTGTACTAACGGTGTTTCCAATCTGAAAATTAAACTAGTGTTAGTAAATTATTAATTTATAACTACAAAGACAATTCAAATAACCATCGCTCTTAGATTTCCTCTTAGTTGGGCTCGTTGGTCAGAGGAGAACAATGTCGGCTCGGGGGATCGATCGCCATAGGGTGCAATACGTTTGAAAATTGGTACGGTTTGAGGTCTATAAATAGGACTAAAATTCTTCTGAAAATGTGTTAGACTTCGTTTGGAAAACGGGATATTAAATGGGGGGGGAGGGGTAGTAATCAAAGTTCCGAACAGTCCAAAAATGGAAAAGTCTTAAAGTTAAATCGCGTTTCGGTGTCAGTTTGTAGATTACCGAATATTCAAAGCGAAAATAGGTCGGTAGCGCATTTTGTTATGTTAAATACTGTCTATAGTTTACGCGAGTAGTACACATTTAAATAAAACACTTTAACGGTTTAAAACGCGATATATTAGCCTCCCCGTGACCACGGCTGCTGCAAAGCATTCGAAACGTCGGGCCGAAGTTAAAAATAATTTCCAAATAAGTTTAACTAATATATCACGTTTTAAACCGTTAAAGTGTTTCATTTAAATCTTGTCATGTTGTATAGCTGGGGTATTTTACCTTGCATCAAGCGAAAGCCGTGGTTGTCTGTCTACGTCTAACATGAAAAAATTACACATGTCGAATTGTTAGTCCTAACTCATGTTTACGACGTTTTTATTCGCTTTCGAGCATGTAACTATAACTAGGCTAGAAGAAAACGTGTTTATTTTTTTAAATATATGTATATATAACAAAACCACTTAATTAGAGGAAACCCGTGACAATGGCTCCTGCAGGACATCCAAAACGTTGGGTCAAATTTGAACATAAGTTGATGTAGGTATTTCGCGTTTTAAACTGTTCAAAATGTTTGCTTAAAGGGGAACTACTTTTCAAACTACAGGCGATGTTGAACATATTTATCATATTTTTTTTATATATGAAAATTCCCTTTGCGTCTTGTGCAGGTTATTCCTGAATTTTCACCTATTTTCGAAGAACATCATACCCTGGACGTTTTTAAATTGGGGCAAAGCCGCCAGCTGCCAATAAACCACAAAGCTTTGCTGCCTCTAACAAACGTTGCAGTATTGCATTTTCAACGTTGACAAGAAAGGGCACTTTTCGCTTATCTTACTTGAAAATAAATTTGTTGTTGTTATAGAACATTTGCGTGAAAGTTTTTTTTTAATGTAAATTAATCGTGAAGAAAAATAATTATTTAATTTTTAAGTTGTTTTTTTTATTAAGGAACATTATAAGATCCTGCGTGACCAAAACAATCTACTGCTTTCCCAGGATTCGAACCCAGGACATTGTGCAATGCTAGGCAACACGTTTGACCATTTAACTTCGGAGGCTTTCTTTAAAAAAATATTTTTTCTGTAGTTTACGCCAGCAGTTACCATTTAAATAAAACACTTTAACGGTATACAACGTGATATATTAGTCTATCATATTTGAAAATTATTTTAACTACAGACCGAAGATTCGAATGTTTTATGGATCGGATATAAATTGAAACAAAATTACGACTTGGATAATTGAGCTACCGAGTCATAACAACAGCATGGAATGCTGATGAAGTCCGTTCAAGTCCTGCCCGAGTCGTAAATTTTTCCAATTTATTTTCGATTTTTAAATTATATAGTGCCATCATGTGCAATACATGTGAAAATATTAAAGTTTACATATTTTTAAATAAGTTTAGTTTAATATTTATCGCGTTTTAAACCGTTAAAGTGTTTTATAAAATAAATCTTCCAAAAATACAGAACACAAATGAAAATGAATCGTGAAAAACTAAAATGTGGTCTACGAATGAATTATAAGTACTTTGAAAAGGTAAGCCCTATATTCCAAACGGATGGCTAGTTTTAATTAACCCATTGCTTTGTGGGTTTGTTGGTCAATCCTTTTGCATCGATGTGAGGCAAATGGGTTTGATTTAATTTAAATAAAACACTTTAACGGTTTAAAACGCGATATATTAGTTAAACTTATTTGGAAATGATTTTTAACTACGCAGACGAAGTCGCTGATACAGCTAGTTTACTATATAAATATAATATAGTCTATGGACGTTAACGAGTACGAATAAATAAGACTAATCGTACCCCAAAAACGTCGATCAACCTTTTTAGACCGTCAATACAAGTTGAGCGTACCTGTGTCCTGTAGCCGCGTCCTTCTGTGTATCGTTGTCTGTACTTTGCGTCTGTTGAGCCTTATTTTTGTCGTCGTCTTCCGCCTCTTTGGGGCGTTCAACGAAGCGAACGGATCTGGGTGTGACAGAACCATCTTCGTCACTGGCCGTTGTGGATCGTTGATCGTCGTTCTGTAAAAATACAAAAGATTAAACTAACGCTTACGCAAACAAAACTAAATCTAAGTATTGTCTACTTTGCAATTGTATTTTAAAAAAAGAACGCTTTAAATACTCATTTAAAACCGTTCGTTTTTAAATAATTGACCTCATTTACGATTCCAAAAAAAAACTGACTAACGATATTCAACGTTTGTATTTATTAATCGTAATATTGTTTTCATTTTAACAATGACATTATGAATAGCGTCCATCTACAGTCCCACTGTGACCACAGATACTGCGAAACCTTAGGGCGTCTTTAAGATAAGTATCAAATAAATTAGCTAATATGTTGTAGCGGTAATTAATAAAATTAATTTTAGTTAATTATTAATTTAAATTTATCTTCTTCAAAAATGTAAAGGAATATGGATATGTATCTAGTCGTTATTCTTATATGTTGTTACTGTTATCGGGTTCCTAATAACGTTGTAACGCGGTCCTGAAATATGTTATCTGGTTCTAAATGAGTTCATGAATGCGTTTCACTTAAATTTTCTTTTTTCATTTTCTCCCTATAAAATCTCTCATCTAATGCAAAGAATAATTTATATTCGAGATATCAAAAGCTAAAACAATTATCTCAACTCGCTTACACCTCTTCAGAGTTTTTATATAAATGCACGAGCAATTAATATTTAATTAAAACAATTCAAGCTCAGATTGAACAAAGAGAGTTTTTTTTGTATCTCAAATCTTATTAGTATTCTGATTTATAAAAGTATCGTTGTATCTTAGTTATTTAATCAAGGAATGGTACAATTGGCTTTGACTATTTTCTTTCTTTTATATTCGTCAATGTTTAATCTCTAGCAATTCCATTGTACTCTCTACCTGTAATTGTAAGAGTTGGATGAAGCAATATCATTAAATAATTCTGTAAACATTTAGATGCAAATTAAGAATTGAACTCCTGATCTCAAGAACGTTAGTTTTATTCCTGTGTTTCATATTGCAGATAAATAATATTATATCACTAGCTGTGCCAGCGACTTCGTCCGCTAAGAATATCCAAATTCGTTTTTGCAAACCCCTTTATTTTTAAAAACTTAACCCACGGTGACATCGTGGTTTAAGATTAACTTGTAAGAGCTATGGGAATGTTTGCCATAGCTCTTACAAGTTAATCTTAAAAGATAGACATATAACGTCGCGGATTCATTTTTAGATCATTTAAATAGGAATCATTATTTCATACATATTTTTTGTGTATTAGGAACGTAACCCATAATGATGAATCATTTTCCCAATTTTTTCACAATTAGCCTATAGCCTTCCTCAATAAATGCTCTTACCAAAACAAACATAATATTTCAATTCAAACCCGTCGTTCTTGAGATTAGTGCGTTCAAACAAACAAACTTCAGCTTTATATATTAGTATAGATCGATGCATATCAAAGACCAATAAAAAACCTGTGTAAACTTTTAGATGCTGGTTAAGAATCAAACTCCAGACACTAACTACTACGACTACTACTAAGACTACTAACGACTAGACAGAACTACACACTTATGTCCTTGAATATAAGTGCGCAGGGCCTCTTTACTTTGCTTTAAATTAATATTGTAGATAAATTTCGTTTAAAAACAACTTGGCATCCTGTAAGCCAATTACATTGAACAAGAATAACTGAATCACTTGTAGACTCTGAATAAGACGTATTATTGAAGAAAAGTTTCTAGTTCATAATATAAATTTATCACTATAAATTATTACAACGAAGTTTTATGAATAGTTAAACTTTCAATATTAGATTGTATAAATCCACTTCAATTCGGGTAATTTACAATAGTTGTCGTGTCTTGTTAGTATTTATCCACATATAGTGCAGCCTTAGCACACTGCATGAGAAATTTTGACTATTTTAATAAGATGTACACGGAAAATGAGTCTGTTTGATTGATCGAGATCCGCGGTAATTGTCTTTTCATTTAGTCATGAGTAATTAAACAAGTATCAACTTCAAAAAAATCTTTAAGTAAAATAGTTTTATTTTTTGTGCCCTGAAACCTACAAAAACATTAAATTTTGACATAAGCATCGTGTTTTACTGGTGTAAACCTTTCATTTGATACCCATCTTGAGGGGGTTAGGGAAAAATATGTAATCCGCCATTTTGTATCGGCGGCCATCTTGAATTTGAAATGTTTTTGACAGTTATCCTACAACACTGATTAACAGAACCTTACTGTTCGCCTCAGGCAGCAAGACAGCACTCATACAATACTACTCTAACATTTGATTTTTTTTTTGTATAATCGGAATTGGTCGGTATCCAGGAAGTAGCGTCGTTATAAAGACTTCGTTTGTATCTTTGTCTACGTGAAAAAGAAACTATTCGATACCTGTTCAAGAGCGTTGTTATCGCCGTCTAGAGACTTCCACAACCGTCCGCCTTTTAAAATGCCCGCCCTGCGTTGTCGCAACGGTGAGTTCTCTAACGATATTCTGCCTTCTGTGTCCGCTGTGTCACTATCTTCGCCTAATTGAAAAAAAACATACAAATCGTATTATTAACGCTACTTAAGATACAGGTAAGGCATGAGCCGAACGCATACCTGCAATCAAAATTCAAAATTTCTTTATTATGTTGTAGATAGTGAGTCACTAGTCCCCACTCTCGGATTGCTATATTGTCTTCCGGGTTACCAACAGTCAATCACTGATCGATTTTAGTTATCAACAAGTGGTTTAAATAAAATTTTAACGCTATATATATATTAGCACTATACTTGGCCTAAGCATCCGAAACATCTGGTCATAGTTATTGACTCTTATATCGCGTTTTAAACAGTTAAAAGTGTTTTATTTAAATGTGTTCCACTCAAAGTAGGTATGGACAGTTTTTATTTTTCGTTGGGACCGAACCGTATGTTTTTTGTATGAATCCCGTTTGTGAAGGTAAATATAGCAAAATGGAAAAACACACATCGCGTATAGACCTATTTCGTTTCAGTCTGTCTATAAAAGGATAAAAAACTCGTTACATATGCTGGATGAGAAAATATATACAAAAGTACTCACTCGTTAGGGGAGCTGTTGACACTTCGGAATGGATTTCTTCCACGCATATTATATCAGGCGCACATTCTGGAACAAATGTAAGTATATGAGTAGATGCTTACTTGTAATCCATCAGACTAGTTTCTAACCACGACTTTGTTCGCATAGTTTTAAAATGTCAGAACTTTATCCTACGCTGATCGTAGAATTCAATGTTCTATCCACATCGGGTTCAACATTTCTCTAAGACATTTTGTGGTAGGAATTTTATAACTTGACTTATTTATATTTTTATAGTCTAAAAATGTTAAGAGCCGAAAATTAATTGAGAATTTTTATTTTCCTCCTTTAAAAAAAAAAATGTTTTTTTAATGATAAAGGAGGGCAGACATGAAATAGGGTTACTTCATGGTAGGTGATATACCCTGGCCTATGGCATCTAAACAAGATGCGCTGTCGGCCTATTTTGGCTTTGGATATTCGGAAATTCACAAACGACATTAAGCTCTCACGGCTTTTTCATTTGTGGATGGTGGTTCGTGACCCAGACGGACTTTCTTTATTCCTACCACCCATTTAATATACAGGTTTCCAGACGAAGTTCAGCAGATTTTAGATAAATTATAAATTGAAAGATTAGAAACATTTTGCTCCTGGTTGGGATCAAACCCTCGACCTCGACCCTTGGATGCCATACATTGCTACCATTAGAGTTTAGACCAGCCATGTTTGTTGTTAGGCCAGTCTGCCTCTAGAACAAGCAATTCTAACTGACATACAGCACAGAGGTACAAGTAACGAGATCCCGTTAACAATTAAAAATGTTAGGCATCCTGCCAAAACTGCAGATTTGAAACGGGAATCGATCGTCGAATAGCACTAAAAGCGATATCAACGTTCAACTAAGCGTCAATTTTCCCATACACCATCGTATTACCCGGTTTTCAAGAATTAATATATTTCGTTTATTTTATCAACAATTTTGACTGGTTTGTTTAAACATTGCAATGTACGCCCAATAAAAGTCTTATTTCGTTCCACAATAACGCTGTCTAAAATCATGCGAAATACACCCAGATTTTTACCCCGTTTCAAGTCCCAGCTGTGAAGACATTTCGAATCTAATCGATTAGGTAATAATTGTGTAGTAATAAAGATTATTTGTTTTGTATATCGAGATAACGTTACGTTGATGGATTATCTTACAACCCCCCCCCCAAAAATACCTCCCTGAAGCACCAAAACGTTTCGACAAAATATGGATGCATTCCTAGCGCTACGTCCGCTAGTAAAGCAAGCTTTTGCTTTGAATAAATTCCGTTTTCCACTTGTAGCATCTCGCTGAGTGCTCATTTATGTAGCTGCTTCACGCAATTGTTCTTGAACATGTCAATTGTTGTGTATATTTACGAGATACCTTAGTATATATAAGTATACACGAGCACATTTAAATAAAACATTTTAAACGTTTAAATAAAACACAATTTTTACCTTTTAAAAAATAAAAATCATTTTCAAATAAGTCTAACTAATATATCGCGTTTTAAACCGGTAAAGTGTTTTATTTAAATGTGTACGATTCGCGTAAACTATAGACAGTATTTACATTTTAAACGGTTTTACACGTTTTTTTTCGCTACGTGGTCATGGTAAATAAGTTAACTAATATAGTATATAGTTCGTATGTTTACTAGCTGTCCGATCATCGCATTTGAGAAACGATAGTAAACCAAAGTAGCTTTGCAAAATACCAGAAAAACCCTTATAATTATTTAATGTGAAGCGGGCCATATACATTTATTTATATTATCAATGTCAAAGGAAGCGCAAATAAAATTTCAAGCACCTCTATAACCATATTTGAATGAGAGCTTCCTAAAAGTTTGATATAATATCTCCATATGTAAGTAGTCTTAGTTTTAAATTTATTCGACCACATATTGTTTGTAAGCGCTTTAATACAAATTGATACACGTATGGTGCATAGAAGTTTATTCTATTTTTGAATTCGCTCAAAGGTTTTCTAAATCAAAGCATATTGGTGAAAATCTTAATGTTTCCTGTTAAAGAATATGTTTCTTAAAATACATTTTTATCTCACTGATTTCGATCTGACGATCCTTTTGATGAAATGATCTTCATAATCGAATACAGATGTGATACATATGAACATGTACAAAGCCAGTTTCGTCAAAAACTTTGGTAGCACAATTATTTCTTTAATCTTTGATCAGACTTCACTTATGTCTGTAGTTTACGCCAGTGGTAGACATTCAAATAAAGCACTTTCAACGGTTAAAAAGCGAAAATGGCGCAATCGTAGCAGATTTGACTGGGATGTTAGGGACCGAAGTAAAATTTTTCATTTAGGCCACTTTAGTATTTAAGAGTACCCATTATGCCACGAAGGCGGTTAAAATGTTATTTGTGATATTCTTAAATAGTGTAATACACTTTCCTCGCAGACGAAGTCGCAGGAAAGCTAGTGATACCATGGATGAATATTTATAAATACCATCATAATAAATTATTCCGTTTTCTTCCACAGATGTGATTTATTGGAGCAAAACTTACTCCACGATAATGGAAAATGCAAATGATTCATGTTTCCAAGAATAATTACGGTGGTTTAAATTGAAAGATTAATTCTATTGTTCAGAGTGACGACGGAAAATATTAGTATAACCTTTAAGTTTTGTTAAATGTAGTTCCCACAGCTGGGATTCCGTGAAGATACGATGGTATCTTAGTTAGTTAGTAGACGATGGATTTACGAGTAATAACTTTAATATCTTTCACATGTTATTGCCCATGATGGCACTAAATGAATGAATATCGATTATAATTAATTGAAAAAAAAATGATGACTCGGGTAGGATAAGTAAATTTTTTCGATTTATAATTTACATATTAGATTTCAAAAATTGGGTATCTAGAGAATATGTTGTTTACACATTCATTACAAAATGATAAATATTTTTGACTCACGACCGAAAATCGAACACCCGATCTTACACTACAACATCTCTAATACACTGACTTACAGCTGGTCCCAATATTCAGCTTACCTTAACTAGATGTTAAAATCTCAACTCACAGTTAAAATTCTTGACATTAGAGATCGAAATTTTAACTAAAGCTTTAGTTATCGCTAAGTTACGGTTAACGCTAAGTTTAACTAAAGCTTTATTTAAACTTAGTATTAGCTTATCAAACTTTCTTTTGCCTTTAGTAGGCTCGTCGAAAAAAAATATTTAAACGCCAGTTAATGATAGCTTAACTCTAACTGTTTACCAGGGATAACTATGCTTGATCCTTTATCTTTAACTGACAGTAAGTTATTGGGACCGGCCGTTTATAATGTGACTTGAATTGAATTCCTAAAACTCTTGTGTGAAAATGTTGCACAATATATCCAAGACAAAAATTCAACTCATTTTTAAATATTTTATGCTTTGGTTGAGTCGACAATACTTGCGGGAGCAACTTGAAAAATACTTCCACTTTACCGTCAGTGCATCAAGTGCGATCTCATATTTCTGCGAAAAATTGGAGCGAAAATTCTTCAATATACTTAGTGAGATACACAATCGTTCGGAGGTTTCAAACTTTGAATTACCACAACTAATTAGTGCTTCTATCAAAATGTGAAACAATGGAAGTGCTGTACGTTGGACTGTTTAAATTTTTGTTAATGATAAAGGAGGGCATGGGAGTCACTTGTTACTAGGTGATGATACCCCAGCGTATAGCAACTAAACAAGATGAACTGTCTACGTATTTTCGCTTTGAATATTCGAAAATCCACAGATTAAAACCGCTTCACCGTTTTATCATCTGTGGGTGGTGGTTCGTGACTAAGACGAAATTTCTATATTCTTATCACCAATTTAATATCCAGACGAAGTCCAGCATGTTTCAGAAAGTTTAAATTGTAAAATTATAAATATATTGGACCTAGTGATTCCTACCATGAAATCAGCAAGCCCGTCATATATATTTGAACAAAAGGTGGGATGAAGGAAACGTTTGTTTTGAAAGCTTCTCCATCAAAGTTGACTATGATCGTACGTACGATACGTCCAAGGATATAATCCCAATAGAACACCAACGGTCACGTTGTTCGCATAAAATCACTAGAACGCTTCAAAATTTCCAGCAGCTATATAAAGTAGATGCAAATTTTTGTCTATGGATGCGACAACTTTTCATAGAAATTCTCTCGTGTAAAGCAGGTGCTGTAAAATAATTCTTTTACAAGCCAAGAGAAGGAAAAATATACCTTTAAATAACTAGGGGAGAGATTAAATAAAACCATTTCTCAATATTTTAGAATGAATCGATGTTTACCATAAATGATTTAAGATCCATCACTCTAGAGTGGGTTTGTGAGCTTTAACCACTATTATTATTTCACTGGTTATGTCAGCGACTTCGTCGGCGAAGATCAGTTATTCATGAGTGTCAAATATTGTTTTTGCAAACCACTTCTTCATCTTTATAAATTTAACCAACGTAGTGGGTAACACTACGTCGGTTGCGTCCTGTCGTTCTTGCAAGTCTATCTTAAAAGATAGACATACAGTGTCATGAGGTTTTTTTTCCATTTAAAGAGGAATCATCGTTAGGTATCTTGAAATAATTTCGCAGCGTACGCATTAGAAACGCACAAAGATGAATATTATACCCCATTTTCTTGACATTTCAACGCTATGTTTTATAAACCATAGCCTACCTCAATAAATGCTCTTACCAAAGCAAAATTTCAATTCGAACCAGTAGTTGAGATTAGCGTGTTTAACCACATACAAACAAACTCTTCAGCTTAATATATTAGTATAGAATTATGCTATCATAGTTAAGTTATAAAAATTGAATTACGCATAAGATTAAGTTATAAATATTACTTAAAGTTGTGTAATTTTACAAATAAATAATCAACCAATCTTAAAGCTTATACAAATATATACACGAACTTTTCATAACCTAGCAAATTGCTTTAATATTTCATTTCATTCAATGAACCTGAAGAATAGAGAGTCAATTAGGAATTATTGGTGGGAAAGCGACGTTCATAATTAAATTGATTACACTTTTACTGCAATATTGAATTATAATCTGAATAAAAATAGTTTTATACGTAAGTTTTCGAGATTAATGAAATCCCTCTTTCCTTATATCGTGAATCTGTTAACATATAAATAAACGTCCGTTTCACTAAACGATTTTACGTTGGAATATCGAAATTTTTATCAGGATCACGAACCACCACCCGCAGGTGAAAAAGCGTCTAGTTTCGCGTTTCGGTTTTTGCCTGTGAATTTCCGAATACCCAAAGCCAAAATAGGTCAATGGCTGAGGTACTTCATCTACTATCAACAAACTCCATGCTTCTCTGTCATTAATAAAAAAAAACATCTTATCAAACGTGTACGCCCTACCTAGACGTAAATAATTATGTTTCCCCAGACCATAGACTCAATATTAATCGAAGCGTTCAAATATTTGACTATGGAGGCAAATTGAAAACGTATCAAAGTGAGGTCCAGATTCTGCAATAAATGTAGGTATTCAATCAACTGACAGACGAGGTGACTTTGCGGTGTTAATCACAACCCTGCTTCGCATCAATAGACATAAACACTGCGCCTCGTCCAGATACAACAGAACAACACTTCACAATTAATCCACAATACAATACTATTTTTTTAGCAACAAAATAGTGACATAAAAGGGTCATTTAAAATGTAAATGGGCTAACTTTGTATTCATTTGGAGAAATGGGGTACGTGTTTAAAATTTGGCAAAAGTGTATGGTGGCTGTGCACTGTGTTGCGAAAAAGCCTTCCAATGAGTATAATAAAAGCCCGCTATGTTATATTTTTTGATAACAAACTTAAACGGGCTTGAAAACTTTAATATTTTTCACATGTCATTGTTATATAAATTAAAATTGCGCGAGAGGTGCATGTAAATGTGAAAAAAATCGACGATGACGATAGCTTAATCAGTTAGAGCAACAGCACGGAACGCTGTGGACAACATAGGCCGGTTCTAGTCCGGCCTATGTTGTTGATTTTATTCATTTTTTAATATTCATTTTATTTAGCATATTTTTTAGTGTGAGCAACTATAAATTTGTTTCTTCTGGTGTAGGCATTGGATAGAATATAAAGAAACAGATTTCGTTCACGGGTTTTTTTGCTCAAAAACAATGGAGGACATATAGCAAGAAGAAGAAGAAGAAAAGATGAATGGAATCTACCGGTACTATACTCGTAACATTACTAGAGATGACCTGTTTCCATTAAACCCCCAATAATCTACTATCATCCCGAAATAATATTTACAAC